GGAAGTAACCTTCTTCAGGTCTATCTTTGTTGCCCACATTCCCTTCTGAACAAATTTCAAACATCTTTGAATGTTGTCCATCTTGAAGGAACTGTCCTTTATTCCTAAATTGACCTTCCTTAGGTCTAGAATAAAGCGAAATTGATCCGAACCCTTCTTGGGTACAATGTTTATTGGGTTCAATATTGTTGAACTGTTTCCAATCTCTATTACATTGGAACTCAGCATCTCTTGGATTTCCTGATCCATCCAAGAGGTTTCCTTTGGAGAGAAATTCTTCCTTTGTTTGAATTCTTTCCAAAGGGTGGGATTTGAGTAGATTGGGACTCCATTTCGAATCCAATCCACTATAAATGGGTTGAAGTTGTAACTCTCCCACTGAGGTACAAACTTGTTGAGACGGCAACCTACCAAGTCAGAGGTCTTGTTTGAAAGCTCCTCCACCATTGTTATTGTACTTTGGCTTGGAATCTCCTGACTTTTGAAAAGAGGAACCACTCTTGTTGTAATTGTTGAATGGCTTTGAATAGCTGTTAGGGATGCCACCTTGATGAGAGGACGGTTTTTGAAACTTTTCTTTCATCTTTAGAGGTTTTTGGATCTTGCTGGTAATGGCATGCTTTACTACAGATTTCTCTCTCTTCTTTTGGCGAGCTTTTTCTGTTATATCAGCAAACGTGTTGCTTTGGATGAAGGGTTGAATAAATTGGTTCGCAACATCAAAGTTACTTTCGAATAAACCTTCTTCTAAAAAGATTTTCTCAACCTCAGAGAGAAGAAACACCAACTCAGTGATTTCAATGATGTTGGTTACATTTAATGGATGGCTCAGAGCAAACTGAAGTAATTTAGACTTCAAATGTAACATTTCCATCATCTTTTGCAAGCCTTTGGATTGAATTTCTTGCAGACGAGGATAGTTACGAGAGTTGTGAATGACAGATTCAAATCGAGCCATCAAAACTTGAACTCTATTCAACAACGCCTCATTGGAAGAGTAATGACGAAGTGTTTTGGCTGAGACAAAACTTAAGACATCTCCATCGGATAGTCTATCACCAACTTCGTAGTTACGTCTAATCTCCTTGATAGTAGTTAGACCCCAATGTTTACCAGTGAAATCCTCATCAGCGGATTCCTCATCAGGGTCTTCATCAAGTTGATTAGCTTGTTGCAGAACAGGAGGAACAGCTTCGAGATGCTTTATTCTCTCACCCAAAGAAGTGATGGCGTTGAGAATAGCATCAAGGTTCTTTTCAGAACCAGCTTGGTTGTTATCCAAGGTTTTGGATGTTGGGTCAACCACAGAGGGGAGTGAAGCTGAGCTACCATTGTCAGTTACTGGGATGTAACCTGACTTGTAGGTAGAAGTTGAGGATTTGCTTGCTGAAACTCTTTGACGAATGTTGGAAATATTCGCCTTGCTTGGTGTTTGAACCATTTCAATATACTTAATTTTTTTGAGCATAAAATTATTTATCAACTCAATTTTATTGTTTACAATTTGTCGAAATACTAACGTTGCATCGTTCCTCGCAACTCTACAATAACTAGCAAACATACATTGTACACAAATGCAGAGTTGTTTCAAACGTTAAATATGGAAATATGGAAACTCAAATATCCAAGATTATTTGAACTTTTTAGAAAAAACCTTTCTATGTTTTCAGAAGAAATAGGTGAAATAGCTTTTAGTATGATGGCTTCTAATCAAAATCTTTACACTGAGAGTGCAATGTTGAAAAATAAGCGTAGACATTTCAAAATTCTTAACAAAATCCATGAGGTGAATAATGTTTTCAACGAAAGTAATACTTTTAAAGACGAATCAGTGGATAAACAAGGATTTCACTATGGCAGTACAGAGGTGCAAGAGTGTATTTCTGAGTTGAAATTAATAATTGAGGAAACAAATAATGGCTCATTAAGAAGACAAAATTATGAAACAAGGAAGAAAAGATATGTGTTGCTTCCTTCATTGGTAATGATTGACCAAAAAACGGTGAAAAAGTGTTATCTTGAAAACAATGATCAAGAATTAACCAAGGCTCTTAAAGTATTAAGAAGGGGTTTTCTTGGTAAAAAAACAATTGATGAAACCAAAGAGAAGGTTATTAAGTGTCTTTATAAGCACAACATTATGACTCCCCAAGAATAAAAATATTTATTTTCAAATATATATATATATTTAATTGCTTTCTATTGATGATCATTTTAATAAATTTATTGGAAATAACATATAATACTAATATATACACCTCTTTATTACTACCACAAACAGCCTTAATTCCTTAAATACAAAATGATAATCCTAAGCAAGTCTTGAAATTAATCAAGTCATATATTAAATGTATTGATTGTTGTAATGAACTGGAATATACTTGTTAGGCCTGTTTGGAAGGGTCAAGAATAACACACGGAACCTTTTTTCCTTGATATCTCAATGATACGTTTCGGATCTTCAATAGCTAGCTGTATTGAATAAAAGTCATTAGAAAAGGACTCAACCTGACAAACCTTCTTTGTTTTTGTATCAAAGCATCTCGTTTCTTACTCACTTCATAGTTGCCAGCAATACGTTGTCCTGAATTTAAGGGTTCATTCAGATCAAGAAGATCACATAATTGACACGTATCATAATACGTAATGGATTCTATTGAACTTGTTCTGCGGGTGTTAAAGGATTAGCAAGATTTGTTGCCGTAAAGAAGGCACCTCCAAATTTTCTGTGAACTGAGCTTGTAAAATGCTGTTGATTGTACTGCCCTTTAGCAATGAATTCTGCCTTTTTGGAGAAGGATGGCCATGATTCCAGTTCTTTATCATAGCAACAAATTTGAGAGAGTTGCCTTTCAATCTTGATTTAAAATTGGAGATTTTGATTTCATGCCCTGATCAGATTCGGATTCAGATAATAACTAAGCTGGTACACCAAAGTCTAAAATCAAGATATCATCCAATTATCGCACTTGACTATTCAACATGGCGATCAAGTAAATGTTAACGTTGAAATTTGTGCTCTCAGATCTTACATGTTTGCACATCAATTTTAAAGAAACCAATAACAGCTTGACGGATCAGAAAAGCAATTATTATTCAAGATTATTTTCGAATGTATGGGCAAAAGTTTTGAGAGAAATAAGAGCAAGCTTACCAAGTCCAAGAGCAAAGCTAAAGCAAAATTGGAGGGTGAGAATTCAAATAGTGAATCCACTGTAAATGAAGTTGAAGAGATCCTTAAGAAGAAATCGAAGAAAGGTGATAATGATGTATCAAAGAAGAAGAATGAAAAGAACAACAGTAAGAAGAGAGTTAGAGAGGAAATTTCAACAGATTCAAACAGTTCTACTAATTCTGATAATTAATTGTAAACAATCACGTCCTTTCGGAATTTAATTTAATAAAAAAAATGGGAAGACACATTTTAACTTCCTTGCAACAATTTCGGTTAGTTGTTTTATTAGATTATTCACTCTGAATTCATCATCATTTTAGAATGTGTTTCTTCATGTAATTGTGTTGGTAATTGTTATTATGTAAAATTGAATGTAAAGAGGGCCCAAAGTAATGGTAATTTGTTATTTAATTTATTTATGTAGGTTGATTTGATGAAGATTTTAATGCAATAGGTGAGTCGGAGTACTACAATAATTTAATGGTAATTTGTTTAATTTGTTTAATTTATTTACAATTATTCAATTTAAATACAATAATATTAATTGATATTCAACAATTTAATTAATCAGCAATGGTATTTGCAGAGGTTGATTTGATGAAGATTTTAATTCAATCGAGTGAGTCACGAGTATTACAATAATTTAATGGTAATTTGTTTAATTTATTTAATTTATTTAATTTATTTAATTTATTTACAGTTATTCAATTTAAATGCAATAGATTTATTGGGTAATGATGAATAATTTAATAGTAAGTAGCTTGTTGTTGTTTCATTTCTGATGAATTAGATGAGAGGAAGTGAACGCTTTTAGTTGGAAGCAGGAAGTGAGTGAGTATATTTTTTTTCAGATGGATTTAGTCGGAATTTCGGAACTTGGATTGACGACAACTCGACTTGGAATTTTATTAGAGTTGTGTGTAAATCATTAACAGTTTTTCGTTAATGATTGATGACAATTATGAGGCAAATTTTATTGTGAAATATTGACGATTTTTCGCTAATGATTAACGTTTTTTGATAACAATTTTTCAATAATATTTAACGTTAAACATTATTGAAAAATCGTCAATAATTTACGATAAAATTTAGCGTTAATTTACCTGTAAATTTGAAATTTTTTTCCCAACAAACGTTTACGTTTTTATTTCGTTTTTTTTGTTAATTATTAACGAAAATCAATAAAGTTTGACTTGAATTTTTGTTAACAAAAGTGCGAAAAAATTAATGAAAAAATAAAAATATTTACGTGGAAATATTTTAGCGGGATATACGAAATAAACCCGTATAAAAAATTATTCAGTAATATTCGGTCGCATCTGTAAGAAATCAACAAGAACTTGGAAAAATATTTCAAAAATATTGGATCAACATCAGGTACATCACGACTCTGTTGATTCTTGGAGTAGTTTCACATCTATTAACTCCAAGAATTTCACCACATCATCTCATCATCATTTAAATAATAGTATTACTAGTAATTTTTGGAATTTAATCCTTCATCATGATTTGGAAATAATTTTATTATTTGGAAAAATTCAAGTTGGTACATCATCATCGGAACAACTACCAACCATCATCATTGTTATTTATCATCATTATAATAGTAATATTTGTGGAAATAAATCTGATAATAGTAATATTTTAGTGAAATTTAATATGGCCATCGTCATCACTGCCAGATTCACATGATAATTTGGAAAACTTTTAATCTAGTATTGTTCAGCATGGTCGATTCCATCAGGTAAAATCACTTCCGAACATTTCCCTATTGTTTATCATGATGGTAGGTACATGTATATTTTCAACATGTACATGGACCATATCTCAACATGTACTTCACCAACTTGGAAAATGTCTTTCATCACTACTATTCAAATACATAATAAACAATATATTTATTATCAGATTTTCATCATTTTGTGTTTTTGTCAACTTCGGGTTATTCATGGTCACCAATCATGATTCATGCCAAAAGTACACAGTCAATCTTCTTGAAACATTAATAAACTTTTATTAGTACTATTGTAGATGTACTATATCAATTATTTCGTCTTGTTTCGTTGAAATCATGAAGATTTGGATTTTTCTGTTTTTAATTAAATTTCATATCACCTACACCATATTTGTTGATGTAAACTAGACTAGTTACATGTAAATAATCCATTGTTGATTCTCTAATCATGTTTTATTGTGTTTTTGTGTATTTAGGTTTTTGAAATCTTGCAAATTATTCTGAGGTTGTTCTTCATATAAATATGATTTCTCACTTCATGATATGAGGAGGGATTGATATCATGATTGTTTGGAAGTGTTGTACAAATTTTGGACACTCCCTGAATTGAAATCAGGAAGAAAGAGTCTAATCTTTAGCACCATATAAAATATGACTTTTGACGATGGTTTTGGTCTATTGGTTGTTTCCTCAAATATTGGAAAAGGAGAATGATAAACACCTTTTCTCAACATATTCTTTATTTATGGAAGTTATGACCATAAGAATGAATTTCGCATTACCAAACCATGCGAATTTATTTAGTATGAAATTTATTCGCATAAATTTTATTCGAATATAATTGCCTGGAACAGGATCAATACTATCCTGTCTGCCACAATGACAAGTTCTTCCTGTAGACGATTATTGTAACAACAAGAAATGTGAAATAAAACAATTTTTGTTTAATTGAAATTTTTTAAAACTCGTTTTTTCTCTTTTTCAGTGTTGAGTGTTTTCTGAGCATTCTCAAAACAACAATCCGAGATGAAATGAGTACTGGTTCACTTGTGTACTCACTTTCGAATCCTAGTATGAAAGGAATAGTGTGCTCATTTTAAAAAAACTCTCGAGAAAAAAATTTACTGGGCAATAAAAAGAGGTACTCAAACATCTTACAGTCATTTGTAGATTTTCAATAGGATTGGATAGTGGATTTGACTGTGTGGACAATCTTTCATTTTGGATTTACCTACCGGATATGTTATAAAAATCGTTTTGGGATCATAAATAGTGATTTTTTTGTTTATTGAAAGGTCACTCATTTCCTCTTTGCAATCCTATTTAGTTGCATGAGATGGCAAATTCAGAAGAGTCAAAACAAAAAAAAATGATCAAAAGTCTTCTTAACTCATATTTGCTGTTGTTTGTATTGATTGTGTACGTGAATTGTGCAAATGTGTTGATCAATGTAAAAGATCTACCTAATGATGCAGTTGTAGAGATCTCTGGTGATAACCCAATTACTATTACTATTCCAAATAGAAGTTACACTACACCTTTCAGTTTAAAACTTGATGGAGTCAAAAAATTTGTGTCTTCCTCGGTAGGATGTAAAATTTATACATTTGATGTTTCATTGGATAAGCCTTATTACAAAGGAAATTCTTCAATAAGAACAGATATTCAAAATATTTTCTTTGGAGATCGTGTACGCTACAGATTTACAGACAGTAGATGCTTTCGTTTTGGATCAGAATTCAGTTTGTACCCTACTGCTGATGGTGCTGAAAGTGTTTGTGGATGTTCAACATTCTTTACGATAATACATACTGGATTCGGATTGGTAGACAATTCTACTATTCCTGATGCCTATTATCCTTTGACAATTACCATCAAACCAAAGTTCCAACAATATTCCACACGCCAAGAGTATTATTGTACAGTCAATTCCATTTCTTGTTCTAAACAACACTGTGGATGCAATTCTGGAGGAGTTAATCTTGATGAAAGTAGTTTTTTGTTTCCTCCCGTAAGCAATTCAATTAATAGATATGGAAGTACAAGAAGTGTTTCATTAGCCATAACAATTTCACAAAATATTTATTTAATAATTTTATTGATTTTCTTCTTTTTGTATTTACAATAAATCATAAATTCTATTTACATTAAAAATTTTACTTTTTAGAAAGAGAGTATGAGATTGCCAGATCAATGACACAATTTCAGCTCTTAAGAGAAAATGGCTAAACGTCACAAAGCTTGATCAGCAGAAAAGAAGCAAGTGCAAACAAATGATTGAGGAAAAGGATTCTATATTAAGCTGCTCCAAAATCGACCTTGTTACCAATGTGGAAGATGTAATTGCTTTCAGGGGATGATATTCCAAATATATTCCTCCTCCCTTACTGCTTTATTTCCAGTGAATAAGCAATTTTGAATGTACTTAGGACAATTATTACTGCTCAAAAGATAAATGGCCAATCAAAACTCATTCCAATCTATGGAGCTAATCTGTTCATATTTCAAAATGGCCAGTTTATGAAATCTAACTTAATAGTGGATAAATACTCTTCCATTCAATGGAGACAATCTACATTAACTAACATCAACGCACCAGGTGGTATTGCCATTCACAACCAAAACATCATCTTCTCAGATTCGTACAACAATCGAATACTTTCGAATGGAACAATTATCACAATTGCTGGAAATGGTTGTAGCGGTTACAATGGAGATAACATGTTAGCTACATCTGCTCAGATCCTAATGGCTTGGCAGTCAATTCTCTTGGTGAGATTCTAATTGATGACACGTATTACAATCGTATTCAAAAGATACTTTCGAATGGGACGATTATTACCGGTGATGAAACTTTCAATGGAGATGGTATTCTAGCAACGAGTGCCAATATTAAAAACCCAAATGATGTTGCAGTTGGTAAATTGGGAAGAAATTTACATTGCTGACAGCAACAATCGAATAAGAAAAATACTTTCGAATGGAATTATAACAACAATAGGAGGAACTGGCGCATGTGATTTCAATGGAGATGGCATGGATGCTACAACTTCCAATATGCTCTCCAACTGGTATTGTGATCAATTTGGTCAATTGTACATTGTTGATTTTATGAATGGAAGAATTCGTAAAATTTATACGAATGGAACCATTACAACAATTTTAATGGAGATGGAAAATTGGCATCCACTATGGAGCTAGTTATTGTACTGAAGTGATGGTAGGTCAGATATTGAAACAATCGAGTGGGGTACTGGATTATATTCACAAACAATTTGGGTAAGTTTTTGAAAATTCTATTGTAAATGTAAAATGGTAGAGTTATTCATAGAGATATCAAACCTAATGAATTAGCCGAGTTGGTATTGAGTATGTTGGAGAAGGATCCAGAGAAAAGACCGGATGCTAGCTCCATTTTGAAACATAGTTACTTTAAAAAGTAATTCGTTTAGTTTGTAAATTATTAAATTCTCTTGGGTCACTAAGTTTAGTGATTGAGAATTTATACCATTGATTGCATGGATTGAGAATCGGTCGTTGAATGTTGAGGAATATTTTGAACTGCTTTCTGATTCAAATTTTGGAATGTGTTGTGAACTTCAGTTAAAGATTCGGCTACTTGCTTCTCAACATGATCGAATAAATCCTCCGTAATAATATCAAAATCTGCATACTCATCTATTTGATTATTGAAAGAATCCAACTCTTTCACTAAGAGCTCAACATCTGATATAGAAACTCTAGAAAGAATAGTTCTATTTTCTGTGAATTGTTCCAAATATTTCGTCCAGATATCAAATGCCATTTCTTGCTTTTGTTTCTCAATCTTTGTCAGTTTCTTATCACTCTTTCTAATGCTCTTTACAAATTCAGCCTTTCCTTCTTCATTCAAATTCTTTCCAAACACCAATTTTCCATTCTCTATTAATTCTTTTGATTTTTCAAAGAGTTCTACTTGTACCTGGACAGATTGATTACCTAGTTCCTTATATTGTCTCACTTCTTCCAGGAAGTTGAAACAATCTTCAAGTTGACCATTACCTAAACAATAATTCTGGAAACGTTGCCTTTGAGCTGGATCCTTCATGGTATCTAGAACCATAACAGCATTAACAGTTTGGAGTTTGGTTTGATTGGCCGAAGAGGTCTTCAAGCTTATTGCAAATATCACAATAACCATTGGAATAACAATTAGAATGGACAATCCAAGCAATACCAATGACGTAATATTTGAATAGTATCCAACATGTGTTGCAATGATACTATGATTAAACAAATTATCAAGAAATTGTGAAAGATACATCTGATCATTTGCTTCAGCATTCATAAACTCTGAAGTGTTCATAAAGAACTGAGCTACTATCAAATTAGTCAATGGAGGTAGGTCTCTTGTTCCATTATTTCTGCCACCACCACCACCTGGCCTTCCTCCTCCTCCACCACCTCCTCCAGGAGGTCTATTTCCTCCTCCTCCACTGCCACCTTGATTGTAATATGAGCTATTTCTTAATTTATCACCCCAAGAACCAAGATTCATATTAGTTCCATTGAATGTCATATTGATGGTCAGTTCCCAAACGTTAAATATTTCCAAAGCTTGTAAAGCAGAGGTATTTCTAGAACCATTCAAATATTGGTAATTATCATCAAAAGTTGGAAAATTATCCAAAATATTTTGAATTGAGCTTGTGAATGTTCTCTTACTTTTCTGGTAGAGCTGCAGAGGATACCTTGCTTGTACTGAACCACGATTGAAAGCTCCCAATCTGACAGCTGTCTTCATGTCATTGTAAGAAGAAATTGCTGTAGCTCTAGAAGTCAAAAGCTCAGCAACATGATACTCACTCACAGAAATATATTGTAAAATAGTAACAGCTGCAATACAAAGCAATACCAAAATATTAACTACAAGTGCCAAAACTGACATTAAAGAAACTAAACTAAACTTGACTTGCTTATATCTTCTTGGTAGACAACAACACAACATACTACAACAACATCCGCATGAAACCTTAGCAACTTCCAAATGTTTAAACATTTGCGCAATAGCTGAAAGTATACAAAACACAACCATTGCAAAACATGAAGGTTCCTTCTCAATTGTACCAGTTGTTGAACTATGTGTGTCCTTTCCAATATCATTTTCATTGAGGTCTTTGATAGCTTTACCTTTTCTTTTCAGAGAATCCTTGTCTATGGTTGGTCCCAAACCAATCGGTGACATGGTTGTGCCTCTCATTCCACCATACATTATTTCATCAATGGCCATCACACTATCATCATCATTTCCAATTAGGGAATCACAACTGAGATCTGTTTGTTGAGAGGAAAAATCATCGGTCATGGACATGCCACGTTCTCTTGTTAGGTTGGGAGAGAGGAATTGGGAAGAGGAGGTTTGTTGTTGTATGTCAAAGGAAGCTCTGTTCATTGTTGAATTGATCATTGGATTAGTATTCGAAATCAAACTATTCGTTTCTGTCATTCCTACTGTGAAACCTTGCTGGCTGCTTTCAATCTTCTCCTCTGCATTACCAGAAGATCCTTCCAGAGGAATAATTGTATTCTCACTACTCGTTAACATCTAATTGTTTTTTTACAGAATGGATAATATTCAAAAGACCAAACTAATTGAATAAATGTTGTGTGGCTTACATATTCTTCATCCATGAAACAAATTACATCTCTTTCTTGTCGTTGTATTTTACAATCATAACGAAAATTGATTCTATTCTTGTCTGTGAGACTACATCTTGGGATTTTGACAACCTAAAAGAAGCAAAAGCATTTGGGATTAATTTTGTAACGAAAGCAACTCGAAATTCATTCACCTTCTCCAACAGAATAAAATACTACTAATTAGTTCAGTGTATTACTAGAAAGACTATTCGATACTTTGTTATGAAACTTAAAGCTCATTCAAAGACCATCATCCACATGTAAAACTGCATCAATCGATTCATAATATTATCCTACTAATAACCATACAAAAAAACGAAACACAATGCCAACAGTCCAACTTGAAGAAATTGAATTACAAGAATCAGGGCAAACCACTAGCACTCAAATAGTACAAAAGGTGGACGAAGTTGCTCTTCAATCAACATCCAATAATGTTGCCACTTCCAATTTGCTCGCTGTTCATAATGATTATACTCAATTGTCTAGTGTTGGATCCTCTGTTGGATCGTCAGTGATGAAATTTCAACAACAGGAATCTGCTATCATCACTGCTGGAAAGGCAAACTCAACTACTGGTCTATCTGTTGGTGAATCAAGATCTGCCATTTCAAAGAGAACTGCCACATCTCTGAAAACATCAAAAACTAAAACATCCAGAACTTCTACCTCTGTTAGGTTGCGTACTTGTTGTGGTACAATTGAATTGAACTGTGTGAGATTAATATCCTTAATCGGTATGATTGTTAATATTGTTGCATTCTTTGTCATTCTAGCAATGACCATCCAAACATTCGTAATTACTAGCGCTCCAGTTGTTGACATGTTGGTCAACTTTGGTGATGTTCAAATTGCTTATCAAGAAACTACAAGTAGTGTCTACAAGGGAGTCATTTTACAAAGCAATGATACTGCCTTTTCATGGTATTCCAATAAGGATCGATTGATAGATTCCTTAAACCAATTACTCACACTAGTTCCCGCAGGAACTGCCAATGGAATTCTGAATGGTTCCTCTGATGCACAATCTCTTCCAATCCTTGCCACTCACAAAGCAATCATTGATACTGTTGTCTACCTGGGTGATTACAATGCCAGCTCTGCAATGATGCAAAGGAACATGTCCAAATCGACAGAAAGATGGGACAGAGGAATGAAGTACTTTATGGAAACAGTTTCCAATTTGGCCCAAAGTCAATACAACAGTATCATTTCCTCCATGACAACCAATCTTGTGGTCATTAGTGTTTGTCTTGTGGTTGCAATTCCTGTATGCATTGGAATCTTTGTCATGACCATCAAGAGAGAAAGAGAACTCTCCGAAAAGTTGAAACATGCCAATATTGTTCTGCTGATGAATACTATGGCTGATCCATTCTTTAGGGATTTGTTTGGTGATTATTGCAATTTACACAAACCTTCCACATATTCTCGTTTCAAGTTACTAGAAAAGTTGCAACACATCAAGATGAGTATTAGAAAACTCATTACACTCTCATTGCATCGTGATGATGCCAATTCCAACTCGAGTTATGGCAATTTGGATTCACAAATATCATCATCAAGTTTAAGCTCCACCACAACAATAGGAGAAGGTGAAGAAGAAGTTTCCATCCGTAGAAAACTCTACAAACATTTGGTCGAATTGAATGATGAATTTGTTGAACCTCAGACTGTTGCTGCTTCCAAGAAGAAGAATTTGAATAATAATATTCATCTTGATGATTTCTTCAATATCAGACACATGATAGAAGACTTTGAACCAATAACAACAACAAACAATCATCATGGAGGAAATGACAATAATCATAAAGAATCAACACCACTCACTCCTCACACTCCCTTCTTCCAATTCCAATCCTCTCTGCTGACTGCCTCTGTAGCTGGAAGCTCTGCAGGTTCTTCATTGTTGGGTGGAAGTACATTGCTGGGTGCTGGAAATCAACAGGCCGGAACAAGTAGTAGCAGCTTTGGAAGTGTTATGAATGGAGGTAATAACAATAGAAAGAAACAAACCAAGCTAGAGGTCTATTCAAATTTGGTGGATCAGGCTCAAGGCTATGTCGGTGAAGGTTTGTTGCCAATTCACGATAAGTTTAAAAAGCAATTACAATTCCCTGCCAATACTAGAAAGCTCATGTTGAAGAATTATCGAATCATGTTCAAACAAGAGTTGGAAACGCTGTTGCAAACAAAGTAAATGTTGAAAGGTTTGATGATGAAGTATTTTTTTATTTTTGATAAATAAATTTTTAATTTCGTAACGGTAACTTATTTACAACACAGTAATATCCGTCCTCTGCTTGTAAACAACATTGATATCAAACAGTATTGATTAGTTGTTATGGAATTGCAGAGATAATGCGATATTAGACATGAAGATTCTCTGCAACTTGTTTGGAAGTTGGCATGAGGGCACTTGAAGGGCCATTCATTGTAGACAGTTGACCAAAACAAAACAATAAAAAACAAGATGAGCAACAACACAAACTCTTCTTGTGGTGCCTTTCTCTTCACTTCTATATCTGTTGAAAGCAATCCAGAGCAGCTGGGAAACATCTGTCCAGATACCATCATCAATTATCTTGTGGCAGCAATCATCTTGACATTGGCATTATTCTTCTTCACATCAAGTCTTATCATGCTAATCATTTATGGTTGGAAAAACAGACAAATGAAACAAAGTAAAATACAGACAGAGAGGTTGGCCTATGTTAGAGCAAGAAATCCAATCATCATGCTGGTTAATCTTTTCACTTCGGCTGGTATTGCAACATTTCACACTTTGCGATATCTGATTGGTAGAAAGATATTTCCATGCGGCTTGTTAAGTTTATCCTACTTTCTGATACCTCCTGTAATATTCCTTCCAACACTGTTAAGATCCTCACGAGCATTTAACATGGCAAGAATCAATTCTCTCATCACCAGTACAAGAAGAAGAAAGACACTCTCAATTGATAGTAATGGAAAGTCAATAATATTCGAACAAGCAATGCCAAACATTGCTTCTAATCCAACAACCATAGATGAAGAACTTGCAGATAGTAATACTAATTCTCCGAACAAACAATCAGAACAGCAACCACAACCAACAACACCTAGGAAAGTGGAATTTAAATTTGATATCAATGAACAACAACAACAACAACAACCAACAACAGAGAATACCTTCTCAGATACTGAATCGGATGTTGGAAGTCTATATGATATTGAAACTTCTATTAGCAAATCCATAATTAATCAGCTGAAAATTCTGAATATCCTAATTTCCAACAAATTCATATTCATCCTCTATTTTGCAGTGTTGAGCTGTCATGTACTATTGTGGTTAGTATTGGGTGGTATAGAAGAGGGAATCTATCAATCTAATCCATCACAATCAAGGATTTTTGCTGGTTTCCTCCACTTTACAAGTGGTTGTGTTGTGAATATTAATGGTGTGGTTGTAGTGATTTGTCAGGCAGTTCTCTACTTGATAGCTGAAATCATCTTGCTGATTTTGCACTTCATCTCTGAGAGGGATACTTACTACATTAAATTGGAAACATTCATAGTTGTTGGAATGCAAGTGGGAGTGACTCTGATATTTGGATTGAGTTATATTGGAGCCATCAATCGGTACACTGAATACTTCTATGCAGGTGGTAATATCATTGCTTCCTTTGCAGTTCTGGAATTGTTGGTGAGTAATTTCCTTCCTCTCGTCCTCTCCTATTATAATGATAGTAGAATTGTTTCGTCGAGGAAATCCACTGCTGCTGCATCAGAAACAATAAGGAGAATGACAATGGATGATACTCAACCACAACAAACATCACCTATTGCTGCTGATGATGAGGAGAATCAAATAGGAGGAATTTCTGATAATAAGGCAGAAGATAGAGGAAGTTTATATGGAATTTTGGATGCTGCTTCCACTTCTGCTATTCTCATCTTGTTGAGACACAAAAAGTATAGTGAGCAATTCTTATTGTATGCTCAGAGAAGTTATTGTCCTGAGAATGTATGTTTTTGTTATTAATTCAATATTTACACTATTAATTATAATAATCCATCTAAATATTAATAATATATAAATTCCGATACTGATAATGATAATAATGATGAAAATACTAAATAGATACTTTGTTGGAGAGATATCGAAGCCTACAAGAAAGTAAAGAAAGATGCAAGTAGGAGAAGAATTGGGCAATTCATCTTGGGAACCTACTTAATTCATCACTCACCATTAGAATTGAATATTAGCAAAGAGGATAAGAGGGTTCAAGAGATTGAACAAGTGCTGACGAACAAATCGCTTCCTCTCCGTGCCGATCTCTTCGATTTCCTCCAACTTCATTGTCTACTCAACATGTTGGATATTTTCGAGCGCTTAAAATCTAGTAATAAGGAAATTAGAGAGTATTTGAAAGGAAGTAAGGCAGCAACCCCCTCGACGGGTAATTTAAATTAAGCTCTCTCATGTAAATGGATGATTGGAGAAGATTTGGCTGTTTTTATTTTGAATTTTTAAATTGTTTAAAATGTTGTGAGTAAAGCATTACAAGAATTTTGATTGAAATATTTGCTTATTGTTCTTGTTTTTGTAAATGATTAAATTTTTGTCAGCAGAAAATAGTAATATAAAATTGCCAATCAAGACGCGACACCAGACATCTTCTCTCATAAAAAATCACTCTTGTCAAGTAAGGAGATTAGTATGAATTATTCCTTGATGAACTTTCAACAAATTCCAACGCAAACATTCTATCATCAATATGCAAAACATGCCTTTTGGGATCTTACAAAGCATAGATTCGTCCACATTACCCCACACACTTGCCATTCTAACATCCCTCACTATCTGATTCACCCAACAAACTCAAAAAAACAAATCATCTTGTTTATATATTGTAACACACAAAAGCATGACATTGGAAATTGTTTACTTTGGTATGGCAGGTCGTGGTGAAGTCTTGAAATTGATTGCTGAAGCAGGTCAGGTAGAATATGTTTTCACACCTGTTAAGTATGAAAATTGGTCGAGTTTGAAACCAAGTACTAGATATGGTCAACTTCCAATGTTGAAGATTAATCAAGATGTTACTCTCTATCAAACTATTTCAATAGCTAGATATTTGGCTCAAGAAGGTGGCTTGTATCCATCAGATCGAATTGAGGCAAGTTTATCTGAAGAATATGTTGCAGCTGTTGATGAGATTATCGCTGGATTTGTGACAGTTTTCTTTAAAACTCCTGAAGAAAAGAGACCTGAAGCATTGAAGAGTTTTAGTGAAGGCGTATTAAAGACAATTCTCAATGCCTTGGATAAGGTATTGGAAAAGAACGGAGATTACCATTTGATTAAGGGAAAGCTCACTTGGGCTGATTTGTTTCTCTTTGATATTGTTGGAAATTTGAGAATGAGAGGAATTGATATTTCATTTGCTTCTAATGTTGCCAAAATGATTGACAATATTAAGGAAAATAATGAAAGAATTAAATCATTCTTGGAGAGTGATAGAAATTTGAGAAAACCAACTCAATAAATCACAAATTAACCAATGATTGAATAATTATTTCTACACATTGAATTCTAATACAAGTGAAAGGTAAATGATAAATTTATTGAACAACAAAAGTCATCTTTTGAACATTACCAGTTGCAGAACTCTTCATCTTTTCAATAACTTCTTCCTTAATCTTTTCTCTTTCCAATACTTGATAAGAAATGATACCAAAGAATTTACCTAAAGTATTTCCGTTACCAGTCAAGATACCCTTATGCATGGCCTTGATGTTATCACCAGCATAGGTGGCGACAATATATTTGAAGAGAGTAATTCCTCCACTTTCCTTACATCTTACTCTGAAAATAATGTGGAACATGCTGTCATCAGTCAACTCTGGCATGAATTCCTTGAAACGAAGTCCCTTCTTGTAGAAGAGCATCTTGTTATTAATCTTTCCATCCTTATAATAGAGAACAATGTAGCTGGACTTCTTTTGACTGTGATTATGGAGCTTTTCATATTCTGAGAGGTCTGTATCACCATCATCAACATCCATATCCAAATTATCCATTGAATCATCAAATCCAAGTAATTCTTCACCTCTCAACATGTCAAATACTGAAAGGACATTGTAATCGACGTTAATTCCTTCAAATGATTGATAACGAGTACCAGATTCATCTTCTGTTGCAGTTGACTTGGAAAGGAGATCTTGCATGACCTTACTCATTTGAGAAAGTTCTGCATTTTTCTTTTCCTCTTCCTCTTTAGCTCTTCTACGTTCTTCCTCTTCCAATTCTGCCTTTCTTCTACGTTCTTCTTCCTCAATTTGGGCTTTTCTCTTTCTTTCGTCTTCTTCGAGTTGAGCTTTTCTTTTACGTTCGTCTTCTTCTAATTGTGCCTTTCTCTTTCTTTCATCTTCCTCTAATTGGGCTTTTCTCAAACGATCTTCTTCTTCCTTCTTCTTCCTGTCTTCTTCATCCTTCTTACGTCTGGCTTCCTCTTCTTGTCTTTTCTTTTCTTCTTGTTCTCTCCTCATCTTTTCTTCCAATTCTCTACGTTTACGTTCTTCTTCTTCCTTCTTGGCCAATTCAAGTTGAGAATTGTTGAGAGAGTTAATGAGATTTTGAATTTGATCTTCTAAATGTTTGACCTTTTCCTTGAGTTCATTAACTTGCTTTTCATTTTGATCTTTGGCAAGTGACAAATCAGTGAGGTTCTTCTTTTCCAATTCAGAAAACTTTTCAGTAATTTGCTTTTTCAATTCTTGATGAGAATATCTCAACTTGTCTTCAATAGTTGAGCAAACAGTACATTGAACCATTAATTCTTGATCTCCTGAATTGACAACTGAATTATTGACATCCTTATTCTTTGGTTCAGTTGGAACAATCCAATAAGCAGAATCCTCAAAGGTCTTTTCAGGACTCATCACAAAAAGCCACTTGTTATAGACGAATCCATGCAAGAAACCACCAGCAATTGATGTCACAACTGTAATACAGAGAGCACAGATTTGGAATCCCCACAAATTAGTATACTTGGATCCAAACATTGTCTTGGTATCATCGCCATAGATTTTTACCTTTGCTGCATTGTCAATGGCATTACCTGTGGCTACAATGCTAACCAAACCACCATACACACCAATCAATAAATGGGTTGAGAATACATTGGAAGTGTCGTAAATTCTCAAATGTTTGATGAGTGGTTGTAAGACACACAAACCCAATCCAGTCAATGCACCAGCAACAAGACCAATGGTTAAGGCACCTCCTGGTGAAACAATGACTGATTGAACGGAGGCCATTGAGATACCACCAACGATGGCTCCTCTCTGTAAATCTCTCATTGAGAATCTTCCTCTCAGCAAACGCATAACCACGAAATGGATAACACAACTTGCAGCCATAGCAATGAATGTGGTCATTTGAGCTCTGTATTGATATTGAGCATTGGAAATCAAAGCAGCATTGAAAGATGGCATCAACACCCACAATAAAACAGTTCCAATAATTGCAATCATGTCAGATGCCTTACTATGATGATTTTCAAATACCTTACTTTGGAAAACCGATGGTTTGTACAATGACCAAGAAGCTGCCAATCCATAACAAGCACCAAATACATGAATAAACATGGAACCACCATAATCAATAGCTCCCAATACCAAAATAATACAGAAATAATTCACACTATAAATGAAAACCTCTGAAAATGCCATTAAAATCAATTGAACTGGACTTGTTTTTCCAATCACACAACTTGTACTAATCAAAACAGCAAAAGCTCCATAAAAACCATGAACCAACCACTTCATATCCAAATAAATAACCGTATTAAATACAGTTTCATTCTTGGCATCTTTCAAAGTTGCATATTCCATAATCTTTGACCAAAATCCTTGAGCAATTATTGAGAATTGAAAACTCAAAGCTGCCAATAAAATTGTCATTCCAATCGTGTGATATTGAGCATTCTTAATGCAACTCATTGAAAGTCCTAATCCTAATAATGTCATCATGGCAACATCAATCAAATTCTTGTAATCACCAATTTGTGAGCTAGTGGAAGATGTTGGAAATTCAAAGAAAATCCAAAACATGCTCACATAGAATAATTCGAATAGAACAAGATAGAAAACGAATGAAAATTTTTCAATATCGTATTCTCTACTAGCTATCCATTCGGTAACTTTTTCCTTCACGGTCTTTTCTTCTTGTGGTTTCTTCTCCAAATCAAAATTAAAATTACTACTCGATTCTAATTGAATAGTCGATTCTCCTCCACCTTCTTTCTTCTTCATAGACGCTGTCAACCCTTTAATTTTCTTCACACCATAATAAATAAAACATCCGATCAAGTAAATAAAGTAAACGATTAGAAAAACGCTGGAAATTACAATTCCAGAAATGTAACGGTTCTTGTTGGTGGCAAGAGTCTCGGCGATTGTGCTGTTGGTAGAGTTCATCTCAAGTTAGTTGTTATTGGTACGGTAAAATGATTGATGAAAATGCCAAAGACAAGTTTCGTATTTTTTTTGTGGTTTCGAAAAGTTTCTTGTTTGTGAAAGAGGATTTTATTCACGTCTTCATATCAGCGGAGAAAGTTGACAATTTGGTTGTGGATTTGTCATTAGAGTCCATGTATGGAAACATGTTTTATATTGAAGAAGAGAATATTAGAAAGACAATAGTTTACAACAAAGACTATTTCACTGAACTAGCCGAAGATAACGAAGGAAACAAGTCGAAACATTTGATTCCTTTTTTACTGAAGTGAAATTCAAAGTTGTATGAACTGAAATCCGAAACCAATTCGAAACTCACAACATCTACAGTTCAGTCTGAAACACAAATTCTTTTAAATTGAATTACAATTCTTATTTATCATCACTTGTTGGTTGTTCGTGGAAAATTTGTTCCATAAATGAATTGCAATCACTTTTGAGAGTTGCACAATCGATGAATCCTAGAGAATTAGTTTTGGCATTTGGTCCATTTTGAGAGAAATCATGGAGGTTGACATTGAGGCAACTTTGCATGTGATCGATACAGAAACAGGACGAAACTGGGATGAATAAACTTTGCCATTGCCTTACGCATTGTTCTGTAGTTTGAGTTTCTAATAAGCATTCGATTAAATCATCATGTTCCTCATCGTAGAATGTATGAATAAGTGTGGAAAGTCTGGTTTGATTTTTCCTTTTAGATAATTTCTTGTCGTATTTCAAACTTTCAAATCCTAATGCTACATCATCCGATTCTTCATTTTCTGGTTTTTCTTCCTTCTTAGTTTCCAATAATTGAGAAGAAACATTCTCACTTGCTTCTCTATTTTGCATATTTTTCATTTCATCTTGCTTAATTCTATTCATAATTGTCAATTCTCTATAAAAGGTATTATACATTGAATTGGGTGTGTTCCATTCCCTAAATGATTTGGCAAATTTTGAGAAACGAGCCATCGTATTGACATCATTTCTGAAACATTTCAAAACTTTGGTGTGAATTGCCTTAAACATTGAAAATTTAGCTGCCTTTGCACGCATCAATTTCGATTGAGTTAACATTAATTGAATTTCCTCAGCAGTTGGCAAGCACGACTGTTCCTCAGGTTTAATCTTTTCAGCTAATTGTTGTGTAACTGCAGCTAGTGTTGTTGGTTCTTCAACATTGACATGATTGGCAAGTGTCATTTTGGAAATAATTGTTTCAGTTTCATGTGAATTTCTCTTTTTTCGGAATCCTTGTTCTCTCGATTGTTCATCTTCCAAAGCTCGAAACGTTTCCGAAAGTTCACATGATTTCTTCAATGCCAACAAGACATCCTCAGGTACTTGTGATTGTAATATTAAATTATGATTTAAATACTTGTTGTTACATTGATAAACTGCTGATAGATAGGAAATTAATAATTTCTTAGATAAATTATCACTAGATGACATTCTATATGATGATGATGTTTAATATTTAGATGATGTTGATTACTATTGTGTTGTTGATGGAAATTATTTGCTATTAAAAATTAAATATTGATGCGGAGAAATAATGATTATATTCAATCAATACTATCAATGATAACAATATTATTCCGATGGTTAAACTCTGTGATGATGCAACTAGGTTTCACACACTCAAAGAGTATTATTGATTATTTGATGTTGTCGTAATTTTTTCCGAATGCTTTTTGATTGAATTACGGCTAAACATAAACACTTCCAAATAAACTTAGTTGGTTGAAACGATTGATAACAACTATTTTGAAGACTAGAAATGGAAGCAGCGATAGATCAGTTGGTTAGATCGTAAGCCTAACACGCTTAAGGTCGCGGGTTCAAGCCCCGCTCGCTGTAAACTTATGCATTTTTACAAAAAGTACACAACATTATAAATATTAAATTACATTTTTGAATTAATCTAACAATAACTGATGTAATTTCCATTTGTGCAAATTTATTTTTTTTAAAATTTGATTTTGATTTAAATACATTTGAGGATCCTCTGCAATTTTTCAACACTAAATCTTAATTACTGAACTGGTCATTCTTCTCGATAACACCTGCATAGCAACCTCAGAAGCTGGATCAATACTTTCCTCAGATTTTGGAATTTCCGATATTCCCAATTGAAGTTGTTTCTCCACAAGTTTCTTATAAACTCCTCCTTCTCTATTCATCAATTCATTATGAGAACCTGCCTCTGTAACCTCTCCATCAACCATTACAACAATCTTATCACAATTTCTAATGGTGGACAAACGATGAGCAACACAGATTGTGGTCCTTCCTTTCATGAGTGTATCCAATGCTGATTGGACTAAACCTTCCGATTCTGTATCGAGGGCACTGGTTGCTTCATCTAATAGTAATACTAATGGATTTTGTAAAACAGCACGTGCAATGGCAATTCTTTGCTTTTGTCCACCACTTAGTGAAATACCCTTTTCTCCTAATTTGGTATTATAGCCATCTGGTAGTTCCATAATGAAATGATGACAGTTGGCAGTTCTAGCAGCTCTTTCAATATCTTCCAAAGTGACATTTTCAATACCAACAGCATAGGCAATATTTTCCTTAATGGAACAACTAAAAAGCACTGGTTCCTGAGTTACAATTCCCAAGGCATGCTTATGAAGCCAAATAGGATCAATTTCCTTAACATCTACACCATCCAATAATATATTTCCTCCTTTAGTTTCGTAAAATCTTTCTAATAATGAAACGATTGTTGTTTTACCAGAACCTGATGGACCAACGAGTGCAACTGAAGTTCCTGCTTTGATATCGAGTGAGAACTTTTCTAAAACTCGAACATCACTTCTGGATGGATAGACGAAAGAAATATTTTCAAATTTGATTGATCCTTTTAAGGAAGGAATTGTTTTTCCTCCCTTAAATGGAATTTCTGGAGTTCTCTTCATGACACGAAGTAAATTTTTCATGGAAACGAAAGCTCCAATGATATTTGGGAGAACTATTCCTGCCTCAGTCATGCCAAAGACACTTTGAAAAGATTACAAAAATTTAAAGTTTCGAATAATGAAAACTTACGAATAAACAATGGTACCAAATGTTTTCATTAATTCACCAACTGTTAATTTGCCATCTGCAACCATATGTCCTCTAAAATTATAAGAAAATACAAGAGTTTAAGTTACTTTCCATTTTTGAAAAATATTAGAAACTTACCCATACTAGGAAAATGTCAACAAAATTAAAAAATCAATATTTGAAATACTTACCCACCATGCAAGAGCATTTGTTCCCCACATGACTGCTGAGAAAGATCCCCAAGCAGCTCCATCAAAACACGATCTGATAAATCCAAAAAATTGTGTCCTCTTGAAATTACCAGCAAATCTTTCTTGTTCCTTTTCTATTTGGTTTCAAAATTCATAATCAATCGAAACACATGTGAATAGTTATAAAACATGACATGTGGCAGTGAAATTTCATATTAATTGAACTAGTCAACTGAAATTTTTCAAAATACTCAAAACATACCTTCACAACCCATGCTTCTCACAGTTCTAATACTTGAAATTACTTCACTGGCAATGATTGAACTCTGTTCATTGACAGTATTTGCCTTTCCATCAAAAATCTGAACAAACTTTGCTAAAATTCCATAACCAACAATCATGAGCGGACTTGTGGAAATCATAATCAAGGTCAATTCCCAAGTTGTGGCAAAAGCCAAAGCAACGCCAAGAATGAATTGAGTGACGTTTTGTACAAAGCTAGCCAGCTTGTAGGAGAGTGCATCCTGAATTTTGTAAATGTCTTCACTCAGTGGAAGTGTCAATTGACCTGTTTGTTTAATGTCAAAAAATCCAATTTCTTGTTTTGTGAGCGAATTAAAATAGGCTCTTCTTAGTGAGATTCCAATACGTTGTACAGCCCATCCCAAGAAGAAATAAGTCATCAAACTGGCGATACCTGAGCAACCAGCAACAATTGCAAAATTGATGGCAACTCGATTAACATTCGTCTTGATTTCGTCTGAAGTAGGATAAACTCCATTCTTTGCCTGGAATACATTCAACATATCTCCAAGAACGTATTGAAAAACCATTGGAATAACACCTCTACCAGCAGCTCCTATTAATCCAAAAAAGATTAGTATGAAATTCCAACCAATTATTCTAAAGATGGTGAAATACGAAAGTACGCCAAGTTTAGGTTCTCGAGTGTCGACTATTTTTCGTTCAGTTTCGATTATTTCCTTCTTATTTGGCTTGGTTTCGGTTGTTGTGGAGGAAGATGTTGCTGTTGCTGGAGTTTTCTTGAAAGGATTCAAGCTGAATCGTCTAGAATCGTTAGACGAAACACTTGTTGTAGGCGAAAGTTCAGCATCAGATGATTGTACACTGAGAGAAGAACTTTTACGACCTACAACTGGTAATTCATTAGAAAGCTCTGGATTATTCTTGAATAAATGTTGTTGGGCAGCATTAACATAATTAGGAGAAGTCGAAACTAAACTACTAGACGAATTTTGTTGTTGATAATCTACAGTTCCAAGATTGTTGGATTGAGTTGTTGCATCAGAGTTTCCTCTATTTCTGAAGGAAGGCATTTTGTAATGTTACGGTTAATAATTGGGATGATACCAAATACAAACGAAACGTGTGAACTATTCGAAATCTGTTCACCACAGTGCTAAAACAAGCGGTTCACGGGAGAAATGGTAATATACTATAATACAATAATATCCTGTGATGAAATATTAGTACTATTCAATGATAAACAGTTATTGGAAACTATTAGAATCTTTCCTCTACTAGTACACCTTTGATGAGATCTGCAGGTATTTGTTTTTTATGCTTGATTGCTTGAATCGCAGACAAAAATCACAAACAACAACAGGGAAGTGCGATTTAAAGCATCATGCAAATCTTGTGCTGGAATGCAGACGAAATCAGCAGAAAGTCGATAAAGAAAGACCATCGTCGTCTTTATTTTTATTGTAACAGGACGCTCACAACTTCTATCAAGGATTACGCAACCATTTTTGGATCTGGTACTGAGCGGCTTGAGGCCCATAGTTCGAAAGGAAAATTTGTAGTGGAAATCACATGAAATGGAAAATAGATGAATGATTTGTTTGAGGTACAAGTGGTGTTTATGGAAAGATAACAAATATCATGGCATTGGTACAATTGGTTCTTTGGAAAGAATGTGAAAAAGTATTCTAATTGTAAGAAGAAACTATTCACTGTAAATTGATACAATATTAGATACAAGTATTAGATTGATGTGATTAATAGATGATTCAATGTTTTTGCATGTTAATTCCCAAATCGTTACAAAATGAATAATTTAAATAAGTCGAAAATTAAAAAATTGATTATTGAAGAGTCCATTCGAACAATTAACCAAACCGTTAAACACTCTCATTTGGAAATTGGCAAAATATTGAAAAAGGTAAAGATATTTAATTCTTGTAATCATATGGAGTGGTATTTGATTGAGTTTCCAACATTTGACTTGACATTGAACTGGCAGGCATGACAGCATCTTCCTTCTTTTCATAATTTCTCATCATGATTAAAAGTGAATCAATAACTGAGAGAGCTCCAAAAACACAACAGACAATCATTGAAGAAAACCACAATGTAACAGTTTCACTCTGTAAACTCACACTTGCTTCTCCTCTTACAACAGCACCTGAGAGAATGCTACTCATTAGAGAAGTGCCAACCGTGGCCACACTTGAAACCACATAAGCCAAACATAAGGATTTGTGAGTGAGATTGAAAATCTTCAGACAACAGGATCTGCAACAAGCTTTGGACAGCACATTGTACGCCTTAAAGTTACGTTCACGAATAATTCTCATCAGAATTTGATCATAGAAGAAGAGTGCAGAGAGGATGACTGTGAGAAGGGAGAAGAATAATGGAATTGCCATCAAGATGTAATATTCAATATTGGCGGAGGTTGATTGAACCTTAACAGCATAGTAGGAAACTGAGGAGATTTGCAATAAGGAAGATAATAAGGAGAGAACAAAGGAGGTTCCCGAAATGATTCCCAATATAATTTTACCAGCTTTTGATGCTTTTCCCATGATGATGATGATGTTATAACTCTATGATGATGCTGAAGATGTTTTTCTTTAAATAACGCTTATTAAGCACAAAATATCAAGCCAAATAAATTATTCAAGAGGAAGTGGGTTGGTTGTTATTGTATGAAAGAGATCACAAGCAATAACTCTTCGAGTGGTGCCCTTGAAAGAACAATTAAGGTATTTTTTCTGGTAATTTAATTTTCACATGCTTGTGAATCAATTGAAAATTAAAACCTGATTCTTCTCACAATCCACAAGATATAATTCTCCAGTCTTGTCATTGATGCACATTCCATCGGGCAGTTCAAAATTTTCCTCAACTTGTGAATCATTCTTAAAAGTTCGTACAGTTTTAACATTCTTTCCTTCAGAATCCATAATGGCAATGGTTGAGGTTCCTTCACTAACAAAGATATGTCTCTTAACTGGATCAAACATGACATAGGAAGGACACTGAGTGTGTAAGCTCTTCTTACTAACGAGAACATCACCAACTTTGTAAAGAAAGTGAAGATTAGGGGCAAAGGATGGGTTATGCTCTATCATAATAATGTCTTCGTTTTGGTCTAGGCAAATTCCAATAGGTTGTCTTAATGAACTGTGTAAATACTCATCTGCATAATCATTGTCCTCTTGCACTAAATGAGATGGGATAAATGTTGTGAAAGTTTCAATTAGAGAGCCATCACTCGATGCAAATGTTAGGATTTTGTTATTGCCTGTATCACACAAGAGAATGATTGCATTCTCATCCATTTTACACTTTTCATTCTTATACTTGTTCGAATACGAAACAGCAATACCACTAGGCAATTCAAGTTCATATTCCTCATCATTTGTCTCTCCAATTTTCCAGACATATCGCAATGCTTTACCTTCAAGAGCATCACCAATCATTTCAGCCAAATCAAACTTGTATAAAAATCCAGACTCTACACTCAAATATAAATATTCCTTCTCCCTTCTCTTATCCATTTCAATGGCCAAATATCTCGTGACGTGACCAATCTTGATAGTACACTTTAATTCACAACTCTCCAAATCCAATATCTGCAATGATTCATTCTCCGAATCACTCACAATAATACACCCACTCAAATGAGAAATCTTTACATCATACGGAAGGAGAAATCCAGATCGAATCAAACTCTTCTTCTCAAACAAGGTAGAATACGGCAGAGGATGATACAATTTTCGGAACAAGAGTTTTGATTTTAGAAAATTAAAACTTGTTGTTTGCCGTAATGGTGCATCTCCGACCATGAGAGTAGTAGTTTTAGATGTATTTTCATTATTTAATAACTGTTCCGATTCTTGATAATGATGAGTAGTTAGTTGATCATGAGTAGACATTTTTTAAAGTTTGTATTTGTATTTTAAAATTGATAGTTTAAACTGAATTGAAATGTTGTTGAGGTGAATTTGGAATGTGAAGTTTTGAACAGAGAACCAATAATAATTAACGATTCATATTCAAAGATGAACCAAAGACAATTTTAGGCATTTTTTATAAAATTATTTTAATTTATTAAAATTGAATTTAATCTATGAGAATTAAGATTCCTTTAAGATTTTTTGAATATTGATTGGCCAAATTGATAAAAATATGAAAATATCAGAGAATGATTACTGACATTTCCAATGGTATGAAGGAAAAGTTTATTACAGTTTGGACGAACTTCAGAACGCCCCCGATTCTCCTTCACTATCACTGAAGCATTTGATTAGTGACATTTCTCTTCAAATTCACTTGACAGCTCTCCCACCCAACAATTTCAATGTAAGGAAAAAAAACAAATTGACAATCAAATAAAAACATCAAGTCCTGCAAACTAATAACAAGCTCATCAATTAACTGAAACATTCCTTTAAAAACATAAAGAAGAATTTTCAAAAACAACAAATCTGTCAGCCTTCAGTTAGAGAATGGCTTTTCATAAAAAAAAATTCAACATGCCAAATCCCATTAAATTCCACTCACAAAGCGAAAGTTCTTCCACCTCAGAACAACACCATCACCACCACTTACCTCCTCAGCAGCAACAGCAACAACAACAAACTTTAGGCTCTTCAACACCAATTCCCCCGCCAAAACCAGCACATCTCTCTGCTAGTAGCACAACCAACAGTAATACAACAACGACGACGCAGCAGCTGTTGCAGGCCAATTTTACAGTGAATAGAACAACAACAACAGCAAATAATAATGGCGCCAAACAAAGTACTTCGCCAACTTCTTCTTCTTTGCAACATGTTGTAGGAAGTAATAATACAATTACAAATACAAATAATAATTCGAGTAGTAGTGGAACGAATGGATCGCCTTCTCCATTGTCTTCTTTCCAAGATAATGGTGAAAATACTCCAATAATTCATACACCAACACCACAACCACAACAACATACCACAACATCACATTCCTTTGGATTTAGTATTATTGGAAATAGGAGAGGATCTACATCCCAATCTTCGGGTTCTAGAAATTCTGTAAAATCTCCTATTACCAATCAATTTATTCAACATGCTGATAATACTTTCCCAATAACAGAGGGAAATAATTCTCTATTATCTTCTTGGACTTGTAAACATAAAGGACCAGTATTGGTGGTGAGAGTTTCGAGAATTGAACATTTAAATGTTTATCCTTCATCAGCAGAGAAGGCAAATAATTCATCATCCACAACATCTTCCAATGCTTCGACACCAGCCACTCCTCAGAATAAGCAAACTCCAACAACATCCAATAATAATAATAATACTTCATCAACAACATCAGCTGTAACAACCAGTTCAACAACATCGAGTAGTAGTACCAGTGGTTTTGTTTCAACCAATGAAAAGTTTAGTAATTACAATCCTCATGTTGTTGTTGGTTATGGAAGATTAAAGACATTGAAGAATGATTCGGAAGATGCCATTCCAATCTTTGAACAAAGGACAAAAACCTTGCAGAGTGAAGTCTTTCCAATCTATAATACTGTCTTTGAGTTTCCATTGCTCACTATGGACTTTTCAGCTAGGGGAAAGAAATTATCAGAGCTAGTAAAGAACTTCCCTGATCAACTGTTTTCCTCCGAGGCACACCAACATGCTGACAGTGATGCACACATTGAGGATACTACAGTATTATCTTTCAAGGTTTTATCTCACAATCGTTACAAGAAGAAACAGGAATCTGTAATTGCTGTCGCAGAATTAAATTTGGGAGATTTACCTCACGTTACCAATGATGAAAAGATTTTCCTAAGAATGAGAAAACCTGGTGAACCTTTGAGAAAATCAGACATGATTAATGGAGGAGAGGTATTACCAGAAAATCAACCAATTTTACATTTGGATGTCAAAGTTGTATGGAATAATGAAATATACAAATCAATCGGAGACGATGAATCTTCAACTTCATATGATAAGTGGAATGACATTCTTACTCAATTCTACATTCAGGATATGGGAGATGATGAATTTGATAATGATCCCATGCTAGCTAGGAGACAAGAAGACATGTTCAAATCAATGGACCGACTCATGAATCAATGTGAGTTGTTAAAACTTGTAACCTTCCCTCTTCCACACACATGGCACATGATTGGTAAGCAAGACAAACTCATTCTTGTCTCACCAACACAACTTACCAATGAGGAAATCTTTACCGATAACATTAATGTTTATTATGTATACGAGAGCAATACTAAAAAAGTATTGGAAGAAATGCTTAAAAATAGTGAAAAAAGATCCTACTTTGGTTTGGCAATGCCACTTCACAATTTTAAAATGCTGTCAAATTGGCAAGGATACAGATTTGCATGTTATTACTCACTTTATAACAAGATTTATCATCAAAATGTTATTGGAATTCAGACCAAGATTGGTGTCAGCTATATTCTTCAATATGTTTCCAATTGTGGCTCATTTAATCAACCTGTGTTTGATAAAATGTTGGAAAGACTTACCATCCTTCCGTCAGTCTACTCCAAAGATCTGGAAAGAGGAAAGATTTGGTGTGGTGCTGTTCCTTGTGCATGGAGAGGAGTTTCCAAAGATTCAATCATTCACTTGTACTCTCCTTATCAATGTAATGGAAAATTGAATTGTACCGATCAAATCATGCTTCAACCATTTGTCAACAACATGTCCACTATGGAGAGAATAAGATTTATTTTGAAAAAGTATATGGATGATGCTGACTTTGAAGGATTGGAAATTCTACATGGTCCACTAGCTACCGATTTGAATGATCACACAGATAGTGTCATGTATGAGGAGTATAATCATTATTCGGATTTGGAACAATTGGAATCTTCAGAGAATGTTGATCATACATTTGAGCCACCATTCTGGATCAATAGAAGAAAAGCACTCCCTGATAATCTTAACATTTCCAAAGATAACCTTGAGGAGGCTTCTACCATTACTTTTGCTGTGAAAATGAAGGCCAAACCACCAACAAACACCTACGATGTACCTCCACCATCTTCCTTCTGCAATTCTTACTACATCTACCAAAAGACTGTAGTAATGAAAATGAAAAATGTTGACTATCAACTTAACATTAGTTACAAAACAACACTCAACAGCCATCTAGTTTCAGAAGGAGCTTTTAACAGACTAGTTCAATCCATCAGATTGACCTAAATAAATTTAGAATCTTGCTAGGAATAACCTTTTATTTATCAGCAAGAATAACATAAGGTATAACTCAAATCAAGAATATCCAATTCCATTTCATGAAGTTTCTTGGCTCCTTCATTATCAATCTGAGTGTGAGTAGCAACAAGTTCCTTCAATTGTTTCATTCCACTAATTAGCTGGGCTTCTTCATTACTTATTCTATTTTGACTTATATTAAGCTTTGTCAATAGTGGAAGTTCAATAATCGATTTAATTCCTTCATTTTGAATGCTATTTCGGGTAAGGTTTAGTTCTGTTAAATTCTCAAGTTGACTCACTGATTTAGCTCCTTTATCTTGAATATAATTGGCAAGTAAGTTTAGTTTTTTTAATTGAGATAGTTCACCCAAATATTGAGCACCTTTGCATGCTATCCGATTGTCATTCAAATCAAGAATGGTCAATTGTTTTAATTTACTTATTGATCTAGCTCCTTCTTCTGTTATAAAATTGCTAGCAATAGAAAGATTGGTCAATTTACTCAATTCACCAATGTACGCGGCTCCTAAATCTCCAATTCCATTGAAATTAATATTTAAAACAGTCAACTGAGTCAATTTACAGATTGATTCAGCTCCTTCGTGTGAGAGAAAATTCTCTGCCACATTAAGTTCCGTTAATGTGGTCAATTGGCCAATAATCTCGGCTCCTGCATCATGAAGTCTGTTAAATCCAATAGAAAGTTTGGTCAACCTATTCATAGAGCAAAGAAAAACATTCCATTTATCTAACTTTTTCACAACTGATAATCCAAATTTAACATTTTCTAAACATTTCAGTAGTTGACTATTTGTTTGTTGGTGCAGCACATCTTCATCTTTTAATTGCTCATTGAAAAATATTGAAAGTTTAGAATGGTTTCGGATAACATTCATCCACTGTTTGTTTATCAGTGCACAGCTCTTGATAACAAATCGAGCATCATCAAAGAAAGACAATATTTCATAACAAACATCATCAGAAAATATATCGTCTAAACTTTGTTTCGTCATTTTTTATTCTTAATTTAAAATCAATAAAGCACTATATCAAAAATTTGAAAATTCACAACATTTTGAACTTCTAATGAACAATTTCAGTTCTATGCAACTCCTTAAATGAGTCAACTTTCATTCCTCACTGATAGTTGCCCACATCAAGAAAGTGGAAAATATGATCACTGATAGTTGCCCACTGTATGGAAAGTATGATATTGACAAGGTAAAGGTTTTACAATGCAATTCAGAGACGTTTCGAATTTTCGATTTTTTGAATATTAAAAAAATGCAATTAAACAGTGATCAATGTTGCGTAACCTTTCCTCTCGATCTCACCATCTCTTCCGAACTTGTCATGAGCAAACTTCGAGATATTCCACCAAAAGAAAAATCCACCAAAATTACACAACCAATTTTTACCTTTATTGAAAATAGAAAGTATTATCCATTGTCTTTTAAGCAAGTGGTGATAACGGAGAATTTAGATGTAATTCGTGATCGTAAATTTATTATTCACGAAATGGTTGAATATTACAACAAATGTAAAAGTCAGTTGATTGGTATTTGGCGTGAGGTTGTGAGCTATTTGAAATTGTGGAATGAAAGAGAATTTGTATTGGAAATGATGAAGAAATTTGGTTACTTGTTGGATGAGTTTGTAAAGAAGGAGGAGTTTTTGGAGGATCGAGAGATTATTCTATATTCTATTAGATCATGTTATGGCAATTATTCGATTGTGAAGGAAAAATTTAGAAATGATAAGGAAATTACAATGATTGCAGTTGGCCAATCACCAGATTTATTAAGATATGCATCTGAAGCAATGAAAGCTGATAGAGATGTTGTAAAAATTGCCTTATTGCAGAGTGGATACGCTTTCAAATATATTTCAGAAGAAGTGAAGAAGGATCGAGAGTTTATTTCATCCATTTTCAATCACAATAAGGATATGATTGAATACATTTATTCCTTTTGAATTAACTGAAAAGAAACCAGCAACTTTTCAACCTTTGGAATCAATTGGTTAGTTACGGAACCACATATTCCAATTAAAAGTGAAGAGCATTTTAGTGATAATTTCTAACACGCTTTCCATTCAGTAATTATAAAACAACACATAAAGATGATGATGGTTGTTTGAAAATTGTGGAATTCATCAAATGGTGATAAATTGTCTCATTTTCTTCCCTCAAACAAACATCAAGAGGCGTCTCATTCTTTTCATTCTTCAATGACAAATCGAAAAAGTAGATCCTTTCTTTGGGTGGTAAATCTTTCAAACTATTCTCAATTGAAACCAGTAAAGATTTTTTACCATAATTGCAGAGATAGTGTGCCAATGTTGATCCGTTCATCATTTTGTGGTTCATTGAAATCTTGTACTTGATTAGTAAATCCACCTTTCCAAATGTCTTGATAAATGGAACAAGAGCATTCAATCCATCAACCTTATTAACAACCGAGAAGAGTTCATTCATTTCAGCTGTAACTGTTTTAGTATTTCCCATAGCCAAATAGTGTATAATAAATTCTACAGTTGGTGGTTCTGATTGAGTAAGTGCATAATTAATGATGTTTCTTCCTCGCATGTCCAATGTTTTGGTATCCAAGCTCAAATAGGAATAATGATGTAGAAAGAAATAGATATTCCTCAATTGTTGATGAAATGCGTGTGTCTTTTCTTTGTTTGTGAGGAATTTCAGTCTATACTGTTCCAGACGATTCCTTCTCAGATTATATTTGGAAATTAATTCTTCAAAGTGAAATTTCATGACCAATTCCAAGTCCTTTGTTTCGTCCAATAAAATACAAGCTCGAGTATATGAATCAAACTCTAATTCAACATTTGGAAGTACCTCTCTATACATTTCCTTCTCCATTCTGAGTTTCTCTTCTTTATCCGAAACTCCATAATCAGATGAAGTATCTGGAAATGATACTACCTTCTTCAATTGAGAAAAACACTTTAAAACACAAAGAGAACTGATTTTCGTTTCTCTTTCATAATTTCCAGACGAATTAATATTGAACTGAGCTAGAGAAACTTGTTCAATTCCACATTTTTCAATTCCCTTCCTTAAATATTGTAAACTTTCAAAATCTTTCAATAAACAACTTTCTAACACGAATCCACATTCAGAAAATGGTTCACTCCTTCTAGGAAACATATCAATAGATATTTTAAAGGTACAATTCACAAACGAAAGCTTTCGAACAGTTCCTCCCCATTCAGAAATCAATAAAAAGAATAATGGATCATTAAACTCCATATTCTTCAATATCAATTTATCCAATTTTCTAAAATTCTTCAACACTGTTCGAAAGAATAAAAACCAATCAGCTGCTTTTTTCTGCTTGAAAGTTCTCTCAACCAACATGAATAGTATTTTGGTTCCATTTTGGGAAGTCTTTCCATTTCAATTTTCATCACATCACGAAAATATTAATTTAAGATTTAATATTATTCAAAATATACCAACCTCCTTTCCATTATCATCATCTATACGATCAATCATCATATTATTATACGAATATACAAAAGTATCATCCCAATGCAATTCCGAACACTCCTCTTGCATGCATTCCTTACACAATTCCAACCAACTCGATGAAACTCTTTGTAATTGGAAAAGATAAGGAATTGGTGGCAAAAACGACAAGATACTCTGAAATACATCAAAGCAAAGTTTGTTGAATGGATTTTCTGGCATTTTTTTTTTTGTAAACTTTACAAAAAATTCAAAAGTTCAATACATGAAAAATATTATTAACCTGTTATTTACTTAATAATTAGAATTTTCAAATTCTTAAAAAGATAACAAGTTTGCAATTTTATATTTCAAATTAATTTGAAAAAAAAAATGCACGCATTATCAACATCATTTCTTCCCATTCACGAGATGATCAAGTGTAGAAGAGTAAATTCTCTATGGAAACATAGTGTGCATTCCGATCAACCATTTTGGAAGAGCATGTTTGTAAATTATTATGAAATTGATCAATATTTTCATTACGATGATGAAGATGAAGATAATAGGGTTCATTCTTGTTGGTTATACAAATTATTAAGAATTTTGGCTAAAATTCCAAAAAAGCAAATTAATGATCATGATGAAGTGTTTAATCCAAATAGCTTGGAATGTGTGAAGAATTACGAATCACTATTTTCCAAAGTATATCCTTATGATTATTGTTCATCTGCTATGGTTGTGAATGATGAACAAAAGGTCTCTTTTAAATTTAATGAGGAAATTTCAAAAACGAGTGTTCTTGAAGTGTTGGATCACTTTTTGATTGTAATTATTTATGATGCATTGACACTCTCTGGATATACACCAAATTTACTAATCGACAAATTAATGGTTCAGCTCTATGATTTTGAGCTTACTAAGCATGTTGTAAAAACCATTCCATTATTGACATTTCTGACCTGCTTTTTTAAAGTGGAGAGTTATAGAAATAATTGCTTCAAGCTTGCTAAAAAACTATTCTCTGTCGAGTGTCTTGATAATGTTTGTGTTGGATTGAATATGGAAAACTTTGTGGGGCTGATAGAAATTGGAGAAATGACAAATCCAAATACAACTTTTATTGATGAGGAATTATTGGAAGACCCATGTTCTGAATTTCGATTATCATTATGTGAAGGAAGCATCATTCCATCCTACTTTAATGCTGGTGGAGGATGGATTGACAGTGCAGATACCAGCTTGCGAGTCAATTCTCAAGATGGATCCATAGTAGATGTTGAAAGACTGTCAACAAGACAATTTTACTAATCCCTTAAACAATGTTATATTAGTGACCTTTCCACTCTCACCTGAGGTGCAGTCATTTAGGAGTGAAAATACAGTGGATACTTCTTTCGTTCCAACCTTTTACACAAAATTTCTCAATGAAACAAACAGCTCTTTGAATTCAAATGTACCAATCTCCACATTCCTATCCAAATCATCGAATGTATTGAGAAAACCAAAGTACTATCCAGATAATGTTGAGATGATGTGAAATTCAGAGTTTCATCAAGTGAAATAGACACCAAAAATTTACTGATAACTACAAATTATTTAATATTTAACTGTAGTACGTATTGTTTTTGTAAACTTGCAATCACTCAATATGGAAAGGCTGGTCAATCGTACAATACATTAAATCTATGCTGGAATGTTTCTGTGAAAGTGATCTATTCCCTTCAGCTGTCACTTTATGAAGATGCTTGAGTATTATTTTGAACAAGCAAGTCAACAAAGCGTTAGTCTCACAAACTATTGCGCTACTATCGTGAAAAAATGCTCAAATTGACAATTGGCAGTTTGTTGTTGCTTGCCATCTTTGTTTGCACAGTATCTCTTTGTGAAGCAAAGACTGTATCGCTCAGACATTCTCATCATAAAGATGGAGCTTTAACTATCATTATTGATATGGGTGGAGAAGGTAAAAAGTCAAAGGAAACAAAAGAAACTAAAACCAAAGAAACTAAAGAAACTGAAGAAACTAAACCAAAGTTGGACGATACTACAAAGGACATTGTAGCACAAGTTTCAAAGGCCATCTCCAAGGAAGAAGAAAAGAAACTCGCCGAATCCTTGTTGACTCTTGGTAATGAGCTCACCCAAGTAAGTTATTTTCTATTTCACACCAATTATAATAATAACTATGGAAATTTAACCGCAATGTATAAATGTACATGTTATCCAACCACCACCAAACAACAACAACAACAACAATAATTGGTCATCATGACGCGATTCTAATTTTCATGTGAACAAATAGATTGCCAAGTTAATTCCTGGAAAGGACAGTGAACAAAAATTATTGAGAGATCAACTCTTGTCTGTTGCCAGTGAAATGGCAAAGGAAGCTGAAAAACCTTCCTTCATGATCTTGCAATCCTCCATGGCTATGGTCGTTCAAGATAAACAAAATCAACAAAATGCTGCAGCTGACAGTAGTAGTAGTAGTAGTGGAGCCCAAACCATGTTTATTGGTGCTGCTATTGAAGGTCTCAGTCTTGGAATGAATGCCATTGATGGTATTGGTACCTATTCTACATCTGTTAGTAAGATTGGTCAATGGGTTAAAGGAAAGGCTGCTGATAAGTTGGATAAGTGGGGTTTACAATCTGCTGCTAGCATTGCTAGAAATACTGGTAAATCAATCGATGGTTTTGCTCAAAAGGTTGCTCCATACGAAACTAAACTTGCTGCCAAGATTGCTCCAGTTGTCAAGTCAAAGACTTTCCAAGGAATTAAAAGAGTTGCCAACGTTGTTGGTGGAGCTCTTTCTATTCATGCTGGTGTCAAATTCTTGGGTATGAGTGCTGCCACTAAATTGCCAAAGACTTTCAGTGCTATCAAGTCAAGCATTACTAAAGCTGCCAAGGTTGTTGCTAATAAGGGTGGAATTGTTAGAAAGATTGCTGCTACTGGTCTTAAGGCAAAGAAGGCTGCCACTCAATCATTGAATCAATTCTCCACTTTCAGAAAAGTTAATGCTGCTGTCAAAGCTTCAAAGGCTGCTAAGGCTGCCAAGAATGTTGGACATGCTGCTCATGCTCACTCCAAGTTTAAGACTGCTGTCCATCATGCTCATGCAGGATATGAAATTTATTCTGGTTCTTCCCATGTTAAACACGGTCTTCTTGGTCATCATGGTGGTGGACACGGATCAAGTGGTCATGGTTCAAGCGGTCATGGTTCAAGTGGACATGGATCTTCATCTGGACACGGAGCTTCCTCATCCAAACATGGAGCTTCTTCTGGACATGGATCTTCATCCTCAAGAAAATCATCTGGTCACAGTTCATCATCTTCAAGAAGTTCATCATCCACCAGAAAATCAACTGGTAACTCTGGAAGTAGAACCTCAAGAACCTCATCAACAAGATCATCAAATTCTGGTAGATCATCCTCCACTTCTGGCAGAAGCAGTACTAGATCTTCATCATCATCTAGACAAACCAGAAGCAGCAACAGTTCAAGACAAACTACTACCAAAAGAAGAGGCGGCAAATAATCAATCCTAAAGATTTAGGAGAACAATAAAGCCTTAGTGTATGTCATCAATATTTTGTAAAATTTTAAAAAAAATCGTAAATAATTCTCATGGTTAAAGGCGCGTAAAATATTAAGCAACTCTTTTCAATATTGATGATGTATTATTGTGTGGATGAACGAAGAATAAAAAGATTCACTATTAGGAGTATTATTAAAAACACTTGTTGATGAATTATAATTTAAATATTAATTAATATTAAAATTGCTCATCATGTGAAGATAACAGTATTTTCGGAATCATACCAAAACTCTCACTTTGGATGGCAAATCTTTCTCATCACAAAACATCACAGTGTGTCGCATTGAATGAATATCGAAGAGGAAAATTCTTCAACAATTATTGAAAAGCTCTTGACAAGTTGAAAAAAATTAGATTGACAAGTGAAACGACATGTCCTTCTCTTTCAAACGATCAAATTCACTACATTCCCAACATTCTCGGAACAACCTTGCTTTTGTTCCAACTGCATCATCAAAACACTATCTTTCTCTCTCACCTAAAATACATTTGTGGAATAGCTCGATTGATCATCAAACCATTGATGTTTTCAATTTATTTTCTTTACAAAATGTTCTGACAGATACAAATCTTGTTCATAAAACACTTTCCGAATTAAAAGTTGGAAAGAAAATCAAGTGTCTTCGATTGGGAAATTATGATATTACTCAACTGAAAAATTCAGGAGAGAACATTTCACCAACAAGACAAATTCCACCTCCAATGACTTCAAATTCTAATATAATGTCGAGTCATTCTATTAATTCAATTCAACAAGGTCAAAATTCAACGACCACTTCTTTGGATTTATCATCAAAATTTGCAAATTTTCTAAAAAAGAAGAAATTTAAAGAATATTATTGGATTTTAAATGATAATGAGAATGTGATAGAGATTAAAGATTCGAAAAGGAAGAAATTGAAACATTCCAGTATGTTTTTTTAAAATCAACAAATTTATTTATTATTATTTATTTGTTATTATAATGAAAATTTAAATAATATTATTATTTATTTATTTATAATTTACAAAATATTTAATTGAACAGTTTTCATTGCGGATATTTTACGAATTGAACATCCAGCACTCTTTTCATCAGCTTATTCATCTTCCGATCATGATAACTCTGATTTTACCATGACCATCATCTTTTCCTCTGGTAAATTGAGAAGTAAGAGTGTTGCCTTCATTCATGAGAGGATTGATTTGGTAATTGGAACACAAACCGATTTCTATGTCTTTTTAGCATTGATTAACTATTTAATGTGTCGAGCCGATATGAAATCATTGAAAGATCCAACAAGTTTACAAATTTTGAAATGTTGGATTGGAACAGAGGTTGATGGTGATGGTAATTTGGATATTAAGGAATTGGCCAAGTTATTGAACAGGATTAATTTGGAATTTCCTGTTAAAACTTTGAGACAGTATGTGTTTTAATAGTATTAATTGATTTTTACTATTGTTTTAATAATTTTGTAATTAATTTTTTTGTAATAGAATTTACAAACAAGCAGATACTGATGGAACTGGTTATTTAGAATATGATGAATTTAGAGAATTGTACTATTCACTGATTAGAAATGAAGAAATCGAGGAATATATTTATAGGAATTATGCCAACAATCAACAATTAATATTCAAGGAGGATTTTATAGAGTTTTTACAAGATCAATTAAATGGAACTATTCTAGTTGCACCAGAATGGGTCGATACCATATTCAACAGATATAATGCCAAAACATTGGACAATAATATTGGACTCTCGTGTCATGATTTTACTCGTTTTCTACTTTCAGCACATGATAACAATATCATTGATGAAAGTTTCAAAGTTTTGCATTCCAATGATATGAATCAACCATTGACTCAATATTGGATTTCTTCTTCTCATAATACCTATTTGACAGGTCTTCAATGGAAGGGTGAGAGCTCTGTCGAACAGTACAGAGATGTCTTGCTGACTGGATGCAGATGTGTTGAATTGGATTGTTGGGATGGTCCAGTGGAGCCAATTATCTATCATGGAAGAACACTCACTTCCAAGATTTTATTCAGAGATGTCATTATCATGATTAATCAGTATGCATTTGTTGCTTCAGAGTATCCACTCATTCTCTCATTAGAGGTTCACTGTAGTGAACCACAGCAGGAAATGATGGCCAAAATTATGAGTGACATATTCGGAGGTACCTTGTTGAAATCATTCTTTGGACCTCAACAAACTGAATTGGATAAATTACCTAGCCCAAACGATTTGAAATACAAGATTATTCTGAAAGGAAAGAAACATTCGAATACAAACGAACCAGAAGAGGTCGGTGGTGAGGATTCAGATGATGAACAGGAAGATGATAGTCTGAGTGTTACATTTGATGAAATGATTACTACTTCTGGACCACCTAAATCTCCTCGAATGCCTTCAATCATTTCCGATAAGAATGTCAAGGATTTGAAAAAGAAAATTCCACCTAAGGATGTGAAACGAAAAGTTGCACAAGGACTTTCAGATATCATTGCTTGGTGTGGTATTTCATTCAAAGGAAAATTGAGCTTCCAATGTTGGCACATGCACAGTTTTGCAGAGGATAAATTTAGCAAAGTTGTGAGGAAGGATTTTGCTGGATTAGTGGAATATAACAAGAATCAATCATCTAGAATTTATCCAAAAGCCATGAGAGTTGACTCGAGCAATTATTGTCCTAATTTGGCTTGGGTTACAGGATGTCAAATGGCAGCTCTCAATTTCCAAACTCGTGACGAACATATGAGATTTAATGAAGTGAAATTTTTAGAGAATGGCAAATGTGGATACATTTTGAAACCAGACTTTTTAAGACTTGCACATGTTCCATATCCATCTGAGGAAACTCACAAACCTACCTATTTCACACTTGCTGCCATTTGTGCACAAAATTTACCAAAACCTTCGACATATATTTCATCGACATCATCCAATTTACCAAAAGAAGTTTCAAATCCATTTGTCAAGATTCAAATACTAGGTATCTCTAAAGATTTATACGAAGAAAAGAGTGAAACAGTAATAGGAAATGGACTCATGCCAGCATTCAACAAGGTCTTCCACTTTACTGTTCTCTGTCCAGAAGTGGCCTTCCTGAAAGTTTCCATCTATGACAATAGAAAATCAGAAGTGAAATGCATTTGTGAAAATTATTTACCAGTCAAACATTTACGTCAAGGATTCAGAGCCATCCAAATGTTGGATCTTCACGCCAAACCAATTGAAGGTTGTACATTATTATGTGAATTGAGAATGGATGAAAAACATCATCCAATGATGGTTGTACCATCCTCATCTATGGAATATTTAGGAAATGATGCTTTGAGACTTCCATCCATGTCTCAAACTTTACAAAGTTCAAACACAAATAGTCCAATCAATCTATTTGCTCAATTAATGAATAATCAAGAAAGAAACGAAAGAACTTCCCAAGGAAGTAGTCAATCAGGAGACATGACACCAATTACCTTGGAGATTAGTGAACCTTTAGAAGAGGATGCCAACTCACCAGTTCCTTCCTCCTTTACCATTGCAAAGAGATTATCTGATTGTGATTTGGAAAGTTTGAATAAATAACTTTTTTCCATAATAGAAGAACCATTTGTTATTCGTCTTCTTGATTCCCTGTTAACATCAAAAGACATTACAATAACTTGAACAAAGTATTATACTTTGTATCTGATCATTGGTTTTGGAGAGCACAATAAAAAAGAGCCTTAATATCTTCTCTATCTTGTCTTCTTTCTTCTTTTCTTTTTTCTTCTTCAGCTCTTTTTTCCTCAACTTTTTTGCCATCTTTCACATTGCCAACCCAAACAAGTATCATCCCACCACAACTTGTTCACAACCCCCATATCAACCACACATTAACTGTTGACTGAGTCTTAACTGGAATTAACACAACTGTGAGAACTGACAGCATTATTCACCAACATAATTATTATACTGATTGAGAATTTACAATTTTTGTAAAGTGCAAAGACTATTTTGGTCATTTCTAATCTGTTCAAGATTCGTCAAGCGTCTATTGAAAAAGATCCTTTTCGGATCAAATTAAAAAAAATGTCTACAGATCAACCAGCTGGATTTAAACTCAGTGATTTACTTTCCGTTTTGGACAAGGATCAACTCTTCAAATTATTCGAAACTATCAAAAACGAATATCTGCCACCAATCAACAAATTTAAAGAATTACAAACAGAAAAGAAAGTTAATGCCCAATCAATTTATCAATTAATACTTGATCATTTGAATTTATTATTGATCACTTGGATGATGATCTTTTCCATCTTGTCAATTGTCTTACCACAAGTCATTCAATTTTTCTTGACATTTACAACACATAGTTTTGTCAATGAATGGATCAGAATTTGTGGTGTGTTCACTTTCCCAATCACTTTGCTCTTTATTTTGTTTTACAAATCACAAAATGCTGAAATTCAAAGAGATTTGGCAATTACAATGGCTGTTGTAAACTTTGTCATTGCACTTGTGTTGCTTATTTATTTAAAGGTTGGAATGTCGTTGATTGTAGGATTGTTGAGTGCTGGTTTTGGAGTTTTATTCCTCAAGAAGGCAAATATTTTTTAAAAGTAAACTTTAAATTTATTCGAAACTGTTTATTATTTTATTAAACGATCTGACTATTCCATGTTGTGAACTACATCTGATTTGCAAATAACAACTTTTTTGGAACTAAAATATGGAATCAATACAAAGATAGTGTTAATAATTATGAAATTTAAATTCAAAATTTTACTCTTCCTTTTCTTCTTCAACTTCTTGTTCAACTTCTTCTTCCTTATTTTCAGAAGATTCATCAAGCTTAATTTCTTCTTCAGTGGATTCCTTCTTTTCAGTCTTCTTGACCTTCTTGGAAGTTTCATCGTCGCCACCTCTCATCAACAACCAAATTGGAACAGTTGAGACAATAACGAGAACAATTGTACCAGCAATGACTGGAATTGGATAGTCATTGAAGAGTTGGTGAATTTGAACCAAAATTTGTTTGAAAAAATCAGAATCTGGCTTATTTTCCTCTTGAATCTTCTTCAACTTTTCAGTTTCAATAGCGTGCTTCTTAGCCCAAGTCTTTTCAGCATAATCAGCAGCAACTTCCTCATCGTGAGCAATGATAAAGTTATCAAAGAAGGTATTTTGTTGCATGGTCCAGATTTCAATAAAAACAGCACCAATCTTTCCAGAGAGATTTGATGGTTGCTTATCTTCAAAATAGTTTGGATTTGGAATTTGCTTTGGAGCCCAAACACCCTTATAAGCTGGATTCTTAATCTTTGGAGCAACCCATTTACCCTTGTAAGCTGGATTTTTAATCAATCTTGGTTGCCATTTTCCACAACCTTGAGTTTCACACTTCTTATTCTTAACAATTGGAGCTTCCCAAGTACCATCTTCGTCTTCATCCCATTCTTCTGGCATTTTAGCTTCTGGATCTGGAATCATGTCTGGTTCATTTTCTAACCAATCTTCTGGCATCTTATCTTCTGGATCTGGAATAAATTCTGGCAATGTTTCATCCCAATCTTCTGGCTTACTAGCTTCTGGATCATCCATTAATTCTTCATCAACCCAATCGAGTGGCTTCTTATCAGTTGGATCATCAATTTCCTTTGGTGGAATAACAGATGGAGAGAATTCTTCAAACAAGCTTCCATTTCTAGCAGTTTGTTGATCAATCTTGATTTCAAAAGTATTGTCCTTTCTAATAATGAGAGTGTACAAGTGAGACAATTCATCATTCTTAATAGTTGGAGCATTAGTCAAGTGTTTTTCTTCCCATGTTTGATTCTTTGGATTAAAGTGACGGAAGATAAAGTGAACCTTATTGGTTGTACCACACATATCTGGACCGAACATAATGACATACTATTTAATATTACAATAATAATAGATTATAACAATAATTATGTGATGATAAATAATTATAATTAATAGTAATAGGAGGATGTTGATAAGATGATGTTATTGTTGTTAATCCATAAAGTGTTACGATCATGATGAATATTGTTAATATTGTTAATAATTATTGTGATGATTAAATTTGAGATGAGATGAAAATAAAAACAAACCTCGGAATCATTATTCAAAGTAGCCATATCAAGTTCTTCTCCTTCCTTTTCCAACAATAATTTCAAATAAGCACCTCCACATGATAATTTAGAATCAAATTTAACTTCATATTGAATAATCAAATCCTTGTTTTCATTATCAATGGATGGAGAAATCTTGGAAGCAACACCAAAATGTTGACCGGCGTTCTTCATCAAGATACCATGATCACCAGAGAAGGCCAAAACATTTCCAGTAGCTTCAGTCCATTCAACTTGTTGTGTAGCATATTTAGAGTCCTGGCTTTTAACCCATTTACCAGAAACGAATGGATTTTGATTAAAATTATCAAAGAAGAGAACTTTAGAGGAAGGTCTTGGAGCAGAATATTGTTTTTGATTCAAGCTCAAGTCATCATCCGATGATCCGAGAACAATACTAATCAGCAGACAAGACACAAGCAAGGCAACAAGTAATTTTGTGTTTTGCATTCTTGCAATTTTTTTTTAAAATTAAAAAACTTTGTGATGATGAAAATTTCGGAATTGCAAAAATTTCCGATTCTTGCCAACAAGAAGGAAATTATGAAGAAGTGAATGAAACTCTGATGTTTGAATGAATGATGTACCAAAAGAATGATTTTTTATTCAGTCTTGAGCTTTTGATTTTGAATTTTGACAGTATCAAACCAATCTCCAAACATATTTCTATGTAAAATAAGAGAGGAAGTCATGAGTGAGGTGATCATAGCAGAGGCAACTCCATTCGTCAACAAGTCTTGACCTACCATGTAGAAACCTTCAATTGGAGTGTTAGGTCTAGAGATTTGAATATTTTCGAGCTTGGATTTGTCTGGATTTTGTCCATAAGCTTCACCGAATTGAGCTCCCAAATAATGTTTGACTGTGAGTGGTGTGGAACCATCCAAAACATCACATGGAACATTCTTCAAATGAGGGAATGCAGAGTAGAATAATTGCATGGCTCTGTCAGTGTGCATCTTTTTCAAATCATTGTATCCTGAGCCACGTTTCTTAACTCTTTGATGTTCCCATTCTTTGAACCATTCATAATTGGTGGAGAAACAGAAGGTAATATAAGTACCACCACTCTTTGGATGTTCCTTAATGGAACAGTATAATAAATTAATATCAACTCCATCCTTTGGAGAAATGACGCCATCAGAGTTGTGGAATCTATCGTGTTGAGCATTGACATCGTCACTAGTTACAATCCAAGTGTTTTGATACTTTAAACCCAATTCCTTGAGGGACTTTTTGTAACCTAAAAAGACACAACTCAATTGAGCAGATGGCTTGTAATCTTTGAGGTAATCCTTCATGCCATACTTTTCCAAATCACTAGGTGTGATCATCTTGTTGAATGTATTGTAATTACCAGCATTGGAAATAATAATTGGAGCATTGATAGTGAGATCATTTTCCAATTTAACACCAACAGCCTTTCCTTTCTTGATGATAATAGAATTGACCTTCGCCTTTGTCAAAACATCACCTCCACTCTTTCTGATAACCTTAATCATACTCTCCACAATATCCAAAGCTCCCTTAGTTGGGAAATAGCTACCTTCCATATAGTGTGACTTGATTTGCGAGTGAACAAAGAGTGGACAATCCTTTGGTTTCACACCATAATCCAAATAGAAATAACACAAACAAGTTTGCAAGAGTTTGTTTGATGTAACACTATCCAACACTGATTGTAAATTAGTATCCAATAAATTCATGAATTTTGGAGAAATGAAACGTTTAAACAAATTGACAATCCACAATGGCATACTTCTCATTAAGGTTGATGAAGCTCTCGATGCCAAAATATCCTCAGCACTTTGATCATAAATCTTCAAATACTTTTCAATGGCCTCCTTTTCAGTTGGGAATGCATCTTTCAATGCCTTCTCATAGGCCTTTCTTCCTTTCGGAACTGAAAATGTTTTCAAAATATTGTCATCTCCATTCTTTGTATCCAAAATCACAACCTTATCATATTCATTACTATCCAATTCAGTCATGGCAATATTCTTATCACACAATATATCCAGCAATACTTTCAGATCTTGTCCTTCTCCAACTCCACCAATGTAATGTAAACCAGCTTCATATGGGAATTTAACTTCTGATCCACCTCTTCCGAATGTGTGAATTGAACCTCCTGCTGCTTTGTGTTGTTCCAAAACGAGTACTTTCTTTCCAGCCTTTGCTAAAATTGATCCTATTAATTATTTAATTAAATATATTAAATATATTAATCATTATTCAATAATTATATAATTATCAAAATAACACAATGTGATGACAATGTTAATAATTAATAATCATTGATTAATACAAACCTGTTGATAATCCACCAATTCCAGAACCAATAATAATAACATCCAATTCACCCAATTCTTTCAAAGCCTTCTCCGAGAATACATTCTTTGCAATCTTCTTCTTTTCTACACCTGATGATGATGATGAGGCAGCAACATCACTTTCAACAGTTTTGTATTGTGGATTCTGGAAGATATTAATCTCCAATCTATTCTTGATAAATACTTGATAAAACCATTGAATAAGAGAAAAGAGGAGAGTAGCTAGAAAACCTCCCAAAATAATCAAAATTCCATACAAAATATATTCAATCATATTAGATGATGCTATCTTTCAATAATATTAAATAAATATTAAATATATTAAATATTTTAACAATGAAGAAGTATTCAATTGTTTATATTTTTTTCTATTTGAATGTCATATAGCAAACGATCAGTATTGTTGATTTTTATATTGAATATTGAAGGTGAACCTTGTAAATTATTAAACTTGATGATAAAGGGGTCGCAGTAATTGATGGACTTTTTGCTTTTTGAAAAGTGCGCATTAATTGGATTGTAAAGTTGTTGATGAGGTCAATTAAGGAAAAAGAAATGGAGTCCATGAGGAGGAGTTTTTGTGGATTTATTGTTATTATGTCTATAATTGTTTGTTAGAGTTTCGTCTTCTTGTTGTGAGGAAACAACAATATTGGAAAGTGATGGAAAGTATTGGAATTACAAGAGAAAGGATAAATGGGAGAGGAATATTGAGTTGAATGTACCATGGAAGTAGTGTGGAAATATCTCGAGTGTGTTGATCGAAATTATCAAAAGCTACCTCAATAACAATTTCTCCAGCTGTTAAAACATTATTCGAAAGCAATTCGCTTATATTCGAAAGTGAATCTCCCAAACTTTGAATGGTTGAAATACTCAACTTGGCTGCATTCAAATTATTCCTCTTAATCTCCCTCATCCTCTTCTTAATTTCCATTTTTGAGGAAATGACACTTTTCAAACTCTTGGAAAATGATTTTTCATTTCGTTCGAAAATATCTTCAGAAATTACAAATCCAAGTCCAAAATCTTCACATCTAATAGAATTGGCGAATTGATCTCCAAATATTGGGAATGTCAAGACCGGAACTTGGTTGTCAATTGCTTCGACGAGTGAATGACATCCGGCATGTGTTACAAAAGCAACAATTGATGGATGGGAAAGAATTAATCCCTGATTGACCCAGGTTTGGAAGAGAACTTTCTTGGCCATGGATTCTGGTAATTTCAAATCAGAATATCCTTCATGAACACAAATTACATGAATATTCTCATCTGTTCTAATTGTAAAATTCAAAATGGTTGTCATGTGTTCGTTTGAGAATTCCAATTTAGTTCCAAATGCAATATAGACAATAGAGATATTTCTTTCCAATTTTTCATCTAACCATCTAGTCATCTCCTGATCAGATAAATTATCATCCTTATTCTTCTCATAGAGTACAAAGTTTTCCTCTCCTAATTTATCACTAAATAAATTTGGTTTTCCAATGAGTTTGTGATTCTTCTTTGCTGTCGATTTATATCCAACAAATCTGTTATTATGAGAGATTGGATAGCTGTAATCTAAAACTCCAGGACTTGTAAAATGAATGAAAATCTTTTCAGAGCTAGTGAATAAAATTTCATACTTTTCACTCATGTTGTGAGCTCTTCTGATTGAGTTCAATTCTCCAACAGATTTAATTCCTTGTAAGAGTAATCTTCCTTGGATGTAAATTTCCTCATAGAGACGTGTCAATAAATACTTGGAAATTCCTTCTTCCTGATAAATTGAAGTGAGCTTTGTGAAACTTGTTGTGGTGAATGGAAATCTTGCAATAAATTGAGGAATATTTTGATTGAAAATGACAGATGGCAAGATATTGACAATTACAAAGTTCAATCCTTCTCTTTGTGCATAATCAATTGCAGAATGAGCTGTCATGTCAATCACAAACAAAATGTCGTGTGGTCTCTTTTCTTTGATTAATCTCAATTCAGAATCTTGAGCAAGCATTCCATCAATTGATTGAATAATAATCGAATAGGCAACTGACAATACATCAATTCCAATTACATATCTTTCCATCTTACTAGTTTCAGATTTTCTATACGAATCCATTTTCTTCAATTTATCTTTCAACTCGGAATCTTTTACATTAATATAAATTGGAGTGAAATATTGTTCATGATCAAAGAATTCACTCTTACTATTATTTGCAATTTCTTCAACCACACCATTCCATATTGGGAATGTCAACAATTTAATTTGTGAAACAGTAAAACCTTGACATTTGGCATTCATCAACAAACTTGTAGCTTTGGCAACATCTGCCAAACCTCTAATATGAGAACTATCCGGAAGTGGAATAAATACAAATTGTTTGTGCGTGCAATCTTGTTCAGAAATTAAATTTTCCTTCATGGCAAAAGTTTGCAACATGTTGAAGAAAATCGTTGTGATGATGACGAGGAGCAATCTAGATTGCATCCTTCCCGCGACGAGTTTCGTGTCCATCTGTTGATGTGAAAATTGCTGCTGTTTTTTTTTTGGTAAATCAGAGTTGACTTTCCTAATGTGGAACGGCCCGATTTTCATGCTGTTTTTTACAATGAATTCACCCATATAGATAAAAATAATTATCGATTATCAATTGTTTTACAAAATATTACAATACCATCGATTATTCAATCCATAATTGTTAAATACTATTTTGTAATCTTCCTTAATAACCGATTCCAATAACTTTACACTATCCACATGCTTATTTTTACATCTCTCTATTGCTTCATTAAATATCGCATCCACATTAATATCTAATTCGGCACTACTTTCAATAATTACACAATTTGTCAATTGGAATTTCTTGACAAGTGAGGTGAGTTCCTTTTTGTGTTGTGAAATAATTTCATTCCTTTCTGAATCTTTCAATAAATCCATCATTGTTAGAGCAATTACAAATGACATCTCATTAATTGGTAAATCATGAAATCTATTGGAAAGTTTTTCAATTATATTCGAAACTATTTTCAAAGAGCTGAAAGAAGAGCTCAATGGACACGCAATGACAAACGAATCTTGACGATTAATATGAAAATCTGCAACAAGTGGATCATCTGAAAATTGCTTGAAATATTCGAAAGTTAGAGAAACCTACAATCATAAATGCGGACCTCCTCTCCAGTAATGCTAAGTATAAGCCTAACCTGTACAGCATCATCTCTAGCAGAATCAAACGAAACATAACGATTTACCAGAGATGTTTTACCTTAATTTCGAATAAGAATTTAACAATTGAATTAAACTAACCTAATCCACCCATAAGCATTACGTTCACGCTGCGTTTCGTTTTAACTACTGTCTTATTTCGAATTTGAATAAATGTTAATACCATTCGTTTCAGTTCATAGCTATCCGAAAGTTCACATTTCAAGTTTCGTCTCTCAATCAAATCTTCCAATAAAACATCCGAACATTCCATTAATAAAACGTGCCACCAAAATTCACAACAAAATTCATTAAATTCTTTTGAAATATTCAAACTCTTGGAAATTGATTGAAAATTATGAATACACTCAATTTGTGATTTAATTTTCCAATCTCTCCGATAATTCTTAAAATCCAACAAAATAATATACGAAAGAATTTGTTGGAGAATTTCTGATGGAAGCGAACAAAATGGTGATTGATCTTGTGGTATTTTTTTTAAAGTGTTTAGTTTAGTTTACAATAGAATAGTTTCAAAAGTTTGGTAAAGTCAATCCCCAAACCACTGGAACCAACACACTAATCAAAATCCAATAAATGATCGTTAAGGGAAGACCTACTTTAAAAAAGTCCAAAAATTTGTAATTTCCAACTCCCATCACCAACATATTCCCCGAAAATCCCAAAGGAAATGCAAAAACTGATTGAGATGCATAAATTACACACATTACAAAACATCGAGCATTTAATCCATAGGATTGAGCTATGGACACAGCAATCGGAATGCAAATTGCAACAACAGCACTTCCAGTAATAATGTGTGCAATGATGAGAGTGATGAAAGTTATGAATGCTGGAAGTAAAATGATTGGAACATTTGCCATTTTCAAAACTTGTGTGATTCCTTGTCCTATTCCACTTTGAGTGATGGCAGTTCCAATGCCAATGGATGATCCAACCAATATTACTAGTCCCCAATCAACACTTTCTAATGCATCTGTTGGAGAAATCAATCCAAACAAAATGATAACACAAAAAGTGACTAAACTACACTGAACCATTGGATAACCATATATGGCGCAACCAATCATGGCTGCAAAGAATAGGAAAATCCAATTTTCCCACCACCATAATCGAAATACCTTCTTAGTGAATGGAATTCTGAATTGGAATGGTCTTTGAATAAATTGATTGTCCGTAGGAGAAACTTCTGAAAATCTGGAAATCATGTAAAATTCTCGAGTGGAATTATGATGATTGGTGTAGAATCTGGGTTTTCCAATGACCAAAATGGTGTCTCCTGTGTTGACTTGGAAAGTTCTCAGATCGTTTTCAGCAGTTTCAGATTCCTTTTCCTCATAAAACATGTTTCGAATAGCTAGTACTGTAACTTGATATCTTAATTCGAAAATTTGATAAGTTTCACCAACACAAGGATTGGAATTGCCAATCACAACTTCAAAATATTCTAATTGACTTGTTTCTTCTACTACTGTCTCTTTGGATGTTTCTGCTTTGGAGCTTTCATTCTTCTTTGGATGATTTCTCTTCAGATTCGAATATAATTTTGTAATGATATCATTCTGATCACTTCCTCCACCAGATGAGATTGTACTATTCTCATTTGAATCTTGACTTATTAAGGAAAGTTGTGAACCTCTCATTTGGGTAAACTCTTGAATTGATGGATTGATTGTTGACAATCGATATTCATATGGTTTAAGACTAACCTCCTTATACTCCTCAATCTCAAATACCATTGATTGGAGTTTCAAGATGGATTTGGGATTTCCTTTGAACATTAGAATATCATCCTTTTCAATGACAAGATCTTTTGGAACTGGTTTGATTCGTATGGTTTCTTCGGATGTGTCAGTTTCGATTTTTGCCATGTCTATTTCTATGGAAATAGTTTCTGCATTTGCAGGAGAGGTATTTTGAATAGATTCCATTTTCTTTTGAGTTTTGGTTTCCTCTACTTTCTTTTCACATTTTCTAATAACTTCCACAATTTCAATATTATCCAATTCTAAAACTTTCAGAATTTTTTCTTCATTTCTCCCCAACATGTTCATAAACAACATATAAGGTTTCGTATGATGCTTCTGAGATGATAATTGATTCATTCTCACCACTGCAATAAACTCTTCCATTCTCTCTTTCGTCTTGTTTCTTAGTTTCTTTATCTTTTTAGCAAAATTCACATTAATTCTCTTCAACTTTTTGGATTCTCCCCTAATCTCATCTGGAACAATCCACAAACCATAGGTAATGAGATAGACAATCGTCACAACACACAAAATTCCTCCAACATAAACAAACTCGTAAAATTCTAAAGCTCTATAACCATAACTGGTATACAATTCATTGGCCACAATATTAGGAGAATTTCCAATCGATGTCAAAAATCCACTTCCAGAAATAATGAAAGAAAGTGTCATTAAAAACTTTGAAGGTGAGACCTTATGTTGTCTAGCCCATTCCATTACAATTGGTAAACCTAAAACAACCACTGGTGTGTTGATTACAAAAGCACTTATCAAGGAAAACACCAAACAAATCCTCAATGTTGGAACTAGTAAGGATAAGTGTTGTAAAACCTTACTCTTTTCCATGTTTTTGAATTTGATTGGAGAACCAAATAAGAGTTTTGAAAATTTCAAAACGAGTGAATTCTGAGTGACAGCTTTCACAATGGGAAATAGTAATGCAATCACGAGTGTTCCACTACTTGCAAATCCACTGAGTGTCTGATCGAGAGTGAGAATTCCTGACAGATTGAAAATGACAATGGTAAAGAGAATAACGACATAGGGACGCCAAACTGTCAAGACCAAAAGTGTGAGCATGAGTAGGAGGAAAGCAACGACAACCCATAATTTCCATGAATTCCAAGCGAATGGTATTATTGGAGAAGAGGAAGAGCAAATGTTTGTAATTGGCTCTGATGTTTTGACATCTGAAATTAAAAGGGAAGAATTCAATAGTTTCAATGTTGAATAGGTATAATTGGATTGTTTGATTTGGTTGAGCAATTGATTTGTATAATAATCCAAAGTGAATGTCTGGTTTAATACCACCAAATATGGCAATTCCATTCTAAGATGAGTAATATTCAGCTGCAATGTGAACCACTGCATGTAATACTTATTCTTGTACAATTCTGAGATTTCAATGCTATCACTGACAAGAGAAACTTGATTTCCATTCAAATTAAAAAACATTTTCTCATAATTCAAATCCAATCCATCATCGTTTCTCTTAGCTCTGTAATCGAAGAAATCCGAAGAAGGTAACAACAATTGTTTGGAGGTATTACTATTCAAAATATTATTGTGAATTAATCGGAAATGTGAAAAAGTGAGTGTGGTGTTCAGGTTGGAAGAATTCATCACTTGTGAATCGGCTACTTTTGGGTAAATAATTTCCCATGCCAAAGTATTCTTTGTAGATGAAAACGATAGTGTTACAAAGCCAACTTTCTGTGTACTGTTTACATATTGATGCCTATCATCACTCCACACCAGTTGATTTTTGGTAAATTGAGTTGAGAATTGGAACGCATTTAACTGTTCATTGATGAGCAGCGTTAAAATCAGCACAATGAGAAGTGATGATGAACTCTCGAAAGTGAAAGAATGCGATCCTATCGATTTCATTCCTTTGCAAATCTTGTTGTTTTTTTCATCAGATAAAAACCCTATTAACATGGACAATATTCGAAAATATACATTGTGTGGGTTTCCAATAAGAGGTGCAATCACTGATTCCACTGTCTACACAGACTGGAAAATATCATCATATTTGAGACAGTTTACGAAATGACCCCTTCAATATTGTGAATGATTTAAACGATACTTCCCGTTTAGGATGGTGTGAAAATATCTGACCCTTTTCCCCAACATTACTTGTCACCACACGCTCGATTTTGTTTGTACTTGCCTTCAAAAGTGCACTACTGCAAGTATAGACATGCAACTACTGACCTCGTAACAAGGATTATTTTGTTGTGTTTGTTTCCAATAACCTGCTATGGAAGAATTGGCTGCCAATTCCAAATTCACAATAGTAGTAATCGTATCTATAAACCAAACATCCTCCTAACAGTCCTTATCAATTAAGTCAACAAGGAATAATTCATTTATAATAATATAAAATTATTTTGTAAATTGTTGTAGTTGTGTATCATAAGAACGTTCAATTATAATTTTAAGGAAATCCTTTTTGAGGAAATATTATTAAAATAACAATTGAAGTACTAACGAGGGTGTATTGAAATTAAAGTATTTCTCATTCCGATAAGAACAACATAGTGTTCTTCAAAAGCCTTGTTGGTTCATAAGGAAACCAATCCGATTCCATAGACATACACTCTTATAATCTACATCATTAAATACATGTATGTAATTTTCCAACAATTTTTAAAAGAACCTATGAGAATCTGAATAGATTCGTTATTGTCGTAATAAAAGAATTAAAAATTCATAAAAAATTAATTGTTATTAAATTATAAATTGAATTGGATAAATGTTGCAAGAAGAAGTAGAAAGGGAAGAAATATCTCAATTCCTTCCTTTTGCAAAGAAATAAATGTTTTACATTTTTTTTATCGTCATTGTAAAGTCGTGAATCTCAGATAATAATCCAATCAAAACAGAATTGATATATTAATGAAACTGTTCACCATTTATTGTTCAAATAGAGAAATTGAGGATATGTCATACTTCAATGTTTTTATTATGACAGATTAAAAAAAATGTCATTAAAATTCGAATTCAATGCTTCAGGAAGGAGACGTTTTGCTTACTACAATAGTGGTAAAGCCTGCTTCTACAAGGACAACATTCTTCTGTGGGAATTCAACTGGTATAATGATTATACTCATATGAATCTATTCGAAAGAAATGGAGAAATATTTCTCTTTTCTTATAGAGTTGGTCTTTTACAAGCTTTTGGAGTGATCGACAAATTGACTGATGCAAGCAATATCGAATTAAAAAGACATGGAAACTGGGCTAAAGATTGGTCACAATTCGAAATTCTCTCCAAATTCGAAACCTTTCATGGTCCAATATTGAAATCAACCAAATACGTCGGTGGCACCAAGATCACAGCCTACGACCTAATCGACACAACCACAGGTGAACTAACTTCCATCAAACGTATCGAAGAATACATGTAAAGTTTTTTTAATTCAATTCTTGTTTTTTAAATTTCATTCTCAGCTTGGGAATGTTAACACAACTGGCAATATCTAGAATGAAGGCAATGAGTAAAATGACACCAGATATGGTCATACTGACAATTAAACCAGTTTCATCGTATTCTTTCAACTTGGGAGAAGAATCGAATATTTCACAATTGGATCCAACCCACGAACCGAAACATGAACATTTTTCTGGTCCAACACATTTACCTCTTCCCAAACAAACTTGACTTGAATTTGATAGAAAACCATTACAAGTTGTCAATTGGCAAACTATTCCAAAATATCCTTCACTGCAATTACAAGAATTTAAAGTTTGACATTTGCCATTTCCACTGCAGACGAAACTTGAATTGAGTGATGAGATATTTTCACATGTTGGAATGCTGCAGTCAATTCCAAGGTATCCAGTTTCGCATTGACATTGATTGGGACCTATACAGTTACCATATGAACTGCAATTGTGAACTAGCCCACAATCAGGTGTTTCGCATAGTTGACCTTTCCAACCAGAGTTACATTGACAAGTTTCGGTTGCAATACACTTTCCATTTCCACTACAAACTGATGAATTCGTGTATAGTGTACCATTACAGAAAATTGAAAGTGAGAGCTTTCGAATTCGATTATTACTCGAATCTGCAAAGTAAATTTCATCATTTTTCTTATCGTAAACTATTCCAGTTGGAAAGCTCAATAACGCCTGGGTTGCAATCTTGAAATCTCCATTAAAATTTAAAGTTCCCCAATTGACATTAATGGCGCCCATTCCAGCAATTGTTGAAATTGTTCCATTCGCTTGAATTTTTCTAATTCTTCCATTATACGAATCTGAAATAAACAAATCGCCACTTGGTGAAGTTGCCATAAAGTGAGGATTATTCAACTTTGCATTGATAGCTAGCCCTCCATCTCCACTCAATCCTCCATTCTTAATTACCATTCCAACTGGACCAATTCCACCTAAAGTTGTCAAAGTTCCATTTTCTAAACTAATTGACCGAATCTTGTTTGTGTAAATTTCAGCAATTCCTAAACTACCATCAACGAGACGAATAACACTACCAGGGCCACAAACTCTTGAATTCAATGCGATTGATCCATCTGCAGCAGAACCTTCAAGTCCATTACCATATATAGTAGTGATGGTGCCATTGGTTAGAATTTTTCTAATTCTATGATTCCACATATCACTAATGATGAGCTCTCCATTGGAAAGAGGAAGAATTCCAAGTGGCCAAGCTAACAAACTGTCAACTGCCAAAATATTGTCAGAATTAAAATTTAAACCTGGTGCTGTATTTGTTGCTCCCGTTCCAGCAATGGTCGAAACATTACCACTCTCTTTCCACATTTTCCTAATTCTATTATTGAAAGTATCAGAAATTATTAAATTCCCATCCGTTGGATCAATTTTCACATCTTCAGGTTGACGAAACATGACTTGCATCGCATCCATCGAAAAATCTCCATTAAATCCTCTCACACCACTTCCTGCAATTGTTCTAATCTTGTGACTTGTTAAATTCATCACACGAATTCTATCATTATAAGTGTCGGCAATGTACAACAATTCTCCATGAATTTCAAGACCGTATGGTTTGTTGAGAAAAACTTGGGTTGCTGGGATATTGTCTCCAATAATGTCAGAGCCACCACCTGCCACTGTTGTGATTGCGTATTGTTGTGGGAGGGCGAATTGGATTAGTGACATGCCAAATAATGACAAAATAAAAAGAATGGTAATTCTCATTATTTTTTTGAGGAAGTTGGCATGAGAATGATGGTTGTCGAATGTTTTGATCTCTTACTTTAATTTTTGAGTTAATTTGAAATTAACTTCTCATTTAGAAATCAACGTGATTTCAATCAATTCCCAATGGCTTGGATCAACTTGTCAACAGTTACTTGTCAAAAAAATGGAACGTGATGAGAATGCGATTTTGTTGCATGATGTTAAACCAAAAGATGATTCTTCCTCAGTTGAAATCACACCTGAAAACACCTCCTCCAACCAACCATTACCAAATGATGAAAAGAAACCTAGACGAAACTTGGGAGTTTCTTTCAGTGGTGGTGGAATTCGCTCAGCAAGTTTTATGGTTGGCGTGATTGAAGCTTTAGTTTTTAGCGAAGGTGAATTAATGACAAATGTAAAAGAATTCTCAAGTGTGAGTGGAGGTGGCTATGCTTCGTCTAGTTTCTACTCTTATTTGATCGCTCAATTAACTCAACCAGAGCAACCTAACAATCCATTCGAAACAGCATTCAAGCAAATGAAAGAAACCTTTGAAAGAAATTCCAATTATTTAGTTTCTGGAATAGCTGCCTTGCGAACTGCTTGTTTCTTTCTTGTTGGTGCTTTACATAATTTTTTATTGTGGTTTTGTTTGTGCATCTTGCTTGGAAATTTCTTATTTGCAGGTGTTGTTTATAATGTCAATGACAATGCCACTGGTCAGATGACAAGTTATTTGAGCCACGTTCCTTTAATTAGTAATGGGACTATTTCTGTGAGTGAAAAGACAGATAAGGCACAGTATTTCATATTATCATTCTTGCAATTTACGAGTATTGCTAATGATATAGTTCAGGGAAAGTATACTTCTTTTGGATGGTCAGTTTTTCCAAGAGAGTTAGTCATTACTGTATTTTCCATTCTAATGGTATTGGTTTTGGTTCTTATTACTTGGGTTGTTAAAGTGAGATATGTCAATCATTACAATAATGGTTTCTTTGATTGTTTGATGGATGGTTTTAACTCTTTCTTGCAATGTTTTAATTTCATTTTGAAATATGAATCAGTTAAAAGGATATGGGGAGGTTTTAAAATTGTGTTCATATATTTTCCAGCTGCAATTATAGGAGTAGGCGGATTATTGATTTTACCTTTGTTAGCATTGAGTTTCTTGCTTTCCATTTTTGTAGAATGTTTAAAGTTTACAATGTTTGTAGAAGGATTGATTTTAGTATCTTGGGGAGAATCCTCCTTCTTAGCTTCGCACCACATCTTTAATTCTTTGTATTTGGTGGGATGGATAGTTATGGCTATTATCTTTGGTTTCATCTTTGCTACAGGAAAGAATATTTTCAAATTGGGCGAAACTGTTGCAATGGGTTTATCTGGCTTCTTTCTAATCGTTTGTACTCCAATTATGTTGTTGTGGATTGCAAGTCACTTTTGTCTGTGGCAAATATTTGGTGATTACGGAGAGTTTACAATGATACCAACAATCAACAATTCAGAAGCTGAGCTAGTATGTTTGAAAACTTTTGCATCGATTTGGGTTGCCATTGAGCTATTCATGTCCGAGTATTTGAATTCTGCATTCAGAGAGCTCTACAATTCTGGTTTGAAAAACTTTCTTCATTCGAATATTTGTGTAAGCAAAGCAGGAGAAAGACAAGACCTACCAATTTTCACATTTAATTGTTGTGTTAATAATTTGGCTGAGAAAGAAGGTAGCTGTGGTCACTATAGCTTCTCTTCTACAGGAAAATGCCGTTCCATTACTCATAATTTACCCAAGCTTGACACTTCTAATCTTTCCCTGTCAACTGTTGTTTCCATTTCAGGAGCTGCTGTTTCCTTAATGCTTGGTGAGGCTCTTAATATTCCTCTTGTTTCTCAATTCGTTGCATTTGTTCTATATATTTTAGGTATAAATATTGGAGAGTGGGTTGATTTGGGAAATTACAAAACGAAAACAATTGACAAATTTTTCAAATGGTTTTTGTTAGTTTGTGTCTTTTTGACTAATTTGAACGTTTTTGAAGGAATTTATAGTAGTGGTTTAATTTACGGTTCATGGTTGTATAGAATAATTGTTATTGGTGTAATTATGTATTCTTTTGGATTGCAAATTATTATAGGGCTAGTTTTGAGATTGGTGAATATTGGACGAAATCCTGAATACTCTTTATATCAAATATTCTTCAACATTTTTAGCCTGCATTACATCCCACTCTTTAGAGCATTATTGATGATAGTGGGATATCCAGATAATGTCACATCAAAGACTTATTTCCTCTCAGATGGAGGACATTACGAAAATCTAGGATTACTGAACTTGCTCTACAATATGAGAAGTGAAATATTCGCATTCGATGCAACTGAAGATAGTAAATTGTCTCTTTCAGAATTGAGTAGTTGCTTGGAGAAGGCCATTAGATTCAATATCATTAAGGAGGATTCTATTAAATGTTATCCGAGCAAGAGTCGTGCAAATAATAATGATTACAAGTATTCAGTGGATGATCTTATGAGGATTGACTTATGGGAAACTAGAGCTCATCAAGATGAGGGTGCCCTTATCAAATTATCCAGAAGTAACTTTCTGTACATTGAATTTGAATACACTGAAACACATGTGAAAAATTCGAATCCACAACCAAAACAACAACCAAAACAAGAAAAACAAACATCCACCAATACTACACAACAAGCACAACAGCCAACACCTTCCTCTGCTTCAAATACTAATAATACCAATTGCACATCATCAATAGAGAATGCTTCTCCAACCACAGATATTACTTCCAAATCATCACCAAAAGAACAAACACAACCTGAATCAACCAATAATATATCCGAATCCACAGCAGCCAATGACCCACCACAACAAGAAACTGAATCAAGAAAAGGCTGTCTTTGGTATGGAAAAGCAACCTTAACAGGAGAAGAAGATGACCGAATTAAATTCTATCAATCCAACAATAATGTCTTTCCTCATCACAGCACCCTATTCCAATTATTTTCCAAAGAGGACTTTTCAGCTTATAGATTATTAGGAAAGCATGTTGCCTCATGTATTACCAATGATTATTTAGCTAATCAAAATTAGTTCTCAATAGTTTTTCTTCAAATAATAATAAAAAGATAATAATCAAATTTTTCTAACTAATTGATTGGTTCCATCAAGATCTTCTTTTCTATTTCAATGATAAATATCAGATGAAATGCAAAATTTGATATCACCTCACTTGGTTACCATCAAAAAGAACCATTATTTGAATTTCATCAATAATGGAAGGCCAATTAATTAGACCCTCAATTGGAACCTTATCAAATAGTAAGGCAACAGGATAATTGTTCTCATCCTCAACAAATAGGAATGCTTCGCATGAAAATTCATTTTCCACTTCACTAATCTCTGGACACAAGTGATCATATCGCTCCTTTGTAAATTTCACATATCTTAAGCGATCTTGGACTACAGCAAAGTATTTTCTGCCTTTCCAGTGGAATTTTCCAACCAGAGGAAAATCAGATTCATCTCTATTGAATGTAGTAACTGCAACTGAGGTATTCGAATCTTTTTAATTGTTGATTTGATAAATTAGCAAATAAATTACTTACCATTTTGAGAGATTTCATTCTTGCCTTCTTGTGGAAGTAAATCGTGCAGTTTCTTCTTACAATCGAATGGCAATAATTTTGAGGAGAAGAGTGTCTCTATCACATGTTTAGGAATTAATGTTGAAAGTTTGGAATCTAGATTCTTGAGGATATAGCTCGATACAATTCCACATACAAATTTCTCATGTTCCTTCCTTTCGAACTTTTCCATTAAATAGTAAATATAAATTGGGTTCAATATTTCTAATATTTCAGAAATTGTTAAATCATCCACTAAATAAATACACAATTCGTGTAATAATTCCAATTCAAAAAAGGTCTTTTTTCTTAAAAAGGCAACCTTTCCCTCTTTTAAAAAATTGAAATATAAATCAAATATTTCAACAACGCCCTCATTCTTAATAGATGGAATAATTTCATTCGAAACTCCACTCAAATCAACTATCATCAGCCCATTCTGATTTCTTTCCACACTATTAATCCAATCTGAGCTTAACAAAGTTATGAAATAGTTTGATCTTTTCAGTAACTTTCCCTCACATTCAATTGAATCACTTTTAGATAATTTAATGAGGATTGTATCCTCAATTTGAATGTTTTCATGAGATTCACCTTCCTTAATATTATACGAATGTATCAATTTCATTAAATTATCAAATGGAAATGGCATTAATTTGACATTTGGCTTTTCGATAATTGGTGATTTGACATGCTTTAACTTTTCTTGAAATAGTTCCAAGAAACTAGCTATGGATTTTCTTTTGGAAAGGTTCATATTCTTTCCCATCCATTTCAATCCTTCAGAATAATTTAGTTCGGTTCCTCTTCCTTGCCAATACATTGATGAAATTTTCAATTGAGCATTTAAGTTTCCTTGCTTGGCTGCTTTCAAATAGTATTCGAAAGCTTTAGAATCACTCTGTTCGATTCCTTTTCCTTTCAGATACATTAGTCCAAGCTCAAAATGTGCTGTTGAATTTCCTTCCTCAGCTGCTTTTGAATACCATTTAAAAGCTTGTGAATAATCCTTATTGCACCCCTCTCCAGAGAAATACATATTCCCTAAGAGGACCATTGCCTCAGTCTCATTTTGGTTTGCAGATTTCAAAACCAATTCGAAAGCTTTCGAATAATCTTTTTCTACACCTTTTCCAAGAACAATCATTGATCCAGCAGCAAGTTGAGACTTTGCATCCCCTTGCTCAGCTGCTCTCAAATACCATTTCAAAGCTTTCGAATAGTCACCATTCGAATGATAAATCTTTCCACATACATTTTGAGAGGTCACGTCACCTAGCTCTGCAGCTTTCAGATACCATTCCATAGCTTTAGAAACATCTTTTTCAACTCCATGTCCAAAATAATATATACTTCCAATATCATATTGAATTGACAAAAGTTTTGGAACTCTTCCATGAGATTCAGCTTTTAAAAGCCATTCTAAAGTTTTGGAATAATCTTGTGGTACAGATTGTCCATAAAAATGCATGTAACCAATTTGAGCTTGTGATTCAAAACAACCCTTCTCTGCAGCTTTCGTATACCATTCAAAAGCTTTCGTATAATCTGGTTCAACCCCTATTATTCCTTCATAATAAATATGCCCAATAGTACGTTGAGCTGCACAATGCCCTTTCTCAGCTGCTTGCAAAAAGAATTCCATAGCTTTCGAATAGTCTTGTTCTATTCCAACCCCTTTCAAATACATTGACCCAATCTGGAATAGACCTGCCTGTGCAGTTTTCATATACCATTCGAAAGCTTTCGAATAATCAATCTCTGTATTAGCTCGATTATGATAAAACTCTCCAATCTTTTTCATTGCCAACAAGTGATTATCCCTAATCGATGCAATACAAAAATCCAAATTACTAAATTCTTCCGCCAATAAGTAAACATAAAATTTCCAAATATTTTCTTCACACTTTTCATTTTCTGCATTTTTTAAAATTTCTTCCAAATATTTTGCATAATCAATAAATTCACAATCTTCATTTTCTATTGTTGATCTATCTTCTTGATAATTATTGTTACGAATTAATTTAATTGTTTTTAAATTTTCCAAAACTTGATGAAATTTAGAATTGTTCCATCCGATTAAAAGTGAAATGTCATCGGTGGGTTCTTCTTCTTTTTGGTGGTGATTAATGGTCTTCTTCTTCTTCTTGTTTGATTTCTGGCCAGATTTTTGATCATGAGAACGTTTTTTCATTTTTTTTAAATTAAATACAAATATTCAAATATTGGGTCAAACCTTAAATTGAAACTCTGTCGGGTATTTAAGCGACCTAATAAATTAAAATCAAAATTTCCTTAGACTTTGAATCTTCCGTAAATTTTGCAAATTTGTTCTTCAACCAATTATAAAAAAATTCAACTCCGAAAAAAATTACAAGCAGATCCTTCTTCTCCTAAAAGCTGCCGAACAACAACAAAACAAAAAGGGGAGGAAGGTATTATTTATAATACAACAACAATAAGAATATAAGAATAATTTTATATTTATATATAATACAACAAGAGAGAGAGGATCAAATTTCTCTTTTTTCCTCATCAAATCTAATTTTACTTTTTAAATATATTATACAAATAGTATGCTCTCTGCTTCTCATAATACGGAGGAAGATGTTACTCAACTACCTCAGGAAAGACACGGAAGGAAGACTAGACACTTTGGAAAGAGTACGAGGATTAAAGCCTTGATTATGCAATATTGGAATATGATCATGTCGGTGCTGGGGATGATATCGATTGGATTGATATGTTTTGGAGCCTTGTTGGTAGTTTTCGGATGGATTTGGAAGTATCCGAGTGAATTTAATTTAAAAACAAGTTGCAAAGTTGTTAAATTTGTGGATTGTGTTCTGTTGGTCGATAAATTTCATGATTCATCTTCGGAATTTGCAAATCCATTCAGTAGTAAACATTTCAAGAGATCGGCGATTCATCAACATTGTGCTGTTGAAGTAATTGTTGAGAATGAGAATGCAACAAGAACAAGTATTGATAAAATAGTGTATGATCCAAATAGTACGGAGAATAAGTATGCGATTGGTTCAATTGTTGACTGCTACTTATCACAAACCAATAATCAATTTGTATCATTCAGGTCAACCATAACGAGTGGAAAAATTGCTTTTAGAACCATTGGATTTTTAATCATTTTACTTGGATTGGTATCTGGACTTTTTTGTATCCTTGCCGTAACCTCGATTAGGAAACAATGTTTTGAATTAATTGGATCAATATCAAAGAAGATTACATTCCGTCGAACCAAACGATTGGAAGATGAAGAACCTTTGAGAAATGCCTCAAGATCGAGTGCTGGTTCTTCTCATCTCTATGAAGATGGTGAACGAGAATATTTCGATTATATTGAAAAGGATAGAAAAGTTCCACAAAAGAATCATTCTGATGAATTTGATGAGGATGAAGAAGAATTAGTAGTTGTGTAAAATACTGTACAAATTGTAAATAAGATATTGAGAGAAATGAGACATTGCCAAATTTTGAAAATCCCATACTAGCTAACTATCTTTACTTTTTATTGTTTAATACCTTTATTAAACAATATATTCTGAAATATTATTAAGGTGATCCTTCTTTTTCATTGTGTATGAAAATCCTTGTTCAGACTTCCTTAGTTCAAACACGTGTTTTTTGGAGGGTTGGAACTTTAAAAATCTTTTATTACAATTATTTACTACGGTGCTATGCAAAATGCATTGTCAGACTTCCTTAGTTCAATTACGTCCTAAGGAGAGGACAACAGCATTCAACTCTAAAAATCTTTGAAATTACAAAATATTTACTGGGTGGATTCAGGATCAATTCATTCAAACACAAAAAAAAATGCCAATAGAAATTAAATATTCACACACCAAGGAAATTGCACTCACTAAAGAGCATGATGACTGGCAATGGTCAACAGGTGAAGGTAAAAAGTTGGACATTAATTATGGCCAAGATCAAAAATTACAAACTATTCAAATGACAACAAAATCGGAAGGAGATTATTGGAGAATTACACATTATGATTTTATTCATGATGATGGAGATTTTCTTTATTTGAAGAGTTTGAATGCACAAACAAATCAAAACTTTGAAATTCAAGTTTCTTTCAAGGCAAATTATCAAAATCTCTATGATCAAGCCGGAATCATGTTGAGATCTGGTGAGAAACATTGGATGAAAACTGGAATTGAGTATGTTCATGGTACTTCATATGCCAGTGCTGTTGTCACAAGAGAATACAGTGATTGGTCAACTAATCCTTTGGAAAAACACAATACCGATGATTATTTCACAATCAAGGTACAACTTTTTAAGGGAGATGTCAGAGTTGACTATAGCTTAGATGAAGGAAAGACATTCCACTTGTTGAGAATCGCTCACTTATTTGATCAGAATGAGAGTCATCCTCTCCAATTGGGAATCTTTGCTGCCTCACCAACACGTAAGGAAGGTTGTCAAGTAGAATTTAAGAATTTATCCATTACTGAACTCATTGTTTAAATTCTGAATTATTTGTTAATTAAAAGAATATTTTGATAAAATTGAATTAACACCGAAAAGTTGGCCTCTGTTTAATATCGCTCCAATTATTTCATTGCTCTTTCCCTTAATTTCGTCACTCATATTACACTACTTTGTCTTCTTTCCAATAACTTAAATTTTTTATTTAAAGATCATCAACAGAATTAACATCAAACGACAATCCACTCTCCTTCAATTCACTCTTCTTCACTCTATCATTTACCTGCACTGTCTTATCAGGCACATTATTACTCATATGATAAGACCCTAAATGTCCACAATGACATTCTATTCCTCTGACTGCTTGATAATTAGTGCAATTACAACCAGAAGAACAACACTTTGAAATATTTTTATATGAAAGTACTTGGGTATGAGCCGGAATGTAAACGTCAGTTGTACAACTGCAAGATTGACAGATTCTGTAAATTCTGCCATCCGATTTGACAGTTCTGATATCTTGTGTAGCATTGGTGACACCACAGCTGCATGTCCATTGATCTTTGAAATCTGTTGTTTGAACCATTTTAGTTTATTTTTTTGTTGATTAGTTTTCACAGAGTGGAAAGTCAATTTTTTAAGATAGATTGAGAGGTTACATCAGGTCCGTGGAGGAAAGAATGTAATTTTGAGACAATTTTTTGACGCTCCTTGTTTGGATGAATGGTTAATTAATTGTTGATTATTCAAATTATTGAGATTCAATAAGGAATTATTGTTGGGAAGAATAGTGTAATTCAAATCTGATAATCTTTTCATAGTTTGTGTTTATGGACAAAGGACTAATATCTTGTTTGAATGAAATCTTCATATGAAGACTTGATTCGTTTCTACGAATTGTAATTGAAATAAGTGGCATATTTGAATAAGAATAGTTTGATAAAATTGAATTTATTCTCCAGTTTCAATCTTTCTCAAAACTTCGACCATTTCAGCAGCCAAAGATTTTGTGCAAGTGGCAAGACATCTGTGCTTTTGTAATAATACTTCTTCCTTGACATCCAAATCAATTGGATCACAAACTGTACCACCAGCTTCTTCGACAATAATTTTACCAGCAGCCATATCCCAGATTTGAATTCCATTTTCAAAGTAAGCATCAAGTGAACCATTTGCAACATAACACAAATTAATGACAGCACTTCCACTTCCTCTAATTCCATGACATCCTCTTCTCAAGAAGGCACCATATTTCTTTTCGACCATTCCTAAAATTTCTTCAGTTCTTCCGTATGGGAAATTACTTGAGAGTAAAGATCCTTCAATTGATTCGCATTGTGAAATGACATTCTTTTCAAAAACTTGATTTGTGAATGGAGTCTTTTGGAAAGATCCCTTTCCTTTAATTGCATAAAATGTTTCATTCATGATTGGATTGTGAACAACACCCATAACAACTTGTCCACAACAAGCTAATGCAATACTTGTACAAACTCCTGGATTACGATGGACAAAATTAGTAGTTCCATCAATAGGATCAATAATCCAACTATATCCATTCAATATAAGAGTTGTATCATGATTATTATATTCTTCACCAATAATTTGATGATCGGGATAATTTGTAAGTAAATGTTGAGACACAATCTCCTCAACACGTTTATCTGTCTGTGTGACCATATCAATTACAGTCGATTTGGTCAAGAAGGCTTTTTGCTGACTAGCAAAATGTTGTTTAATTTCAATAGCAGCCAATTCACAAGCCTTCAAAGCAACTTGCAAGGCTTGATCCAAATCAATAACTTTATATGTTCCTTCTGATGCCATTTTGAAAAATTCCTAGTGGGTGAGTGGTAGGTGGATAATAAATTAAAAAGGAGGGAGAGAACGGGAGTGTTTAGAGTGTTGAGGTATTTTTTTTTGAAATGTTATTAAATGCTTGAATAATCAAATTTTTCAAATGGAGTGAAAAACACGGGCGGAAATTGGCGGCCGAGAATTTAAACATTTTTGGATGATTTTCCTTAATAATGATGTTACAATTTCGTGGCGCTTTTGAACAACATTACAAAATGTCAGCAACATGTTGATTTAAGTAAATCAAAATTTATTGATCCAAAACTTGAATGAGGACAGAGTTTGGTTTTTTCACAATTTCACCAATTTTCCACAAATTCAAATTCTTTTCCTTGAACGAATTGACCAGCTTTTCTTCCTCATCAGGAGAAATGGTAAACAGCAAGCCACCACTTGTTTGAGCATCTGCCAAAATTAATTGTTCTTCCTTTGATAGAGTTGAGGCGAATTCAACGAATTGTTGAACATTTTCCAAATTAGTTTTGGTTCCTCCAGGAATAACAATTCTCATTAAGGATAGACAAGAAGAATCCAAAAGAGGAATTTGCTTTGCATTCAATTGAGCTACCAAATCCTTATTTTCCTCACAGATTTCTCTACTTCCTTTCATAATTTCCTTCAAATGTCCTAGTAATCCAAAACCTGTCACATCAGTGCAAGAAGAGACAGATTTCATTTCTCTCAACACATACGAAGTATCTCTATTCAAAGTCTTCATAGAATTGATTGCAGATTGAGCTGTTTCAGATTCATATGGAACATTACCCAATTTCATTGCAGATGTAATGACACCTGTTCCAATTCTCTTGGTGAGGAATAATAAATCTCCTTCTTCACATCCAACATTTCTGAAAATCTTGTCAGGATGAATAATGCCATTTACACTCATGCCGAATTTAGGTTCCTCATCATCGATGGAATGACCACCAACAATGGCAACTCCAGCTTCATTGGCTTTATCGATGGAACCTCTCAAGATTTCTTGGAGAATTTCGATTGGGAGAGTTCTGGATGGGAAGGCAACAACACTGAGAGCTGTTTGTGGTTTACCACCCATTGCATAGACATCACTTAAGGCATTAGCACAAGCAATAGCTCCAAAATCGTAAGGGTTGTCCACAATTGGAGCGAAAAAGTCAATGGTGCTTACAATAGCAACGTGATCATTGATTTTGTAAACTGCTGCATCGTCACAGGTTGAATTTCCAACCAGAACTGAATTATTTTCTGGTTGTTTTGGCAATTTCTGTAAAATACTGTCTAGTAATCGAGAATTAATCTTACATCCACATCCCAATCCAGAAGCTAATTGAGTCAACTTGACATTATCTGCATTAACGTTCAATGAAACTTTCTTTGAGAAACAAACTCCGCTTGAAGATATTGAACTAGAACAAGATGAAGCAACTCCTGTAGCTCCTCCACCACATGGACCACAGGATGATGAGCCACTTCCGCCTCCAGAAGTTGCCATTGATGGAGCAGCTCCTTTTGATTTTAGCCCAAAGTGAATCGAACGGTTTCCAACGACATTAAAGTGATTTCCCAACCAAGTATCTGAAAGAACTGAGGCAGTATTTCCACAAACTAGAACTGGTTTGTGGGCTTCAAATTTGTGAGTACCATCCAATTGGTAACTTTGTGGATAGCCCTTAATACTTCCCTTATAATAAGCAACTTGTCCATAATCTTCACATAATGGTTCAAAATCGAATAACTTGAATAATCTGTATGTGGAAGTGAATGACGAGAGCTCTGAAAATAAATCTTGCATATCCTCCTCACCTTTTGGTGGTACCATCGATATGGAAATCATTGAGGAACGACTCAATTCTCTTGGATCTTCAAATCCAGACTTTTTCACAAATCTAATAAAGTCATTAATGTACATGGCATGTGAAAACAAATTGATGAGACTCTTTTGTGAAGGCGCAATCAAGGATCTGTGGACAGAGTTTTGCAAGACGGAAATTTGCAAATTGTCCAATCTTCTATCGGTATAAATATCCTGATAGTAAAATTCACCTCCCTTTTTAAGTAATCCAAATGAAAGCTCAAACATTTTTCTCTTCTCTCTCAATTGGAATCCAGGGAAATTACCAATCATTACATCAAAGGATTCTTTCTTCTCCAATTCCACTTTCAGCTCATGCTGTTTTCCTAAATAAGTAAAGTCAATTGGACTAAATGACAAGTCCTTCAACAATTCATCCATTACCTTAATCAACTCTTCCTCGCTCTCCAAACCTCCCATTCTATACAACTTTTCTCTATTTTCACTCAGTACCAACAATGAAACTCTTCCATTTCTTCCAACCATTTTCGAAGCCACCAAAACATCTCTCATTGCACTTGATAATAACAACTCATCATCACCATTCGCACACAACACACCAACATTAAGGTGATGATGATTATCGAGAGTGGATGATCCCAATCCCAGTGGAATATTCATTCCGATCATTCCCTGTGAAGAAAATGCTGAGGATTGATCTAAAAGTTTGCTGAGGAATTTTCTTAAAGTTTCCGAATGTAGGGTTGATGATGAGGCAATTTGGGAAAGTTGATTGAGTAGTTGGACATGATCTCTGTGATGAGAGTTACTGGAAATGAAATTAAGATTTAAGAATTCTATCATTTTCATATAGTTAATAATAATATGTATTTAAATGTGGTATTTAATTTTATATTGAAAAGGATGGAAGTTATTGTTTCAATTTTTTTGAATTGAAAAACGGAGGATCAATATGCTTAGAGTATTATTTAAAATATTATGAAATTCGGCACTTTACAAATTCGCCGTAATTGAATAATAATAATTATTAACAAATAATTAAATACAGTTTACAAAAAAACCATCTACTTGGGAACTTAAGAAGGCTGGACCACCAACTCTTCAAACATGATCAACTCCCTCTTTCCACTCTTTTCCATTCCTCTCCACAATCCATTTTCATCCAACTTCCTCACTCTCATACCTTCCCAAAATGTTCTCCTTACTAAACCATCACATCACAAAGATAATAATAATAAATTGATAACAATTTTCTCTCAAAATCGAGTTACTGACCAACCCCCTTAAAGAATATTCTCAAATCTGGCAATTCTCGGATTCTTTTTCTCTCTCCATTGTCATCCACACAACACTGTTCTTCTTCGTCCTCTTATCTTTGTTTCTCTCTACTCCATCTCCACCTTACAAAAACTATAAAAAGACTTGTGAATGGGCAAATATTTCTGCCATCAAGAAAAAAAATACAAAACGTGATTTGGTTACCGAGAATCACACTCACTCACACACGAAATTGATTGTTTTTTACTCTACTTGTGCTAACGAAGTTATAGTATCATCTACGACTATTTCAACATTCTCCTCATAATCATCATCATCATCATATTGAAGATTTTTTTACATACAAAATGAAAATTGGTTCGGGTCGTTCTTGTAGAACTCCATCATCATCAGGTTCAATAGGATTTCATAGCAATTCATTGTATCGTAGAAATATTGGAAAGATGAATTTGCTCATGTTTTTTGTTACACTGGTGATCAGTTTATCAATACTTCATACATCATCTTCAACATCGCCATCATTTGGAGTGATGGCCATTTATACGGAAATATATGCTGGAAAATCTGTCTGCTTTGCCGAAGATATCACTCCTAATACACCAGTCATAGTAACATATACAGCACCAAGTACAGTTGTGTTATCTACCTTGACAATAAGAGATCCATTTGGAGGTGTAGTTTCGGAAGAGAAGAATTTCCCATCAAATGGACCTCACAAGGTTCAATTCAAAACACGTTTTGATGTTTCTGGAATGTATGAAATTTGTATCATGCCAACACAATTTGCTTCGATTCACGTTTATGGAGAGCCAACCTATGCTGCTATTAATATTGAAGTGGATAGAGAACATACGACTATGGATCATCCGGAAAGCAAGGACAGAGTAGAGAAATTATCAAATTTATTAACATCAGTGCAAGGGAAAATTAACGAAATCAATGCTCACCAGAACTACTTGAAAGAAAGAGAGGCCCGATTTCGATTCACAACTGATAGTACTTATGAAAGATGTTTTTGGATGGGTGCTGGAAAGTTTGGATTGTTATTTGTTCTAGCTGCTTGGCAATTGTACAATCTTCGTTCCTTCTTCAAGAAGAGGAAATTAATTTAATTATTTTGATTTATTTGAGTATATATAATAATTTAACATATGTGAACAACAAGACACTAATGATTGTAAATTAAAAACATTGCGATAAATATTTTACTGCAACAATTAATCATTGTTGCAATTTTCAATAATAATTTGAATCTGCTGCCACTATGATATTCTTTTCTGAACTTATTAGAATTGAGTGTTGGGAGGAATTCCCATCTCCCAAGTTGAGTGATAAATCTATTAGAGGTTGATAGTGATGATGCCCTTCAAAGAAAACAATGAAACCACACCACCATCAAAAAAGAAATAACCAATCTTTAACTGCATCATCACCAATTCTATTCGGTAAAATTCCTCATGTAGTAGAATTGTCATCATCACAACAAACGAATTATCACAATAATGAAGAAGTGAAATCGTTAACTGTTTCGGAAGAACAATCTTGTGGAAACATGACAAGGAAGGAACATAAACCGAGGAAATCCAGAGATTTTGCAAATAGGAATGTGAAAAAGCATGCTGACTCTAAAAACAAACGAAAATTGACCAATAATTTTGTGCATTTACCTTGTGAATTAGTATTGCATATTGTAGAATATTTGGAGTTTTCACAATTTATTCACATCTTTCTATTGTGTAAAAATTTAACAAACAAATTGAATGAAAATTCCTCTCAATTCTACAAACTGCTATTGATTAGAATTATGAAAAGTGATATTTCCAGCTATAGGAGATATTTAGAGGAGAGAACCAAGTATAATTCCTGTCCATTCTCATTCGATATTAAGAGCACTTGCTTTAAGGCAAGAGGAATTGTACAGTGGAAAAGGTTGATTGAAAAGAGAGAGCACGAATTGGATAATCATTTGAATAAGAAACGAAAAGAACTCAAGGATTGGAAACAAGTTTATGACGGCTATTCGAGGAGAAGATCCATTGAGCATGTCATGTTTAGAGTGAAAACTGTTTCGAAAGCTTGTTGGAAGAATGATAAGTCCTTGATTCTTGTTTTGAAAATGATAACTCAATTGAGGGAGAAATTGTTGAAATTGGACCCTGAATTGAGAAAGTACATTGTACAGAGAAATTATGGAAAGAGAATCAAAAGAGGACATACACTCTTCCATCAAATAGTTTATCTGATTGGAAATTATTCAGAAATTCGATATGATTATGAATCTATTCAACCTTTCGTACCCCATCTCAAGTTTCTAATTGGATGTTGTGGAGAAGAAAATCCTCTCTTTACCAGAAATTCATACAATTACTCTGGAATGGATTATATTGTGAGAATTGGGAGTTATGCACTCATATCAGAGATGGTCTATTCGTACTCTCATCTATTGAAAGGATCAGATTTATCAACATTTGAAAGGAAACCATTCTTGTTTTCCATGATTAAGAACAAGATTGCTAGCACAGTTATTAAGAATTGGATTCAAAAGTTTGAATTTCCAAAATCCTCTTTGACTATTCGAAATCATCTCAATATGAATATTCTTCACTATCTGATGCACTTTGTATTTAAATATGGTACCCAAGACTTTTCACAATTCGTTTACCTTCTGAAAAGTGAATTATCTGAAGAGCAAGTACTAGCAATGCTAAAGGGAAAAGATGATTTAGACGAAACACCAATGTCTAAACTCCTTTCTATGTGTGAAAATAATCAAAGGAATTCCAGAGTAGGAATAATCAATTGGAAGAATCTTAAAAGACTGTATGGTCTGGTCAATATGATGGCTATTCGCTTGGGATATGATATGAGTAGTGAGGAATTGGATCGTTGGAATAATTTATTGAGAAATAATGATGAAATATTTGGAGATTCTTGTTCGAAATTTCATCTTTCTGAGGGAGTTATTGAAATGATGAGAAAAGGAATGTGATCTATTAGCAGTTAGAGAATCTGTTTATTGATTTGTAGTGGTAATGAAGATTTTACACAGCAGAGTTGAGGAGTAAAGAAAGTAAATTCAGCTATTGAAGTGTTACCACTTTTTAAACAATATCAACAACGTTCACTTTGTGTGCTGTTTGGACATTGAACATGCACAGTAATTGGGCGATTTAAGTATGAATGATTAAGCGCTTCTTCAACAATAAATAATTCTTGCAACATTTTTGTGAAATAATGGAAATTGTTTGAAAAAAAAGTGATTATTCCAGTTGGCTAAAAGCACATATCTAAATCTTTATTCAGATTTATCTTCTTCTTCTGTATGAGGAGGAGGAAGAGGATCTTGAAGATGATCTAGATGGAGATCTGGAGTAAGATCTAGATGGGGATCTAGATGATGATCTTGAAGAGGATCTAGATGAGGATCTAGATGAGGATCTTGAAGATGATCTAGATGGGGATCTAGAATAAGATCTTGAGGTAGATCTAGATGGGGATCTGGATGATGATCTGGATGATGATCTTGATGATTGTCTACCAGATGATCTAGAAGATTGTCTTGGTCTGTATTCTCTGGTTTGTCTTCTTCCAGTATTTTGTCTTCTACCAGTGGATTGTCTTCCAGTATTTTGTCTTCTAGTTGGTCTAGTAGATGGTCTGGTTGGTCTGGTTGTTGGTCTGGTTGATGGTCTAGATGGTCTAGATGGTCTAGTTGGTCTGGTTGATGGTCTAGATGGTCTGGTTGATGGTCTAGTTGGTCTAGATGGTCTTTGAGTGGATGGTCTAGATGGTCTAGTTGGTCTTTCAGTTGGTCTAGTTTGTTGAGTTGGTCTTTGGGCTGGTTGAGCAGGTTGTTGAGATGGAGCTCTTCCATTATCAAGAACATTCAAAGCAGCTCTATACTTTTGATCTCTGTCAGCCTTACCATTGTAACCACCGTTAATTCTCTTGGTGATTCTATCGAAAGCATCTTGATTCTTTTGATCAGCATATTGATTCAAATTTCTAGAATTCCAGAACCAAGCAGCAGTCTTGAAACCAATATCTGGTCTTTCAGCAAGGGTTGGATTATTTTCCAAATCAACACCCAAAGCTTTACCAGCAGCACGATAATTGGAACGTCCAGTAATTTGAATAGGACCTCTTCCCTTATACTATAATTATATGAATGTAAATTATCATTAGATCAACATGTTAAAAAGCAAGACACAAAATTTGATGATAGAACAAAGATATTAGAAATACAACAATAATAACAAAAAAACATACTCTAACACCATCACCAGAATGAGTATTACCCAAATCCTTTCTACCTTCATAAGCCTTTCCAGAAGCAAATTCTCTAAACCACTTCAAGTTACCAGATTCATGACCCAATTGAGCCAAGAAAGCAGCTTGTCTAGCAGGAGTATTAATACCAGCAGAATTCATAGCTTCATTCAAGTGTCCAACATATTCATTAGCCTTTGATGAGGACAATCCAGGCATTAATTGACTCAATTCAGAGGCAGTCAAATCACGCAAGATATCGAAAGAGTCTTCAGTTGCTGATGCAGCGGCAGCGGCGAACATCAAACAAGCGAACAAAACGGCAACGATGGCGAAGAGTTTCATTTTTTGATTTTTTTTTAGATGATGATTTTTGCTGTGCGTATGAATTGCGAGATTGAAAAAGGCAGCAGAGGTGAACAATTCGATTATAATGTGAGAGCGTGGGATTATGATTATTGAAATCGAAGTGTATGTTTGGCAGGTGACAGATGTCAGATTGGCTGTAGTTAGTGGCATAGGTTTGGATTGTGCTAGTATCATTATCTTGTTATATTGATACAATGATGGGTAGATTGATTATTTCAATGTTGAATTTTTAACAAACTGACAATGTGATCATGGACCGTTTTCCATCAACATCTCTAGTAGCACCCATCTTCATCAGTCTTTCCACAATTATTAATATCACAGTAATGTATTAATAACTTGTTCTGTCCAAATTCAAAAAGTGACATCTGTCATAAATTCATGACACTCTGTGTATGTAATTTTTAAATTTTAATAATAAAAAAAATGTTAACCACTCCAAATATCATTCCATCCAGCATTATCGTTCGGCTTTTTATTTTACTGTTTTTCCAATTTATTTTGAGTAATTTTATTGAAAGATTGTGGAATTTAATTTACACAAACGAAATGATGAGATCCACACTTTTCTACACCACAACAAATAATTTACTCATGGTTATCTTGTATGGATTATTTTGTGTGGTAGATAAAATGTCAAATCCTGATTGGCGTCTGAAGGGTCCTATAAAATCAAGTGTTGCTGACAGTAGCTTATATGGAGATGCATGGTTATATTTTTGGAGAAATACTGGTTGTTCATGGACCATTGCCTCACTTTTAACATATTTGGAACATGGTGATTTGCATGGAGGTTTTACCATACAAGGAATTGAATTTTCAAAATTTCCAAAACAAGCACCTGGATTTCCCAGATTTATTATGGAAATTTTGTTCATGTTGTTGTGTATTGACTTTTTCATGTATTGGATGCATCGAGCTTATCATTGGGGATTTCTTTACAAGTACATTCACAGTGTTCACCATGAATATCATGAACCAATTTCGGTAAATGCTACTTCTGTGCATGTTGTCGAGATTATCAGCATGACCGTAGTAGTATTCATAGTCCCCAAGGTGCTCTATGAAATGATCGAGTTGCATCCATTATCTATTTATTGTATTTCCTTCATTACAACGGTGCATGTTGTTTTGGAACATTGTGGATATGATGATTATTTTGAGTGGTTGACGTTTGGAGTTATTCCAGTAAGCAAGATGCATTTTGTTCATCATCAATTATCGAGAGTTAATTATGGATTTTATTTTTATTTTTGGGATTGGTTGTTTGGGACTAAAATGTCATATGAGGAGATGGATAAATTAAGGCAAAAAGGAAAGAAGGAAAATTAAGAAGTTTTGATATGTTTTTTTATGGTGGAAAGTGATAATTCAGCAGAATTATTGGTAATTATTTGAAACATTTCATAATTAAATTGGAATATTATGACAATGTTACCAATTCGAAGGAATTATTGTCAGTCTTTGAGGCTGTTATTCAATAAGTATGACTTTATTTAATTATAAATGTATTTATTTAATTTGGGGAAATCATCTTGTGCATATCACTTTTCCATCACCCTCAAAATCTCTTTTCCTCATAAAAACCACACAACCACATCCACTCATTCACACGCTTTCCATCTCCACAAAAACCAAAATAGCAAGAGCTCAAATCTCCAAATTTACACATCAATTCCTTATTTTCCTTAGCAATTTGATTTTAAAAAATATTCTTCGAAAAAAATTAGCAATAAGGTGAGTAGAGACCCAATACGAGATTTTTACGCTTAATATTTTGTTTGCTTAAATATTTGTCATCATCATCACAATGATCATTATAAATATATTTGATGGATGAAATATATATCGGATTAATGTGTTGGTTAGGATGGACACTCAACAACAACAAATCACTGAAATGATCAATGATCTAAATGATAAAAAGGCAGAAATTTCTGCCAAGGTTGAAAAGGTGCAAGAAAACATTCAAAAGGTTAACAATTTTATTGAGGATAATCAAGAAAATATTCAAAAGGGAATTGAAACAGCCAATAAGGTTGTTGATACTGTTAATACAGTTCTTGAAAAGAAGGAAGAAATTGAAAAGAAGTTAAATGATATGCAAGAAGATCTCAAGATTAAGGCAACCAATACTTTGAATGCAATCGGATTGAATATTGCTGGAAAGGTTGCAGAAAAGTACAAGTTGAAATCACTCCCAGAAATGATGAACAGCATTCAAAATATCATTCCACCTGCTGTCTTGTATGGTTCAGTGATGAGAAAGCCAATGTTGACTCAATTCGGAACAATGATTCCAGGTTTTTCAGTTCCTTTCGAAACTATTGAGCTCATCGCTAGTTATGCATTCCTTGGTTTGCTTCCATTTGCCTTGTTCGTCAGCTTTATGGCAACCCAACAAAAAGCTAAAGTTGATGATGAATTGGCAAAGAGCAATGGCTCAATCAGAAGACACAAAAAGATTGCCATGTTGATGAGTATTTTGAGAGCTTCTTTGTGTGGATTGGCTTATACTTGTTATGAATTGTTTGTTGGTCAAGTTCCTACTGAAATGGTGTTTGTCAAGTCTTATTTGCCTTACATGGCTTTTGCTACATTCACTTCAATTACTGGATACGAATGGTTAGATGCAAAGATTGATGATCTTGCTTACAAGTATTTGCCATCCCTCGTCAAGAAGGAAGAATAAACTAATTAATATTCATTTTTTGTTATTCTTAATAATCCTATAAATAAATATTTGAAATAATTTAATAAATTAATCTAGAGTATTATCCTAATTTTGTAAACGTAAATGGTCAATAATTCTGACCAATCTCAGTCTCACTCCAACCTTAGCAATTCCCATTTCCAGCAGAATTTGATTATGTAAACCCAAAAATGCTAAACCATCAATATCGTGATGTTTGAATAATTCACCAACATTATGAGAAGGGAATGAAGAATCCAAAGTATCAATCCATTGAGCAACCCTAAAGGTATCCCAACTTTCAAAATCTCCTCTTCTGATATACAATTGCTCCTTAAGTTTATCCTTTTCAATTGGAACAAATCGAGCATATGGTGGTAAATTGGCATCATTAGAAGAATCAGGTGAGGAGGAAGTTGTCATTACTCTGTTTGGTTGTTGCATATATTGATTGTTGTTCATTATTGGAGTAGTGACATTATTGGTCTTGATATTTGGAAATCCATTATTATTCTGAATTGGTGATGGTTGAGAATTCATTCCATTGAAATAAGGTGATGAGGAAAAATAATTAGAGGATGAAGCGGAGGAGACTGCACGTTCTCTTTGAGGTGTCACAGTATTAGAGATAGATGGATTCATACCACCATTATTATTGTACATTTGGATATCACTACGATTTACATTAGGATATGGCTCAGATCTGTACTTTTGATAACTTGCTGATCTCTCTCGTGTTTGTAATGAGGCAGGTGAATTTTCTGGATTGGAAGTAGTACCTTGTTGATTGAAAGATGGTGTTACTGGTTGTTGTTGCTGTTGTTGTTGGAAAGTATAGTTTGTTGTAGGAGTTTGAGGAGTGGAATATTGCTCGCTTTGAGTATTATTCGTTGGGGAGGAAGGTTGTGGAGAGCCTGGTGCGTCATCTTTCTTTTTTCTTCCTTTTTGCTTTGGTTCATAATATTGACAATCAATTCCTCTCTTTCCACACTCGGAACATTTTGGTAATAATCTGTCACACTATATATTAATTAATAAGGGAATGAAATTGAAAACAAACCTTCTTGTGTCTCTTTCTACATGGAATACAAGCGATTGGATGATATTCACCAGAGTTGTTATCATTAATTGGTGAACTACTCTTCTTATGAGTTTGATATTCATGGAAGATGGTATGTGCAACTGTTTGTTGCTGTGAGGTTGTGGAAGATGTACTTTGGACAGCTGATTGAGCAGTGTTGTTAACAACACTTGATGGCATGCCATTATTCATGACAGTATTTTGAGATGTTGGTGGTATTTGTTGATACAATTGTTGTTGCTGATGGACATTACCTTGTTGTTGAACATTCTCCATGTTATTATATTGAGGTGGAGGATTTTGCATAACCTGTTGTTGTGGATTGTTATTTGTTTGTTGTGGATTTGGGGCATAACCTTCAATGGTATTATTGTTACCAGGCATGCCATACGAAGGGCCACTAGTCGAATTCAAAGAAGGTAAAGCATTATTCATTGGTTGTTGACTTGGATATTGATGGTGAGCATAGGAACCATAGTATGGTGGTGGTTGTTGATGGTGATGAATTGGAGGATAATATCCACCATGTTGACCATCTTGGTGAGGAGGTGGAATTCCATTACTAGATTGTTGATAATTTGGTGGAATTACATTAGGAGTTGGCATTGAATGATTCATCATATTATTAGATGATGAAGTAGTGGTACTACTACTTGGTGTATTGTTATTATTATTGGTAGAGGACATTTGAACTTCTTCCTTATTCATCATCATTGGTGGGATGACACCACTTGTCGGTTGTTGCTGTTGCTGTCCATTATTATTATTATTATTCAAATATTGATGATGATGGTTCGGATGATGATTCGATGTTGTCGTTGTAGGAGGCGATAAATGCTCTTCTTTCACGTTCGCTAACATCGCTTCTCAGTGATTTGTGTGGATAAAAATTTCTCAAAGCCTTTTTTTCTTTTAAGTTTTGGTTGCTCCTTTGCGGGTTATTCGCTGCAATTTTTTAGAGTGTTGACGATGAGCAGATTGACCTTTTTAGAGTATGGTGGAGAGGTTTTTGTGCGGTGAATATTAGAGTTCTGGAAAGTTGTAATTTTTTCAACACTCCTAGCTGGGCTGCCGCAGATTTCAACACAAGTTTTGGTGAATGGGTGAAACTGCAAATGAATGGAAAAGGTGATGGGTGGTTTGCAGAATAAGGTCTTTTTTTTTCAACTTGTCCTCTCTCCCGTGAATCAATGTAAGAGGGGAAAATGGAGGAAGTTTGGTTGTTTTTCAATTCGGATAGTTGCGCACAATAAACTTCATGTTTCTAATTGTGATGAATGGCAAGAGTTCGGGTGTTAATTGACCAATGCTGTTGTAATACTAAGCTCGATTGAGCGTTAAACTCCGTCTCAATAAAAGAAGTGTTTTGTTTCCATCATTTGATTTTTTATCTGAATCCAAGGACAATTTTTTACTGATGCAATAATGGGGAGAGATAAAAAACTTGTCCGCAGTAGTAGTTGCTTTTCCTCCAAGTCCTCAGGTTGCAGGAGAAAGTACATTGAGGATAAGATAAGGTCAGATAATATTCAACTATGAAAAACATTGAGTTTTACCCAAGCATTTTCTCTTTTGCACTGTAGAAATATTGTGTTACAAGCGGAAGAAGTGTTCGCACATGTTTGCCATCAAGAACAAACAAGGAAGTCCCATCAAGTTCCTATTGATATTATTCCGTTTATACGAACTTAAAAAAGTGGCAGATATTCAATTTTTATTTATGTTTTATAAATGATAGTGTGAATCGGGTGTGGTATAGTGGTAGCATTCCAGACTGTCACTCTGGCGACCCGGGTTCAATTCCAGGCACTCGAGATCAATTTTTAACACTATCCCTAACCTTTGAGTTTTACCTTCTTCATCGTAGGAGGAATGGTATGTAGCCAAGAATTATCAATTTTCAAAGTTTCATCTCTTAAAACCACCGAGAAAATAATCAAAGATTTGACATTCATTTCCATTAAAATATTCCAAGTTCCATTACGCACAACTGGCAAAATCAAGACCCAGTTAATCCTTGATGGTTATTGTTCCATTCAGATACATTTTCTTCAACATTTAACTCCAGATAATCAATTTTTCAAACACCTAGATGTTGGTATTTTAATTTCTGCCCAATTTGAACGTGCACACTACCAACTTTATTCGCAAAGAACCATAGCTATGATCGATGGTATTATACTTTAAAACCAAAGCATCCTTCCAAACTATTCGAAACATGTTTCTTATCAACATGAAATTACAGGAAGGTTGTAACTCGTTCAGTATTGAGGATTCTTGTTAGGTATGCAGTTCATTTCATGTCTTTCGAATAATGGGCAATCATTCTCCAATAGAAAAAATGTCACCATGTCGTTGATGACTTTAAAAATTAATTTTGGAAACTGCTAGTAAATTATGGACGATGAAGGGAACTGGCTTGCCGAAATAACTGCACTTTATCATAACATTAAAAAAAAGCTCAGAATACGAAAGTACTTTCACGTTTCTAATACTTTTTATACGAAAGAACTTGCCGTTAAAATCATCATCAAGGTGATAACAAATTTCTTTGAACATTACACGAAACCAGACTTTTTAAAAAATCTAAGGTTGTCATCTTTTGTTGAGGATTCTTTTAGCCTTTCACATAATATTATTCGAAATCAACTCTCTGCCGAAAAGCCGTTCAGAATTAGAGAAAAATGTCGTCGTTCAATAACAACACTACCACACCACTTTCTCAACATGTAGTGGACGAAACTCAACTAAACACTGCTTCAATGATGTTAACAGTAACACAAGCATCATCAAATAATCTCGCAAAACTCGACACCAATGATAATTCCCCTTCTCCTGTAAATAATAACAATAGCCATTCGAATAACAATACGAATCATCAATTATTAGACGAAAGACAAAGTAATCATCACCATGCTAGACACGGTTCAAATATTTCTGGATTTTCCAATCAATCTAATCAACACCACAATCATTCCCAACAAAATTCTCAGAATGTTAATCCTAAACACTCTCCAGCACTTTCGCATAATGCTATTCACATAGACGAAACTTCAACTTTTACTAATTCACCACTGGCAGACCTTCTTTCACAAATGGATATTTATAATTGGGAAGATTTCGTGAAGAATATGACACATTACCATCACGGTTCAAGAACTAATAGTTTTCTGACAAATGCCAGTTCGGCAACCCCAAGAGATTTGACACCTAATCAAATGAATGGACATTTGGCACCTCCAGGAAGTACTGAAAATCAAAATTCAAATACTCCAAGACCTGAAATTCATCTACCAACTGCCACGACAGGTTCAATGTCAGATGCTCCTAAAATGACAATTTCCAAACTGTCAAGATATTATTCTATTGTCTTGGTTGTCAGAAGATATGTCAGACATGGTGGATGTGGTTTCTGTAACAGACGTATTGTTGAACTAGTCAATTGGTTCAAGAGTTTATTACAAATTGGAATTATTCCAGTTGTTTTGCATTCAGAAAGTGAAGAGGAAGGAAACGATTTCTTCCATCATTTTAAAAATCCAAATATTGCTCACATTCCAAGAGTTTCAGATCCAAAATATGAAATTTCGTCTACTTTATTGAAAATGTCTGGATCAACTCCGTTGGTTTTCAAGGATTTGACATTTATGGAAGGAATGAAAGTTTTTCCACATTACAAATCAGCTCTCAAGGAAGGATATTCTTTCCAAACTGACAAGACGAAGGAATTTGAGGAAACTTCAAAATTATTAGTTCCAAAAATGTTGCTTATTAGAAATAATCAAGTTGTTCATGTGGTAAGTAGTAATTGAAATTCTTATTGAAATTGGATGCATTGAATTATTTGTGAATTTATATTCATAGTGGGATCATGGTTTTGGTGAGGGAGCTCCAGATATTCTCAGTACTGTTGTTTTGAAATTGCCATGGCTTGTCATGACGACAAATGACATGATGTCTGGAAGAACTGGAGGAGATTTGACTGATCTTCACACAAGAGGTTCGATATCTTCCAACATTACTGATATGGAAATGAGAAATAATTACCTAGGAATTCCAACTAATGTAACTCGTAAGATTTCAAGTGGAGGTAATTCTCCAGGAAGAAAGATTTCGAATACTTCAAGTAATGGAGGACTTCATGTTCCTCATGGAAGCACCACCTCTCAGAATCATCATTATTTGGGAACAAGTGTGGAAAGTGTATCAAAGAGAGCCATTTCTGGTTCTCCAGCAGCTAATGGAGGACATTCACCAAAAGTTCAACAAGGAGGACATTCAATTCAATATTATTTGGATCAACTCTCTCACAATCAACCTAAGAATCCAGTGGTGGATTCTACTGATCAGGAACAAGATGCATTCGATGTCATTTCACCAACTGAGAATGCTCCAGGAGGAGATACCAAGCTCCTTCTCTCTCCATCAAAGAAGGTTCAATCAGCTGAGGAATTGCAAATTGAGGATATCAAGCCAGAATTAGTGGATATTCCAGATTTACCAATTGGTAGACATACACCTAGGTCTGTGGACTCATCATCTGATGCTAATAACATGTTTGATTTATCAAAATTGAAATTCAAACTCACATACTTTAGAAAAATGGAGGGAACCCTCGATTTTGAAAAAGTTGACCAAGAACAATTGAGAGAAGAAGAAAAGACCAAAACACAACAAGCTAGGGAACTTCTCAAAAAGAAACAAAAGAGGAGTTTTTCATGTTTTGCAAAACAGGCAGAACCAATTGAGGATTATTCAAGTGATGTGGCAGCAATTAAAGTGAATCTCCAATCCATTCTAGTTGACGAAGAAAAGAGAAAGTACTTCAAAATATTTGCCATGAAGGAATTCAATGCTGAAGTAAGTATTTGTTACAACAATTTGGAATTTCTAACACTATTAGAATATCTTCTTTTGGGAGGATGTCAATTTGATTTACAAGAAACTCTTCTTGGATCTTCATAACGTCTCAACTTCCAATGAGGAACTCAGAGAAAAAATTCAGTCAACTGCCAAATATCTCACTGGAAAATATTTCTTGGACGAACTGAGTCTTTTCATTTTGAATACTTCCAATAATCTCAAACATAATGTTATCAATTCCACAAAATCTAACGATTTCTTCTCAACCGACGATTGTAAATTCCTCTACGATGATGTTCTCTTGGAAGTTATGACAACTGTCTTACCTGACATGTATTATAGATTTATTGCTTCACCTCAATATCAAATCATGTTGAAAGATTTGAGAAGAAGTAGATAAATTGATTAGATCATTATCAAATAAACACTTTATTTTAAAAATTGGATCTTTGATATCTACAGATTAGTTTGTGTTTGTTCATTCGAATCTCCAGTGAGTAAATAAAGAAGCGCCAAAAGAATACTAATATTATCATTGGGCACGTTTTCGTTATTGGGAGGACTTTCTACTACATTCGAATGACCATTATCACTAGCATGTGTCGAAGCATCTCCGTTTGATTTAGTTTCTGAAAGAGGCGACGAATGAGTTTCAAATTGCATGGACGAATTAGTTGCATGTTCATTCGAATTTTCAATTATTTCAGATGTTACAATATTACTCTGAGAACATTCAATGAGTTTGAATTTCTTCAACTGATTAGTTCCATTGCTATTGTCGTACTCAAAGTAATTATCGAGGAATGGTTTGGTACTTAATGATTTTCTCAGTTTTGATATTTTAAAACTACTTTCGTCCTGTTTCTTCCTAATTTTCTTTTTTACATTCCATGTTTCATCGACAAATGTCATTTCCTTCTTTCCATTCACCTTCCTATAATCCACACCCACATGTACTACTTTACAGTTAGCAGTAGCATGTGATGTTCCAACATTACCACTTGACTCACATTCATGCATGTGAGCATTATCATGTTGAGCATGTGTGTCATCTGCATGTTTCTCTTTCTCATCTACATGTTGCATGCCATCCATTATTACTTGCATGCCACTAACAACAACCACATTCACATGTTCAACCTGTTGTTGTTGTTGACCATCATCAACAATGACATGCATTCTTTCCAATTAGAAGCAACTTTTCAAAGATGTCAAGTAAAGTGATCAGTACAATACTATATTGAATATTGATTATGGAATATAGATAGTCTAGATGTATCTCTTTTTTTTCTCTGTTTTGCTGTACAACACACTCTACACAACTCTATTCTGACACATTGTGCGGACTATTTGAGTACAGTGCTATTGGATATTTGATATTAACTGATCGAAACTACTGCTCTCACTTACTTGAACGAAATATTTTAATATTTCAAGAGAAAAGATTATTTGGCTTTAATTGATTTGTTTTTTTTAAAGTTGTTTTATTGAGCACTCAACATGCCTCCACCTCAGCGAGTTCTATTCTCAACAAATACTCAATCACATTGAGTTGGTATAGTAATTAGAGTTGCAGTTGCGAAAATATTGAAATGCTTTATTGTTACCTTATTCATTCAAAATTTCTGGATTTGGGGTTAGGGACCTTAAAAGGATTTCCCTAAAAACAATGAACTTCTCAATGGTTAATTCTTATGGTAATGTAATTGCACTAAATAGCATGAAAAGGGAATACTCGATTTGACTTGGAGAAATTCTATTCTAAACTGGCAAGTCTTTCGAATAGAGCTCTATAATCCGTTCTATTTGATAGGCCACTTGTTTGTGTCTCCAATACACTCAAATTTTCGAAATGGTTTTGTTTAACTGCACACCACTGAAACAAAATTTGGAAAAAGTTCAAAACAACATTATAAACAAGATTAAACACGTTTGAGAAATTATCTTTGTTATTGGTTTCTAATATTTAGTAGTCCGCAAGTGGTATGGTTTCGACACTTTTTTTTGGTTATTCTATTGTTTCCAGAGTGTAAGTCTTATGGCTGGAGAATTACAGTAATCTAAGCTATTGGAGCAAAACTTGGACGAAAATGAATTCTCTTAATTTATCAGTTTCGAATAATTAAGGATTACTCAAAGATTCATTGTTATCTGATAGAGTTAATAATTTCAATTAACACAATCTGTTTCCAATAAGACAATAACGAATCGCTTCATGGAAATTCTTCATATTGACAACATAAATTGATTTGCTGAAGAACGAATCTCTACGAATCTCATTCAACATGGACTGTATCTCACTTCATTAGAGGCCATTCAACATGCCAAACATCAAAAATTTCACATTTTAAAGTTAACATCACACTGTTAATTCAACCTCACTACTTTATCAACTATTGCAATATCTTATCCATGATAATGAATTCTCTCAATAAAAAAAACTTCTTTCGAGTTCATCATGCACTGAAGCTGTCACCTGTTTAGTCAGTCATTAATCGTGTCACTGCAAAAATTGTGAAGACCAAAATACAAAATTAAACTAACTCAAAGTGTGCTCGCTACTACATCAAAAAAATGTCACACAAGTCACTTATCATTTTATTACTTGTCTCCATTGTGTTATCAGTTCTATTCATCACCAACGTCCAAGCAGCTGGTAAATCATCTGGTTCTCGTTCTTCAGGTGGTTCCAGATCATCATCTTCAAGATCATCTTCCAGATCTTCAGGAGCTTCTCGTTCTCGTAGTTCTGCTTCTTCTTCAAGAGGTGGTAGATCATCATCTTCAGGAGGAGCTGCCAAGAGAGGTGGTTCTACAGCTTCAAAGAGAGGCGCTTCAGGTGCTGCTAGAGGTGCTAGAGGAGGTGCTGCTGGCAAGAGAGGAGGTAAAGCAGGTGCTTCTGCAGGTAGAAAATCAGCAGGTGCTGCAGGTGGTAAAAAAGGAAAGAAGGGTGGAAAGGCAGCAGGTGCTGCTGGAGCTGCTGCTGGAGGTAAAAAAGGAAAGAAGGGTTTGAAAGGTGGTTTGGGAAAGAAATTGTTGGATAAGGCTAAGGGAGCTGCTCAAGATGCTTTGAATGGAGGTGCTGGTGGTGAAGGTGGTGGTGATCAACAAGGAGGTGGAGATGCTTCACAAGGTCAACCAGAACAAGCTCAACAACAAGAACAAGGTCAACAAGCTGGAGGTGAACAACCACAACAAGGAGGTGAACAAGCTGTTCAACAACCAACTCAAGAAGGTTCTGCTGCTCCACAACAAGAGCAACAACAATCTGCTGGAGGTCAACCACAAGAACAATCTCAAGTTCCACAAGCTCAACAACAACAACAATCTGGTCCAACTGGTGGTCAACCACAAGAACAACAACAACAACAATCTGCTGTTGGTGGAGGAGAAACTACTCAACAACAACAACAACAATCTGGTCCAACTGGTGGTCAACCACAACAAGAACAACAACAACAAGGAGGTGTTCAACAAAATGGAGGTTATCAACAAGGAGGTGCTCAACAAAATGGCGGAAATTCATATGTTCGTGGTGGAGGAAATAGACCAAATGGAAATTATATTAGATCTTATTCAAGAGGAGGTAGAAGTGGTGTCTACATGAAGGTCAATATTAACATTAATGGTGCTCCAGCTCAATAAATTTAGTGTAAAGGGTTCGAACAAAGAAGTTTGTGATGTTTTTTTGTGTTTTGAAATAGTGGAATGCATGGTTATTGGTTGGGATGTTTGTGTTGTGAAATTTTGACAAATTTGTCTTGTCCTTCCATGTGAACTTTGCCCTTTCAATAGTTGATTTAAATAGTTAAACCATTAACAATATTACAATAATCGAAAAAATTATTAAAAATTTGCATAATTCACTCCACGTCATTGCAAAACATTTCTGATTCCTTCCTCTCCAATCTACTCAGTATTTCTTTCAATATTTAATAAATAATATATTAAAACAAAAGCTGTAAATCATCATCACAATAATTAATTAAAAAAAAATGAATACAACAACGGAAGACATCTTTTCCGAAGCTACAAATTCCATTCCGATTAATAATAATAATACTGATGAAGATGAAACCATGATGCAAGCTGCGATCGGAACGTTTTCTGATTTATCACATCAAACCGAATTGATGATTTCAATCTTTGAATATTTACCTTTAAATAATATTGCCTTGTCTTGTGCTTTGACTTGTAAGGCTTGGAATTCAATGATTCGTGAAACTCAAACTCTGTGGAGAAGTGTTTGTTTAAATGAGTTGGGATGGCCTGTTAGTCTATCAACGGATGATGTTTTATTTCAAGAGGAATTGAAGGCAAAGATTGAGAAGGGAGAAATGGATGCATTGTCGTCACCTCTTCCTTCCAATTCAAAGGATGATTTAACTAAATCGAATGGAAAACGTGCCATTTCAATTTGTGGAAAGAGTTTCATGTGGAAGGATTTGTGTTTCATGTTGAATCAACCTGCTACTTTGTACATGTTTAGTAATACTTTGGCTTCAAAGAGGGATTGCACTGAATTGTATAATGAAATTATGAATGAGAGTTATACGATTTTGGACGATACATTCCCAGATGATAAGTTTATTGTCTTGAAGAATGCCAAACTGATTGATTGTATTTGTACAGAATTGTTAATTTTACAAAAGCAAAAAGTGTTAACTCAGATTATGAGCGACAAATTGTACGATATTTTCATTCCAGTTCTTGAGAAGATGAGAAAGGAACCATTGTCTACAGATTCAATTCAATTATTGAGATATAGACAAATTGTTTTGGGAAAGAACAAGTTTAGTTTCTTATTCACAAAAAAGAATTTTGAAGATATGCAACAAGTCGTTCAAGAAAATATCAAAGGAAAATACTCATTATTTGGAGTTTATTTATTGAATGATGATGGTCATAATTTCCAAGAAGTTACCGATCAAGTGAAACGAGCTTTTAATAATGATATTGACTTTGATTATTGTGATTCATTGGTATATAAGGCCCATTTTAATGATGAAACTTTGCTATTTGAGACTCGTGACTTTGATGTTGCTATGGAGGCAGTTAAAACCCTCTCTGCCATTGATTTACATTGCATTCTTACACTTCCAGAATATGATGCCTTGCAAACCATTAGAAGAAGATTTGCAATTAACAGTGAAATGTTGGAATTTTATAATGAATTTGCTCCTGAGAATGCCAAATCAAACTTTGATAAGATATTGAAAAATTCAAGTAAGGATGAAAAGTTTGTTGTGGTTCTCTATCGTTCCATGCATAGTCCTGGTGGTATGGCAAATATTTTACGTTCCGTTTTTCCTAGTTTGAGTGAACAAGATTGCTTGGGAATTTACTTTACTGTTGCTACATTTGGATATTGTTTTATTGCAAGTGGAACATTTGATCAGTGTAAAGCCATTGCTGAAAAGCTCACCAAACTTTTCCTTAATGTCATGTTAAAAACTGAAAAGCAAGCCATATTGGATGAAACTGAAGAACAGGAAGAAGAGGAAGATGAATACATCGATGAGGAATAAACAGGAAGAAAGCTTATTGATAAACTGTTGATTCTCTTTAAAATTTAATATTGAATAATGAGGAAGTAATATCGTGTAAATTACAATGTCTTGGCAAATGCATTTTATTATTAACAAATGATACAATCACTTTCCTTCTTGGTTTTTTTAGACGACTGAGAAACTTGTGGTGAAGCTAATTCTCGTTCCTGTCTCTGCTTATTGAGCTCTCTCAATTGTGATGCTTGATTCGCGTAGGCGTTCGCTCCATGCTTTTTCGTTGTATTAGAACCAGGTTTCTTTTCTCTAATTGTTGGCACATTTGCATATGGAATGCTTGGATCCTGTTCGAGAGGAGTTTGAACTACCCTAGGAGATGTTTGAGGATTATTAGCTTGTTGCTGAGGTTGTTGAAATTGTGGATTAAATTGTTGCTGTTGTTGAGGGTGAGGATGTGCCTGAGGTTGTCTTGTTTGTTGCTGTTGTTCATGCATCATTTCTTGCTGATAGGCCATCTCCTCTTCTCTTTGAAGTTGAAGAGCTAGTTGTAAATCTTCATCGTGTTGCTTACTATCCACAACTGGTGCTTTTTCCTGTTGATAATATTCATAGTTTTGAGAGTGAGTTTCCAGCATTCGGAATGGTGTAAAATCTCCCAAATAATATTGTTGATCTTCTCCATGAATTGTCAAATTTTCCCAGACAATGTTCGTTTCATTTAGGAGAGTCTCATTTGTACAGAGTGTGAGGATTGCTTCCTGTATTTTACAAATTACTGAAAAGTGATTATTTCTGAAAAAGATGGCAATCTTTCTATCAGCCAAACTATTGTGAAGGGATGCCAAACCATATTGTGTCAATTGTGATGGTGAGTTGGTAAGGAAAGTTTGAATGAGTGATCCTTGTGAAATAATATCATTCTTTTGATCGACTGGTAATCTGGTGACCATTTCTTCTGGAGTTTTCAATTCTGTCAAATCAACGTGAGCAGATAGAATTTGCTCAATAACTTTTCCACTCTTTTTCATTTGCTCTTCTGCATTGATAAGTTCATTCATTAAAACAATCTTTTCGACTGCTTGATCGTAGGAGAGACTTTTGAGCGCTTTAAATGTTTCAAGCTCAGATTCCGAATCTACAAGCCATCCGTGCATTAATTTGATATTGAAAAAGTTGAACACAGACAAGTCACAAGTTGTAAATCCATGAACTCCTTCAGTAAATTGTACATTGACATCGAGACCATGTTTGAGTTTTGGAACTGAGTCTAGAGCTGCTTGTAACATCTTTCCCTTCTCTCCATCAGTATCTGATTTACTATATTTAAGATTGTATGTATCCAACATGGATTGGGCAAGAATCTGCACAAGACTTTCATTTGTAATAAATCCATTCACAATGAAATTGTCAATAGCACTCACATCACCTCCTCTCAATGAAATTATATTAAATACAGCAATCAGAGGACAAGGACCATTTAAATTCTGCAGAACGATCGGAGTTCTTCTCTCTCCAATCAAGACTCGTTTTACTCTGTACTTTTCTATAGTTCCTTCCTCATCAACATCCTTTGCTGCTAATTGAATTGTATCTCCTTCTTCCATATTTACAAATGTTGCTTCTTCCGATTGTTGTTGTTGTTCTTCTTGATTATTTGTATGATCGTCCATTTTCTTCTTGACGAACTATTGTATTTACAAGTGTATTAAATTATTACTATTATAATTCTATTATATTTTGATGATGATTGTTATATTATTTATAACTTGAATTCCTTTTTTTCAATAAATTAATAAAAATCAATGTAAACTGTTGTTGGTGTTCTTTTAATTTTTTCTAAAGAGACAAAAAATCGTAGAGATTAAAAAACGAGTTAATGCATCTATTTTTAGACCATTCTTAATAAAAGTGCGCCAAAAGTTTCCAATTCGAACTCCTCAAAGATTCTAAGGAATAGTTAAACTTGGCTTCTACTAATTCGAAACCAAAACACGTCATAATCTTTCATCCATCACTCAATTCCCAAACGAATTCTTAAGAAGAAACTCAAATGTTAGATTTAAACTATTAAACGTTTTGATGAACGATAAAACCTAATGTTCAATATCTTTAGACATGCTTGATTTGAAACAATTATTTCATTCAAAAAATGTCTCAACTCTCCAAATCAATGGAAGCCTCTGAATATCAGAATTGATAAGGCTTTTATGCGGACTGAAAAATTATATTTTGTATGATCCGATCATATATGAACATTATTTGGAATTTAAGCGACGATTATGAGTGTTATTCTCAGTGAGTGGTGATAACTCAGGAGCACCTTCTGTTGATCCAAACTTTGAGAATGCAACAATTTATGGAAGCCATGGATGAGTAAGAATTATCATGTTTTCGCTGGACTACACTGAACATACACTCTTCACCAAAATGTTCACATACAACTTAAATAAATCTTTTGTCTCGATTCTATATTATTTGTCTCACCGACAAATTTTCTTGTACATTTTCAAAAAGGCTTGAGAATTCCCAACTCTTAAAAGCCTTTTAAATAGCCTTTCATCAACCATTCAACACTAGCTATTCAAAAAAAATGTCACAACATCAAGACAAAGAAACTATGCAACAATGTGCTCCATCACATGGTGACAATGGTTCGGAAGAGTTTATTTCGGTTGATGAAGTCAATAAAGCTTCAGAATCAAGTGCTTCCGATTCAATGATCATGGATGACAAACAAGTGAATTCTGACGAAAATGCTGCAATTTATGAGAAGAAAATTCCAAAAGCTTTAATCGAGTTGAAGAAAATATTTTCTGATGATTTTGATTTTGAAGTGTTGAAGAATACGTATGGATTGAGTAAGAATGAGGCTCTGGTTGAGGGGATTGAAAAGGTAATTGTACAGGAAGGGGAAGGATTGGAAGCAAAACCAGGTTCTATCATTAGATGTAAGTGAAAGAATTGAGTTTTTATTTGAATAATATAATTGAACATTCGAATAATAATAGTTTTGGAAGCCTGTGTAGTATTTTTTAAAAGAAATGAATTTAGTGATTGGGAATTTCTTATTAGTTCTAATACATTGCTTCAGGAAAATAGATTGAAATTGAATAAGGTTCCACCAGTATTTTTCAAATGTATTCACACTCTCAAGTTGGGTGAGCGAGCCTTTTTTAAAATTCATAAGGATTTGTATCCAGAGTTGAAGGTTACTCGTTTGGATCCAGTTCAGGATGATGTGGAAACTACAAAATTAATTGACCTTCTTAAATGCCACGATTATTATGGAGTTCAATATATCAGCATTACACATTTGGAATTGAAGGAGGCACCTTCACCAAAGGCATCCTTTGAAGAACATCTCGAGCAAATCAGTAAGAAGAGACTTGAAGGAAATGTGCTCTTTAAGGAATGCTCATTTGCTAAAGCATTGAAAACATACAATACTGGAATTATTTTCGTTAATGAGGCCAAGTTAGATGATGGTAAAATTGATGAACAAAAGGCAATACTGAAAGAAGAACGTATCAAGCTCTTAACCAATATTGTCAGATGCCAAAACTCACTTAACAATGAAAAGAATCACAAGCTATGCCTTGATACTTGTGACAAGATTCTCTTCTACGAGCCAGAAAACCACAATGCATTCTATTTTAAAGCCAAAACTTACAATACACTCGACGATTATTCAAGAGGTCTTGAATGTATGGAAAAGGCAAAACACTATTTTTCCACTTACCAACAAAAGAATAGCAGTGATCCAATTCAACAAAAGAAGGACGCTGAACTGAAAAGCAGAATGGAAATTATTGAAAGGCAATTACTCAAAAAGAAGAAACTCCAAGAAGTACAGGACAATAAGCTTATGAAATCCAAAATGACTAACATGTTCTCTGAGGAACTCTATGCTGATACAGAACCATATGATGAGGAAGAGTATTGGAGAAAACAGCAAGAGGAAGATGAAAGACTGGGCCGTAAGCCATGGTTCATGTCAGATGGCACCATTCACTATCAACAATTGTAATATTCCAATGTATTTGTAAAAAGGTTGATTAATTTATTCTAAATGAATTGAAATGAATCGTTTCATTATATTGCGTTTGAGGTATTGACTTAATATTGTTTGGCTTGATAATGACTTTCTCGTTAAAATTGTCACTTTCTAATGTATTTACTAATAATTCTAAATCTTGAGGTCTGTACAAAAAACAATTATTTGATTCTTCTGCTGCAGTTTCAGCAAAGATTGAGTTGACGGTATTTACATTGGGAAATTCTTCAAGTAATTCATTTTCTGAAACCTTGAGGTAGGTATTATTTGGGCTGATCAAGGAGAGTGGTTCCAAAAACTGACCAAAACAATCTGATAACTGATTTGATGAATCAATTATCGAAATGGTTTGTTTGATTGTATGCTGATTATATATTAACAAATCAGCTTCCGAATTAGATAAGGAAGACTCTGAATGATTTGATGATGAATATAGACTATTATCACAATGAAGAGAGTATTCATGATCATCATCTTCCTCATGCCTTGTTGCTTCCTTCTCCAAAGAGATAAAGTAGGAATCAGCAGCAGCAACAGCATTAAACGATAAGGTTGTTGAGAAATTCATTATGTGTGTTATTGTTGAAGGTTGTGTGTTGATTCTTTTTTTGGTGAGAAAGATGCAACATTGACAATGTTTCTATGAAAAAAACAAAACATAACGAACAAATATATTCAGTCCGGATTCAAATAAGTACATGAGAGGAATAAGGCCATCATTTAACAATGAACCTGACTGTCGGAAGAATCGCTTTTCATCTATATTAAGAGTACTTTCTGTTTTGCATAAGCATCCTTAATAAGAACATTGCCGTGCTTGTTTTTATACCCAAATATTTGGACAGATTTGTTAAATGAATCGACCATGGTTCTCGCAATAATTGAATCTAAAAAGTTGGTTATTGCAAGTGTATTGTTTCAAAACACACAACAAGTTCCAACCTTCTTCGAAAGAGGGCCCTGTAATAATTTCCAGTTCTTAAATAAGGGTGATCTTATTAATATTTATCAGTGTGATTTCAATCGGTCGATAAATATTTGTACGGTTTATTGAGAGTATTGTTGAATATTCACGTATTGATGAAATGCAGTGGTGGGAACAGAATTTGTCTCTAAGGAAATGGTGATTATTAATAAAAGGTAATCCATTAACATCTTGGGATTGGTATTTGATCAACTCCATAATTCTAAAAGACAACGCCATCTTTTTTTGCCCTTTGGACAACTTGTGCCATTTGCTTATCCTTTTCTTGTGTGGCAGCTTTGAATTTTTCTTGTTCATAACTAGATTTGAGATCTGAGGGAGAAATGGTAACTAATCTTCCATATTCAAAGATTTCTTCCTTAATTTTGGTGACATTTTTGTAAACACGAGCATTTTCAAGAGATTCTAATCTTGAATTGACTAAGGTGGACAAGTTGTAAGAAAGAGCTTCGGATTTTTCCTTCAAAAAAGCTTGATCATTGGAAGTGAGGTATTTAAGTGATTTGAACATTTCAGCATTGATTCGTTTGGTTTCTTCCAACAAGGTAGCATTGAATCTTCCATATTCGAACGTGTGTATTTCCAAGCTATTTCTCTCAATCGACACAGAGACAATATAAAGTACTTGTTCAATCTCATTCACAACCATTTTACAATTTGCCGAGCTCACAAATAATGGACCCATTGAAAACAATTGAGACCCAGAACCCAAATGTGAAATGCAAATTGAAGACAATGGTCCAGGACTAACTAAACTGAAAACCAGACCTCTTTTTCTATCAAGTGCAAATGTGGAAACTAATTCTCCGTCCTCCCTCAATGAAAAAGCATGTAGAATTGCATGAGTACCATTCTCCAATTTTGCACCGCTCTCATCAATCATCTTAATATGGGTACACTCATTGGAACTTCCAAGATTCATTCCACCATTCAAAGATGGAAAGAGAAATCTCTCTCTATAATGAGCCAATTGAAAATTGTGAAATTTTAAGAATTGTTTCGACTCTAAAGAAATGAAATTCTTTGCATCATTAATTTCACTTCCATTTGGATGATAGCATTCTGAAATAGTTCCATCCAGATTGACTCCACAAATGATTCCAGATTCTTCCTTAATACAAATTCCATTCACACAATTCTCGTCGTGGCCAATCCAAGAAACTTGACCTTTCAAATCCAATTTTACAATGGTTGCTGGTTTGGTGGATTGATCGGAAAAATCATTCAGTAAAACAACAAGTGAATTGTCCACTGAAGAATACTCAATTTGTCTAACGAACACTCTAGTTTCGTCCAAATTGTTTCCAAACATTGTTTCAGATGGATTTTGTGAAAGAATTTGCTCTTTCAAATTGAATGAATGGACAACTTCCAATGTCGAAGCTGATGATGTATAATTTTCCATATTGAAAACCAAAACTTGACCTGTTTTTGCATTCACACAAAACAATTCACTTTTTACCAAACATGGAAGGAATGGAAAACAACCTTCATGTGAAAGAATTGAATTGCTCGGTAAGGAATGAGCAATTGTAGAAACATATCCAAGACCTACTTGTCCATTCTGTTGATCAGCACACTGATTCTTATGAAATCTGGTTGGATTAAATACCAAATATGGAAATTTATCGTTTGGATACACTTGAGAATTGTGGATACTAAATTGGCTGATTAGCTTGTCCATCGTCTTGATTGTATTGATACAATGTTATGAAATCAACACGGATTTGATGTGATGAACTTTTTTTTTGATGAGTTTCAAGAGCCATGACAGTTCGAAACTAAACTAATTTCTTAAGTGTCCAGAACACACAATGAACGGACACGTTTGCAATCACTGACGCACAGACACACCCACTCACCATAATCCACACAAGAGGTCAAATAAATCAATTTTCAGAGTTTAGTTTTCAAAACCGAAAGCTCATAAAAAAATGTCTCAAAACCTTTCTTTAACTTTGGCTGGTTGTTTGGTGACTCCAAGTTTGGCAAGTGTTGATTTTGATAATTCGACACGGACATTGTTGTATTTGTATAAAGGAAAGGTGATTAATGGGAATGTTTCGTCTTTGATTCTTGAAACTAACCCATTGGAATCGAATAATGGCAGTCGAAGGGAAATTTCTGTCGTTTCGACTGAAAGAATTTTGGCTAATCCACGTTTCCACAAGTATGAACACATTCCAGATCAAATACAACTTTACTATCAAGTACATTCTAAATTGAGTGAAAATGTCCTTGTCTATAGAAAAACAGTTCAAGACGAAACTAATCTCTATTCACTTTTGCAAACTCCACAAGATTTGTATTGTGTAAATCCAGTGAGTGGAGATTATGCAACCTATTCGGATGGTTATGTGAAAATTTATAAGAATGTCAATTATTGGGCGAATTCATGTCGTTTGGAGGAAATTAAGCTTTCGAATAATGTGTATAGTTTCGGATTTGCAATGTTGCCACAATCTGAAACTTGTCAATTGCCACGAATCTTACTATTTTCAAGAGAGAAATTGAACTATTTTGAAGGAGAACATTTAATTATGGAAATTCCAATTCCATTCACAGAAGATTGTAAAGTTTCGACTGATTTCAAATTAGGTATCCTATTTATGGCAGATTCAAAGAAAATTCTAGCCCTCGATATCAATAACAAATTCGAAACTCTATTCAGAATTGATTTGGGATTTTATCTAGTGAAAGGAATGACCATTGATGTGGAGAAGAAATTATTATTCATTGGTTCGAAACATTTTATTCACATTTTCAATTATGGTTATTTTGAAACAATTGACCCATTACAACAAGAACAATTACAACAATTCTCAAAGGAATTCATGATGAAAGGTAGATCAATGGATTATCAAGAACAAGTCAAATCCTATTTCAGATCCCTATATAATGATTCCAGTTTGACAGCTGTTCCTCCAAGTGCACCTTCTACCTATAAGGGAGGTGGCTATTGTGAAATTATTCCACAATTAATTCCATACGTGAATGGTCAATCTGTGTTGCCAACTAGTAATACAAGCCAAACTGCAGTTTCTTCCTCTTCTATTGGTGGTGCAACTTCTGTATCGAATGGTTCATCAGCTCCTGTTGTGAATTACAATAATAATTCTGCACAAGTTCAGACAACAACACAAAGAGTTTCTAATCAGCAGCAACAACAAGACACTGATTGTTGTGTTATTCTCTAATAAATATAAAATACAATTAATATTAGTGAACAATAGCTTAATTTCATCAACGGAAGAAGAGATGTGAAGGAAACAACTTTTTTGCATCATTTGATTTTAGGAGCTTGTGTTGTGGTTTTAATAGTGCTACAAAATGTTGTATCAATCCAATGATGAAAATTTGTATTATTTTACTTCTTCACATCATGACAACAATATTTTCAATATTTAAATATAATTTTAATTAATTAGTTTAATATTTATCATCAAGGTTGAAATCCTTCAAGACATTCATATCAAAATACTAATCTACAGAATATTATCAACAACTACAGGCTAAGACGCATTGTAAATTATTTGCGCCACAATATTTTTTGTTTCCACAAACAACCAAACCCACCAACAACTAGAGGAGAAAAATCTAAAAATATTAGAAAAAATGGCTCCACATAAACCACAAGAATTCACTTCATTGGTTCAAAAGTTGAAGAAAATGGACAAGGCAGAAAGAATTAAATTTTACCGAGAACGTACGAAACACATGGCCAACAAACAACAAGCTAAGCAACAACAAGATCACCCTCTCGCTAATAACAAGAGAAAGAAAGAATATTATTCTGATGATGATCAAAATGATGATGATGATCAACATGATGATGATAAACAACAAAGAAAGAAGAGAAAAGAACAAGAAGAACAAAATGATAGAAAGGAAATGTCTGATGACGAATCCGAAGAAGAAACAGACGACGATCAAGAATCAGGTGATGATTCTTCTGACTCTGAATGTGATGAACAAGAAGAAGAATTACAAGAAGAACAACATGAAGAGCAACAACAAGAGGAACCAGAAGTAATAACAATAGATGATGACGAAGAAGATTCTGATGAAGATTCTGATGAAGAAGATTCCGATGAAGAAGAAACCGACAAAGACCAAGAATCAATCGACGCCTCTTCTGAATCAGACAATGATGATGACAATGATGAACTGAGACGATTTTTCCATAGACACTGGCGCGGCTCCAAAGCACAATTTGTCAGAGATTATGGACCTGAGAATGTTGATGCTTCAATTTTTTGCAGATGGTTGAGTAGAAATATTAAGGTCAGCTGGACAAGCTCCTTTGTTAGAAAATACATGGAAGCATTGAGCCAGACTCAAGCTACTGAAGCACTTGCTCACGATGAAGAACATTCAGAGTCAGAAGAGGATAGAGACGAAATGTCTGACGATCAAGCAGAAGAATGGAATGTTGTAAACGATGTAGAGGTGCCAGCGGAACCAGAAATAATAATAATAGATGATGATGATGATGAAGAAGAAGATCAAAACACAGAGGTACATTATTCTCAAGAACAAGAAGAGATGGATAATTGCTTAACAGAACAAACTGAGTACCTCATGAATCATGAGAAACAAGGTGATTGTATGCAAGACGAAGAAGAAATCATTCCTGTAATAGAATGCAATCAAGCCAAGAAAGGAATCATGTTATATCCTCCATCAACACTTCCAAATGGCATACCTTATCACAGATAGATTCATCTCTGAGATATTTTAAATATCTTGTAAATTAATGTACATAAACTCTTTTAGATTCCTTCTTCAACACCTTTTGAATACAGTACAAATTGAGAAAACCCAACTTGTTTGTAATTATCAAACAAATTATATATTTTTAGAAGAAAAAAAATCCCTCACAACAACCACTAAGGGAATGGACAAGAATGCAGGAGGGAAAATTTTGAATGAAGAACACAAAGAGGAAGCAGAAAAAATTAATACTTCGGAAGGTAGTGAAGAAAACAAACTAGAAGGAATGAACAAGAGAAAGAATTTGGATTTTTATCAGCAAAAGACAAAGAAGAGAAAAGAATCCAAAAAAGACACAGATGATGATGAAGCTAGAGAGGAAACCAATAACAACACGCATAACCATGTAATTAATGCAAATGAAGAGGATGAAGAATGTGTGAATGATAACAAAATTGGAGGTAATTTCGAAGAAGAACCAAAAGATAGCACTTCTCAGTTGAAAGAAGTTACATGTCCTCCACCACATCTTCCAAATGGATTGTCCTATAACAGAAATATACCAATAACTATTAGGGACATTCCAATTTAAAATGAAATTAACAGTTATTGTAAAATGAAGATTTGAACGAGAAATTGGTACCACTTGGTGATTTTCCCATATCATTGGAAATTTAATTCGATAGTTGAATAAATTGGAAAAATGGACTAATTCCCTTCATTACAAGTTGGTACTACATATTGAAAATCTATAAAATATGAATTGGTTTCATTTGTTACATAATTGAACACTTTTTTCCACTGTTGTTCCTTCTATATTTTTCTAAAATATTTGAGTCTTGTACAATGATTGTTTGTAATAGTTGTAAATCATCAGGTGAGAAGCTTTTCGACATTTTCATACATTCATTAAATACTAAATCACTCTTCAACTTGTCCTGCGCAGATGCTTCAATAATTCTTGTGTTTTTCAATTGGAATCGAGTAATAATTTGGTTAATTTCATTCTTACAATCAGTAATGGAAATTTGAATTTCTGTTTGTGGAATATCAATCTTGTTAATAACGAAAACCATGGGTAATCCAGCATTTTCGTTAATGTTCAAAATTTTCTTTACCATGCCATTTAAATTTTTCAAGGATTCACTGTTATCCAGAGAGCAGACCAGTATGAAACTCATTGCATCTCTAATATAACCATCTCTTAATGCTGCAAATTCCTCCTGACCAGCTGTTATTGAGCCATTGCATATTTATTTTCAATGGAATTCCAATAAAAATATGATATTGTACTTACCAGTATCCAGAATTTCAGCAAAGACAGGTGCCCCATCAACAGAAACTTCCTTCCTATACGAATCCTCCAGGGTTGGATCATATAAACTAACAAATACACCCTGTATAAATTGAATAGTCAAGGCTGTTTTACCAACCCTTGCTGCATATTTCAATTTAAATTTCACACCAAATAACAATTCAATAATAATTTTCAATAACATTTTAAATATTGAATAACATTCCAAATGATTACAAACCTTCTCCCATAATGACCATTTTAATAATATCCTTTTCCCAAACACTCTTTGAACTCTTCACTGCAGATTTAATAAACCTCATCAATAACAGTTTCCTCCTCAAAACATTCTTTCTAATCATTTCCTCTTTCAATTTGTTTAATTCTTCCCCCAGTGATGCATTCGTTCCTAAATCCACTTGAAATAATTTCCACCAAAATTCCTCCATCAAATACTTGTTAGTTTCTTTGCAGAGTTTGGAATTAAGTGCTTGAAACTTGATAATGCTCAGTGCACATGCCTTCCGAACCGAAAACTCAACTTGTTTAATATCCGAAGGAATTAGAAAAGAGAGAATATGTCGATGTATTTCGTTGGGTAATGAGAGAAAGGCTGATGATGATTGCTTAGTAGACATTTTTTTTAAAGTTTTGTAATCAAACTGTTGTTGTTCATTTGATGTTCCTTTTGATCTTGTTGTGGATGATTACAATAATATAGCTCAACAATGTTCTCATACTTGAATTTGTTGTTGAGTGTACCAACCATTGTTCTTCCACTTGTGCCAAATCAATCTACCGTGCCATTCTTTGTTTTATACATATTTAAATAATACTGGAATATTTCTTTTTTCATCTTCTTTCAGGGAAGTAAATCGATGCTTTTCGGTTTCCCAGGTTGGGGAAGCTTGTAAGGAGGTTATAAAGCAAGAAAATACCCTATCCAGCAGGTGTAAATCTGTTAAGGCCTATTGACTGAAGAATAGAAGAAACTAATGTGTTGTTTGCCATCCCATGAATATTGTCCATACCAACATTAATAGCCTCTTCGTTCACCTCAACTAATCGTTTTGGATTCAAAGAAATAGATTCGCCCAAATTTAAATTGTCATTGGTTAAGGAATGGTAACATTACCTCACTAACATGAGTTAATATGCAAGATTTACAGGCAATTGATAAACTCGAGAAACCAAAGAAAAGTTATGTCTATTATCGTAAACATGAAAAATAATCCACACTCCTACCTAATAAACCTCAAATTTACTCTTGATACAATCCTTAAACTTGATCAGTTACAGTTGGTTATTCTTCACATATTGCATCAACTTGCCTTAATGATCAACAACCGTCTTTTACCGCTCAAAATCGTTAAGGTTCTCAAACATTTTACCGTTGCACAATTTAAAATCATCACCAGAAAAAAACGTTCAAGCTCTTTGCAGACTAGTAGTTAAAAATCGTTGATTGCAACCGCCTTATCATCATCACACAAGCAATTAAATTATTAATATCAACCCAGATACTAAGCATTCACAAAAGTTATAATAATTAAGAACCCTCATCAAATTTATTTACAAAATGGCCACCAACTCGATATCAAATATTGTCTTTGATTATCCAACTGCTCCTCCTTCTCTTGCTACTCATTTGAACGCTCCTGGACATTCGATTCGTAACTCTTCACATCATTTTCATCCAGTAGCCACAGCAAAGATTGGAAAATCATCCTGCAGTAGTAGTGACTCATCTGGTCCAATTCAATCCTCAAGCGAACCTCTAAGAGTACCAACAAGAGTAAATCCAACAAAGAATCAATCTTCCATTTCTTTCATTCCATCTAAGAGTGAAAGCTCAACTAGTGCATCTTCTTCGAATAACAAATCTAACAAGTCACTGAACTCTTCCACTATTAAAGTGACTGAGGTTGGAGCTGTTAGCTCTGTCGAATCACCAAATTTCTGGGCTAGAAAGAGTAGAAATGCTGGATTCAAGAAGGAGGATAATCTCTCCGATGGTTTGGCCACATTCTTATCAGAAAAGAAGACCATTGAAGATGGTCGTCCAGAGAATATCAGTGGTGCTACCCTCAAGAGAAGTATTGCCACACCAGTTCCTAATGAGAAACCAACAAGTAAGGTCAAAACAATTGCTCCACCATCCAATGATGATCCACGCCCTAATAGATTGGCTCAAATTCCACCTCCAGTGATTAAGGAGAAGGCAAGAGGAAAGGCCAAGCTAAAGGAAACACAACCAACTAGACCGACCTTTGCTACTCACTACTAGATCAATTTTTATAATCTCTATTCTTTAATTGTAAATACAAGAACTAAGCCGCCCCGATGATTATCAGACATTAACCATTGAAGAAAATTCAATGGTTTAAATGATGATGATTAGAAATAAAATTATTTTCAAATAATCAATACAATATTGTGTATTTTCTATTGTTGATAGGGAATTATTGCAAATAATAATAAATATTATTATTTATATTTAATATCAAATTTAATTAATATTCTGATAGATCATTTAATAATAAAATTAAAAAATGTTGCAACCACGTTTATTACCAAAAGTCTTGGAACAAATCAACACGGATGGAATTAAAACAACAATACTGTGTAATGTTAACGGATCATTAATTAGTTCAGCATCAACGACAAATACAACATCAGCCAACAGCAGCGAACAACAATTAACCTATCAACAACATCTTCTTCCATCACAACTTAAACATTTGGATAAATTGGTTGCTGCTATTGCTGCCAATATGTGGTACTCTTATCAAAAAGCTGGTAAAACAGCCTTCTCACCATCTCCTATTGAATATGATGAAAACGGAAATGTTATTGAACAAGAACCACAAGATCAAGAGGATCAATTGCCACCACAAGAATTAAAATGTCTATTGGCTGATTGTGAATATGGAAGAATGGCCATCACTGGAGTGAGTAGAAATGTCGTCTTGTGTGTTTGTGCAGAAAAGAATGTACCTTTTGGATTGTTGAACAAAAAGACAACTGTTTTGAGAGAATATCTGTCGGAACCTTTCAAGATTATTGATGAAGCAATTGAGGAGGAAGAGGAAGAAGAATTTTAATTGATTTTATAATAATATTAACAATTTAGAAAATTATTTATTTAATTTAACAATAACTTTATGATTTATTAGGAGAAGAATTTTCAATTATATAAAACAAATTGGAAAAAATCTTAGTGAACCAATAATAATAACCAGCAACACCTTTTTAAAAAACGAAACACGAATAATAGTTTATAATTTTTTGTAAATAAATATTGAATAATAATACATTGAAAAAAGCTCGAAAAGGATCTATCTGAATTCAACACTATCATCACTGTCAGCTCCATATTCATCTTCGTATTCCTCTTCACTGGCATACTCTGATTCATACCCACTAACTTTTCCAGAATTGGAAGGTCTAAAACGAGAACCCAATCTTCTAGAACTTCTCTTATTGCTATCAGAAATTCTTATTGACCTAGTCTTTAATGATCTGACCTCACTTAAATATTCCTTATTTTGTGAATCCATTTCTTGTAATCTGAATTCGAGCATTTTTCTAGTCTTTTCTTCAGTATTCAATTTCTCCCTCAATTGTAGAATCGTATTGATCATTTGCTGATATGATAATTTGTTGATACTAATTATATTATTACTGACTGTACCTTCTATTGTCATTAATTCATCCACTGGATGATCAAGAGCGATCTTTCTTTCATCTTCAAGTTTTTTTTGTTGTTCCATTTTGGCTTGTTTTGCAATCTTGAACTCCTTCTTGGTCAAGACAGCTCCAAAGTTATCAGGATCATTCTTTGCCAATGCGACAAAAGATTCATATCTCTTGAGCACTGATGATAAATTGTCATGCCACATTCTAAGTGAAATGGATGTGTCAACATAATGATAGAGGGAAGGATCTTGTTCTGTAGATCCAAAATCTTCTGTTACAATTACACTAGTGTTAAATCCACCTTTTTGTTGGTAAATGACCTTGATGCCATTTACAGAATCAGTATTGGTCTTTTTTTTTTCTTCCTTTTTACCTGGTTGTTCCTCATCATCATCCTCTACCTTTTCAACAGTCTTGACTTGGTTCATAATTTCCAATTTCTTAATATGATCGTATGGAATTTCACGATCGACAAGAAATTCTGATTGTGCATGACCTTCACTTGTAGTTGATTCACGAATAGTCATGACAACCAAAGATTCACCAGTCAATCTTACCAATCTCAATGGATAAATCATATCAGCACCAACTGATAATTTTTCAACAATACCTCTTGGCATGTGACCTCTGAAATTCTTTGAAGCACCTCCTCTCTTTTGTTCTGTATCAGATCCACTTGAATAATTTTTTGGTTGGAGACCTACGAGAAGTTGCTTTTTGGCAACTCCACCACTAGGTGAGCTTGGAGAGGTACTAGGCGAATTAAACATTGAACCAGCTCTCAAATGTTGCATACCACGAGCACTGAGAGCTCCACTTTGAGTTGAAGTTGTAGAGGTTGCACTCTTCTTGACCCACAATTGATCACGAGACAAATTCTTTGAACCCTTAAGCTCTATATCATAAGGTGAATCATTTTCAAAAATTTGAGAATAATTCACAACGAGTACTGACACAATTGCACAAATAGTTGGAGTATCCTTAAGAGAATTCATTGCAAAAGCAGATGGATCATCTCTCTTCAAATCACCATTCTCATCCTCCTCTTCAGAGGGAGCCCACAATAAATTCGGACCCAAAACCAGTGCAACATTCTCATCATTCATCATGGTTACCTCACGATTCTTCACAATCAATGCACACAAGGCCATCAACCTCTCCAACACTACAATATTCCTCTCCGACATGCTTCTCACAATTCCTCTCAATTCAATCACCCTCTCACGTGTAATACTCGACTCGGCACCACTCGTCGATTCATTTTCTTCTTCTGATGCTGCTGAGGAGGAATTGGCGCCAAACAAATTACATAATTTACGATAGAATCGAGCTTCAATCAGCGGCTGAGGCAACTCTCTCAGGTACATCTTCAACAAGCTGGCAATGGCATTCGGATCAGTGCCTGGCATGATGGGTTTATAGTTGGAATTGTTGGCCTCTTCGAATTGTTGTTTGAGTGCCTCGGTATGACGCAGAGAACCACTCACACGAAAGATGCCCAATACCTGACCATGAATGGCAATGTAGGAACAGAGCATGTCGATAAAGTCTGGAACTGGTGGAAGATCGGCTCCACTAGTGCTGCTGCTTGATGATGATGAGAGTTTTTGTTCCTTGTGGAAGAGAAATCCTAATGGTCTGCCAAAGATTTTGTTCACTTTGAATTGTTGGAATGTTGTTATTAGAAAGGTTGTTATTATTATTCGAAAGTGGATTAAATTGATGAGCCAATTCATAAGTTGTTGTTGTGTTTGTGAAAGTGATGGCAGTTGTTAAATTTGACAAGTAAGAGTTGTCAACAATATAAAGCGGATTAAAAAGATGATGATGATCAAGAACGTGTGTGAATGTAATCAATAATCAAAATTTGTATCCTAAGCAAACACAGATAATCTAATAACTTGTACTTACTCTCTTGGGGTGGTATTGGTGGTGATAATTGTAAATGCATAGTATTTTCTCTACTAATAAACATTGCATATGTGGATTGACCAATACTGTCATTCATTTGGACGTGAATTAATTCCTTTAAGAGTTCCTTTCTCTTCTTCTTTGGATCTTTCTGTTTAGAGAGCACTGATTTTTCAATATCGGAAGGTAGAAGAGCAAATTTATGTTTGGAAAGTTTTGGCATACATCTTTCTTGGATGAATTGATCCATGACTTGACTGAAGGTTTCGTCAGATCGAACACCATCTAGACGAAAGGTTTCTACTTCATTGATGTGAATATTAACACACAATTGTGTTACATCATCAGATAGAGAAGACATTTTTTTACTGTGTGATGACAAGTGATCGCCTCTTGGTCAAGTTTTCTCAAATCAGTGAATGTTTTTTCTTCGTTGTCAACAAATCTTTGAATGGATCCTTATTGATTTTTCTTATGGTTAAGCCATAGTTATAACTGCTAGTTCTATCTTATCGTTGGATTGAATAGTATTGTTGTAATTTGTCCTTTTTTAAAACTTTTTTCTGTTGGATAATTTATTTGAAGAATTTACAAAATAATTTATAGGTTAGATTTGGTTTTTGTGTCCATACGAGACAGACACAACTCTAGGTGTTAAATGATCATTCCGATACGATCCTCCAATAATAATTATTAATTAATATTGAAAAGGATGATTTCCAAAATTTAATCCGTAAAGGCAGCAAGTGCATTATCAAACTTTGACATGACAGTCTCTGTAACTTGTTGTAAATTAACTAATCCTTCTTCAAGAGTTTCCTTTGCAGTATACTTTTCACCAACAGTTTGGAGTCTCAAATTCATCTTGGCTTCAAGTGGATGAGGAACAGTGTAACCACAGAAGCTAACTTTCTTATTCTTCATTAACATGTGTCTAACAGAGTTACCCATTGTGTGGCTTTCCTTGTGGAAGATAAAAGTAGAAACGGAAGCATCAGGTCCGAGATGAATTTCAATATTTGCTGTGATAGCAGCGTGATCTTGAACGATAGATTGTTCCTTCTTCTTTTTCTTTTTTTTATCGGTTTTTGATGAGGAATCACCTTGTTCATCTTGCATAGTGGCGTCTTCTTCGGCTTCCACTTCGAGAAGTTCTTCATCAAGGTAACTTGGTTTATCTTCGTTTTCAGAGTCAGACATTTTTTTTCAATTTATTTTTTGATATTTTTCATTAATTATTTTTCTTCGCCTCTATAAACTTGCAGCAAGTGTGAGAGACAACCAAGTAATATATAGAAGATAACACTCTGTAACAACCAACACATCACAATATTATTCAACTATTCTGTTTGTTCAAAGTCTACCCATGAAAAGAAGTTTTTTAAAAATAACAAGGAAGTGAGGTGGCAAAGATTTGGACTTATCACTGCGTATCCGATATTATTGTGTTTCAGATTAAAAAAATTCAAATATCGTCTATATCATCATGGGTAATGAGGTTACCAAGCTCTCCCCGGAGGAGTTGAAGAATCGGCAGATTCAGAAAGTCGATATGGAGATGAGCAGAAAGATGCAGAAGGGTAGTAGATACAATAGTATGTATTGGTTTGATTGTATTTGTGTTGAAAAGTTTTGATTCCGAATTGTTGTTGGTAAATAATCAACACCATCACGTAACTAAAAATAATAATAATTTATTGGAAAATTGGAAATAATGATCATGTGAATATTAATATTTTCTAATTGGAATTATATATTTTGCAATGAATGATGAATAACAATAATAGTGAAGGTACTTTTGAAGGGTGATCGTAATTCAGGAAAAACCATGTTGTTCAGAAGACTTCAAGGGCAACCATTTAGTGAAGCCTACATTCCTTCAACCGCAATTTCTACAGCTCATGTTCATTGGAATTACAAGGCCAGTGATGATACAGTAGTAGTTGAAGTTTGGGATGTTGTTGACAAGGGAAAGTTGAATGGTATCACAAATTATGAGGATGCTGTAATTGATGAAGAAGATAATCAACCAACTCCAGAACAACTTCAACTCAAAGCTCAAGCAATGGCTAAATCAACAGAGTATGAAGTGGAACAATTGAAAAAGAAAACTAGTTCACCAGCTGTAACAAATTCACCAAATTTTGGAGATCATCAATTGACTGTTATTGATGCCAATATTGTAGATGTTTACAAACATTGTAATGCTGTATTATTAGTCTTTGATATTACCAAACCTTGGACATGGGAATATGTAAAGAATGAAATTGAGAACAAAGTTCCAGAAGGTGTTGAAATTGCTGTCATTGCAAATTGTAAAGATTTGGAAAATAAGAGAGTTGTTACACAAAATGAAGTTACTGAATTTTGTGCTAGAAGAGGAGTTTTCATCATTGAATGCAGTGGCTTGAATTGTTATGGATTGAAGGAGATTTACACTTGGTTAAACATTCCATTCTTAAAACTCAAAATTGACATTACAAAGAAGCAATTGAATATTTTGGAAGAGGAATTACAATTCGGAAAGGAAGAAGTGGATCTCTACTTGAAAACATCCAATTATGCCAATCACTTGCAATCTCTCAAAGAAAAGAAGAAGGCAACCAGTGGGTTCACAGAAGAACTTGCCAATCGTAAGGTAGCTGTTAAGAGACCAACATTGCCACCATCTACACCACCTCCTTCAACCAATCACACTGCTCTCCCACAAGCATCTCAAGTTCACAGACCACCAACCACAACAACTGTTCAACACAATACTCCAGATGCCACCTCTATTCCACATCATCAACCTCAACCACAAACTCAATCACCTGTTCCACCACAAGTCAGATCTGCTCAACCAACCACTCCACAATCTGCTACACCTACTCCAAAAACAAATTCAGGTGGAGGAGGTTTCTTCTCTGCAGCTCTCTCTTACTTTGGCGGATCTAGTAAGGAAACACCAAAACCTCAACCTCCAAAGGCTGTCCTTCAACCAGTTATTACTGAAAGTAAGGAAAAGGTTGACATTAATAATTTCTATGCTGGAAATGATGATGAAGATGCTTTCTATTCTGACGAAGGTGAACAATATGCAAGCACCAATGTCACTACAAGTAGATCTATGGAAGATGAAGAGGATTCTCCATCAACAAAACCTAAAAAGAAAACTACTAAGAAGTCAACAAAATCTAAAAAGTCAACCAAGAAATCAAAGAAGGTTGAAAGTGAAGATGAAGAGGAAGAAGAGGACGAAGATTTCAGAGATAGACCAATGATTGACCAATCTGTTAATGAATCTATGGAAGAATTATATGTTCCTGTATCCAAACAATCATTCAAAAAGTCAGTTTTGGCTGCCACTACTAGCAGTCCTAGTCCAAAGGAAACTCCAAAACCTGAACCAGTTATTGTCAAGAAGGAAATCCCAACTCTTTCAAAGGAAGAAATTGCTGTAGAGGATGATAACGGTTTCTACAGTGAAGAGGAAGAAACCAAAGTGGAGGAAGAAGACACTTATGAAGATGCTTTTGCCACCACTACTGACACTAACACTGCACCAGTTACAACTCAAGAAGATGAAGAAGAAAACTTTTATGGAGATGAAATTAAGGAAACCTCAATGGATATTGTCCCAGAAACTAATGAATCATTCTACGATGACGAAGAAGAAAAGGTACAAGAAGAACCAGTTGAACCTCCAAAGCCAGCCATTGTCTCTTCTCCAGTTGTTCAAGTTGAAGAACAAAAGCCTGAAGAACCAAAGCAATCAATCTTCTCCCAAAGATCCTACTATGAAGAGGAAGAAGAAAAGCCAAAGAAGAAAAAGTCCACTAAAAAGGCATCAACCAAGAAATCATCTGCTGAAACTTCTGAAGAAAAACCAAAGAAGAAAAAGAAGAAACCAAAAGCACCAGCTGCAGAAGAGAGCCAGCCATCTGTTCCAACTGGCTATGAAGAAATATAAAGTTTCAATAAATTATTGATAGAACAAACTTGAGTAATAATACTTGAGAGTTCTTTGATTACAAAATATGAAATCACGTTTTGGAATTTTAATTATAATTATTAATTACAAAAAAAATGCATAATCAATTAGTAAAGAAGATTTTGGAAACCTCCAACAAGGCCACACAAATCAAGACTCTCCTACCAATTGCTACAAAAACAATTGATCATGAATCAGATGGAGCACTGGTAGGTGTTTTATTGAAAATCATTATAAAAAACAATATATGAATTAAATCTTTGAATATTTCGGAATTAATAATATAATGATTGGAATGATAAAATAGTATCAAGTAAGAATTGCAGTAGGAGGATACTTGAAAACAAGTAATTTGGAAAAGGAAATTGAAAAGGAACAAGAATCAAAGAAGGAAAAGGTTCAAACACCTCCACCACAAGAACCAAAGGAAAATAATAACCTTACTCAGGATCCATTCAGACCTATCGATGAGACACTTCTTGTAAAACATGTGGAGCCTTATCATACAGTTGTTTTGAACAAATTTATGGTCATTCCTGAACATTTGTTGATTGTTACGAAAGAGTTTGAGCCACAAACTGATAATTTGAGTGTTGGAGATTTTGAATCAATTGTAAATACTATGAGCGAGCTTAATGGAGATAGGGATGATTATATTTGTTTCTATAATCGTGGACTTTATTCTGGAGCTTCTCAACCTCACAAACATGTTCAAATTGTTCCAAAGAGGGAGAGAAATGAAAATTTGGAATGGAGTGATAAAGAGCAATTCCCACTTCCTAAAAAGTTTGATTTATATGCTGACGAGTCAGGAAATTCATTGAGAGAATGCATAGATTTCCCATTCATTCATCAAATCAGATCTATCAAAGATTGTTTCGAAAAGCCAGATTCAAAGGAAATTGTAAAATCACTCACTGAGGTCTATAACTCAATGTTAAAGGAATTGGATATGTATGATGAAAAACAAGTTACCGAGGAAGAAGAACGATTCATGGATGTTCAATGTTTGGATGGAGAGATTAAGAAGATTAACTTGTCCACCAAAAAGTATCCAAGTTATAATCTTCTCTTCTCTAAAAAGTGGATGGTTGTTGTGCCTAGAAGAAATGAAAACTTTATGGGAATTTCATGTAATTCTCTGGCCTTCTTGCATGGTTTCTTCTGTAGATCTGATGAATATTGGGAACGCTTAAAGACTGAAATTCAAATCCCAAGATTGTTGGCTCACGTTACATTCCCAAAAGATAACTAAGTGTTGAGCATTATTGTTGAATAAAATACAATATTTATTTGGAGATAATTTCCAACTCTGGGAAATCTTGTTTTCTGAATAACTGCAAACCATTTACACCTAGCTTATTACCACCAAATATTAATTCATCCAATAATTCCTTTTCCAAAATTTTACTCAACTCACTTGTACCCTCGAAACCAATGAGATTTCTTTCGAGGTTGACTGATTTGATATTCTTATGTTTTGAATTATTTTTCATGATGGCATCACTCAATACTGTTGCACCTTCATTACCAATTTGATTAGCACCCAAATCCAAGCAAGTTAATTGAGGGCTGAGCTTTTCGAGAATACTTGCAACCGCTTGGGCACCTTCATCAGAAATCTTATTATGATGTAAGTTAAGAGTTTGCACATAGAATACAGAGTGAAGAGATGCCAAAGCATTGACAAAGGTCTTGCACCCTTCATTTCCAATCTTATTGTAGGAGAGATCAATTTCGAGCAATCTCAACATGCCAGAGGTTGGCAATGCTTCGCTCAAGAGAGCCACTTGCTTATCGTCAATATTGTTGTGGGACAAATTAATAGAGGTCAATGTCTTATTTGATTGTAAAACTTGTGTTAATGGTTCCAAGTTGGAAAGTCCACATCCTGAAATATCTAATTTTGTGATTGACTTGTTTGTGACAAGGGCTTCACATAAAATTGACAAGTTCAATACGTTTGGATTATTCTTCAGCACGAGAGTATGTAAAAATTCGTGATATTTGAGTGGTTCTTTGATTGCCATCAAATCTTCAACTTGTTTCAATTTACAGGTAAAGACCTTTCTCTTGTGAATAGTATTGAAAAAGTCAGTAACTTGTTCATTAATTGAACCAGAGCACAAATTCTTATAGTACAACATTGTAATCTTGTTATTGATGGCAATATACCAAGAACGACGTTCATCTTCACTACCACCTTCAACATCAAAGTACAATGTACGTCCAACTGCATCATCATCATCGTCGTCATCATCTCCTGCGTCACCACTTGATGCTTCACTTTCTTCATCCATTTGAAGGAGGAAACGATTATTCATACCGTCAGATGTGAAAGTTGAATCCTTTGGTGTATAAAGCTCCAAACATCCTTTAAAATCATCAGTTCTACTTTTTGCAAATCTAATAATTTGGGTACCATCCAAAACAATTTTACCCTTTCTATTCGATTCCAATAAAAATTAAAAATAAATTCAAAATAAAATCACACAAATCACATCAAAATTATAATGCACAAAAATAATTAATGAACTAGACAATTCCAAAAAACCACTTACAACTTATTCTTCTTTGCAGTATAATAACTCAATGTATTACTACTCAAAACAAACCATCTCTTCTTCCAATTCTTTCTAAATCTACCTTCCTTCACCAACCATCCTTCCTTATCAACCTGCTCACTACTTCTAGCCACAATCTTCTCCTTCTCCGATTTCTTCTTACCTCCCGAAGTCAACAACTCCAACTGCTCTCTAAACACAGAGTCCTTGTTGTGGTACTTTTTTCTCGCGTCGGCAAAGAACGTATGAAACAAATCCAATTCTGGATCACTTAAATCTTTTGGCGGTGGCGGGAAAGTTATCGTAGTTGCATTGGCGCCAGAATTGTTATTAGAAGCAGAATTATTATTGTTATTGGATGATGAAGATGATTGGACGGGAACTTTATCAAAGACTGAGAATGGATGAATATCGTACTTGTAGATGGCTTCATCGAGATCGTTTTGAATATAATTGGATGAGTGGATGGAATCTTCCTTTCCGATACCTTGTGTATTAAAGTCCTTCTTGAGACCAGTGGCTACTTTGATGACTGTTGGTGAGGAGTGTTGGCGACCGTAGTTTTTTAATTCACCCTCGAGGTCTTTTTCATTGTTGCCTCCGAACATTTTTTTTTGATGGGAAATTTGTTGTGAAATGATTTGTGACATTTTCAATTCGGAACGAATCTGTTGGTATGTACTGGAATTGTGTGTGGCACACACAAGAATTGTTGAGATGTTGTTTAGCAGTAAAGAGTTTAATAACATAGTTTAGTTTACAATCGAATCAAGTTTAGAATACCATTGACAGTTCTCTTGTAGTGATCTGGTAAATAATCGACGAAAATATGAAAGACATGGAATGGAATCTTTTCTACCAAAACATTCACATTATCAATTCCTTTCAATTTTTCCAAGACTGATCCAATTTCATAATTCAATCTTTCTCCAGAAGTATACGAAATGAACATTCCTTTTGGCAGTACAGATGCAATTCTTTGCCATTTCTCTCTATTCCAATGATAAGGAGATAGAATTTGAGTTTTTTCTTGTTGACCTAGTCCACATGGTACTCCATTCAATTTCCATTCTCTAATCTTTTCATTTCGAATGAGTCTATCCTGATGAAAGAGATCTCTACTCGGTGGAGTATCCATTTCCATATCACACCAAGGAGAAAGTAAGATGGCACCTTTGAGAGCATTCACATAATTGGCATCTGTTGAAGGATTCAACTGAGAAATTTTATCTGCAATTTGCCAACATAAATTACCACCAGCAGATTCACCAATGACATAAATTTCCGAATGTCCCTTCACATCAACAAGCCATTTGAAAGCTCTGAATGCTTCTTCAGTAATTTGTTCAACTGTTGATTGTGGATAGGTTGTGTATTCCAATCCAAGTAGATCGAATGAATTTTCAGAGCACCATCTCTCATGAATATAACACAAATCTGAAACACCTGAAACGTAGGCACCTCCATGGAAGTGTAAAATTGCAATCTTTCTCTTTTGATTCTTTGAGAAATTGAAATATAAACTTTTAACAGAACTTCCTTTTAGGGTAAAATCTGGTCTCTCATCAGGTTGATGGAATGGACCAGCATTGAGTGCAAAAATTGCATCACTTGACCTATTCTTCAAAATTCTACAATTTTCCACAATTTGTTCGGCAGTGTAAGGTTTTTGATTTGCAGGAAGAGGAGGAAGTGAATATTTCAATGAACCAAAAATCAAATCAACCAAACGAAGAGTTGCCAATTCTCTATTATCCAATCCTTCCAATGCTTTTTGTCTTTCAATTGCTCCCTTTTCATCATTCGATAAATTTTCCTCCCTTTTCAAAGATGATTTTCGGATGGAAAATCCAGAATTTTCCAAGAGTAAAAACACATGATATAGTGTCAAGGTAATCATGGCCAATATGCCTCTCTTGAATACAAATTTTCCAATCACCAATGCAACAATCAACGATAGGACAATACCACCTATGAGTAGAGACATTTTTTAACTATTATTGCCTGTTGAGAATCTTTTAAATATCCTTCCTACTATTATTGATGAAGAAAATTTTTGTTATGAACATCGGAAGAATAAAGAAGTGGTTGGCGATAGATCTAATGCAAATTATTGTGCTAGTTCTCTATGAAAATACTCTCTTTTGATATCATTGTAAAATATCAAAGAAAAAAAATGCAAGACATTAATGGTTTGAAGGTTTTGATTGGTGTCATTGTAGTGTTGCTGTTGGTCGCCCATGATGGTGTGTTATCGTTAGGGTTGAGAGTGAATAATAATCCTACTATTATTGGTGATCAAATTATTCCAGTAGAAATCAACGTTTTTTATTCGAATCCACAACTTTCTTCTCCGAAATTGTTTATCAGAGGAAACCTGAGTCCAATAATGTCATGGAATAGGGGTTTAAAACTTGAAGAGTCTAAACTCTCATCAGGAGTCTATCAATTACAATTCAACACTACCCAAAACCAATTACAAAATATTGGAAACCTATTCGAATTCAAAGCTCTCATTAATGACCAAGATTGGGAAATTGGAACCAACAACCAATTTATTCTCTCACTAACTGCCAGAAATTCCATTTCAATCTATCCATGGTTCTATCAAAAGAAAGGTTCCATTCAAACATTACAAAATGTCTACTCACCAATTTTACAAAATTACAGAAATATTTCCCTTTACCTTCCACCTTCATATTTTGAAAATCAGGCAAAGACATTTGATAATTTATTGATCATGCACGATGGACAGAATTTATTTGATCCAGCAACAGCCTTCCTCAATCAAGCTTGGATGATTCAGAATACCCTTGATCCATTGATTACTTCCATGGATCCATCCTATGCCATGGAGGAGATTATAGTGATTGGAATTGATAATACACCAGATCGATTGAATGAATATACCTATTCAAAAGATAAGGATTATGGTGGAGGAAAGGGAGATTTATATTTGGACTTTATTGAACATGAGGTTCTTCCTTATTTGTTGGCCAAGTTTTCCCAGAGATGGGTTCTGAGGAATGATAAATTGGGAATTTTGGGTTCATCACTTGGTGGACTCATTTCGTGCTATGCTGGTTGGACTCGTTCCTCAATCTACTCAAAGATTGGATGTATGAGCAGTAGTTTTTGGTGGAATAATCAGGACTTCAACAATACCATTCTCAATAGACCATACACTCCATCGAACATTAACATTTATTTGGATAGTGGTGATAGTGGTGATGGAAATGATGATGTAATTCAGACTCAAACCGTTACCAAGCACATTTTGAACAAGGGCTCCTTCAAACTCAATCAGAATGTTTACTATTATCTCGATAAGGGTGCTTCACACAATGAATATTATTGGGGTCGGAGATTTCACGAGCCAATGTTGGCCCTGTATAAGAAATCTCCTCTATATTCCAAGTTCAATAGACTCTACTGATCTTGCTTCCATTTTCATTTTTGAATCGACCAGTGCAAATGGTCCTATCTATTGGATTGGAATTGGAAACGGGAATTGAGCGAAATTAACCTTAATCCCTTTTTTCACCTTGATGTTTTCACAATAAAACTGTTCCAAGTACACTTGATATTGAATTCAACACGCTTGAAGAAAACAAGTCAAAAGCTATCTGTAATGCTAACCTCAAAGATGATCACTAATTACTCCCTCTTGATGGGTGCCTTATTATTCACAATAATACTAAGCGGTATTGCTTCACTGGTGCATGCACAACAAATGGTTTTATCCAAGTCAAGATGCCATGCTGGTCCATTCACAATTACATTCTCTTCGACCATTCCAATTTCCTTTGGTACATCTGCTAAAATCAATGATGGATACAATACCTCTTCAACATTCAATTCAATTGTTGGCTATTCTAAAGATGAGACTAGCTTTTCTTTCAGAGTTGGAAAAACATCTGAAATGGGTGATTTCTTTATCTTCAATTCACCACATCCATTCGCTATTAGCTATACCATCTCGATGGATTTTGCCATGCTGAATTCAGAAACAACTACATTGAAAATACCTGCCTTTGGCCATGAAAGATTATTCACATCCAATCTCGTTCACACAACCACAAACAGTTTAACATTAACCAATTTGGATTCAACAAGGCACCATGTGAAAATTGCATATACATTCGCAAAGAGTGAAAAACCAAATTATCAATCGTTTGTTCTTTCCACTACTGAAACTATTCCACTCACCATTCCTTCTCAATACACTTCCTCCTCCAATATTCCGTTCTACCTCTATCTCCAATGTCAAAGCTCTTCAGAATGCAACATGGAATTGAAAATTACCCATGTGAGTTTCACAACTCAACAAAACCCTACTATTGACTCCAGTGCACCTCCAGAAGCAGCCTCAGGAACCGACATGCAAAGTATCTTTATGGATGAATTATTGGAGGCTGTTCCATCAGTGGCCTATCTCATTGGAAGTTTAATTGTTGGCTGTATTGCATGTGCATGTTTAACATGTTGTGGTGTTTACTGCCTTGCTAAAAGACAAAAGAAGAAGGCAAGAGTCTCTTGTATTGATGCCTCTACAGAAACTTCATTCCGATTCGTAACTGCCTTTGATAATAAGCAAGGAGAAGGAAATAATGATGCAACTAATTGTCCAACTCTTGCCTTTGTTCCTTGTCATAGTTTTAATAAGAGTAATGTGATGATGCCAAGTGCTGCTACTCAAGTGGAACTTCCAATGGCTGCTGATGTCATTATGGAGCAACAACATCCTCAATCCTATCCAACAAGTTTACCTCCTCCTTATTCTTCTTCATCTAATCTGGAGACGCTACCAACAAATGAATTTAGTAAGGGTGAATTACCAGTAGAAGAACAACATCCAGTGGTCATGTATCAAACTGTGAATATGTATCAGGATCCTAAAATGTCTTTCGATGTTGATCCTAATTTTAAAGTGTAAAATAAATTATATTGTTATTTAAAAATACAAATCTGAGAAGAACATGTTCAAATAGATTGATGGTTCATTAGATACTTAATGTTTTTTAAGATTTCTTGGACTTTCCAAGTAGGCTTTAACTCTCTCACTCTTCAATACATTTGCCTTCAGAGTTTCAAGCTTGGAATCATCAACAACCACTTCAAATCGATACAAATCCAAGTATGATAATAAATCGTACAAGTATAAATCGGCCCAACTCAATCCTCCCGGAACTAGATTGCCATTATTCTTGATGAGGTGAGAATTTAATCCTTTCATGATGAGTTTCAACCAACCATTTTGGAATTTAACTCGTTCCTCCTCCTTCTTATCTTCGGAAGTAAAATAGACAATTCTGATAACGTGATTGGTTAATTCATCAATAGCAGAGACGCATTCTTCGAGAATGGCTTGATTTCTTTCATCAGTTGGATGAAAATTTGCTTGCTTGGCTAAGAATCGAGCAATAGGAATGGTTTGATAGAGTGTGAAATCTTCATCAACTTTGAGAGAAGGCAATTGACCATATCTTGTGTTTGGTTGAGTAGATGTCCAGGATCCATCTTCAAATGAAATTGATTTAAATTCGTATGGAATTGCACAATGTTCTGCGATCAACTTGATAATGTCCTACAAAGAAGATTCAGTAATTTGAAAAGTTGTTTCAATGAAAACTTACTGCTCTGCCGGGTCCAGGAAAGTATACTAATTGGTAAGCCATTTTTATTTGTGAATTTGTTGGATATTTGGTTAGTCAAATCTAGCTATTTATTTCGATGACCTGACTTCATGCAAATGCTAGAACATCCAATTCGAGTGGAAATTCGAATCCTGAGCGTACGCATTAATCTCCAGCTCCTGATACTTTACAATTTCAGTTCATTAAAGTTGCTTGCAGCTGAATAAGTTTCTTTATGCTCAGTGGCAAATATTGATCTAATTGTTACAATTTCAAATAGTTTTGGAATGGGTGAATTATTTAAAAAAATGAAATTGTTGGAACTGCCAGACGAAATTATTTTTCATATTTTGGGATATTGTTGTGTAGCAGCAGAAAATCATCATGAACCTCTACTCCGAAATCCATATGTTAGACAAATGGCCAAAATACAATCTATCAACAAGGATTTTTCAAGAAGAATTAAAAGTTATTCTGATACGTTTTGGAAGAGTCTTTTAGTGGATGAATTTGGAGCGAATAAGCAATTTATTAAATTAATAGATGATCAAATAACAGGTACTTTGCAAAATAAGAAGATTTCACTGAAGAGAAGAGCACTCTTGTTGAGAAAATTATTTAGTAGGAATTTCAAAATTAATACCAATAAGCAACCTGGTTATTCCGAATGTAAATTTTGTGTTTCTGGACCTGCTAATACTGGTAAAACTTGTTTAACCACAAAATACATAACAGGTGAATTTCCACAAGTTACAGATCCAACAATAGAAGACAGCTACAGAAAGATGATACGAGTAGATGAATATTCACACCTTTTGGATATTTTGGACACGGCTGGGCAAGAGGAATATAAAGCAATGAGAGATGGATATATTGCAACATCACAAGCTTTTGTAATTACTGCAAGTTTAGATCTTATTCCAACAGAATGTACACAATATTACGAGGAATTATTGGCTCAAATTATAAGCATTAAGGATTGGAAAGGAGTTGGATGTTATCATCCAATGGTTTTTGTAGTGAACAAGTCTGATTTAGAACAAGAGGAAAGAAAGTCAACATTTGAGGAATGGAAAACATTTTTGAATTCAGTTATAGAGAGATATGGAATAATGAATTCTGAGATTATTGAAACCAGTGCCAAATCCAATATTAATGTTTCAAAAATATTTGAATTAGGTATTAGAATGTTTCTACATTTTCATTTTAGTCACGTTTTTTGGTTTCAACAAGTAATTGAATTGGATACAAAAGCTTTTAGTCACACAGAAAACAAATCCGAAAAGAAATGTTTACTACAATAAGTCTTTCTTTCAATGATTGTTAAGGGAAAATATTAAGAGATTGATTGCTCATCATGTGATCCCCCTTAGCTCAGTCGGTAGAGCGTCAGACTGTTAATCTGCAGGTCGGTGGTTCGAGCCCACCAGGGGGAGATGCTTTTGCTCCCTACTTACTTTTTTCCCAAACTTGTCCTAAACCTGACTTGTGTATTTTATGCATTTCCTCAATTTATATCATGGAAGTGTTTATTGGATATTCAAAGAATGGAATATTCCGGGAGTGTCACTACAAAACAACTAGATATCCAATATCAACTTTAAAATTGTTAGACAACCATTTACCCTTAATCCAGTCAGTTTGCTCCACATATTTTATAGTATCAACAAGTTTTTGCTGGGAAGTTTCAATGTCACTAAACAAAATCACCAATGCTTGCCCATGACTTTCCTGTTTGTTATTCACATCACTTCGTTCTTTTAAAATGCCGAGTATTGACCTGAAAACCCAAAAGCCCGATAACTTTGTAAACACAATTTCAGCAGTATAACAAATTGTCCATTTTAAGTAGTTTTGCACGCACCTTTTAATACCAATGCAATTTAAAAAAAACCTCCAAACAACTAAGCACCCACCTCTACCTCGAACAACTATAACATACTTGGGTGCATTCAAATTTTGAATACAAATGAACAATTTAATCCTCTCAACATTTGATGTTATTTCCAATTCAACCTCAACAACCAATACATCTGCACTCTATATTGGTAATTGCTTACTGGTGGACCCTGATGGCTATCCATATGTCGAGTGGATGTACAATCTAATGGGTCAGTGTGTCCATTCACCATTGGAGCAGAGCTCTTTCTATGTTGGATTGGGAAGTCTGGCCTTGTACATTGTTTCTGGCATTCCACAAGTTATTGAGAATTTCATGAAGGGTAATGCTGATGGTTTATCGCCCTACACTTTGGCCATGTTTATCATTGGTGATTCGAGTAACTTGTTGGGGGCCATTCTCACCCGTCAATTATTCACACAAATTCTATTGGCCATCTACTTTGTCACTATAGAGGTGATTTTAATTTCACAATTCCTATTCTACAAATTGAAAGCACTGTGGAAGAGGAGGAAACACAAAGGACAAGAACAACTCCACGATGAAGAGGATGATAAAGCATCATCTGCCAACACTTCAGCAATAGTATCAGCAGCCGTAGATACTCACAGTTGTACCTCAATGACTTGTACTCCATTAGAGGAACACAATAATGAATTTCTTTCCGATAGTGAGCAGCAGCCTCATCACGAGAATGGACTGATGAGTTTGAAGGGCAATGTTAATTCCACACGAACTGTTTCTCTACTTGTTTTGTTGATGGTCTTTTTCTATTTAATGTTCACAATGAATCATTCAAGTAACAACCTTAATATTCCACAACAACACAATGAACAACAAACTGGAAGAAGATTATTATCGAACCATGAAGATGAAATCAGCACTACCAAGGATCACAACAGCGTTCAATTTCCACCTGTTGCAACTGAGGCCATTATTGGCTATACTATTGGTTTCATATCCACGACATGTAGTATTGGTTCAAGAATTGCTCAAATTATTAAGAATTTCATGAAAGGAACCTATGGCATGAATCCATTGCTGTTTGGATGTTCAGTTTTTGGTAATATTCTCTACTCGTCATCAATTTTCCTCTTTAGTGTGAATGGTTCCTTTCTGTTGTACAAAATTCCATGGTTGACAAGTAGTTTGGTCAATATTTGTCTTGATTCTTTCATTATTGCACAATACATTTATTTCACATTCATTAAAAAGAAGCAACCACAACTAGAAAACCAAAAAACCTTAGAAAATAGTGAAAAATCTAAATTGGAAATTCAAAATGAAGAAAGAATTGAGAACAAGTTGAAAGATTTAGAAGTTTAATGTTTCTTCCTTATACTGCTTTCAAGTTTTGCAATTCCACAATACATGAACAATTCGAAATTAACATAGCATCATACCAATCATATATGCTTTGTTATCCAAAAAAACAATTCCCTCAATAAGATAATCTCTTTCAATAATAAATATGAGAAAGTGGGAAAGTTTAGTTTTTTCAAAATTCTAATTGTCTAAAGTTTTTAATGGGAGTGTCTACTGTTCCAAAACCGATTCTAATATCTTCAAGTTGAGTTCATCATTTTGTTCTTCATCTCTCTTTTCTGGTATCTATTTTGACAAGAACAAAAAATGAAACAACAACGTTTATTCCTGTTTCTGATTGGTGCTATCGCTTTTATTTTACTTATTGTTTATCTACAATTTATCAACAACAAAACAACACCATCCACTTCTCACATTTCTTCTAACTCTCCTCCGACAACAACACACGAGAGAAAGAAAGTAGACGAAACTAGAAATACACAACAGGTTGTTGCAGCAGAAGAGAAAGAAACTTCATCATTGCCAGGATCACACGTAAAGGAAATTAAAGTTCCAAAAATCAGAGACGATTCTTACTATGCAAGTGGTTTGAAATATTTCGATGCATTCGAAAAAACACAAAATGTTGAAGCTAAATTAGCCGACATGGACACATCCAACATGAAAGATTTAATCTTTACTACCCAATTCAATCAAAGAATGAACAAGGGACAATTTATTGATAGAAGATTCGACAAGACACTTTATACATTTTCTAATGGAAAGGTCAAGGTAAATCATCCGAATCTGAAGGTGCATGTAAAATTCTCACCTGATGAATACAAAGATGATCATCTTCACTATCCAATCTCAACAGATGCCACCATTGATAGGTATTGTATCAGAGATAGTTTCTGTCAAGGTGTCGGTCAAACAATGTGTCAATTGTGTGATTCTAAAAAACCAAAACTTGAAAGCAAATACTTTTATACTTCATGGTGTTACAAACCAAATATTGATTTTACATTGGTTTCAGTGGATAATGGTATTTTAGATTATGGAGCTCATCATGAAATTGTGAGATTTAATGTTTTTGATGCAAATGCAAATGTGTTTTCAATGCCTGGTGGAAGTCCAATTGAAATTCATAGTGGAGGATGGAGTGTTGAATATCATGCTCAATTGGGAACAATTGGTAATGTGTGGTATCCTGATGGTATGTTCTTTTCATAATCATTCTTTTTTTTAATTCATGTTTTGCATTTTGTAATCTTAATTTTTGTAAAATGTGAAAATTCAAGCTCTTGGACATTTTCCAAATGAAATTCTTTTGAGAATTGTCTTTTTACACATTCATCTCCCTCTCGACATTCCAATCATTTATCATGATGGTCCATTTGCAAACTCAATTATGGATTCTCTAATTGAGAAGGGTTTCTTCCCAAAGGAGAGAAAATTCATCAAAGCAAAGGGTTCAGTTTTTCATGTGGCCAAACGTCTCTATTTCTTCCATTCTAAAGATTATCAACACGTTCCAATTACTCCAGATGTTGTGGTGAGAAAGAGTACCGACTATCTGAAACAATTCTTCTATGCCAATGATAATTTGATTCAAAATAATGTCCGATTCGACAGGGAATATATTCTAATTGTCGATAGATTGGACGCTAGCTCTAGAGGTATCCTAAATCATGATGAAGTAGTATCAAAAGTCAAAGAATCAGTCAAAGGAAAGAATATTGACGTTATTTCTGCAAGATTATCCAAACGTCAATTCTTGGAAATTGGTAAAATCTTTTTTGATGCCAAGGCAATCATTGCTCCACATGGTGCTGGTCTAGCCAACTTGGTATTTGTGAAATCTGATATTAAATTCATGTTAGAGGTTGGTTGGGTTGGTTCAGATGCTGGAGGTTACTTTGCTCACTTTTTCTGTGTGGCTAGAGCTATGGGAATTAAGTATTATGCTGTGGCTGCAACTTCTGGAACTTATGGATCACATTTTAGAGTGGATGCTGACGAAATTGGTGGAATTGTAAGAAAGGAATTTGAAAATTATTAGATTCGAATAAGATTTTAATTTTGGGGTGTTGATTTTTCATTGGATTTCAAGGTATTGTAATCGACAGAGACTTTCTAATCTCATCAAATTAGAAACGCAGTAACGAAATCTGGGTAAAACCACACATTTGTTAACTCACTCGAGTTCACAACCATTAAAAAAAATGTCACCACTCAACACATCACTTTTTATTTTTTGCATCTTGGCAGTATTGACACCCACCATTTACTCTCAATATCTTGTTGTCTCCCCTTCCACCTACTTACCAGGTCAATACTATGTTACCTTGTCCATGAACAGTAGTTCTCCAGTCAACTTGGGTCACAGCTCCAATACCCAAGCAGCATACACAACTTCAACTGGTTTCACACTGCTGAGAAGCAACATTTTGAATGGAACCTACTACTTTAGAATAGGTTCAGTTTCGTCCTCTACAGGAAATTACGTAATTTTCAATTCTGCTTCAACATTCCAAATTTCTTACAGAATTGGTGAAAGTTTTAATAACTTTTATCCATCTAGCTCAAGCAATTCCTATTCGATTCCTGCCTATGGAACTGAGAGATTATATGCTAGCTCTTCCTACAGATCAGGAGAAAGTTATACATTACAATTCAAATCATCCAGAACAACTTCAGTCAAGATTGCATACACTTTCAATATTGAAACTGAACCATCCTATAGTTCTTATCAAATTACTTCATCCAGATCTGCATCCATTTCCTTTACTGTTCCAACTACTTCCTCTATTTATCCAACTTTTTATTTATATATTCAGTGTAATAATGGAATTTCAGATTGTGGAACCATTACAGTTGAGACACCAAGATCTGATGATGCTGGAATGATTATTGGAATTGTGATTGGAGTTTTCATTTTGTTTATTATCATTTCAGTTGCCATTTCAATTCCATCAGTTATTGCTGCTAAAAAGAGAAGAATGATGGCACTTGCTGCAGTCACAGCTGCTAGCAAACATGGCGATTTTGCCACCACAAATAATGCAATTGTGCAGCCAACCATGCCACCTGGAGCCTACCAACCAATGGTTCAACAAATTCCAACAATGCCACCTGGAGCTTATTACAATCAACAACAACCATCAACCATGCCACCTGGAGCTTATCAACCAATAATGGTTCAAAATCAAATGACAGTTCAAAATTATCAGCCCTATGTTGTGGATCCACAAGTTCAACCATATAGTGGTCAACTACAATATGGAAATCAACCAATGCCTGCATTCAATCCTAATGTAGATCGTGTATAATACGATATACTTGTTAAACTAGATTTATAATACTTTGAAAGTTTTTTTCATTCCACTTGATTTGAAACTTTTTCCCGCCTCATTAATAAATAAGGGACAAAAAAAATGTCTCAAAATCCATCCGCCGAAACACTGCTATACATTAGACAGTGTGCTTCAGTGACATCCATGTTAAATCATTTTCCTTTCTTGAATTTTATGATTGAATTCTTTCACTCCTTGGGAGTTGAAGTTAAGGTAGACGACTATTTGAGATGAGAATGGACAAATTCTTGTTAATCAATTGCTGGCTATTAGTTTGGAAAATTTCAACATGTGTGGAATAGTTTCAAGTGACCTATCCAGAGAAAGTGAAGAGGAATGGAGAAGCTGTATTTTTATTTCGCAATTATGCAACGAAGAAATAGGAGGCATAGAAAATTCTCACTTTGTTTTATCATACACGGCAGAAAAGTTACTTTCTGTTATTCTACCAAAAATTTGATTGTAGACCATTTCGTATTCAATAAGATTCAAACTTGGGACATTTGTAATGTGGATCATTTCATTGAAATAGTTGGATGTCTTTTTAAATTTACCAATTTTTCTTGGTGCCATTTACCTAATCCATTTGGATACAAATCTAGTGCTATTCGTTGTTCTTCCCTAGCTGTTGGTTATTATGAAGAAGAGTTGAAAGAAAAGATAAGATCCAAAGAGAGAAGGGAGCTAATGAAAGAAACATTGCATAGAATTGAAAAGAAGTACAAACTAGGGCATACTCCAAAAACAAAGAAACAATTAGATTTGTGACTGATAACGTAATTGAAAAATTGTTGAATTGTGCAATTAATAAATAACGTTTACAATGACTTCATCATGCAGAACCATTATTTGAATATCATCAAATTGTCAAATGGAACCTTATAAAAGTTTACAAACAAGAAAACTCTAGAATGGTATTGGATTTTCAAAACAGCTCATTCAAATTCGAATCCTACTTTCCAATAACTTATTTTTAAAAAATGTCCACTCGAGTCAACCAACACCACTCTCTAATTTTTTACTTCCTTGTTGCTGCTGGTGTTCTTACTCTCATCCACTCACAACTTGTTGCTGCAGTAAATGCAGCCTCTGGCTACGTCTATCCGAAAAATTATCTGACTCTCAATGTGAATAGTGGTGTTTATTCCGTTTCCTTCTCATCGAGTTGTTCACTCGTGTTGGGTTATATTTCGTACAGTAATTATAACGATCTGGACAAATTGGCAACCTCTGTTCCTTCTACTTTCACTGTAATTTCAAAGGGTACAACCTACTATTCAAACTCGTACAGTTATTATTCCTTAGATTCGAATTATTATTTTGTACTATTTAATAATGGATCATCCAACAGTTGTTATGCTAGCACATTTAGTGTGGCTTTGGAAATGAATACTTTATCATCCTCCACTCGTTCATTTACACTTCCCTATGGAATTACAAAAACCTTTTCCAATATTTATAGTTATAATAGATTGGTTGTTACTTCCTCCAGTAGTTCTTCAATGAGTTTGTACTACAAGTCAGACTATTCATATTCTACACCAACAACAACACCAAATAGTTTGAGTCTTTATAGTATTTCTAGATATGGAACTGCAAATATTCCATTGAGTACTTCTCGAAGTTCTTCGTATACCTCATATGTGTATCTTTCATGTGGTAATATTGGTGGTTGTCCTGTTACTTTATCTCTTGATTCAGATGGTAGTGATTCAGGTGCATCAACTATTATTGGAGCTATTGTTGGACCAATTGCATTTGTTGTAATTTTCACATTCATTGTAATCATTTCAGTTGTTTCAACATGTGTGGCAAGAAGAAGAAGAATGCTGATGTTGGCAGCTGCCACTTCAGCTGTTGCAACTACAACCACTTACTCAACTCAACCAACCTATGTTCCTGTCCCAACACCAGTTTCAACCACAACAACCACAACTGAAAACACAACTGTTTATGTTCCACCACCAGTTACAACGACAGCTCAACAACCTTATAATCCAAATCAAGGTTACATTCCTCAACCTGGTGTTCCACAACCTTATAATCCAAATCAAGCTTACTACTCACAACCACCAACTAGTCAACCGTATCAATCATATCAACCATATCAACAATATCAACAACAACAACCAAATACTCAACCTCCACCTTATTACAATCCTGGAGTTGGTGTCTACCCAACAAACAATGTTCCAGCACAACAAGAACCAAGGCCAGCTTTCAATCCAAATGTCGATAGTGTTTAAAATTATTTCTAATTGAATCAATACATGAATAGGATCAGTTCTTAATATTGGACTCGGTCAATTAACAAAACAACATTAAAATTCTTTCAATTTTCTATTCTGGACCAGAATATTAACACAAACCTTATCCTCTTATCCACCTTCCAAATCTCATCTTTGAAATGTCTTTTGAATTGACCATTAAGTTATGGCTTACACAACCCTTAGGACATTGTAAGAATCTAGCTTGCTACGGACAATTCAAAAAATGCTAAAAATAAAAAAATTAATCAAATTCTTTTAAAAAAAAATGGCTTCCACTGCACTCCGTGTTGTTTATAACAATTTGATTGAACATGTCAGAAAGTACAAGATTCTCCAATCGGTGAATGCTCTTGCTGATTGGGATGAGTTAGTCATGATGCCTCCAAAGGGTGCTGAATCAAGAGGATTGCAAAAGACTGTCTTGGCTTCTTTGACTCACGATTTGCAAACTTCTCCACTCATTGAAAAGTATCTTTCGGAATTGGTAACTACTCAAGATGATCAAAAGATTGTAGTGAAGAATGATTCCGAATTTGATGAATATGAAATTTCCAATATTATTCTCATCCATAAGGAATTTATAAGAAATACTAAAATTACAAAGGAATTGGTTGAGAGAGCTTCTGAATTATCTAGTCGTGGATATCATCAATGGGTTGAAGCTAGAAAGAAAAGTGATTGGACCTTGTTCCAAGACACTCTCCAAGAATGGGTTAACATTCGTAAGGAAATGAGTTTGTTGATTGAACCAAATCAAAATATTGCTGATACTTTGCTTGACGAATATGATCCTGGAATGACATGTGAACAAGTTGCTCAAGTTTTTGAAGATGTCAAGAAGGAATTGATTCCACTCATTCAAGCCATTAGAAAGAAGGTTGAAGAAAATCCAGAAAAATACAGTGATGCTTCCTTGCTTGCCAAGATTCAAGCTGGTGCAGATGAATTGTTTGATCAAAAGGAACCGTTCCCAGTTGAAAAGCAAACTGAACTCTCCAAGCAAGTAGCTCAAGAATTAGGTTTCGATTTTGAAATGGGTAGATTGGATGTCAGTGTTCACCCATTCAGTACTTCATTCTCAACCAATGATGTCAGAATTACTACCAGATATAATACTAAGGAATTCGTTAATGGTTTGGGTATGTTTTTTTGATGAATTATTGAAATTTATTTACCACATCATTTGGATAATTTGATTATCATCATATAATTTACATTATCTTATTCTTGAATAATTACAGCTGGTACTGTACACGAAACAGGACACTCACTCTATGAAGCTGGTCTCAATCCACTCTATGCCTATCAACCAGTTCAATCTGCTCTTGGTACTACCATCCACGAAAGTCAATCCTTGTTCTGGGAAAGACATGTTGGTTTGAGTAAGGGATTCTGGAGAAAGTGGTTGCCAGTTGCTGAAGAATTGTTCCCATACTTGAAGCAAAAGAAATTGAGCGTTGATGACATTTACAGATCTGCCAATACTGTCACCCTCAATAACTTTATCAGAATTGAAGCTGATGAATTGACCTATCCAATGCACGTAATTCTTAGATTTGAAATAGAAAAGGGATTATTGGATGGATCAATCAGTGTTGCTGATGTTCCAAAAGTTTGGAATGCCAAAGTTAAGGAATATTTGGGACTTGATGTTCCAAATGATGCTAAGGGTGCTCTCCAAGATGTCCACTGGAGTTCAGGCGCTTTTGCCTATTTCCCAACATATCTTCTTGGTGCTATGGCCTCTGCTCAAATCTCTGCATCCATTCCAGATTTTGAAAAACACATTGAAGAAAATAACTATGCCTTCTTGAAGAATTGGTTGAATGAAAACATCCACAAGAGAGGTACTGTTACATTGACCTCTAACAAGTTGCTTAAGGAAGCTACTGGTTCTGAATTGAATCCAAAGATCTTTGTTAACTATCTCAAGACTAAATACAGTGCTCTCTATGATCTTTAAAATAAAATTATCATTACTTTCAAATGAAAATTAGTTTGAAAATTAGAGAATCTATTTTGATCTTGTTCAATCAATATTGATTTCTATTTTCAATCAACAAAGATTACATCAAAATGATTATCTTAAATTTTACAAAATTAGATAATCTAATTTAATTAATAAAAAAATGATTAGAAGAGCTTGCTCCATTTGTGCCGGTGTCAAACCTGTCAAATTTACAAGCTTCTCCCTGATACCTCGTTTCATACATTCAGCATCGGAACGACATTTTCATGTAAATCTAAATGCACAAACAAAAGATACTTACCTTCATCTGATGCAACGAGATTATGAAAAACCAACCTTTTCCACACTCAATATTACTATCCAAGATTGCAAAGAATGGAAGGAATTGGAATTTTTCAAGGCCATGGGTAGAACCATTCCAAGAGGAGGAGCTGGTTTAGCAAGAGGCGAATTGGAGATACTCCTCAAATCTAGGGAGGTTATGAATCCTATTGATGGTGAATTTCTCATTAAAGTTTCACAAGTTTTGGAGAAGAAAGGTTCATATGCAGCTAGAAAATATGTGGAATATGAATTGAGAACTGATCCAACAATTGCTAAAAAGATTGTTGATTGGGTAGAAGAGAAATCGAAAAGAGATGATACAAGTGGAGGTGGTGGAGAAGTAATTACCGATACTAGCTCACCAAATATTCCTCCCAGAGAACGAAAGGAAAAGGAACAAGAAACTTATGACGATGAGCAGGAATGGATTGATGATTTTGGTGGAGGATTGGATGGTGGTGATGGTGGTGGTGATGGAGGGGGTGATGGTGGAGGAGGTGATTAGTTCTCATTCGTTTTTTGATCTAACAATTATCCAAAATTACTCTTTTTTTCCTTTTATATTCATAGGCTGTAGATTTCAAAAAAACAAACTGTAATTTGTGTTCGTTACGTTTTTTGATGGAATTATAAATATTATAAATATAAAAAAAAGATGCCAAAGAACAATGCACCTTTCATGATTAAGGTGCAGTTAGGAAATAAAAAGTCAGGAGTGGTTGTGGATCCTAGTCATGAATTTTCTAGTTTTGCTCTTCATCAGGTTTTACATTTTACTTCAGAGCAACGTTTGTTTGTCAAGGTTTGTTGTTATTGTAGTAACGAGTTGATTCATCAAGTTTATCATCATTTCACCTTATTTCATATTGAAAATTGTTGTATGGAATTGATGATTTGATTTAAATGTGGACCATTCAATAATATATTTAGGTTTTGGCTCTTGAGGATGAGGAAAATAAATTGAGGATTTGTTTTCATCATGATCCGAACATTAGAATGGGAACTTACTTGATGAAGGAACAATTGATTAATGATTTAAAGCCGAACAAGGTTTATACACTGATTATTCAGGATACTAGAGATGTAAAAGTGGAAGATCTAACAACAGAGGAATTGGATGAAATCAAACGACTGTTCGATGAAATGGATAAAGGTAGAGTAGTTATTAATAACAACTCTTAAGGAAAACTCTAATGTTTGAAAATGTAGATAAATCTGGATGTATTTCACTATTGGAAGTCAAGAACTTTTACAAAAATGAAATGGAAATCAATATGAGAGTGAGTCGTAAAGTTGCCGATAGAAAGATTCAAAAACATGTAATATTTAGAGAAAGATATGAAAAGGACTATGAAAATGATTGTAAATTTTTCAAATCCATCATGGACAGTAACATTTCTCATTTTATGCAACAGGATACAGATAATAATTCACGAGTTACATGGGATGAATTTTTGAAACATCAAGCAAAGGTTAAAATTTCACAACGAAGATAATCAATATGTATATTAATGTTAGATGGTTACATCATCAACACTTCAACACTAAGCAAACACTAAAACATCATCTTTCCAATAAATTTGATTCATTCCTTTGTGATTGTATTAGCAATAACGTTTCCTTCCACTAAGCAACACAAACCTCAAAGAACGGATTAAGAAGCCACTCAATAATTCAACGCCACCATAAACAGCCTCCTTAATACGAGAACTATCAATTAATGAATAATTTCCAGAACAATTTTTCGCTTTGTAGACTTGTATGTTCCCCATTTTCTCCAAATATGAACCTTCCATGAATAAAGAAGGCATTTCTTCTGAATTGGGTATTAATTGTGTTAGACACTAGTCCTGCATTTCAACAACAACATCATAGGTGGCGACATCCACTCTCTCTTTTGCTTTCATTTTCATTACCTGGGCAATTATTCATCCTGATTCATCCAAACTAAGAACCAAATTAAAGGCTAAATAATAATACTTCAAAAACTCATAAAAAAACATACAACAATGATGCGTTCCTCTTTACAACAATCTGTTCAAAAGATTTCATCCTTTTCCAAACTCATGGGAAGAAACAATATTTCTGCCTGTTCGTATGGTATTAACAATATTCCATTCGAAAAGAAGGTTATGGATGCCAAGACTGCTCTCACTTCGTTCATCAAGGGAGGAAACAGAGTTTTCGTTCAAACTGGTAAGTGTTTTTGAAGCATTGTATGGAGTTTGTATAATTTTGAATTGTTTTACTGTACTATTATTGCCACTTGTTTGTATTCCGGAACTGATGATTCAATTCCAATATATATTTACATATTCGTCATCTTCATTATCCACTTTTTGATTTTCATCATCAATTCATTACTGTTTATATGAATATAATTATTATATTAAAATTCAAAAGGTTGCAACGTTCCAAAGCACCTTATCAAGAGTTTGGATACACTCATCGATGAAAAGGAAAAGACCTTTGCCGATAATAAGAAGAGAATTGAATTCGTAGGTCTCCATATTAACTATTATCCAGGAGAACAACCACCACACATGAGTGGTAAAAATAGAGAATACTTCCACACAAATGCCATCTTTAACGGTGCTTCGGAAAGAGCTGGTATGAAAGATAGAAGTGGTGAAGAATTACCACTTGTCGATTACTTGCCAATCTTTTTGAGTGAAGCTCCAATTTTGTTCAAGAGTGGTAAATTCCCACTTGATGTTGCTTTGATTCAAGTTTCCCCACCAGATAGCCACGGTTATTGGTAAGTACTAGTATAATTTGAATTTTGTGAAATAATTATTACCTTAATTAGTTCACTTGGTGTCTCTGTCGATATTTCCTTGTCTGGTGTTCAATCTGCTAAATATGTCATTGCTCAAATTAACAAGAATGTCCCAAGAACTCACGGTGATGGTTTCATTCACATTTCTCAAATTGATGCTTTCGTTAAGCATGACGAACCACTTTCTGAAATTCCATGTAATATTCATGAACTTGATGAAGTTGACAGAAAGATTGGTGAAAATGTTGCTCAATTGATTCCAGATAGAGCTTGTTTGCAATTGGGTGTCGGAAGTTTGCCAAATGCTGTTTGTGCTGCATTGACAAATCACAAGGATATTGGTATCCACACTGAATTGATGTCTGATGGTGTTTTGGAATTATTCAAGAAGGGAGTTGTCACTAACAAGTATAAGGGAGTTCACCCTAATGAAATTTTGTGTACTTTCGTCATGGGTTCAAGAAACATTTACGATTTCGTTGATGACAATCCACAAGTCATTTTCAGAGGAGCTGACTTTGTCAATGATATTAACAATATTAAGCAAAATAAGAATATGATTGCTGTCAACAGTGCTATTGAAATTGATTTTACTGGTCAAGTTTGTGCTGACTCTATTGGTACCAGAATGTACTCTGGTGTTGGTGGTCAAGTAAGTATTTAAATAGTTCAATAATAATTTATGCAATATTTAGATGGACTTTATGGTAGGTTCAGCAAAGAGTGAAGGTGGTAAGCCAATTATGGCCATTCCATCCCTTACATCAAATGGTGAATCAAAGATTGTCAATACTCTCAAGGAAGGTGCTGGTGTCGTTACTACAAGAGCTCACGTTCACTATGTCTGTACTGAATATGGTATTGCTGAATTGTATGGTAAGAACGTTGTTCAAAGAGCTAAGGCCTTGATCAGTATTGCTCACCCAATGCATCGTGAAAGATTGACTTTTGAAGCTAAGAAACGTTTCGGTTATTTCTAAACCTTATAGAGAGAATGCATCTCTTTTCCACAACATGATAAGAAAGAATTTATGTTGATTTTGCTCACAACTAACTTGCAACATGTTCAAAATTTTCTAACCAAATTTCCAATAAAAATTAAAAAATGTCTGAAGAAGAAATACAACAAATATCATCATCGGAGGAAAATATTACAACAGATGAAGAAGAAAAATCCTTGGAAGAATTAGAACAACAACTTGCTCAATTTAATGAACAATTACAACAATGTATTTTACTTTCCGAACAAGAACCAGAATCAACTGAATATTCATCACTGATTGAAGATTTACAAAATGCCATCAATTTGACAACGGAATTAATTAATATTAAATTATCGGAACAACAACAGACTCATAGTAATACAATTGTGGAATCTGCAGTACCATTATATCAAGAGGGAGATTATTGTTATGGTCTTTATGAAGGTTTATGGTATGTGGCTGTTGTTACTAAAATCATAGATAACACCAAAAAGCTTGCCGAGTCAAGCATCAAGAAACCTTCTTTTGAATATTTAGTTAGATATGTTGGATATGGAAATTCTGAATTTATTTCAAAAGAAAGATATACCATTAAGGATTATTCACACCCTCCAACTGAATATTTACAATCAGGATCTAAATGTCTTGCTGTCAATGCCAATGATCCTGATGGACTCTATGAAGATGCCGTTGTTGATAAATTGACAGAAAAAGAAACGGTTTGGGTCACATTTAAGGAGAGAGGAATCATGCAAGAAGTTCCATTAAGACTGATAAGACTTGCCTCTGATCATTTCTATGATCCAAAATTCAAACCAAAGAAATTCAAAAAACCAGAAACCACAAGCAATACTACCACTGTTGCTTCTACTGCTGCTGCAACAGCCATCACCCAAGAAAAGAAGGAGCAAGCTGAAATTATTGCCAAAAAGAAAAAGAAGCAAGAAAAGAGACAAGCCAAACAAAAGGAAGAGGAAAAAAACATTAATGAAAGAAAACAAAGTTGGCAATCCTTCAAGAATAAGAACTCTGGTAATTACAAGAATACTGGAAAGACATTACAATCCTCAGAAAAGACCTTCACTCCCGCCCAAAAGAAAACCAAACATTCACACCCAACTAGTTCTCAACAATAAATTATTCATCATCATCGCCTAAGAAGAAGTTTAAAACTGCATTAGAAAAATTGAAACTCTTCTCGTTAGCTAGCTCCCTAACTCATTCACACAACGATGTGATTGGAGAGTTGTGATTACTTGAAAAATTGAAGCGAAACGGTTTTGTAAGCATCTCCAAATCAGCAAAATATTTTAAAAATAAAAAATCAAATTTAAAAAAAAATCGAACCAAGTGCTAGGCTGCCCTACATTTCTTCGAGAAAAATAAACTCCTAGATTTATACATCATCACCATGCAAAACGAAGGTAAAGAACAACAAAAAGCCGGAGGTTTCTTCTCCTCACAAAACAAGAGAAGTGAAATCAACGAATGGAGATTGGGCTTGGGAAATGAAAAGGAATCCGTCAGAAAGGATACAGTCAAGAAGGTTATTGCTGCCATGACTGTCGGTAAAGACGTTTCCATGTTGTTCACTGATGTCATCAAGTGTGTTGCTACCAACAATATCGAACTTAAGAAGTTGGTCTATCTTTATATTATGAATTATGCTAAGACTCAACCAGATTTGGCTATCATGGCTGTCAATCAATTCGAAAGAGACTCTAACCATCCAAATCCTTTGATCAGAGGTTTGGCTGTCAGAACTATGGGTTGTATCAGAGTTAACAAGATTGTCGAATATTTGGCTGAACCAATTAGAAAGACAATCAAGGATAAGGATCCATACGTCAGAAAGACAGCTGCTGTTGCCATTGCTAAATTGTTCGATATTAATGCTGAAATGGCTATTGAGCAAGGATTTGTTGAAGCTTTGGAAGAATTGTTGACTGATGACAACCCTATGGTTGTTGCTAACGCTGTTAAAGCTTTGGATGAAATTTCATCAACATCAAGTGAAGTTATTCTTGATTTCACAGAAAAGACTGTCAAGACTCTCTTGGCTGCTTTGAACCAATGTACAGAATGGGGTCAAGTTTTTATTTTGGATGCTCTCTCAAATTATCAACCAAAATCTGATAAGGAAACTACTGAAATTGCTGAAAGAGTTGCTCCACGTTTGCAACATGCCAACTCTGCTGTCGTCCTTTCTGCTGTCAGAGTTATTAACAAGATGATTGATTTGATTAGCAATGAAAATGAAAAGAATGAATTGATCCAAAAGATCTCTGCTCCTCTTGTCACATTGTTGAGTGGTAACCCAGAAATTCAATATGTTGCTTTGCGTAATATTGACTTGATTGTCCAAAGTAGACCAGGTATTCTTGCTAACAATATCAAGATGTTCTTCTGTAAATATAACGATCCTATTTATGTCAAGTTGGAAAAGTTGGATATTATGGTTAAATTGGCTTCTGAACGTAACGTTGATACTGTTTTGATGGAATTCAAGGAATATGCCACTGAAGTTGACGTTGAATTTGTCAGAAGAAGTGTCCGTGCTATTGGTAGATGTGCCATTAAGCTTGAAAGAGCTGCCCAAAGATGTGTTGATGTTTTGCTTGATTTGATTCAAACTAAGGTTAACTATGTCGTCCAAGAAGCTATCATTGTCATTAAGGATATTTTCAGAAGATATCCAAACAAGTATGAAGGTATTATTGGTAAGCTCTGTGAAAACCTCGATACTTTGGATGAACCAGAAGCTAAGGCTTCTATGATTTGGATTATCGGTGAATATTCCAACAAGATTGAAAATGCTGACGAATTGTTGCAAATCTTTATTGATACTTTCCACGATGAAACTTCTCTTGTTCAATTGCAAGCCCTTACTGCTGTCATGAAGCTCTTCTTGAGAAGACCAAACGACACTAGAGATTTGATCAAGAAGGTTCTCCATTTGTCTACTGAAGAATCTGATAACCCAGATTTGCGTGACAGAGGTTACATTTATTGGCGTTTGCTCAATGAAGACCCAGAAGCTGCTAAGGCTGTCGTCTTGTCTGAAAAGCCAGTCATTAGAGATGACTCTACCAACATTCCAAAGACCTTGTTGAACGAATTGGTCAAGCATATTGGTACTTTGTCATCAGTCTATCATAAGCCTCCAGAATTGTTCGTTGCTGGTTACAAGAAGAAGAAGAGTGAATCTGGTGAAGATAAGGAAGTTGAAGATTACCTCAGAGAACAACAACACCAAGATGCTGCTGACAGAACTACCACCCAAGATATTCTTGGTTTGGATGACGTTTTGGGAATGGGTACTGGTGCTCCAGCTCAAGATTCTGGTGATCTTGATTTGGATGATGTTTTGGGTGTTGGTTCATCTCAACCTCAATTACAATTCTCTGCATCAACATCTGCCAATGCCAACGTTACTTCTCTCGTTCGTCCAGCTCCACAAAAGAAGTTGTTGCTCACTGCTGATAAGAGCAAGGGTCTCCAAATTTATGGTGCCATCAATAGAAATGCCAGAGGTGGACTCGAATTCTTGGTCACTTTTGAAAATCTTTCACAACAACCAATCACTGGTTATGCTTGTAAATTCAACACAAACACTTTCGGTTTCGTCCCAGGACAAGTTCAAGCTAATGGTATTATGCCTGGTCAAAAGACTGATGGTATTGTTCCAATCCTCCCTGGTAACAATGAATCTGATAAGGTTTCTCCACTTATCCAAGTTGCCATCAAGACTGATTTGGGTGTTGCTTACTTTGCTGATAGCATTCCATTCAGTGCCTTGTTCATTGAAAATGGTTCTTGTGATAGAGATACTTACCTCACTCTCTTCCAAAGCATTCCAGATGAAACTGAAAGCACTACTGATGCTCCAAACGCTTCTGCTGGTAATGCTAGCGCTCTCATTTCTAGATTGCAAGCTCACAACATTTTCTTCGTTGCTGACCATCAAGATGCTGGTTTGACCAACTATTACTTCTCTGCCAAATTCAACTATGGTACTGAAGAAGTTATTGCTCTCTTGGAAATTGTTGTTAGTGCCAACTCACCACAATGCAAGATTAATACCAGATGTGCTGAAACTCAATTCATCCCATTCATTGAACAAGATGTTGCCAGAATTGTTTCCCTCACTTTCTAAATAAATTAAACATTTATTCTCTGAAAACAATTGCCTCAATACTATTCTTTTGTAAACTAAATTTCAATACGAGCAGTCTACTATTACAGTACTGAATATTCAACGTATTTCCCTCCAATAGGCCACTTAAAGCGACAAGAAAAAAATCAACCCAACAGACATCCTTTTTTCATCATGTCTTCGTCGATAAACCATGATGAGAGCCAATCATTACTCTCCTCACCGCCTCCTCCCCAAACACAACAAGAAGATGATGACCAAGAATTCGACTTGCATCCAATAGAGAAGATTAAAAAACGTTCTTCCGGAACCATTTCTACAATCTTTTCCATCGTCAATACTATGGTTGTAAGTTTTTCATCATCCGAATTGTTCTTCAATACTAATTATCTATTTTCTAATTTCTTCTAATTTTCTAATGAATTAAAATTGATATCTATTTAAATAGGGTTCAACCATTCTATCACTTGCTTGGGGATTTACTCAAAGGTTTGTTTTCTTCTTTAATTTATTATTGAATATTTTATTGAATATATTTAATTATTATTATTATTCTAATTAATTGCAACAAATAGTGGTTTATACTTGGGTATAATAGTATTTATTCTCGTCGGATTTATTAGTTATTACACTTGTAATTTGGTTGTTAAACATTCATTATTTAAAGTGAGATATGATGCCAGTAGTGAAGAAAGCAATACTAATACTGAATCAATTAATAGTGAAAGTCCAAATTATAATTCAATAGGAGGAGAATCAAAGACTCAATCATTCAAGATTGGAAAAGTTTCATATACTAAAAAAACAAAGAGGCAAATCAAATCAATTTTTGATATTAAGGATTTTTCACAAGTTTGTGTTGAACATTTAGGAAAGTGGAGTGAAATTTTGTGTATTCTTACAAGTATTGTAATTTTGGTTGGAGCTTCAATTGCCTATCACATATTTATGAAAGATTGTCTTGTTAGTATTATTGATGGTATTGCAAATATTGAATATGATCAATCAGTTATTTATCCATGGGAAAATAATGGTCCTCCATGGTATTGGAATGGAATTTTTGCATCATTGATTATTGTTGTGGTTTTATATCCAATTACATTGTTTAAGAATTTGAATTTCCTTGTCAAGTTTAACTCATTTGGTATTTTCTTTGTGTTATTCTTGCTGGTTTTTATTATTTATGCATCAATTGAAGCTTTGGTTTCACCTTTTGAAATGTCAGCTAATGTTGCAAGTGTGTCAAGTTTGACCATTTCAGCATTGGGATTATTTGGAAGTAATTCAGCTACTCCTCCTGCTTCATCTTCACAGGATTCTTATAATATTGCTGATGATGTTATTAGAAAAGGAGACGAAGTTCTTGTCAATCACCTTAAATTATTCGATATTCACTTTAGTCACCTTTTGGCAATTTTGTCTTTGAGTTTCTTTATTCACAACGTTATTGGACCAATTTTGAAAAACCAAAAGTCTTTGAAACATACCCAAAGAGATACAGGTGTAGCTTTCATTGTTGCTGGTATGATTTATGCTGTTCCTGGAATTTTGGGAGCTTTTGCGTATGTTTTTTTTAAATTTATTGGATTTTTATTGACCTATTATATCACAAGTTTCCGTTTTGCCTCAATTGATCAAAACTTTTTGAATCAATTCTCATCTAAGAGTATTTATGCTAATATTTCTCGTGGTGCAGTTTTGTTCCAATTAATGTCAATTTATCCTCTCTTGTTGAGTGTTATTAGAGTTCAATTTTTCAGTTTTGTGTACAGAAATAATCCAAACAAGGAGAAGCAACAATATCCTGGAATTATTCAAGTTGGCGCTTTGAACTTTTTTGTTTGTTTGATTACCACAGCAATGGCTGCTTTTTATCCAATGGTTGGTACTGTTTTGAGATTTACAGGTGCCATTTGTGGTTTAATTTACATGTACTTGTTACCTGTTTCAATTCACTTGGTTGTGCAATACAAGAAGAAGCAACTCACCATTCTCTCAGTTCTATTCCATGTAGTATTGGTGCTATTTGGTTTATCAATTTTGGTATTACAATTTATTGATTTTGATCAATTCACACAGAAAGGCAATTAAATAAAAATAATATTATATAATCTTATTCCATCTTTGTTGGTGGTGGCAATTCAGTTGACTCTCCCTTTTGACTAGTAGGTGAAGCAAATGTAGCAGCTGGTGGAGTTTGTTGCATTTTCATATTAGGAGAAGAGAATTGAGCAAGAAGAGGCTTTCCAAATGGAGAAGGAGTGAAAGGACCACCAACTCCAAGTTTTGGAGTGCTTGCAAAAGGAGTTGGAGTGCTTGGAATAGCTTCCTTCTTTTCCTTCTTTGCTTTTTCCAAAGCTTCTTGTTCTTGTTGAAGTAATAACAATGACTTGGATTCTGTTTGGAGAGCTTTCCATTCCTTTGCAAGTTGAGTTTCAATAGCTTGGAAAATCTTAGTGAGTTGAGTATCAGATAAGGTGACACTCTTGAGTTGTTGCAAGGTGGTTTGGCAAAAGTTCTTCAAAGACATAATACTTTCCTTATATTCATCAAAGCTATGGATACACTTCTTATTTTCATCATCAATATCTTCATTATCCTTCTTTTCCTTCATCAAGAAAACTTCTTTTGGAACTGTGAGTAAGATGGAACCTAACAAGTGACTAACATATGAAATGTCCTTAATACATGTACTAACACTGATTTGGAAAGATAAGCTCTCTTGTTTGGTGAAACAAATGTATGGAATAATAAAATGTTCAAAGAGAAGAGAGTATGTTTGAACAAGCTCTGCAAGTTGAGTAGTGAGGAACCACTTAATATTACCAGACAAGAGAACTGGAATGGCATATTGTTGAATATCCTTGATAACTCTACAGCAATCAGAAATAAAAGAGTCAACAAAGTTGAATTCACGTTGAATGACAGATTTGCCAAATAATGATAATTCAGTAGTTTCACCTTCAAGGAAGAGTGTTCTGAAAACAAAGTTCAACTTGTGAAGGTTTTGAGAGTAGTAATGAGCATCACTTGGAATTTCAATATTTCTAAACTTTTCAATATCGTCATCCTTCTTTCTTTCAGTGGCAAACTTTCCAATACCTTCATTGTCATTTGGAGTTTCATATCCTGAAATATTTCTGTGCGAATTAAAGGCAGCAATCTTGGCATTTTGGTGGAATCTCAAAATGGAGAAGATGAGTAACTTTCTTTCAAGGGAGTGCTTCTTGAGTTGTTCTTGTAAAGCATCCATTTCAATTGTAATCTTTGAAGATGAGGAAGCATCAGTACTGAACAAGAGTCTTTGAATGAATGGATAAAATTCAAAAGCCAAGAACTCTGGGAGAGGAGGCAATTGATAAGGAATCTTGATTTTAAGCATGGCTTGAGCCTTATCTCCAGCATAGTATAACCTAGTGAGAGTTTCAATATATTCAACAAAATCATGTACATTGTGTACCTCCTCGAGGAATGACAAGTAAGTTGGCAAAATACCAGCAGTATTTACAGGGACAACTGGTGAATTGGATTCAGCAACATTGATAGGGGCTGTTGGAACAGGTGTAGGTACATGGGCTTCATCAGTCATTTGTTGATCTTGATCTGATGATTTAAAACTAATCTTGATGGTTGTTCCCTTAGTGTTGGTATTAACAAGAGTGGTACCTTCTTTTTGTGGCTTAACTTTGACCTTTTTCTTTGCTGATGCATTGGATTCTTCAGGTTCAGTGGCCTTTCTCTTATTCTTTTGCTTCAACATTGGCATGGATAAGAGAACTTGTTCAACGGACTCTACAGGCATATTAGGGTGTTGAGAATAAATTAATTCCAATAAATAGAAGATTTCTTGAAGGAGTGTGTTAGAAATGAATGGAGATCTACAAATGACAGCAATATCTCCCCAAGCTTCACTATCAGAAGGGATATTGTCGAAAAAGTGTCTCAATTCTTTCATTCTTCTAACATCGAAAAAGTCTTTCAAATTGATAGTGTCAGAACTATCAACTTGTTTGTTTTCACCTTGTTGATTAATTCCTTCGATGGTTTCTTCCTTCTTGACAACAGGCTTTGCCTTAGCTTTGGAGCCCTTCTTTGGTTTGGCTTTTTTGGTTGCTCCTGTTGAAGATCCCAAAGAACCACTAGAACTGGCATGTGAAAGGGAAGCTTGATTTCTGGTGCAAGTAATCTCAGTCTTGGCATCTTCTGAATGTTCAGAATAGACATAATTCAATAAATTGGCATGTACAGTTCTAATCCAAGCGTCCAACCACCAACAAAAGTAATGGCACATATCCATTTGGTGAAGTTGTTGAACTTGATTGTCGTGAAGAGCCATCAAAAGATCATATCTGAATGTACACAAATGTCTACTTCCTGTTGCAAGGAGTTGACTTCTACAATAGCCTAGAACTCTATGATATAACTTAGGGTCTTTTCCTAAAATATTGATCATGCTTGTCAATGTTTGATTTTTCTCTCTCTTCTTCTTTGGATCAATTTTATAGGTTGAAAGGAGGTCAATCTTGTAAATTTGAGGAAGGTCATACTTCTTCAGAAGAGTTGAAATGTGTTTGATAAACAAGTTTTCATCATTTACCCATACTTGTCTCTTCACTTCAATAGGGAGATTTTTAAAAATCTCATTATTACCTTGAAGTTGTTGTAAAAAGTTGACAGGAATTTCATCCATTCTCTTCAAAAGAGAGTATACAATCGGACGTAATTCCTCAAATCCAATATATGGGAAAATTTGTTCCAATAGTTCCTTTTCTTGAGTTAATTCACTTTCATTTTCAATTTTATCAAGAAGAATTTTCTTCAAATGGTTCATCAAACCAAAAAATAAATTGTTTCTTTGTACATTCAATAGATCGGTTAACTCCAAAATAGGCGGAATGCTTGGAGACACTGCATTACTAGATAATGATGAAAACTGTTTTTGAAAAGTAGTAATGGCAACCTTTGGATCACCAGAACTCAGCTTGGTAAGAATATATTCTTGCCCTTCGGCTCCTAACAGCGCTCTTGAGTGATCAGAATTTGGCGGTTGATAACCTCCTTCACCACTTCCACTCATTTTTTTTGATTAAAAAATTCTTAAAAAAATATTAAAAAATCCAAACGGTTTTTTCATCACACCAGAAAATAATACAAAACATCACTATTAAGTAAGCCTTTGCAATTAATATCAATGAGGTCTTAAAGCACAAAATAATAGAGTTACTCTTTTATCACCCTTTCCGAACGAAAGGAATTTTAATATTAATATGCACTAGAAATTAAACTCAAAGCAGATTTAATTTTACAAATTCTTATGGTAAAAAGTCACCAATAATTCCTTAAACTTATTCAGATTATTGAATTGGAATGCAATGTGATTATTACAAAAGTGTCGAGTTCTGGTGGATTCTTGAAAGCTCTCTGGGTATACAATGGTGCCCATATAGGATTGGACACTCTCTGGATTGTACTTATTCTTTGAGACTGATTCCATGGTTGCTTTGAGACAATCTTCTTGATTAGAGCTTGGAACTATCGAATCACCAACTGTTTGCAAGAAGAAAATTGTTCGATTATTGGAAAGGTTTACATTTTTTAAGAGCTCAATTGGATCGTTGTGAAATGGGGGAAAACCAAAGTGAGAAACTTTGAGAGGTGAGACGCTCTTGATAGTTTCCAATCCAAGACTTGCAATAGGATCACTGGAGACCATTGCCTTAGCTCCAAACAAAAGTGTCTGATAGACGTTACAAGGAGGTGAATCAAGGAATGCAATTTTAATTCGATTCTCTTTGGCAAATGCAATTGCTGAAGTGGCAGCTCCCTACAATTATTTCAACAATTATTTAAATAGTCTAACAAATTTCACACTTACCATTGAGCTACCAAAGAGTCCAACATTATTAGTCTCATTGAGAAATGTAAATCTTTCCAATAAATAATCAAAAGCTCCTAAAACATCCAAATGTTCAAAATTTCCAAAGCTCACAAACTTGATTGGCTCAAATAATGATGAATCACCATGATTTCTCAAATCAATTGATAATACATTATATCCTGCATGATATAAAATTCCAGCAGGTAATAAGCTATCATATTTTAATCGACAAACTCTGTATCCATGAACAACAATTGCAAACTTAGAAGTTGAATTGATGATATCCTGTTTGTATAATGTTCCAACAATATTTGCAGTTCCTATTTCAATTATTCCAACATTCATTCGAACAATTTGAAATTAAACTTACCTAATCCTTGAACCCAATCCACAGGTCGACTCTTAAATTTTACAATCTCAGTCTTTTCTGAATTAACATAGAAAGGAGCCAATTTCTCATACCATTGACTCTCTGGTTCAGTCAACGGAGGACAATCATATAACAGTGTGAAATTTTGAGGAGAATTTTCTCTGAAATATTTACAATTCTCAGGCGCAATTTCAAAAGCAACATCAAATAAATAATTACCCAAACAGAACCATCCAACCACAAACAAAGCACCAAAGAATAATAATCCAGTAATGCACAAAATGGAAAGTGTTGAGATGGCCACAATAATTTTACGTTTTCTGGTGGATGTTGTTGATGATTGTTGATGATAGTAGGTCTCCAATGTTGCAGGATCATCATGAGTGTGGTCATCCTCTAACTTATCAAAGGATGAATATGAATGATGATGAGGTCGAGTAACAAGTGAGCTTCCTGACATTTTTTATTTGATGTGACATTTCCAGTATTCGTTCGTCCGGATAACACAATGAGAGCATTTTATCTCTAAACACAAATAAAAAATTAATTACACAAATTTTTTGTGAATATTTGTGCTGAATTGTGTTAAAATATTTTCACAAATTTGTGTTTGAGTTTGTGAAGACAGGCCATTTTATCTTGCACAAATACATATTTTTATTAAAATTATTCCAACTAATGTCTATCTCAATAGAAGGTATAAGTTGAAATCAGAAAGAATTTCTACAATATGTTGATTCGAATGTAATGTATCCTAATTTAATTAGTGATGATGGAGTTGGTTCTGGTGGTGCGGAATCAATGAAAGCATGCTCCAAAAACAAACTGTTTTGTTCCAAATATTTAATTATTCCATCTGTTACTGCTTTCCCTCTTTATTTCACTTGAATCTTGGGTTGTTGGTGGTGTTGGTGTTGGTTTATCTGATGAAGGTGTTCTTCTTACATTTTTTAATATTTAATTAATAAAAAATGTATTAAACTTCTCCTTCATCAAACGGGAGAAGAAATCAGCAACCATTAGAACCCGATTCATGTCCAATTCTTGCAACAACAATATTGATATCGGATCACATATTTCAAGATCAACGACGAATGAACTTTTACTACTAGATTCAAAGAAAACAACCTAAGATTCAAGACCACAATAATTTATTATTTTAATAAAATACTTTTGTGTTTTCACAAATATTTGTGCAAGATAAAATGGTCTGTCTACACAAACACAAATCACAAATTTTTAAATCTGTGTAATTAATTTTTATTTGTGTTTAGAGATAAAATGCTCTCAATAAGAATCTTTTTCAATAATTATAATAAAAGTGTTAATTCTCGATTGTGGCATAGTTTTTTGTAAATTCTGATATTTAACAACTAAATAAAAATGCAACAACTTGACGAAGGAATTGACGAAGAAATCAACAGCAATTATCAACAAACAGAAATATCCAACTCGGAATTGAATGAAAATTCCAATTCACCACAATTATCTATCAAGATTATCACATTCGGAGTATTGCATGGTAAAATTCCAAAGAATAGTTATGATGTCTTGTACAATTTACAAGAACTTCCAAATCCTCTGACTGCACAAGCTAGAAAGAAGATGACTGGACTTTCAAAAGAGTTGAGAGAGGATTTCATTTCCAATACAATGGTTAAATCTCATTTTGAAACATCGTATAGAGAAATTGTTGGAAAGTTGAATGAAAAATTAAAAGAATTGAGAAATATTGCTGTAGAATTGGAGGATAAACCAGAGGAAGAGAAGGAAACCAAAGAAGATGAGGAAGAAAGTGAAGAAAATGAGGAAGACGAAGATGATGAGGAAGAAATTGAAGATGAAGACGAAGAAGAAGATGAAGAGGATGATGAGGAAGAAGATACTGATGAAAATACCTTTGTTATTGCTGTATGTTGTCACAAGGGAAAGCACAGATCTGTTTCATTTGCAGAAATTCTCAAAGAAAAGCTCACCTCAGATTCAACACTTCGTTCCTCAATTAGTTCCCTAAATGTTGTCCACAGGGATGTTCATAAGAAGGGTGCTTCCAACAATAACTCACGAGGCTCCCACAAGAGCAAATTCTTCAATGACTACTAACCAATCTCATTCAAACTTTACAATAATATATTCCAATTTAAATAATCTTTACAATTTTCCAATAGGAAAAAATGTCTCAAAGTCAACAATGGCTTCGTAAAATTCTCTACTATATGCTCCATCTGATATTCGGAGGCAATCAAGCCTACACATTCAAGCCAGGAGATTCTGTTCTTGTGATTGAAATTGGAAAGGATTTCGTCAAGTATTTTAAATTGACAAAACCAGAAGAACATGTGACGAATGGAAAATCAATAACAAATGGAAAACAACTTGAAAATTATCAAAAACAATCTAATTATGGAGGAACCTTTTTGAATGTAAAGAGTTTGATGCCACCTTCTTCATCTTCCGATCATTCCATTCAAATTATTTGAATTATTAATAATATGAAAAAAGGCTTTTTTGTTGAAATTTGATGATAGAATAATCCAATAAGAGATAGAAAAATTGATAATATTATCACCCCAATGATGCTAATGATAATAAGAATTATTAAAGTATCAAATAACAATTAAATTTATTTAATTATTAAAATTATATTAAAAAAATGTCTTTTGATCGTTGGATTCGTACAGGATCAATCACTTCAACAAATTTACCAACTCAACCTCACTTTGGATTGGATAATCCAAGAATTTCCTTGGGTTTGGAAAAGGACCTTCCAGAAATTACAAACAAGATTTTCGATCGATTATTAAATTATCACGTCTGTGCTGAGAATCAAGTCAATGAATTACTTCAACAATTTGAATATAATAAGGTATTGGAAAAATCAGAAAAATCTCTGAATGAAGTGGACAAACATGTTGAGCAATCCACACAAAAGATTGTACAATCAATTGCTACTTTTGATGAAATTAATCCCGAAATTCAGAAAACTATTTCAGTCTCTCTGGCCTATGCACAAGATTGGATGAATAAGAAGACGAAGAGTCAACAACCTCAGAAACCATCCTATCCAATTCATTCCCAATCATCTCTTCCTCCAACTGTTAATACTACAACACAACAATCAACAACAACTCCAACTACTTCATCATCATCAACAACAACCCCTGTACAGCAAACAACTCCTTCCAATGAAGATCAATCTACAACAACAGCTTCCTCGGATAATAATTAAATAAATTATCATGATCCAATATATTAATACATTAATAATATTGAATTAATAATACAAACTTGGAACATGAACATTTCAAAACATAAAAAAATGGGAAACAAGTCGTCATTGGCTAAACGTGAAGGAGAACATGATTTGGATTTTTGTGAAAAATTGCAAGTAAAGAAACAAGATTCACTATCAAATGTTGATGAAGATGATGAGGATGAAGAAAAGAAAATTGAAAAATTGGATCCGATCTTGTCATCGTTAAATTATGATGTCATTTCTGAAGTTATTAGCTTTTTGGATGTAAAAAATCAACTTTTGGTGTGTTCTAGCTCGAAAGCATTGTTTAATGAATTTATTGGAACGGATTCGTATAACAAGTATTTCTATTCATGTGCTACGAAACATGCAATACCATCAATTAATGACATGTCACTGCTAGATCACTTATTTAAAACAGCTAAGAGGGAATTTAAATCGTCACTCAATGAGGAGGAAATAATTGTTAAATTTAATAGAATATGGAGGAAACTGTTGAATATTTTGATTGAAACTCAATCATTTAAATTTAATTCATCACTTCCCAACATTGCATGCGAGGAGGATAGCCATTTATTAAGCTACCAAGGACAATCATTTGGAAATTTCACCTTCTCAATGGAAGCTCCATCAAACCTTAGCGAATTGTACGATAGTTCACAAAGTTTCTCTTCAGAAGAGCACCAGTTCCTTTTTAATTTTGAAATTGTAACAAAAGATCAAACCAGAAATATTTCTATTGGAATGGGTGACAAGGAAGTGAAGGATTTGAATTGTTCATCTCGATTTCTTGGATTTCCAGACAATTCTCTATCCTATTCAAGTGATGGCTCAATAAGATTTAAAATAGTCGAGTCACTTAGGTATGAAATATCGCTGCTTCCCTATAAACCAGGTGATCTAATTTCCATGCATGTCAAATCAAAACCCTACACAAAAGGCAAAGAGGTCTTTTACTCTTATCAAGTGAATTTCTTCTGTAATGGACATTTTCTTCCTTACCTTGAAGGAGAGGAACAAAAACCATGCCCTCAATTTGATTGTCTGTGTCCTTTGTATCCTTCCTTTACATTGCATTCACCTGGTGATTCTGTGAGGATGCTCTTCTCTAGGTCTTCACATAACAATCCTGCTGTTCATCACAAAAAGGCATTGGAACGTATTTTTGCCTTCATGTTGGAATATAATTTGTTAAGTTAAAAGATATATATCAAGTGTAGTAATAAATAGTATTTACACTGATATAATCAAACACCAACTCGGTACAACAGTCTGGTCTTCGGAATGGCTTTCAATGTTATTATCTTTGTATTTTGCAGTAGGCATCAAACTTCTGGGAAGCAAAAAAAAATATTAAAAATTTAATTTTTTCAAATAAATAAAAAATGTCTTGGAGAGGAAAGGTATCAAAGAACATTCATCAAGTCGTGTTTTACTTTTGCAACAAGAATACCCAAAGCAAGGGTGTTAGAGATTTTTTAACAACAAATTATAGTGATATTAAAGCTTTGAACCCATCTACTGGTTTGCTCATCAGAGAAACTCCCGATGCCGAACCATTCATGATGATCGAACGTCATTATGGTGCCAGAGAAAAGAAGGATTTGAAGGATTTATCACAAAACGATATTGAAAATATTTTAAAGGAAGTGACGTTGGAAGCTGAAAAGCCAAAGGACACTAGACCTGTACATGAAAAGATTGCTGATGTTGTTACTGAAGAATTTGTTCGTTTCCATCCAGAAATGCCATACAGATTGTAAATTGAAAATAAAGATAAGCCATAGCGTGGGCCTTTTTTAATGTATTTAATTGATTCAATGAATTTCCGATTTAAACACAAGAAAAACATGCCAATTTTTAAAATTATTAGTATGAATGCTTTTTTCGTATTATGCTCTTTTTGTTTAGTTTATTTGGGTTTTGGTCATTGTTTACTTGACCATACCCTTGATAATTGAATAATGTTAAATAGATAGGGGTAATTATTATATATGGGAAAGAGAAGATTTGGAATTATTGTTTACTGTAGAAATGATTAATGGTTACATTAAATTGAATTTTTAAAAAACTTACCTCTTGTTGTGGAGCAGACTGTGAACTTTCAGACTGTTGTGCCTTATCTTCCTTCCACATAAACTTTAAAGATTTTCCGTCCATATCAGTTCCTTGTTGGGTTGCCTTAGTGGCATCAGCTCTAGTGGAATACTTTACAAGACAGGCGCCATCAGTGAGTACATCAACTTTGTCAACTGAACCAAACTTGGAAAAGTGGGATTGAATAGATTCTGGATTCATCTTGTCCTCTGGTAAACCAGTAACATAGAGAGTTGAGGTTCTATTATCCTTAGAAAGAGTTCTTCCTGCAAAAGCTCCTCCTCTACCTCTTCCTCTGGCATAACCTCCTCTACCTCTGTAGGAACCAAAGTTTGGACTCTTTGTTGTTGATTCTGAACCTTCAGTGATTTGCTTGAGATCATCATCAAGGCTCTTTTCTTTCAATTCTTCTTGCTTCTTCTTGAAGAATTCTAATTGTTGTTGTTGCTTTGGTTTGGAAGCTTCAGAAACCTTTCCAATGATTGTCTTTTGAGTTTGCAAAGAGGATTCAATAGTTTCAGACAAACTCTTCATAATTGTAGCAAGTTCCTTTCTCTTTTCACTACCTTCTGGTAAACTTTCCAATTTCTTTTCCAAACTTTGATACATGGAAAGTTGTTGTGTGAGAATGTCTTCATTCTTCTTGGTAATTTCACTAGTTTTTTGGAGAGTAACAGTCTTTTGTACAACTTCTTCAGCAACATTGTCTGAAGAGTGGTCAACCTTCATTTCACTTGCAACTCTCTTAGACCAAGCAGCTTGAATGAATCTATTTCCTAGAATGGCATCTGGTGTCTGCAATGCATTTTGAGCATCTTCCTTATTTTCAAATTGAACAAATGCCATGTGATTGTGTGATTTGACCATGATATTGACAATTGGACCAAACTTCTTGAAATAATAGAAAATCTTGTGCAAACGATTCAACTCTGGTGGAATTCCTGTCAACATTATAGTATTAGTAGATGGCAATCTAGCAGCTGTTGGATCTGACAAAATATCCTTATTCAAAACAAGAATATTATTTCCATAACTATCCTTGATAATTTCTCCTTCAATTCTCTTATTTTCCTTTCTCTTATCATTCTTATCGTACTTGCTATCCCTCTCATATTTGGAATCCTTTCTATCATTCTTATCATATTTGCTATCTCTATCGTTATATTTCGAATCCCTATCATATTTACTGTCTCTATCATATTTTGAATCCTTTCGTTTGTCTCTAGTGTCTCTTCTTTCGTTATCGTAATCATCCTTTGATTTGGATTTTTCATAACCTTTAGTTTGTCTATCCTGTTGTTTGTTATTTGGTGTTGGTTTAGTCTTTTTTGTATCCCTAGAGTATTCTTGATCGGTTTCATCTTTTCTTTTCCTTTTCGTTGAGTCGTTTTGTTGTGTTGAAGATGAAGAGGATGAAGAAGCAGCTGTAGAAGAAGTTGATGTTGTTGTTGTTGATGGAGGAGTTGTTGATTTTGGTTTCTCTTTAAATAATCCTCTATCCAAAGCAGACATAAATTCTGATACAAAACTAGTAACTTGATCACCTAAAAATTCGTTCAATTGATCCTTCAATGTTCCTCCAATAGTTTCCTTGTCTGTGTCTCTCAACAAGGCCAACACATAGTCAGCAAGCAGAGTCGGATCAGCAGGACACTTGTCTCTCAAATGATCAATGAGCCATTGTTTAAGTTCTTGTTCTGCTGAAGCATCAAAAAGGGACGACATGTTTTAAATAATTCACGAGTATAAAGAAGCGTGCAATTGAATATTTTTTTGAAATGAAAAATTCTTTTTTTAATTTTGAGTTTTGTGGTTGAACAGGCATTGAAGATTGTTATTCGGTATTTGAAGATTAAGCAATGATTCAATTAATATTAGTGCAAAATGTTGAAAGAGGTGTGATGGATAAAATGATTTGTATAAACGAATCCAAACTATCCTCAACTAAAATCAAACTGTTAATGTTCACGAAAAGGAATTGGCTCATGAAACAATTGTCGTCAAGAAAAAATAAGCAAAATAGTCTTTGCAATGTCGGCACACGTTATTCCGCAATAAAATTGACAATAACTTTGATTAATATTGTTTAGATTTTGTTGTTGTGTGAAAAGAGGAATAATATCTTTTGGTCATCACGGATTTCTAATCGATATGAATAATGATTTGTGTTAATCGCTGACTAATACTAGATTTAAAAGGTACTGATGATGATTATTCCATTCCTTGTTGTCCTTCATGAAAATGTTATTTGTGTGTGATAAAGAGCCATGTTTATTGGTTTTATTTTTTATTTCTCTGCTCTGGTTCTGTGGGCTGCGTACTCATTGTAAAAAACTCATGGTCAAGACAACCTGAAAATATTTAAAAAATTTGTTGAAAAAAATACACTAAAATGTAAGTTGCTATTTTATCCCTCAAATCTCACTTAAACTTTCTGTCTTTGCCATTCATCCAACAATAAAAGATGACTCGTGCTTCAATTTTGAACGACGCCCTTACCACTCTCAGAAACGCCGAAAAGGACGGTAAGAGACAAGTCTTGCTCAGACCAGCCTCAAAGACTATTACCAAATTCTTGGAAGTCATGCAAAAGCACGGTTACATTGGTGAATTCGAAGAAGTCGATGACCATAGATCTGGAAAGATTGTTGTTGAATTGACTGGTAGAATCAACAAGTGTGGTATCATCTCCCCAAGATACGACGTTAATGTTGAAGAAATTGAAAAGTGGGTTACTAACTTGCTCCCATCTAGACAATTCGGTTATGTTGTTTTGACCACCTCAAAGGGTATCATGGATCACGAAGAAGCCAGACAAAAGCACACTGGTGGTAAGGTTCTCGGATTCTTCTATTAAATAAATTATAAAATTATCTTAAAATTATCTCAAATTTCATTGTTTACTTTTATTAATACATTATTCACTTTTAACATCCAACTTCCATTGATGATGTAATCTTTATAATTGGTTCTTGTCTTGTAATAGAATGTGTCTCTTTTGACGTGTCTTATACGTGGAAACAACTTTAAAAAATGGATCAACATGATAAGCTTCTCAAGGAAGCAAAGAATCTCATCCAACAAATTAATAGACAATTGGATGATTTGGAAAATCAGTACTCAAATTCTGTTTCTCATCAAATACATAACAGTAATACACGAACATACAAGAGGAGAGTATCGAATGGTGAAAAGCTTTCCTATGAGGAGAGTTTGGAAGGAGGTTATTCATACAATTCGGACGCCTCTCGTGATCGTCACTCAATCAATCTAACAAAGGAATCTCTTTTTGAGAATGTTAAAACACTCTCCAGCTATGAAAAAACTTTAAAGAATTACTTTTCGGACATGCCAAGAGGAAAGCAAAAAGACAAGTGGCAAATTCAAATAACAACACTTTCTCATGATGTACAAAATATTACAAACACAATGAACAAGCTTAATAGAAAACATACAAATTTTGAAAATGAAAGAAAACTACTTGAATTGGATGGTGAAGATGAACGAAGATCATTCAATAATAATGATAATGAATTGGAAAGTGCTCTCACAGAATATGGAGTTCAAGGAAAATCAATGGACAATTCAATTAGATTAATCGAGCAAATGAAACAAGTGGGAATTGACTCTTTAGGAATGTTATCGGACCAAAGGTCAACTTTGAAAATAATTCATGAAAAACTCATTGGGATGGGATCAACATTAGGAATTTCTCAATCTACAATGAGATCTATTGAAAGAAGATATGTAAGAGACAAGTACATTATCATGGCTGGAATGATTTTTATAACTTTACTCTTGATATTTGTCTATTACTATTTTAAAAAGTAGTTCATTTATTTGTCGATTTTTGAGCTCCTTTTTTAAGACTTTCAATAATTTTCATGTTATTAGCTGATGCATGAATTGTAAATAAAATCATGTGATGAAATATCCAGATACTTACGATTTTTGGCGAGAGATTGTATTGTTAGGGCGCATACTTTCTTTAAATTTTCATTCTTTGATATATTGATTGTGTGAAGGAGCATTTCAAGTCCTTTCATCTTTCCAACCTTGGTACTTGTATCTTCATGGGATGACATATTCTTTATGCATAACACTGCTTCCTTAACAATGTTATCATTCTTATTGGTGAGTAATTTAAGGATTATTGGAATGTACTTCTGGTCGTTTGATACAACTTTCACGTTCATTTCTTATTTAAAATTGAATATACAATTAATTCAATATGTTGAAACTTACTTTCTGATGTATAGTTCTTAATGATTGTTAGGATATTCTCTAAAATATATTCATTATTAGAAGTATCCAATAGGTTAAAAAGAGGCCCAAGAGCCTCAAAAATCTTATCCCTTATTTCTAAATCAACAGTTAAAAGAGATAAAGCACCAGTTATATTCTCTAACACATTCTCAGAAGTCTCGTAAAGAAGTGACAATAATATTGGCAAGCCTCTATTGTTTCTAAATTGAGTTTTGACAGTATCCAACCTTGCACAATTCCAAATAGTGGCAGCTGCATACTCTTTTATGGTTGGTGAATTTACATTTAATAGCTCCACAAGTTTTGTAAGACAATTGGTTTCCATCAACTCAGGAATTGTTTCAACTTGATGAAGATTAGACAATTAAAACTATCAAAACATACCAACAGTGGAAGAATTTCTTAAAATGCCCAGAATTTTTTCAACAACTGATAACGAAGAGTTCTCTAACATGCCAACTAATAATGGGAATCCATGACATTCTCTAATGAGTTTCTTGTTCATATTGTCAATGCTACAGATCCACATAGTACTTGCTAGCTTTTCAATGATTGATTGTTTAGTTTCCTTCTCCAAAATTGCAAGCATTAATTCCAGACCTCCAATTTCACCAATAGTTTGTTTGTTTTGGTCATTGATGGCACAATTTCTCAAAGCACCAATAGCATTTTCTCTAATATTTTCATTGTCAGATTGAAGACAATGCAAAAGTGGCTCAAGACCATTTGTCTTTCTGATAATCACCTTGACCTCTGCTTGGGATGCACAATTCCAAAGAGTTCCAGTAATATTTTCAATCACTGCTTCATTTTCATATGTCAATAGTTGTACAAGTTTTGGAATTCCTCCCTTTTCATAAATCTCCTTCTTGTTGTCGTTATCAACAGCAAGGTTCCACAAGCATCCAGTAACATTTTCAAGGACCCCAGGATTATTTGAGGCCAACAAATCAAGCAATATTGAAATAGCTCCCAACTCACGAAGTGTCATCTTATTCTCTGTGTTCGAAGCACAATTCCAGAGAGCTCCTGCAGCCTTACTCTGCAAACCTTCATTTGGGAATTTGAGAACATCTAAAAGAAGAGAAAGACCTTGTGACTCTCGTACTGTAATTTTGTTGTCGTCATCTCTAGTAAGATAGCCTAACGCAATAGTTGTATTTTCCAAAACGCTTATATTGTTTGTTTTCAAAAGAGAACATATAGTTGGTATTCCTTGATTATTCCTAATCAGAACCTTATTTTCATCATCAATAGATAGATGCCAAATAGCTGTGATGGCTTTATCCATTACTTCTTCATTTTGGGTTCTCCATATCAGCTCCAGTAAGTTTTGGATAACTCCTATTTGACCTAGATGTCTTCTATTCTCGGCAGTGACAGAAAATGCTGTAATTGTTGAGCATGCTGAACAAAATGTTAGATAAGTTAACAATGAACTAAAACATACCTTCCCCGTTCACATTTTCATTAATAGATTTGAGCAGTCTGGCTACTTGATCGAATCCATTTCTTTCTTTAACAATTTGACAATATTCTTCTTTTCTACAAAGTTCGGAAATGATTCCCAATTGCAAGAATTGAATATCTGGTCTTGACACTTTAAGAGAGTCTAGGAGAAGCTCAGTGATTGTTATCCAATATTTTTCGTAATGATAAAACTCCTCTTCAAGAGTGGAACATAATTTGTAAAATTCAGTCAAGGCTTCCTTAGCAACTGATTCGCTAGGAGCATTATTATTCTGCAGGAACCACACAAAAGTTTCCAATCTCTTCTCAAGAGGAGATACTGTGAGAGTGGCCAACTTTTGTCCAGAAACATTCTCACAAAGATAAGAGTGAGCAGCCTTTACGCATTTCGATGCAATAGAGATTGATTTCATCTGATTATGTCAATAGTAAAATCCTAACAAAATACACACCTTCTTTCTAGTTTCCTCAATTGAGTCCTCTAATTTTTGTAGTTCCATTTTCAGCATCTTTTTAGCATGTTCTTTTACCTCCACTAATGATCCAAAGTCACCCTATCCAAAATCCGATAACACTTACCTAGATCCATTGTTTGTTTTTCCTCTTGTTTTAATTTTTCCATTTGTTCCTCCAGTAACGATTTCAAATGTGTTTGATTAACTGAACATTCTCCATTCAATTTTGTAAAAATTCTATCGATAATCAATAATTCCAATCATCATCATTTCAACTTACTCTGCAGCAGGTATCATTGATTCATCTACTCCAGATATAACATTTAAAACATTGAAAAACGAGAACACTATTGTCTTTGTTATCATCTTTTAAAAGGCTTGTTTAAAAAACATACAAGTTGTTTGTACATCATCCGGATGATCCGATGCAATACCATTCTGTTCCGTTGTTTTGGAAACAGTATTATTCTCCCTACATTACACAGTAGCAAATCATATTAAGGATGATGATTAGCTAATTGAAAGGGTGGTATTGTTTTACTTACATTTTTTTTGAATATTACTTGATTGGCCAATGGAAAAGCGTTAAAGTTCGGAATCGCTTTTTGCATCGGCAAATTATTAATAATTTCATCACCTACATCAGTATGGTCGCTTAGTTCAGTCAAACAAGTCAATGAAACACCTACTCAATTTTATTGAGACAAATTACTAAAATCACTAAGGTTTCGTTCATGCTCAAGTGACTTATTAAGGAAATAATTGATGGTGAGATGGTCGAGTGGTCTAAGACGACACGTTAAGGTATGATTGATACCGTGTTCCGCAAGGGCGTGGGTTCAAATCCCACTCTCATCAGTTTTACATTGACATTTTAAATTCTTAGAGATTAAGCGTAACACGACCGTTTAATTTTGATAAACCATTAAAAAATGAACGCAAACAACAGAAACGATCCACTTACTAAATTGTACGTTAGTGATAAGTGATAAGTTTTTCCTTAGTGCAATTATGAATTAATAAAACAAACTCTATAGACAAAATATGGCCAAGACTGAGAGTATCAGAAGGCTTCAATCAATAGTAAGTAAACTCGTAGAGACTATGTGATCTTCAACTTAACAGCAATTAGGAAAATCAAATTTTGAAAGTCCTTCCATGATGAGTGTCGGTTCTCCAAATAATATTCATTCGTCTCCAGTCTCTCAAGATTGTAAGTGTTTCCGAATATTAATAAGGGTTGTTGATAATTGTATTAGTTGCTATTAATCCTGCTGTTGAACAACTTACGGATTGGAAGAATCAATTCAATGACAGACTATCTCAGGTTCAAGAAGAATTGTTAATGTTCCTGACACAAAAACATGTATCACAGGAGGAATTGGCAATTTTGATCAAAAACACATTTTCGGATTTTAAAATTTCAATTTCAGAATTATTGAATACTCTCACATTGTTAATGAAAAAGTTTTTAAAGAAATCTAAAAAGCTTGTTCAAACAGCAGATAGTCAGTGGGAAGTTATTGTATTGGATCTTAACAATCAACTCGAGCATGTTTCTAGAGCTAGAGCAGTTGAGGAAGAAAAGAGAAAGGAATTGGAAAAGGAAGTTAAAATGTTAAGACAAAAGATGAAGTCAATGAAGATTGAAATGGTAAAACCAAAAGAAGATCAATATCAACAATTGGTAAATTCAATTCAATCAAACCCTTCCTCTCCAGTAGCCAAGGCAAGAGGTGTTGCAACTCCAAAGGGCTCTCCAACAAGAACACCAAACAAGAGTCCAAGAACACCAGCAGGAGGAAAGAAACCATTAACTTCTCCAAAAACAAAGACTCCAGCTAAACCTGCCGAAGAACCAGTCGTCACAGTTGAACCAGTTCCAGTTGTGACTGAATCACCTAAAGTTGAAGAATCTGTTCCAGAAGTTAACGAACCAGAAGTTGTTGAACCACCTAAGGAAGAACCCCCAAAAGAGGAACCACCTAAGGAAGAAACTACTCAAGTCGAGCCAAAGAAGGATGAAGAAGAGGAAGTAGACGAAAAGGATAGTAGACGAGACAGAAGAGGAAGAAGAGGAAAGAAAGACGATGAAGAGGAAGAAGAAGAGAAACCTACATCAAGAAGAGACAGAGGAAGAGGAAGAAGAGGTAAAAAGGATGATGAAGAAGAGGAAGAAAAAGAAGAGGAAAAGGAAGAAAGAGGCCGTGGCAGACCTTCACGAAGAAACAAGAAGAAGGACGAAGATGAAGAGGAAGAAGAGGAAGAGGAGAAACCTACAAGAAGAGTACGTGACAGAGGAGACAGAAGAAAGAGAAATGAATGATTCAAATGAATTTCTTCTACTTCACTTGTAATCTATGTAATAATAAAAGAGAACTAATAATTCTAATTTCTTCCGAAACTTGCACGATTCAAACATTCCAATTTCCTTTGTTAATATTTAAATCCAATAATATGTTAGAACATAATTTTTGAAATTTTATATTTTAAATTTATTGGAGTCGATTTACTTGGTTTCAGTAGCCTTATCCTTTTGAGCCTTGATCTTCTTGACTTGCTTGACGATCTTCTTTTCTTCCATCAAGAAAGCACGGACAATTCTTTCCTTAAGGTGGTTGTGATTCAAAACACCTCCATAAGCTCTGGAGATAGTTCTGGTGGATCTGGAAGCTCTCTTATTTTCAGATGGTCTCAATCTCTTCAAACCTCTAACAGCTTCACCGCCCAAGTACTTTGGAACAGTTGGAGCCTTGACCTTTTTCTTGGTGAATTGGACAACCAACTTGCCAGATGGAGTCTTGACGAGCTTTTGCAAGTTAGATCTAGTATTGTAGGTCTTGGTTCTTCTGATGGTAACTCTTTTATCGAGAGACATCTATGTAGAATAATGATGTAAAGACAAAGAAGTTGGTAAAAAATGGACTGGCAGGAACTAACACTTACGTTTTACGACTTTTTTTTTTCAACAAATTTTTGGTTGAGAAGGTACCTATGATTTTTACAATGGAAAATTTTTACCAAGAACATCACAAAGAAAAATAAATCATTACTTCATCACTCTCAATTTTACTGGGTCTTTTTCTTACCAACATCGCTAATCATAGAATCCATCAGATGTTTCAATATATTATATATTAATATATTTCTGGAGCTATTATTCTTGTCGTACGATCGTTCATAAAGCATAACATTGCAAATAGTAGCAGTATTGATATAACGAGGAATACAAAGTTATCTGAAGATGAAAAGGAGATTTATTTAAAGTCCAGAAATATCAGCTCTGAGTACTTTTCTCATCATGTTTGCTCTCGATTTGATGATGTTTTCTTGTTCTTTCATCCACTCCTTGTCTCCCTTCTTGGTAATATCCTTAAGAGCCAACAAGTCATAAATAAAACCTCTTCTAAATTCCTTCTTGACAAATTGGTAGAGGAAAAGGATGAGACTCTCTTTGAGGGAATCATGTTCCTCCACTTTGGCCAATCTAAAGAAGCATCGAGTAATTTCCACCTCACTAAAATCTAACAATAAATTAAGGAATAACAATCTGAAAAAGACCACATCCAACTGTTGAAGACTATTAAAGTCAATAATCTTGAGCATGGAGAGTGAGAGACATCCTTTACCAATCAATTCTGAGAGAAGCTTACTGATATTGATCAGCTTTCTGACAGTATTCTTTGATAAATCATCAAAATATTCGTAAAAAGTGAATTGGAATGCTCTGTTGGTATTTTCAATACTGCATAGCTTTTCTGCTAATTTGCTGTAGTATGGATTAAATCCCTTCTCTTGACAACAACAGTGTAATAAAACTCTTGCAATTTCTCTATTGTTCTTTTGAATACCCAATTTGACTAATCTTTGGAATGCATCAATGAAATCGTCACTTCCCATTAGAATACAGAAAACAGCCCTTCTCAAATCTGTTGTCATTCTCTGTTCCTTGGCAAGTTTTTCAAGTTTTCTGAGAGTCTTTGGATCCATGTCATGGAGGGCTACACTGATATTATCTCTATTCTTCATAGAAGACAATGCAGTAGCATTTGAATTATCAATTGAAGAACCAACTTGATTGCCAGTCCATGCTGAACCGACAAGCCACCATCTACCCTTCTTTTCAGCTTCAATCAAATCAATATATGGAATTCTCAACGTGTTTTCTCCAGTCTTCTTCTCCTGTTTTTGTAAATCCTTGACGCTTTGTTTCAATTGTTTGTATTGTTCAGAAATGTCTTCTTGATATTGTCTCTTTCTATTATTTCTCAAATCATAAATCATTTCAACGAGGAATTTCATACGTTTAGCAACAGCTGAACCTTCGTCCTTCACGGTATCTTCGTATTTTTCAAAGCTTGACTTGATAACCTCGATAATGTCCTTCATGGCAGCAGGATCGTCAATCTTGAGTTGGAAACCACAAGCTGAAATTAAATTTTAATATTGACTGATTCAAAACTGAATACACATACCTTGAAGTAATTTGAAAAGATATTCCACATTCAGTTCATTAATATTGAGGCAGAACATTCTAATAATATCATAGATGAGTCCACAATAAATTAACTATTGTAATAAAAGCTTTAAGAGAGCTATTCAAATAAAAACTTACACCCAAATTGTAGACGTGACAAATTAATGTCAACAAGTTGGAAGCTTGATGTCTTTGATCGACAATTGAATCGAATTTTTGGATCAATTTCTCCATAAAGTGAGCACCAATGTTGGTTCCTCCAATATTGTGCATTGCAACCATGTAGGCAGCATACACCAAAATGAAATTACTTTGAAGGTCAACAGTGTCACAAACGCTTTCAATAATAGAATTTGAAAGAATATCATGGAAATCTTTGTATAAATAGTTAAAATCGTCATCAGACAAAAAAGAAACACTTACCATTCTTACTACTCTTTTCATAGAGAGCTAATGATTCCTTTGTGATTGAAGAAATATTGGCAAGAGAAAGCTTGTTCAATAAATTTCTAATGCTCTTTTGAAGGGCAATATAGGATTCAGATTTTCTACCACTTTCCAAAATTTGTTGTTTTCTCATATGAGGAGGAACATATTTTCCACTTGTATTTTCTTCTGTTTCTCCTTCTGCTGGTTCTGAAGATCGCTCAGGTTTCTTTCCTTTTTGTAAAAGGGTGGCAAGGGTTGGTACTTCACTCTTTAAAAATTCAGAATAATCAACTCCTTGTTGCTCAGATTCAAGCATGGCGTCAATTTCTGCGTCAAGATTGATCATATCTTCTGGGTCAATATCACCAAACATTCCTTCATAATCTTCTGCAAATTCTCCAAGATCTTCTTCATCAATTTTTGGTTCTATGTATCCAGGAACGATATCCTCTCCATCACTTTCTTCCTGCTCTTCTACAACCTTTTGTTTTTTCTTTTCTTGCTTTTTCAACCTCTTTTCCTTTACAAAGTTTTCCAAATTAGAGGAGCCAGGGTCTGTATCCAATTCGTCAATTGCCTTATTCTTTTTAATTTTCAATTTCTTTTCGAGATAGGCAATAACCTTATCATCTAGATCTTCATCACCCTTTGACATACCTTCTAACATGTCCTTTGTAATAAATATAGCTGTAGAGTCCTTATTATTTTTCAATTCTTCTTCATCCAAGTCGTCGATAATTTCCGATTCATCAGAATTGTAATCATTTCTAGAACTACCTCCATATCCATCATCAGAAAAATCATCATCTTCATCTTCAGCCATTAAATCATCCTCAAACAATAAATCCTCACTTTCTTCTTGCTTTCGTTTCTTGGCTTTCACTTCGGCTTTTTGAGATTCTTGCTTTCTCTTATTTGCTTGTTGTGGATTAGATTCTGTCTTCTTTGTTGGTTGAACTTTTTGGCTTCCCTTCTTATTAATCTCTTTTGGTTGTTTATCATGGTTTTTAGCTTTACTCAATTGTTTTTGCTTCTTTTTCTGTTTATTCTTTTTCTTTGATTTTGCCAACATGAAGCTCATTTGTTCAATATGTCCATCACCAAATTGTTTTGATCCGCCACCAATAGCAGCAGCATTTGTTTCCGCAAGATCATCATCTTCACCACCTCCTCTTCCTCTCTTTTTCCTAAACGATTTTCCTCTGTTCATCATATTTTTTTAATTCAATTTTTTTGTCTATTAATAATTTCACAACAACTAAAATTTTCAAATATTTAATTGAATTCTATTTCAAAATTTAGTTGTATAATTTAATAATATTATTGCATTAATTCAATTATTCATCTAATAACAACTAATATTGTCCAACAGATTGATTACATGGCTGTTAACAATAATTTCAAAATTAAAAAAATGAGTGATAACAACACTAGTGGAAACAATACATCATCAACCAATCAAAATCACTCACAAGCAAAGGAGGCACTATTGCAATCCCATAAAAATTGTATTTCATTTGTGAAGAAACAATTATCGGATCCTGTCATTACATTTGTTTTGCGAGAAATAGAGAACATGGGATGTCCTTTGCCAAATCCATTTTTTCGATGTGAAAGATGTTTGCACAGCTCGTTGGATAAACCAAAATTCAGTGCTGCTTATGTTTTGGGTTCTTTTGATAAATTTGATAAAGATGAACAAGAGACTGATAGTGACACTATTGATACAGATAATTTCTTTGGTAAACCTGGAGTATTATTATGTGAGGATGTTATGGAAAGGTATTCCAAATCAGATGACAAGACTGTCATTTTACACGAACTTATTCATGCCTATGATGACTGTAGAGCAATGATTAACTGGAAGAGTTGTGAACAATTAGCTTGTGCTGAAATTAGAGCTTCCTCACTGAGTGGAGAATGTGATTTTTTGCATGAAACTAGGAGAGGAAAATTGTCAGGTCTTAGAGGACAATTCATGAATTGTGTCAAGAGAAGAGCAACTTTGTCACTCAATTCCAGTGCTATTTGTGGAGGTCAAGATAATGCTAAGCATGTAGAAGATGTTTTCAAGACTTGTTTCAATGATACAGAACCATTCATCAAGAGAATTTAAATCCATACATAGTATACTACAATGTTGGTTGTGGGTAAAATAGAATTCCTGATTTCTGTTGTCATTGAATATTATATGGAGGAGGAATTTAAAGTTTTCATCATGGAATATGGATAACCAAAATAATGGCCAAAGATGAAGTTGTAATTTTGTTTGGCGCCAAAAATTATAAAGCCTACTGAAATGTTGGCGCCCAATCTACAATAAAAAATGGCTCAACGTACTATCAGTTTGGGTAAGTAATTATTGTTATTGTGTTTGAAGGTATATGAAAATCATTCCGAACTTTAATAGGGGTTAAATTTGTTGAGGGACAACATTGGCCAAAACCAAAGAATGCTAAAACTCCTTCAAAGTATCATTTTTCGATCTGCTTGTTGAATGGAGACATTGAAAAAACTAGAGTAATAACCGATGCAGAAATGGGAGCTATCAATATTGAGAAGTCATTTGCTAACATTCCAGTGGAAGTATGTACACTTTTCTTCAGATTGTATTTATAATAATTAAGGATCTTTTGAATTTAGTAATTAATAACTCAACAGTGGATGTTCTCCATATAAAGATGATCAAGGGAGAAGATGACAAAAATGCTGTAGAATTTGGATTTTTGGATTTCAATATTTCAGGATTATTTACTAAAAACGAGGTGGAAGTAGTTGGAAATGTCACAATTACTGAGGAAGGAGCAACACAGGAAGAAATTCCAACTGTAAAGCTACAGTTGAGTGTAAGTGAAGCTTTACTTCCAAAAAATGAAATATTGGAGGGAAATTTGCTTAGTATCAAACTGGGTCCAATAGTAAATTTACCAAGAAGTTGGCTTCCTAAAGATGCTCAAAATATTGCAGATATTCCATTAGATTTTACTGTAATGTGTAATTTACCTATTGGATCAGGCCAAAGAACCTACTTTTTCAGAAATGGTAGAATGGTAATGAGACCATCAACGGATGATCCAGAACGGAATGAGGCAGTAGTTCAATGGCCAAAGGATAAGAAAACTTTCTTTATAGATTCAGAAGCAATGAAGGCTTTCGAGAAGTCATGCGTAAATTGTGAATGCTTGAATTTCAAGCTGTATAGAGGAATAGTAAAGGAAATGATGATGGATGGATGGGTTGACCAAAATGAAAAACGATATAGAGCTGTTTTTGGAAAAACTCTGAGAGAATTATTAGAACCAGGTACTAAATCATCCAAACAAGATATACAGTTGGGACACGCCTCTGCAGATGAAGAATTCCCTGCTGATCCAAGGCCAAAGAGTGCAAATAAGAAAAAGAAAAAGTCAAAGGATCCAACTCCAGCTCAATTATTACCTGATGCTGATCATGATTCAAAACCTTATGTTGAAAATGGATCGGCAATATCTATCGAAATTTCATTTGAGAAACCTCTTATTCCAAAACCTGAGGACAGAACAAGAACCAACATGAGACCTTCTGATATTATAACAAAGAGACAAAAAGTAGAGAAGAAAAAGTAAGTTTTATTCAAGAATTGATTAGAATTTCAATCTTCAATTTATACAGGGACATTGTGGAAAAATACCAAGAAGAAATATCAGGTGTTGTGGACATTCTAGTTGAAGAATATAGAGCTCTAATTGAAAGAGAGTCTAACTTTGATAAGGAACATTTTATCTTTGAACTTAACCATACAGGAAAATACTTTGCTTTCAAGGAGAGACTGAAGGCTTGTGTTGTTAATCTTGTAAAAGAAAAGTTTAGTCATGAACTCAAGTCAAAGAAGGAACACGAGGTCAAGGCGTTCTACAATGATATCTATGTTTACTTGGTAAAACAAATGCACGTTGCTATCAACAAGATATTCAACAAGGCAAAGGAACAAGATCGTAAAGAATCACCAATACAAGAAGAAAACAAGCAAGCAGACAAGTGGAAGAGACTTGCTGATGAGGCTGAATTCGAGTTTAATTATATTGCAGCTGCTAAATATCACCAAGAGAGAATAACTGGTACAGATGAAGAGCTTACAGCAGAAATGTGGTATGAATACGGAATTTTCAGTTTGAGAGTAAAGGATTTGACTAAGGCTGAACAATCATTCAGAGAAACTCTTTCTCGAAACATGGCTCACTTAGAGTGTTTGAGAATGTATGGTGTTTTACTGTGTATCAAAGGTCAATTGAAGGAGGCAGAAGTATTCCTTCAGTCGTCAGTTGACTTGGATAACAATAACTTTATTTCATGGGGAGTTCTTGGAATGCTCTTCTCCTTAACAGGAAATGAGAAACAGGCATCTCAATCATTTTTATATGGTGATTTAGCAATGGAAAAGTCTGGTGTAGACAAAACTCTTCCACTCAAATTAAGAGTTGCTAACTTTTTATTGGAAGTTAATGCTGATTCTCTTGCTGAAAAGTTACTTATTGATTGTACACAACACTTTGGAGAGTCTGCTGATACATTATATGCTTTTGCCAAGATGTATTCTATTAGAGAGGATTATGATTTGGCAAATGAACAATTACAAAAGAGTCTGAAGATTGTTTACAAATCCGGAAGAACATGGGAGTTGTTGGGTATGATTCATCTAAAGCTTGGTAATGTAACTGAGGCTGAGAAGGATCTTGAGTCAGCTCTTAGTGTCTCTACGGCCCCAACAGCTCACATGTTATTGAGACTTGCCAATATTTATTTATCATTGGAGAAGTATGAAAAATCAAAAGACACTTATTTGAATGCAGCAAACTTGTGGTCTTCTTGTACAGCATGGTTAGGAGCAGGTATTTCCTATTATCGTTTGGGTGACTATAATTTAGCAGAGCAAGCTCTTAATGAGGCCAACATTCAAAATAACAGAAATGCTGATGTTTGGGGATATCTTTCATTGATTGCTCTTCAAAACAGAAGAGAAAAAGAAGGAGAGAAATGTTTAAGAGAGGCACTCAAACATGGTTTAAAGGCTTCTAATCCAAGTCTTATTAATGAGATTTCTGCCTCCATTTCTCAATTCAAAACACTTAAAATAAATATTTAATCACCCATTACTTTATTAACTCAATTGGTGATCATTTAGAATATCTTCACAAAATATAAGTTGGTGGATCAGTGGAATGTATCCTTGTTTTTGTCCAATAACAAGTGATACTTGTGAATCAATAATTCCTTCATTTAGGTCTTCTCTTCTCAATAGCTTGTAAACTCTCAATAAGATGTCATCTCCAAGCGATTCCTCCAAATACTTTCTTAACGCTTCTATTCTAAAGTTGAGAGAATCATTGTCCTTTGTCCCTTCTAACATTAAAGTTTTACCCATAATCTTGAACTTGTTTGGGAGTGCTGGTGATTCCTCCTCTTGTTCGTTTTCACTTGTAAAAATGTCATCGTCATCATTTCTTGACAAATTCTTAATATCTCCAACTACGTTTTTCATTGTTTTTAGAATTGAATTGTTCAAATTTCCTCCTGATTTTTGATTATATTGATTTTGGTGATCTTGAATTAAAATATTTGATCTATACCCATTATTGTTATTGTCATCTTGCTTTGGGATGACATTGTTTGCTTTCATTTTTGATAACCTTTCTTGCCTCCTCCTCTCCTCTGCATATACTTGTTTTTCAGCTACTGAATCATCTATGGGACGCCCTGATTTTGGGGGCTGTGAAGAATCTGTCCCATCATACAATTGAGATTCCACTCGCCTACGATTCATTTCAGCTTGCTTTCTCATTTCCCAGTATTGTTGCTTTCTGAACTCGGCTAATTTTTCTTCCTCCTTTTTTTTAATATCCTCCTCTCTCCTCCTTCCATCGTCTTTCGGAACAGCACTTGGTAGAGGTCTATTGCTTCCAATGTCTTTACTTAAAATAGAGTACTTGTCTTCCTCTTGCTTTACTCTCATTTTGTTCCTCAGAGCATTTACTCTGCAGAAATTCAACACAAAATTGGTCCTTAAGAACTTACCTTGCTTCTTCATAGATTGACTTTCTTTCTCGTTCTAACTTTTCTTCGGCATACTGCTTTTGCCTTAGCTCGTATTCTCTTTTTCTGTCGGCAATGTCTTTCATTCTCTGCTCTTCCTCAAACATTTTTTGTTCCTTCTCTTTTTGTAATTTTAAAAGTCTTTCCTTTTCTCTTTCTCTCTGCTCTTGGAGTTGTTTCCTCCTCTTCTCTTCCATCATCTTATCATTGATGAAACTTGCCTTTGGAGCGACTGAGGGTGTCACCAATTTAGGTGTTGGCTTTACAATATCTCTCTCGTATTTCGCAAGGACTGGAGCATTATTATTGTTATTGGAAATTAGAGGCATTCCTCCAACATTAGAGAACTTTCTATTATCCTTAAACGCAGAAGGTGGTACTTTAACTTCTGGGACTGGACTAGAAACTCCGCTTGGACTCTTTTCTTGTACTTTTTCTCCACTTGTTTCAGGCTCTCCTTTTGATAACAAGAATTCCATTCTCTTTTGAATGAATGGTATTTTCAAAACAGAGTTTATACTTGGCCTGTCTCTAGGATCCTTTTGTAACATTTTGCCAATCATATCCCTTAGATCAGACGAGTAAGTTGAACTAATTGGGGGATAGGTTCCTCTCAGAATTTTTCCAACCAGAGCTTTCATGTTATTAGCCTCAAAGGCATGTTTCAACGTCACCAATTCGTATAGAATGCACCCTAAAGACCATACATCGGATTTGTTGTTATATCTATTATTATGTTTAGCACATTTGTAATAAGCAGAAACTTACGGTTTTTCTTGACAAATTTCAGGTGACAAGTAGTAAGGAGTACCAACAAGGGTCTTGGCACATTCCATTGTCGATTGCAACACTTTGCTGATACCAAAATCTCCCAATTTCAAAGTTCCATCTTGTGCAATAAATATATTTTGTGTCTATGAAAGAGTTATCATGAAATGAAATAATTGGTGCATACCTTCAAGTCTCTGTGTAAAATTCTTCGGTCGTGAATATATTTTACAGCCATTGATATCTGTATGAACCAATCCACAAGTTTTTCCTCTGGAAATAATTTTGATTTTTGTTGTTTAATCTTTTCATATAAATCTCCTTGACTCGCATATTCCATAACTATATTCAATTTTCCTCCATCCTGAAATGAATCAACATATTTTACAATATTGGGATGTTGAAGAGAACTTAATACTTTCACTTCATTAAGTGCTTCCTTTCTTTCCTTCTCCGGTATTCCTGATATTTCTATTTGTTTGATTATATACATGTTATTGTCAATTTTTGACTGAACAAGCACAGCTTGTCCGAAGGTTCCTTTTCCCACAACCTATAACAGACTTGTTCAAATATTTCATCTTGAAATTACTCCTTACCTTGACCTTCTTGTAGTTTTGCATTTTTTTTGGGTTAATCAAAAACTTGGCTGTAGATTTTTGATAACCGTTACATGCCGTTTTTGTTCGTATTCCCGCCTTTTTATTAATAATAAATAGAACAGTTTTGAACATTAAGTGTTGAGTCAATGTAAAGTAGCTGTTTGAAAATTTTTATATATTATGATACAATTAAGGTTTTCATTCTTTAAGCATGCATGAATTGGTTTTCAAGTGGAAATCCCATTGCTTTTCAGTTCTGGTAATTGCATTGCCCAAAATTGTTTTAGTTTGAGTTTGAAGTGCTGCAATATACTTGTCCTTAACTTCCTTCTCGGAGGTGTTGGCATTTGCCTTCTTTGCTGCTTCTGAGCTGATCATTGATTCATCTAAAAAGCCAGCTGTATCAAGGAACTCAGTCATTGCTCCCATTAATTGATCGTACATAATGGATCTTCTAATCTTGGTTTCAAGTTTGGCAGTTTCTCTTTCAATATATTCAACCTGTTCCTTATCTAAAACTCTCATTAATTCTAACAAGACCACGAGGAGAGTGTGTCTCTTCTCATCCTCTGTAATTTGTTGCACAAGTGCCCTCAATGAGAAGAGAGAATAATCCCAAACAGTATTCGATTGTTGTAAAATGGTTGCTGCGTTTGTGTACAAACAATGGAAAGCATGTAGTAAATCTTCAGAAATGGAGAATGTTGTTACTTCATGATACAAGTGCTTGTTTCTTTCCACAAACTTTTCTCTCAGTAGATCAACCTTTATCTTTCTCATTTCGTCTCTATTGTCTTTTGGTGGGGCTGGTTCAGGTAAGTTATCAATCACTCTTTCTACTATATCATGCATTACAATGTAAACTCCATTCTCCTCCTCCTTCTCTACAAAAGGTTCCAAATCCTGTTGTTCCTCTGAAATTACTACTCCTTTCAATTTTACCTCATCACAATCACAATAAGCCTTTGGAATAGTTTCCAATTTAAATCCATCAGTAAAAATTCCTTCCATATCAGACTCGAATGAAAAGACAAACTTTTTGGTTTTTTGAGGAAGCAATATTCCCTTTCCTTCTGTAGAAAGCATAAATTTGGATTCAGCCCTCTTCTTTTGAAGTGATGTAATTGGCTCAACCTTAACCCATTTGTATTGGATTGAGCAGCATCCTGTATTTTCAAGAACAACCTCCTTTTGAACCAATTCTCCTGGAATGGCATCAAAAAGAATATCATTTTCCGATAATTGAAAAGCAGGAGCTTCCATCTCTTCTTTTGCTTCCTCTTCCTTAATTTCGTATGGAAGATGAGAAGCAGAATATGTTTCCTCTTCGTCATATGTATTGTACTTTTCCTCAATCTTTTGACCAATAACCTTCAGTTCTTCAATAAGAGAAGAGGGATCATGGGTTAGTTCCTTAGCTAATAGTTTTCCATATTTCTTTCTGAAATAGATTTAGAAATTTCGATTCAACCAGGGTACTTACTTTACATAGTCTGATTTCATTGACCTAATTCCCAAAGGTGTGTTATCCCTAATTAAACGTTCCAGTACATCTCAAAAACAATAGACAACTTACTCTGCAATAAATCTATCAGGATTTCTCACAGTAGCTGGCTTTCTAATTTTTTTCTCAATAATAGGACAAAACAAAGGATATGGATAATTTCCAATTTTAACATATCTCACTCCATCGTCCTCAGGTACATCTACAATAACTTAAGTAAATGAAAAACATTAATACTAACTTCTAAGAGATAATTCCCAACTCCATTCGTTGTGACGTTTTTCTACTGGAATGGAAGCTTCCAAAATATCTATTTCCTCTCTTTTTGCTCTGAATGCATCTTGACTTTCCATCACCAAAGAAGTTTTTGGCTATTATCCTCAATAAAACATTCAATCCCCAACCTACCTTTCCTGTTTTATTTGCCAACCGTTCTCCAATATCCCCCCAAGTTTGCAAATATTCTTCATACTTTCTGAGGGCCTTCTCTTGCATAAATTGTCTTCCTACTGCCTTATCGTCATGAATTGTTTTTTCCAACTTTTCCGAAAATTTTGGTTTTGTATTTCTAGAACTTTCCAAATTTTGCTTCATTCTCTTAAACGATTCATTATTAGCCTCCACATTTGAACACAATGATCCAGAACTCTGCAGTGTTGATTGAAGTTGTGATCGACTCATTGCAGTCATGTACTGATCCAATGATCCTAAAATTTCAATCTCCGATTTTGGAAGACGAGAAGCATCAAATAAATTCGGAACCATACTAGGCTCCATTCCTGGTTCAACATTAGATAAATTCATCTCCATTGGAACCTCAACCCTTGGAGGTAATTGAGGAGCAGACTCTGGTTGTGGTGTCATTTTTTTAAATGAAAAACACTGTAAATTTTTAATAAGAAATTGAGTTGTAATGATGTATTATAATAAACACAATAGAAATTCTTATTAAAAAGTTTAATAATTTGTATGTACAATTTTAAGGCTTAGATTGTAATGACAAGTCTTTTACCTGGGTCAATATTTTCTTGCCATGCTGCAGCAACATTTTCCAAAGGCTCAACATGAGTTTCAATCTTGAGCTTTCCCTCAGCAACCCATTTGAATGTTTGAGGAAGAATTGAAGAGAAGAATTCCTTCATTCCACTTTCAGAAATACTGCCCAATCCACTTCCAAGTATTTCAATTGCTGTTGAACGTAATAAACTTGAAGGAATTGCAACATTTTCGCCTGCCATTGATCCAACTGTTACTACCTTAACTGGGTGAGAGAATCCGTGAAGATTTCCTGAACCTTTCAATGATTTGAAAATTAATTCAATTGGATGACCCCACAAGTAATCAATGACAATATCAATTGGTGTCTCTTGATGAATTTGAGAGATTTGCTTGGTAATTTCTTCATCTGATTCTCCAAGAGAAATTACTTGATCAACTCCATATTCATTCTTTAAAATCTTTAAAGACTCTTGATTTCTACCTGTTGCAATTACCTTACTAGCTCCGTATAACTTTGCCAATTGAACTGCAACTCTTCCAGTAACTCCAGTAGCCCCATTCACCAAAACTACTTGACCACTCTTCAAGTGTGCCCTATCTGTCAATGCCAAACTTGCACCCATCACAGCATTTGGTAAAGCAGCAGCAGAAACATCATCAATTTCATCAGGGAGAGGCACAACCTTACTCTTATCAACAATGGCCTTCTCTGCAATCATACCACTGATGCCAAATGCATAGACTCTCTGATTAGTTGTCTCCAAATGTCCAACACCATCCACTCCAACAACTGTAGGCAATTCTGAATAATTGGTATAATGTTTGCCAGATGCTCTTATCTTATCTAAATTCTTAACAGAAGCTGCCTTGACAGAAATCACAACATGTTGATCCACATTCAATAGTTTCGGAAGAGGAAAATCCTTTTCAAATATTGGTACATCGCCGAGTTTATGTAAAACTGCTGCTCTCATTTTTTTGATTGTTGTTTTCATATTATTGGAACGAATACGTATTTGTCAATAGTAGTTTAAATAGTATTTACAATTTGTCCACTGCGCACCAATAGGGTGCACTATTAGTGAATCCTGTCTAATGGATTGTAGCGATGATGCAAGAAAGAGCTAAAGCAGTCAATTAAACAACAACTTTATGAATAAACTTTTAGTTTGCCTGTATCAGTAGAAACAAGCAGTAATTTGTGAAGAGGTAAATATTTAACGTCAGTGTAGTTTCCATTATTGGAATCGCTTGAAATATTGTTAAATGCTTGCCCTTCACAATATAAAACCTCTCTATTGTCTGAATCGATTGGAATTTCTCTCTTCTTTTTAGAAAGCTTTCTTTGTTTGTTCTTGAAGTCGTTCGAGGATTTAGAGTTCAATCTGTCAATTACATTTCTTGTAGAAACAAAACTGGAAGATTTACAGTAGAGAATTCTATCAGGTTGCAATGCAAATAATTGATCACATTCTGGTCTACTATAAAAATCGAACGAAATGATTGGAGCATTCGAAACTAAATCTTGATTGGTATTGTTGGAAACCTGGAATGCCTTGATACACTTGGATGGTACAGAGTTTCTTGTATCCCAAACACGAATTAAGTCATTCTTATAGTCAGCTGCATCTTCTACTGGTCCTGTAATTGTGGAGGGGCTATTATCAAATGAAACAGTCTTACGGCAGCATGTGATAAAGTGTCCAGGTTTGGTTCCATCGTATGGCAATATTTTAGTAAGCTCTCCATTTTCGTGTGAACAGAATGAATCCAAAATCAATCCACTATGTTGTTCCATTAAAAATATCACGCCATTAGATAGTCCAATAGTTAAAAAGTTATCTCTTGGATGACACTTGGAAATGCATTTGATGTTATGTTCTCCAATCACAGCAGAAGAGGTTGATGACATCATGTTTGGTACATAATTTGATGATTGGGATGTGAATAACTTCCACTCAAAGGCACAAGACTTGGAAGGTTGTCTTAGATCATAAAATTGCACATTAGGAACAGACGAATAACTACTAGCCACAAGAATGTTAGGATTATTTGTCAATGTTTCAAAAGTAATGAAATTCATAGTACCATTCAATTCTTGATTAATAGATGGAGATCCTGCACCAACAGTATACAAATATTTAGTTGTCTCAACATCAAATAAGTGAATATTTCCTCCACTATCCTTACACAGAAACTTGTTATCTGAAATGAACTTTACCTTGTCAACTTGAGATCTAAATAATTGCTTGTTAGTAGTTCCAGTATTTTGATAGCACAAATAGGTGCTCTCCATAGAAGAAGATTCCAAATTCCACAAACGTACAACAGGATTTGAGTGATGTCGCAATAAACCTCCACCAGTTAATATAATTCTCTCATCTGATGGACAAACATCAATACATCTAAGTGATAAGTCATTAAATTTCAAATCTGAAAGCTCATACTCCAAAATTCCCTTAAATTTAACATCAGAAGTTTCTCTATCAAAACTATTGAATGCAAATGATTTTTCAAATATTTTTCCACTTGATAGTTGGTTATGAATGTACCAAGAATTCTTTTCTGAGGTAACCTTTTTTGCTTTGGAGTATTGAATTTTAGGCTCCTTTGACTTGAGCTCATCTGCATCATTCTCTGAAAAATCAACAGTATCTTTTGTAAGACTGTCTTCGAGCATCTTACTATTCAATACAGCCTCTCTCATTGTAGAATTTCCAAAAACGCAACAGAGCTCTCTATACAAGGTGCAACCCATCTTGAAATGTCTATTATTTTTGAATCCACAATTTTCATCGTCATTACTCTCCTTGGTAGATTCATCCTCGACGGGACTATCATTGGTCGAAATATCCAAATTCTTATCATCAGATGCTGTAGAATCTCCACGTTTGAATCTCTCAAAGAATGATCGAATACCCTTTTTCTTTGTAACCTCATTATTTGTAGAATTAGCTTGAATGGTCTGGGCCTGAATCGCTTCTTCATCAACTAAATCGCTGGCTAATGGTTGGCTATTTACTATAGGATTCTTGGAAAGATTTGCAAAAGATGGTGCCACAGCAAGTTGTTGTGAAAAGTATCCATCCAAGTAAACGGCAGAGCACAAGATTTTTCTAAATGTAGATTTAGAGTTTTGGAATATTTGAATTCTAACTTTAAGGTCACAAATATGGAAGAGTCTACACAAAAAGTGAGTAATTCTCTCAAAAATGTCCAAAATGTAAACAAATTGATTATTGGAATCATCATTTTGAATAGCTAAATTATAGGTTGCCTCCATAATATTATTAATCAAGACTTGATTTGTTTGTAAAATATTATTCACAACAAGAGTTTGATTTGTGGTTCTTTCGAGAATATTCTCTAACAAGTCAATAATATTAGTTGCATTCCTCTTTAAATTTTCAAGATTTGTTATAGAACTAGAGGTTAGATCGTATGTCTTGATTTCTTGTAAAATGATAGAAAAGAATTTAGATGCATAGTAACTAACAATTGTTCCATATCCCAAATTGGAGCTCAAATTATTCAATAGTAAAAAGATACTCTCATCGAATTGATAATGTCTAATCTTTTTTCTCAGTTTGAATAGTAATGGATCCAAAATGTATTGTATCGAAACAATAATTCCAAAATCGTTACATAATTTACACAGTGTAGCACATATCTTTTTGGAAATTTCTGGAAACTTGACACAATTAGTGAATAATCCTTCAATAAAGAATGGTAATAATTGTTCTAAGAATAAACGCTTTTGATCCTTAGTTGTTGGATTAGTGATACCCTCAGAGTATGTGGTTGATGATGTTTGAGAAGCCTTACTATAAGGTTTGTGTGTAACATCAGACAATATTACATTATAAATTAATGAAGAAAATGAATATGAATACAAGTTGAGAGGTAGTAACAACAAGTCTGATCTTTCTGGAATGGTATTGTTTGGTGATGAAGATTCATTATCTGAGGAAGATGTGCTATTTAAAATGGACTCTACTCTTTCATTTTCCATATACAATTGATAGAGTCTCAATTTAAGTATCTTTTTGGCCGAGTCACACTCTTTGAATTTGGAAAGGAATTTCTCTCTCGAATATCTTACCATTCCTCTCAAAATTTCAATACCATAAGTCCATGGTTGGATGTGAACAAAATGATTTGGTGAATTTTTTTCCATCTTTTTCACAAAGAACATGTGGAGAATGTGAGGAAGAACTAAATCGAGAGCATCAGGTGGAAGAGCCATAATACTCTCTTGGAATTCTTGTGAATTATTTGGTGGTTTGATTTGTCTCAATACAAAATTATATCTTTCCAAATGACTCTGAAAGAGGTATAAATTTGAGAGAACCCAATGACAATACTTGAAATATTCTGGAAAATATTTTTTGGATTGGTTAATAAAGAGTGCCTTCTTTCCTTTTGAAAGATTGATATCAATTAACTTTTCAACAATGGAACGAGCAGGTTGACTGATCTTTTTCAATGCAGGTACTTCTGGTTGATGGTTCAACATTCCAGTCTCCCTAATATACTTTTCAAGAGACCTCGTATTAAATAATGGCTCAAAAGTATAGAGAGAGGCTAGCAAACATCCAACAGCAAACATGTCATCATTATAAAGCTCGCCTTTGGATTGAACTCGAGAACGATTAATCTTTTCAATGAATGGTACAACATGATAGGCAGAGCTGGTAAAGTACTTGCTACTGAATTTGACAGAATTTTCATACAAGTGCATTCTCTCCATAATAGAATTTGATGTGGAATATCTAGGGGGGTGTGGTTCGAAGAATAATTGAACAAATCCAAAACGTGAAGGATACAAGTCGTTATTTTCCTTTCTCAACATGACATTTTTAGCTTCAATGGCATGGTGTCCACTAAGCTTGTATCCAAAAATCAAATCAATCCAATGATGAATATTCTGACTCACATAGTCACTCTCCAGGGCAGCTTTATGCTTTTGAATAAATTCTTCAGGTGTAGAAGCCCACGGCGGCAATACTAAATCAGTCATGTCTGTATGAATGGAAGTGAACATGTTCGGATCAGTGAAAAATTCTGGAATGCATTCATCTGGAGTCCACTGATAGAGACGAACAATGGAATTTGGATATTCTTTTGGTTCATAGTTTTGTCTGACAAATTTCCTCAATGCACTAATAGAAACTCTTCTTGCCTTGTAGATAAAGTAGGTAATTTCAGAAAGTGGCTCTGTAACGTGATGAGGATTATCTGGTGATTGATAGGTAAAATCCAACATTTCATCTCCCTTATTGAGTCTGAATTTAGTTTTGGTTAAATCTCTCCATTCAACACGTGAGTTTGGATCGGTTGGGTCACTCTCAAAATCAATAATCCATGGCAATACAGGATGATACTGTTGATCACCAAGTCTCCTCCCAGCAAGAGCATTAAGTTTCATCAAGTAGTCAAAATTTGAAATTTTACCCTCCTGCCATAAGAGAACTAGATCTTTGGTTCTATTCTCGGAAATGTTCTGTGGTGACAATAGGGTACTATTATTTCCAGCTGTACCAGTATTGGATGTTTTTGAGGGTGATTTAAATTCTGCCATTGGTGTTTGTAAAACGTGATGATGATGATCAGAGATGTGTTCTGGAGTATAGAGTATATCCTGTCCAATAATTGAAATCCACAACATTTCATTGATTAGAATATTATTGGGTATTAATTTTCCATGAGCAATATTATTCTTGTGACAATGTGAAACTGCCTGTAATAATTGATAGAATAAAAATCTTCTACGAATGTCATCTAAATTAATTGAATAAAAAGTTAATGAAATAATGAAACAATTATTAAAAAAAAACAATATAAAAACAAACCTGTTTCAAGAAGAACCTTATTGAATTGAATCAATTCTTCCCAAGTATAATTGTACATTTCCAAAACAATAAACCAAGCATTTTTACTTTCATAAACATCGTATAATAATGGTATATTAGCGTGCTATAAATAATAGTATTTCAATAATTATCATTTCCAAATGAATAAATAATTGATAATAAACAAATTTTAATAATGTTGATAAGTTAAATATTTAAAAATAATTATAACATACCTTTGGAATAAAAGGACCGTCAAATAATATAAAAGTTTCATCCAAATCCCCATGTGAAGGATTATAAAAAGTATAATCATCCAAAATTAATTGATTTAAATGATAAATTTGTGATAATGAATGATGTATGGCCTTTCTAATTGAATGATTAGATTTTCCATCTCCCATTTCAAATTGTTTCGGAATGACTCGTACCACTACATTTACTTCATCGGGTAATAATGAAAGTGGAATACTATTATTTGAAATGATATTATGATGATTAGAATTGTTATTATTGTTACTATTATTAACATTGTTATTATCCAAATTATTATTATTCAAATTATTCACATTATTTTCTTCATGTAATTGATCCTGTTGATCTTGTTGATTCATTGTTGGAGATATTGATGATGAAATTGATGGTGATGAATTTAATTCATCTTGTTGTGATAAATTTTCATCATCTGTTAACACATGATTATCAAAAGTAGGCCTCTTTTTATAAATCTTGGATCGTTTACTATTATACATTTTGCAACAAGCATAGGAACATTTTCTCGTATATTCGGGACTCAACATGTACTGATACTCGATGAGAGTCGGCGAGAGATCCTGTTCAATATATTCTCTCACTTGACTCGCATTTAAATTTCCCATTTTTTAATAATATTTATTTTAATATTAAGATATTGTTATTATTATTAATATGTTAATCTGTTAGGAAATGCATTCTTTCAATATGAATTAATTGAAGTGTTTACAATTAAACAATTGGTCATGACTCTTTACAATTTACAGTTTTTACATTTGTCAATAGTCCCCACCTTCATCTTGCCATTCACCCTCTAAAAATTTAGTTCTAAATTATTCATGTTGTTATTCTTATTATTCCTATTAGACCTTCGGTTGTATAAAAACTGTAGTTGGTCAATTAATCGCTTCTCATTCAAATTGAACAATAAAATAAAGGTTCATTTTCAAAATTGCCTTCAAGTTGGAGGTTCAAATTCAACCGTGACCGCGGTTCGTTTTTGATTTTGAAGTGAATATTTTCAAAAAGCTCTTTTTTGGTACCACCCAGTATTAGACACTTTTTATCTAGTAAGCCATTCTTGTTCTTTCTAACATTCATCACCTTCTTAACTCCCTTTAATCTATTCAATCACAACAAAGTACAAGTATGTTCTTTCCACTGATGATTTCCATCAATCACAGTTAAGCCAAGTACAATTCGAAAAAGCTCTTTTTGTGAAGTGTTCAACTTGTTGTTGAGGTTTCTTCTTCACCGCATCATCGCATATTCTCTTGCTCACCATCAACAAGTGTTGTGAATCTTTCCAGAGAGGGAGAATCGAAAAAACAACGCATTGTAATAATTTTACACCGTTACAAGCCACTTCGACCAATCAGCGCGGTGCACCTCTTTCATGATTTTTATTGAGCACGAGTAGCATAAATTATTCTCTGCTGTTGAAAAAAAAAACACCAAACTACCAAACTTCACAATTTTGATAACACGAAAATGGTCAAATTCAGTATTGATGAAATCCGTAATATTATGGACAAGCAACCACAAATCCGTAATATGTCTGTCATTGCTCACGTCGATCACGGTAAATCCACCTTGACTGACTCCTTGGTTGCTGCTGCCGGTATTATTGCTCAAGCTAATGCTGGTCAACAACGTTTCATGGATACCAGAGATGACGAACAAGATAGATGTATCACCATTAAGTCTACTTCTATCTCCCTCTACTATAAGAAGCCAGCTGAAGATGGTACTGAAACTGAATATTTGATTAACTTGATCGATTGTCCAGGTCACGTTGACTTTTCATCTGAAGTTACTGCTGCTTTGAGAGTTACTGACGGTGCTTTGGTCGTCGTTGATGCCGTTTCTGGTGTCTGTGTCCAAACTGAAACTGTCTTGAGACAAGCTTTGCAAGAAAGAATTAGACCTGTCCTCATGATGAACAAGTTGGACAGAGCTTTCCTCGAACTCCAATTGCAACCTGAAGATGCTTATACCAACTTTAACAAGGCTATTGAATCTGTTAACGTTGTCATTTCCACTTATGATGATGGTGGTTTCGGTGATCCACAAGTTTACCCAGAAAAGGGTACCGTTGCTTTCGGTTCTGGTCTCCATTGTTGGGGTTTCACTTTGAAGAGATTCGCCAAGATGTACGCCAAGAAATTCGGTGTTGCTGAAGAAAAGTTGATGAAGAAATTCTGGGGTGATAACTTCTTTGATGCTGCTAACAAGAAATGGGTTAAGGACTCTCAAGGTGGTAAATTGGTCAGAGGTTTCTGTCAATTCGTCTTGGATCCTATTTACAAGGTTTTCCACTCTTGTATCAATGATGATAAGCCTCTCCTCGAAAAGGTCTTGCCAGTTTTGGGTATTACATTGTCTGCTGATGAAAAACAACAAAAGGATAAGAAGTTGATGAAGTGTGTTATGGCTAAATGGTTGCCAGCTGCTGAAGCTCTCTTGGAAATGATTGTCACTCACTTGCCTTCACCAAAGGTTGCTCAAGGTTACAGATATGAACATTTGTACAACGGTCCACTCGATGATAAGTATTGTCAAGCTGTTAAGAATTGTGATCCTAATGGTCCATTGATGATGTACGTCTCTAAGATGGTTCCTACTAACGATAAGGGTAGATTCTATGCTTTCGGTAGAGTTTTCGCTGGTAAGGTTAGAACTGGTCAAAAGGCTAGACTTATGGGTCCTAACTTTGAACATGGTAAGAATACTGACTTGTTCGATGATAAGACTATCCAAAGAACTGTCGTTATGATGGGTCGTTATACTGAATCTGTTGATGATATTCCTTGTGGTAACGTTGCTGGTTTGGTCGGTGTTGATCAATTCTTGATCAAGACTGGTACTATCACTGATTCTGATTGTAAGGATGCTTGTCCATTCAGAGATATGAAGTACTCTGTTTCCCCTGTCGTCAGAGTTGCCGTCGAACCAAAGAATCAAGCTGATTTGCCAAAGGTTATTGAAGGTATGAAGAGATTGGCTAAGTCTGATCCTTTGGTCGTCTGTACTATCAATGAAGAATCTGGTGAAAAGATTATTGCTGGTGCCGGTGAATTGCACTTGGAAATTTGTTTGAAGGATTTGAGAGACGATTTCTGTGGTGGTATTGAATTGAAGATTTCCGACCCAGTCGTTGCTTTCAGAGAAACTGTTTCTGAAGCTTCCCCATGTGATACTTTGACTAAGTCTCCAAACAAGCACAACAGATTGTACATGAATGCTGAACCACTCCCAGAAGAAATGCAAGATGATATTGAACAAGGTAAAATTACTGCTAACGATGAAGCCAAGAAGAGAGCTAAGTACTTGCAAGACCAATACGGTTGGGATCAAGACCAAGCCAGAAAGATTTGGTCATTCGGTCCAGACCAAACTGGTCCAAACTTGATGGTTGACGTTACCAAGGCTGTCCAATATTTGAACGAAATTAAGGACTCTGTCAACTCTGGTTTCCAAATTGCTGCTAAGGAAGGTCCACTCTGTAATGAAACATGTCGTGGTGTTAGATACAACTTGACTGATGTTACTTTGCACACTGATGCTATCCACAGAGGTGCTGGTCAAATCTTGCACACTGCCAGAAGAGGTTGTCAAGCTGCTCACTGTAACTCTGCTCCAAGAATTTTGGAACCAATCTTTTTGGTTGAAATCCAATGTCCTGACTCTGTTTTGGGTTCAGTCTACTCTGTCATGAACAGAAGAAGAGGTACAATTGATCAAGCTATCCAAAGACCAGGTACTCCAATGTTCAACGTTAAGGCTTACCTCCCTGTCTTGGAATCATTCAACTTCTCCACCTTCTTGAGATCTGAAACTGGTGGTGAAGCTTTCCCACAATGCGTTTTCCACCATTGGCAAATTGTTGGTGGTGATCCTTGGGATAAGACTTCAAAGATCAGAGAATTGGTTGTTGATACTCGTAAGCGTAAGGGTTTGAAGGAAGAAATTCCAACCGTCGAAGAACTCTCCGACAAGTTGTAAATCAACTACTCTTAATAAATAATAATTTCTTAAAATCAATGACAAACATTTAACGATTGAAAAGTTTAAAACGCACTCATCATGTCAACTTGTTAGCGTTATCTTTACGCAGAGCATTACACTTTTTTACCAAAGACATTTTATTGCACTCCTCAATTAATGGTATTTGTATCTTGCAATTGGTTTATTTATTTATTACAAACTAACAGATTATTCCTAATTGAATTAAGCTTTCGAATTGTTAATAAGTTAAATTTTCCTTCTCCATTGAATTATCGCCAATCTTGAAAATGTTCTGTAATATTAACTACATTTCTCGTGGTAATTCAGGGAACATGTTTTAATTCTTTCGTCATCTACCAACGATAAGCAGTCTCGAACATCAATTTTTTTACCCAATTGATTTGCCTCACTAAGAATGGACCGATACAGTAAAATGCTCAGCTAATTCAAGAGTATACTTGGAGTTGTTGAGTATGTGGATAATAAATCCAACTCTTCTTATAATCTTTGTTCGAAAGATTGAAATCTTGAAATAAGAAATCAGTCAAGCTATGATAGACTTGAGAAATCAAAATAATTAATTACCACTTAGATTGATAATAAAACTGCACAAAAAAACTGTTAAAATCAAAATGGTTACAGCGAGCGGGGCTTGAACCCGCGACCTTAAGCGTGTTAGGCTTACGATCTAACCAACTGATCTATCGCTGCTTATTTATTAAAAATAACTTCACCTTAATCGAGCTAGTATTTGTGAGGTTTCCGTTTTATTTTATTCTATTAAATCCTAACTGAAAGAATACTTTGCGATTTATTAAGAATCAATCTGTAAAAGTAACTCCATTTCAACACAAACATATTTCCAGAAAGAATTCTTTATCTCTTTCTCTTATTAAAAAAAAATGTCGACAACAAGTCACTTCAGTGATGAAAGTCTGCATGATGATAATTTATTTGCAGAACATCCGATGGGAATTTATGATCAAGAAGAAAATCTTTACAAACACCAGCAACAAATCTATCGACCACTGAAGAAACTTTCCTCCACACAATTATCCACAGTTTACCTTTGTGAGAATTCTAATGGAAAACTTGTTGTATTAAAAGTTGCATCCTATGAAAATGAACAAGATACCATCGAGTGGAATCCGAAATTAGTTGAAGAATCGAATAGACTACATACACAATATCTACTTTATATTCTGGATGTTTTTACAGTGGAAAAAACCAATGGGAAATATTTGTGTGTAGTTTCCGAATATTGTGAGAATGGGAGTTTAGCAACAAGTATTGATGCTTTGCGTAAATCAATGAATGTTTCGTTATTCCTTCAGATATTATTTCAAATGTTGCGTGCTTTGGATGCTCTTCATTTTGGTCTGTTTGTTCATGCTGATGTGAAGTTGGATAATATATTTGTGAGGAAATTTGATAGAAATAGAGTATTTGTGGTATTGGGAGATTTGGGTTTAAGTTCCAAGATGGATTTTACTGAGGAGGAATTGTCTCAAAATTGTATTGATGTAGATAATGAACTGACAACAGTCACTACAGGAGAAATTGGAACCTTTTCGTATAGAGATCCAATAATAATGAAACGAAGAAAAGTGTATTTCAAAAGTGATATTTGGAGTTTAGGTATGTTTCTCTTTTTTCTATTTGAGAATTGAACCTAATTTCTAAAGGAATAACTTTATTGAAATTGATATCAAGAGACGAAATGCCCAATTTTGAATCGACAACAACAGAAGAAAGACTCAACACCATTCGACAAATATTTTCCCATTTTGAGACTGAAAAAAAAGAATGGGAAGTTTGTCAGAATATTATTGAACGAATGTTAGTGGAAGATGTTACAGAGAGAGCAACTATTTCAGAAATTCGTTTAATGATTTATTCTACAACTATTGATGACTCATCATTTGAAAACAATTACCAACATTTAAGGGAGGAATTCAAATACAACAGATCTGTAATTATTAGCTGTCTAAATGCAAAGGGAAGCATTTTACAACATGTACCTGATGCATTTCATTTCAACAGAAAAATTGTAATGGAAGCAATTCACAATAATCCAAGCGCTTACCAATACATCAAAGGATACTTGAAATACCAACCATATATTGTAAACGCAGTTATAGAAAGAGATCCATCTGTTCAAGTACCAGTTCATTTGGTAAAAGCTCCTTCACATTACGTTGCTAATAGCATTATCATTGAGCTTTCGGAACAAGAGAAGAATGACAAAGGGTTATTTATGGAAATTCTTGAAAGAGATGGTACGAGTTTAAAAGATGCCTCTTGGGAATTGAAAAATGATAGAGATTGTGTTATAAAAAGCGTAACACAGAGAGGAATTTCATTACAGTTTGCCTCAACTGATTTACGAAATGATGGAGAAATTGTGAGAATAGCTATTTCACAAAATGGAATGGCCTTAGAGTACGCTCATCCATTATTAAGACAAAGAGAAGATATTGTGATGAAAGCTGTTTCACAAAATGGATTGGCACTTCAATTTGCTTCAATAGAAATGAGAAATAATCAAAGAGTTGTGGAAAGGGCTGTATTGTCTGAATATACAGGCCAATTATTGTTTCTGATTGGTGAGGAATTGAGAAGTGACGTATCGTTCATGGTAAGATTGCTTAGTCTTAATCAGTTATTGTTTTTTCAATATTTGTTTTCTTTTGGAGAAGAATCTTTCAGAAATCTATGTGATGAGTATCAACATGAGGATCAGTTTATTTGGTGTCTCAATGGATTGTTCGGCATTTTCGAAGATAACATTAATGGAGCACTGAAATATTTTCAACTTGCTGCAGAAAAAGACAATGCGTCTGCTGAACACTTCCTCGGTATAATGTACCATAAAGGACAAGTTGTGGAACAGGATTTTTGTAAGGCTTTTGAATGGTTTGGTAAATCAGCTGAAAAAGGATATCCAGAAGCTCAATTCTCGATTGGGTTAATGTATTATCACGGAGAATATGTTTCAAAAAATAAGGAAAGAGAATTTTATTGGATTTATAGAGCTGCTGAGCAAGGACATGTTAAGGCTGAAAGTTCTATTGCTTGTCTTTATTATGCTCAGGAAGAATATTCCAAATCATTTGAGTGGTATTTGAAAGCAGCTGAAAAAGGAGATTCAGATTCTCAATTTGAAATAGGTTCACTGTATCACAAAGGATTGGGAATACCAAAAGATTTTACAAATGCCTTTAGTTGGTATTCGAAAGCTGCAGAACATGGTCATTCGAAAGCTCAAAATAATATTGGAGTATTGTATCAAACAGGACAAGGTATTCCACAAAATTATTCCAAAGCACTTGAATGGTTCATGAAATCAGCTGAGAATAATGATACAGATGCCATGAATTTTATTGGACTGATATATCAAGAAGGCCAAGGAGTTCCACAAGACAACATCACAGCATTCGAATGGTTTCTAAAAGCAGCCGAATGTGGCAATGTACAATCTCAAATACTTGTCGCTACCATGTATCATCATGGTATTGGAGTGGAGCAAAACTTGTATGATGCACTGAAATGGTATGAAAAAGCTGCAGGAGGAACTCAGAATAATTCAAAAGCTGATTCCAAAGAAATTGAGAATTGAGAATTGATTACAACAAATACTTCATTCAGAATAATTATATTTTAATTGTTCAAAGATTTATTGAATATAATTATCACAGTAGTTGGTTTTTACTCTTGTAGTATGGCGTGTAATTATCAATCAGAATTATTTCCTCAATTACATTGTTGCAACTCCACCACACCCAATGCTCTTCCTCCAATGTTGTTGATCCATTTGTCAATTACAGAACATGCACCCTTATTTTCTCGAGAAAACTTCAATAATTTAAGGATTCTTTGCCAATGTTGTGTTAGAAGTACCACCTGCTGGAGCACATGATAACTGAAATTAAGTAATGGATCATGTTAAGAGAAATTATTGATTATCAAACATAAACTTGAAATATTCAAATTCCAATAACAGTTTATTAAAAATCTTGCAATTAAATATCTGTGAAATAAATATTGCTGACAGGACCTAATATTGGCTGACGTCAAAAGTCACCACACAAAATTCGCTTCAAAAAAAATTAACCATCAACTCAACGACGATATCATCTCTGGCTACTAGTAGTAATATAATTAAATGATATCAAAATTTAGTATTCGAAATATAGCCATATTTATCTGTGGTGCATTATTATATGGTTTAATAACTGTATTTTTATATCGTGCTGTATTTAATTCTAATAGTATTAGTGGAAATAAACTTTCTAATAGTGAAACTTCATCAGGTAGTGGAAAACATCATCATACAAATAATAATCAACATAAACAACAAGAACAAACAACAATTAATGAAATTAAAAATCCTTTCGAATACTTTTTACCCACCAAAGATTCTATTAAAATGATGTCAATTCCGCACAAGGATTCACAACCAAGTCTTGAAGAAATGAAATCAACACAATCAAATCAATGTGGTTCAACAGTTGGTAATACAGTTCCTGGAAGAGGGAAGAGAAGTGAAAATTTTGATTGGCCAAATTTTTCACCATCAAGTTTTAATATTGAAACTGATTTTAGAAAGTGGAAGAATGAAAGTATTGAATATTGGAAGAAGGTTTCTAGTAATTTGAATGGAGATTTATTGAATGATGAAAAATTAAAGATGAATGAAATGGGATTAACTTTAAATTCTCATTTGAAACCTAAAGATGGACATTTACCTATTTGGTTGAGAGTATTTAAGAGAAGAACACCACTTGATATTTCACTAGCAGCCATTTGTAAGATTGATGATATTTCTGATACAATTTTATATGTTACTGTTGATGGTGGTGATTTTGATCCAGTTTTTGAAGAATTGGAGAAGGTTACTTGCGTGAAAGTTAAAATTTATTTCCATCCAATTTTGAGTGATTTGAAAAATTTAGGTTTAGGTGAAAGAAATTTAGACAATTCACTCACTCTAAATTCACATTACGTTTATGGAATGTATCTACTCACTCAGAAACTTAATTATCCCTATGTGATTACAATTGAAGATGATTTGGAAGCTAGTCCTGATTTTTACAGATATCACTACAGTTTATATCATTTAGTTTATGGAAAGAATGCAACCTATTATGATAGTAAGAAAATATTTGCAATTGCTGCCTTTGCACATGGTCCACACATTGATTGTAATTTCATTGTTGCAAAACTCTCAAATGATTATACATCAAAATGTGGAATGGCCTCTGTTCATCAATTAATTGAAGAGAATTATTTTCCAGGATGGGGAAGTGGTATTGCTAAAGAGATTTTCCTTGAATATTGGAGGGATTGGAGATTTAATGGTTATATTTATGATTATGGTTTATCACAACTCAGAACAGGAGATTCAGGATCACCTCGTTATACACTTGTTCCTTGCTCAACTCGTGTAAGAACCATTGCAAATAATGGAGTGAATGGAGGAAACTCTGGGGGCTGGGGTACACAAATTCATCATTTCCCAAGTTGGAATCAAAAACCATCAGATAGAGTGTACTATGTCGATAGGAGAGATGGTGTTGTACATGCTGATGTTAAAGGAAAAATAATGTACAATAAGCTTGTTTAAAAAAAGAAAACCATTTTTAATACTCTAGTTTACAATCATTATCAATTAAGTTTACATAATCTCCCAAAGGCAAACTTGCCATTCCAATAGATAAAAAGCTAACGCAACCAATTATTTTCAAAATAATGAATGAGAATTGATTAATTTTATCATATTGTTAATGGACAAATGGAAAGGTTTAAGTATTTAGAAATAATAGTTGGTTAAAACTTGGTCATTATTTCCAAATAATATTAGCCAGTCCATTCTAGGATAATCTCATAAATCATGAACTCTAAATGGTTATCAAACCAAACACTTTGAATGATTTGTCATTGAAATAAAACCTGACAAAAGTGTAAAATGTTTACAGCGAGCGGGAAGGGAAAGGGAAACCTGACAAAAGTGTAAAATGTTTACAGCGAGTCTTCTTAAGCGTGTTAGGCTTACGATCTAACCAACTGATCTATCGCTGCTTACCACAACTACACTTCCGCTTGATTTTTCTCATATTCTTTACATTTCATACAATTTCGTATTAGTCTTGTTTTTTGATTAATATAGAAACCTTTCAGAAAGTAAAGTTCTAAATCTGAACTTGAAATCATACCAAACGATGAAAATGATTCCTTGAATAATTCAAAGGCTTGTGATAAACATGTCTCAGTAAGCTCTGCTTTTACTGCAAATCTTAATAGTTTTTTCATTAATTCATCAAGTTTCGTATTATTAACAACCTTTTCAATACTGTGGTTGCTTAAAATATCTTCATCTTTTCTAGAACAACAATCATTATCTTGATAATAATCTCTTAAACATTGATACTCTTCCTCACCAAATATATTTCTTTGAAATGATGATTCATTGGGTTCATTAAGGGAGGTATTATCTATATTGCTATCGGAGTTGACAAGAAAATCGCCATTTCCAGTATCAACATAATCATACACCTTTGAATAAAATCACTTTCAACATTTTGCTCCATGTTTCCAATAACAGAAGTTTCGAATGAAGTAACTTTGTTGTGAGGAAAAACTTCAGTATGAGACTGTTAAAACAATCTGGACGTCCAGATTTTTGTCCATAACAAATATTTCTGTTTGAAAATGTTAATAATACTAAATATGTCACAAGATGACACTTCCTGCATCCATAGAAGGATCACTTACCAAGATCGATCCGAATAGAAGTTTAGAATAAGGGAACGATATAAATGAATTACTTTAAGAATATTTTGGTCTGTTAAGGTTATGATTAAAGGAATATATTGATGGTAAAACTGATTGCATAACCTTCTTTGGGGATTCTTTAAGCCCTTTTGGAACACACATTCTTTCTATCAAGTTTCGTTCAATTTTACAGAAATGAAACCCCATTAAAGAAAAAAACAATCCAGCAAGCCAACTCCCTCTCTAATATGTTACTATGATTCTATGCATGTATTGTATGAAAGAATATTGCAGGATATGATGATTGGGAGAAATTCGATCTCCTCTTCCTTAAACAAAAATGTCCTTCATTTCTTCACAAACATCCTAGAAAAACAACTAATGGACAAACAATGAATAGTTTGAAAGCCATTGAAGTATATATGATAACTCATCATCCCAGAAGATTTGAATGAATCTGTTGAGCTTCTGCAGGTGTTAACGATTATCAAGATATTGTCTCCATAAAGAAGCAACTCCAAATTTTAATATTTGCACTGAACTTGTTACGTGCTGTAATTATACGGCCCTTTGGCAATGAATTCGTGGATTCTGCCTGCAAAAACATACGTCTATTCCAATTCAGCAAGATGTTCCATTATGTACTGATACAGTAAAGTTTATGCCAGTTCATTACAACACAATACATTTAATACAATGACTATATTAATTTCTTGACTTTGCGAAATTTCACATGTTCCAGCGCAAAAATCCATTTGTGAAAAGGGTTTAGCGGGTTTGCTTGGTTCAAACATTGGCAAAAAAGATTTGGCGCAAAGAGCGGTGGACAATTTGTAGATTCTTGAATGGATGTAGCCATGTCAACTCTTGATTTGTAGTACAAGAAAAAATGAAACAAGCAATCATGACTCTCAAGTTTACAAGTTTCCTTATTGCCTCAATAAGCATGTTGTTTATATATCTCTCTGTATGTCAAGTTGTTGATGCAGCAACGTGTACCAATAGTCAAGGATGTGGCGTAAGGGCATTCCTTGCAGATCTTCAACAAGAGGTTTCTCAATTAGATTGTATCAGCAGCAAGTTGAATAATAGCATTGCAATTTTGATGTCTACAAATTCCTCAGCATTAAATTCTCAGATCAAGACCAGAGTCAAGCAATTGAACAAGATTGAGGCTGCTAAAAAGATGTTGTCCTTAGAAATAGCTCCATTGAATGATCAATGCAACAAACAAGACGGAGACAATTGTGACTTGGCATGTTTTGGACTCGCTCCTTCCAAATATCCTTCAACAGTTTGTTCTGGTCATGGAGTATGTTCTTCTCTTGATGTCTGTTCATGTTATCCAGGATGGTCAGGTAGTAATTGTTCTCTCGCTTCATGTAATGGAATTTTAGCAACCAATACAAGCTCTGTTTGTAATGGTCGTGGCACATGTGTTTCCAACAATACTTGTGTTTGTAATAGTGGAGTGTATGGTCCTTACTGTGAACCAATCATTATTACTGGAGATGATACAACAGGCAGAAGAATGGCCAATGGTGTGGCCAAGGCAAGTTGTTTGGAATTTTATCAAGCTTATCCATATGCAGAATCTGGTTTTTACTACATCAAGCCACAAACTACTGAAGTATTAGTGTATTGTAATATGACTATGAGTGGTGGAGGTTTCACATTTGTTCGTCGTGTTGCAGCTGCAGGTTGGTGGCCTTTGAATGATAATTTTGGTGGAAGCGGTTCTGGAATTTATAATCCAAGATCATTATCAGCTGCTGGTGTTACATTTGGTCTCGATTATTCCAACATTCCTAGAACTCAAGTATTAATTACAACAGGTGATGGTGTGCATTGGATTCTAGTTAATTTGGATCAACTCACTTCTGGATATGGTGGGAATGATTGTACAGCCACAATTACTCTATTAGCAAGTTCTATCAGTCCAAATACTCCTTATTCTGTACAAGTTTGCAAGAGAGGAAACTTTAATGAAGACCCATGGTTGACAACTCATAATCATTTTTACATGACAACAGATAGTGAAAGTCACAGTATGTTGTGGGGTGAATCAAGTAATACCTATTGGCCATATTGGAAGACTAGTCATGGTGGTATCAATGTGTTTATTAGATAAGTTGGTTCAATAAACTTGAAAATTACAATTGTTTTTAACTAGAACATATAATATGAATAATGACTTGTTGACATGTTCCCAAATACTTAAATCTTTAATTTTGAAGAATTTTTTTGTCTTTGGATTATTATTCTGAAACTTCACTCAAGAATTATTGGGACAGAGACTTTAAAAAACATTTTGAAGATCAATCCATGTCTAACAATACAATAAGAGCAAAGAAACGAGCTTTGGTTGAGGCATTTTCATCGTCCTCAAATTCAGAACCTGAAGAAACACCAAACAATACTCAAAATGTGAATTCATCTGTAATTATTACTACAGATGAACTGAACAATCTTAGTCCCAAAAAACCCTCCCAAACTCCCATGAAATCCTCAGCCATTCTTCAGAATAAGATGTAGGTCAATGATACAAAAGTTAAATGAAACATGTTCATAACATGATTTTGCTATTTGATTCCAATTTTTTGTTCGATTGAGATATTTTAAGAACAATAATGTAACGACCTATGGTGCAGAGGGAGCATATTGGACTCTGAATCCAAGGACGCAGGTTCGATTCCTGCTAGGTCGGTCATTTTTGTTTTTTAATATTTATTTCACTGGGAAATCTTACTAGTACGTCCTGATGTTTTGGTTGTCACCGGAAAAGAATGTTAATAACAAAGCGGAAAAATATTGCAAAAATATTGGCTAAACATGTACGTCCATCACGACTCTGTTGATTCTTGGAGTAGTTTCACATCTATTAACTCCAAAAATTTCACCACATCATCTCATCATCATTTAAATAATAGTATTAATAGTAATTTTTGGAATTTAATTGTTCATCATGATTTGGAAATAATTTTATTATTCGGAAAAATTCAAGTTGGTAAAATCATTATAATAGTAATATTTGTGGAAATAAATCTGGTAATAGTAATATTTTAGTGAAATTCAATCATCATCACTGCCAGATTTATATGATAATTTGGAAAACTTTCAATCTAGTATTGTTCAGCATGGTCGATTCCATCAGGTAAAATTACTTCCGAATATTTTCCTATTGGTTATCAGTTGGCGCCACCGTTGGCGATGTACATGTTTATTTTCATCTAAATAATAGTATTTGTGGAATTTTTAATTATTGGATTATTACTGTTAATATTATGCAAAAAGCTGATATTTTGATTTATGAATGAACCATCAAACAAAAGGAAAGAGTATGGATCTAAATCAGTATACTGCAAGCAAAATAAGATTGCCCTTGATCAATTAGGAAGACTATTGAAACAATTTGATAATGGTAGTTTGACTGGAAAAGAAACATTAGCAAGAGGTAGAAAATCTCTAAAATTAACAAGTGATGAAATTGTTTCTGTAATTACTGATATTAGATCCCAAAGAGATGCTAAAAAGCAAATTTCAGATACTGCAATCCATGAAGCTATCACAAAAATTACAAATAAGACAGTGAGTTTATCTTATTGTCACAGTTTTGGAGTTAAATATTTTGATCAAGAATCAGTGAAAACTAAAATGGTAAAAGCTGTAAAATTGGTGATCACTATATGAAAGAGTATATAGATGGTATTATTTCTATACTCTTTTCGCTAAATTGGTGTTTGAAGTATTAGAATTTAATCCTACCAATAATGCAATATTTCTTTGATGAAACAGGCACTGATACAAACAAACAAGGCCTTAAAACATATGTAGATAGCCAAGTTGATAATGGATATGTTCCTTCATGTAATCATATCAAAGAAAAAGATACATTCTTGGTAGGAGTGAATACTGTTGGTGAATTCTTGCCAATAAGTGTTGTTCTTTCTCAAGAAAAAAAAAAGAAGACGATTGCAGGTGAGAAAACTACTATTCAAGAGAAAGTACGTGGAGTTCACTTATCACATATTGAAACATGGGTCAAAGATGTGTTATTGCAAAAATGTAAACGTGGTGATTTATTAATTTGGGATAATCTAGCAGCTCACAAATTTCAAAATCCAGAAATTGCTATCAGATGCTGATATATTTAATATTTGTCTACCATTTGGGCATCATTAATTGGAAAACCCTTCTGCTGAAAGAAGTGAAAGAAATCAAGCTTTCAAAGAAATATGTCACAAAAGATAATTCAAGGAAGTTTTCGTAAATGTATTCTAGATTTCTGGAACTATTCGAATCAGGAACTCAAATAGATATATTTGGTTATGGATTAGCAGCAAAGAGTCAAGGCTATTTACAATATTTACCTGTTGATATGGTGTTGAAACTATATTCAAATATGTTAATAGTTTACATATTTGATTGAAAATACGATAGTATTGGCATTTATTAATTTTTGAACAAGCTATTGGTAAATGGATGATTTTCAGCGCTTTTGAATATATTGAGGAATTGTCAATTATTATTATTGAAACAAAACTGAATAAGCTCAGAGATTCTTCCTCAATACTTAATACATAAGATTGATGGTATATACAAAAATCTCCACAACTATAGTGTTCACCAACCATCAATATACTATTCACATGCTTTACTACAACTTTCTCTCTCTTCTTACGACGATTTCTCCGTAATACAGCAAACGTTGCTTTGGATGAATGGTTGAATGCAACATCAAAGTTACTTCAAAATAAACCTTATTCCAAGAAGTCTGAATTTTTTCAAAAATTATATATTTATATTTTCTCAACCAAATATGATTATTTAACAACGTTGCAGCTCATCAAAACAAGCTATTGAATTCATTCATCACTACTATCGTATCTATCTTCCATTTCTTCTAGGAGATTGAGCTTGTTAACTGATGCAACTTTCACACCCAATGACTCTGCTCTTTTGAATAATTCAAGAGCTCTTTCTAAGTCTTCAAACTCATCTCCGCACGTAAGACTGACCCCTAAATCATTAATGGCTCGTGGATGATCTTGCTGAGCTGCTTTTTCAAGCCAAAATATTTTCATTTCCTTATCTTCATAACCTGGTTCGACACGGAATAAGATTGAAAGGTTGTACTGAGCTCTGACATGTCCTTTCTTTGCAGCTTTAATAGTCCACTCAAATGCCTTTCTAACATTCTTTTCAGTTCCCTTCCCTTTGGCATAGAAACTTCCAAGTTTACATTGAGATTTCACAATTCCTTGTTGAGATGCCTTTGAGAACCACTTGAATGCTTCATTGTAATCTTTTCGAAATTCAAATTCTCTTCCAATTGAGTATTGTGATAACGAATGTCCTAGCTCAGCAGCTTTTAAATAAAGATCAAATCCTTTAGAATTCATTTTGTTAGCGTACATGATATTCCCTGCTTTTCGAAAGAATAGGGGACTGTGAGTATCTGCAATTTCTACAAATAAATCGACTTGTTCCTGACAACTTCCTCCCTTAATACTAGGTAAAGTGAACACATTCAAGCTAGATAGGAATGACGCTTTTGGTAAAAGATTTCTGAAAGTGTCAAAATCAATCGATTTCCCCTTCAATTCCAATATTTCCAAACTGGTAAAATTTTTGCAAGATAAAACGTGTTGTAAATCTTCTGGTGAAAGGTCATAATTATTCATGTCCAATTCCAAAACTCCCTGCATGGCACTACTATTACACATTTCCTCAATACTAAAAGACTCGGTTTTATGCACTTCAATTCTCACCCATGGAATTGAATAGAAAACGTGATGGAAAGATTTGGCGACCAATTTGGAAAGTCAAAATTTGAAATTTGTACTGAAAATTATTTAGGAAAGATCGTATATGAAACACAATATCAGGTGGAATGTAGATCCCTTCCATTTTTTTTATGAACGGTAAATTTGAAAACGTGATCAGAGTTTACAAAAATGGTTTTCATTGCAAGCATTGTCACAAAGCTAAAAATAGGAATGAATTGAAAAAATAGTTTTGAATTTATTTATTATATGTCAATTAAAGAAGGAACAAGATAAGCACAATCAAGCAAGAGAAATACTTCAAAGTCATACTGATGGAGACACTTCCACTTACTTGTGCCAAAGGAGCCAACAATACATTTCCACTCAAATTCTTTGTTTGACAAACAACTGAACCATTTTGGTTAGTAGTAATAATTGTTGTATCCACACTAACAGTCTCTGTAGCCCTATCATATCTTCCACAAATTGGAGTCATTGTACCAGAATATGGGATTGTAATCTTGATATAACCGTTGACAATACCATCAGCTATAGTACCATTTTCAAAAAGTGGAATAAAATCATAAACCTTAGATACCATTTTCAATGAAGATTCTCTTTTTTTTGTTGGCTGTACAGTTCGAGCATTTGCTAAAACAGCTTGAATGCAATAATTAAATTCGTACTTGTCTGTAATTAGGAAACATGCCAAGAAACGAGTTTTTGAAGTTGCCATTTCAATAGTAGAGGAACCAACAGGAATTAAACTAGCTCCCTTAGCAACTGCCAAATCAATGTTAGCGCTACTTGCTGTGACAACATCACCAAGTGTGAGAGCTGGTGTTAATTTCGCACCAATGGACTTGGCCAATAAAGATGACTTGTCGTTAGATGTCAATAACAAGGCATTTGAGGCAACATTAATAACAGATTTAACAATGTCAGGAGAGAATTTAGAATTACGAGTAGATTCAATTAATGCATCTAAGGCCTTATTAGCAGACGTTTGTGTAAGTTCACCAGCAACTGAAGTGACAGATTCAAGTACTTTCACTACAGCCCCAAGATCACCTGAAGCAATATCTTTGGAGAGTGATGTAATAATAGTATTTCTTATGGCTGCCTTTGTTGAAATTTGAGAATTATCACTTGTTGAAACTGTATTCAATAGAGAGGCAACACCTAACAAGTCTCCAACAGACGAATTAGTGGAAAGGAGGTTAGATATGAGTGTAATAGCTTGACTAGTTGGCAAATTTGCAACTGGATTGGTGAGTGGAATGGTAGTCAATTTTTGAATACTGACGGATTTAGAACCATATGTTGCAACATAGAGATCAATTGAATTTTTACCAGAAAGTAATGGTAAAGTAAATGTAGCTGGATTTGGTGACACCTCGGTAAGAATTGTAATGGCGTCAGAATCAGCAAAACCAAATCCATAACCAAAATCAGAATCAGAATATGGATTAGAATTACCAGTAATAGTCAACTTGAAATTGGTTTTACCAGCAATGCCTGATGTAATAATTTGATTTGTGTTGGCATCTTGTAACAAGAATGTCAATTTTGGATCTTGTTGAACTACAATTGTAGTTGATTCAGTGATAGTAACACTCAAGGAAGGAGTTGTAACTTTGGCAGTCAATGAAAAACCATAAGTATTACCAGATTTAATACCATTATCAAGAGACAACTTGTCTACCTTTCCAGGGATTTTCAATTGTGGTCTATTTAAATACCCTGCAACTGATGCCAAATCAAAAGCTGGACCAGAAACTTGTGACCAAGAATATTCAACATTAGAAATAACATCATTAGTGGCCAATGATGATATAGAAGATATAACCTGAACACCCAACATTGGGTGGGTGTATGCAGATGTTGCAACTGCACCAAAAACAGAACAATATTTACCATAAAATCGACTTGGACATGAACAAACACCAGCAGTACAACTACCATAACCACTACATTGTAGATAAACACCAATGGCTGTATCAATACATTGTTCTTCTTCTTGATTTCTCTTAATTGTGAGGTGGTTAGGATCGGAGACAGCACCATATGATAGGCAACACATATATGAGGAGAAAACTAACCAAGCAACTAGAAGAACCAGTTTGCTGGTTGTGTGCGTGTGGATGGTTGTTGCCATATGTTTTTTAAAGATCTTGATAAGGAACAAATGAACCTGTTGATGAAACTGTAGTTGCCAGTGGTGGGTTAACAATCAAGGATTCTTTAAGCGGATTGGGTTGTGGGCACATTTAATTTCAATCAAAAGTTCATCAGGAATAAATTTGATATTGTATTATTTCACAAATTACTTTCTTTTCCAATGAAGATAAAAGATGAAGAGATAGAACCTTCCTTTTGATTTTATTCCTGGCTAATGATGGAAAACAATGATGATGGTTTGTTTGGTGAATAATCGGAGCACCAACTTGAATTTTCCACGATGAAATATAAGTTTCCAATCACATGATGAAAATTCACTTCTTAAAATTGATGTGAATTATTCTTTGATTTCATGATGTGAGAAATCACTCTGAAAATCAGCATTGCCACAAAGTACCTGTTGACGAATATTGTTAATCCTGATTCAAATTTTACTATTAAAACTCCCAACCCCACCTCAATACCAAAAGTGTATTAAGTGTGAATAAAGCTCCGAGGAGTAAGTAGTTCTAATTTACTGCCATCTTATTTCGAATACAGATGAAATGCACATTCTAACAAATTAAAAAAAATGATAATTTTCATTCCATCATTTAGAAGGTCTATAAAGAATCCTGCTTATTATTTATGTATTCTTGGCTTGGTGTTTTTAGTGTTGGCCATTGTGTATAGTGTATATTTCTCGAGTAATTATGCTGATTTGCAACCTAAGGCAGCTATTTGTAGTGTGTTTGATGCCAATACTAAGAGGAGAATATGTTCGGAAGCTGATTGTCAATTGGTGAAAAAGTTTAATGTGAATTCTTATAAATTACCGACACGGGCTAATATTCATTATTCAGAAACAAAGAAGATGGACCATAAATTTACAATTTCGGAACAAGATATTGGACAGGAGAGTCCTGTTGAATGTATTGCTGGAATGACCACGTGTTATGAACCTGGATGGGATGTCAATTCGAATCTAAACGAATGGATTAGAAGAATTTCAACTAACATGGTAACAACAGATAAGGAACAAGCATTGAACATGGTTCAATCATTGACCAATTCAACTGCAGATACATTCTGGAATTGTTATGAAAGATTTGAAATTCTAAATTGGTATTTATCAGATTTTCCATTTCTACTTCCAACAACTGATCTGATTTTGATTTGTGTGTTTTATCCTCTTTCAATTTTGGTATTTTCAGTAGCTATTATATTTATCTGGTGGAGAGTAGCTGTGGCAAGAAAGAATAGAGCACCAACAACAACTGAAACAAGCAACTCAAAGGTAAATTCAAAGAAAAAACAAAGCAAGACTAAATCAAGTGAAAAGCAACCTCTGGTGATTAATGCTCAACCAAACAATGAATCTAACATGGCACGAACAAATGGAAATTCAATGGTTTAAACGGAAACTAATCTCATGATGAATTTAGTGAAAATTTTCACTTTTCCTTAATACTATTACACATCCAAACCGATTAGTAAATAGTAAATGTCTTAAATGTGTGTTCGCTTAGAGATGAGGACTTATTTCTTTTAAAAAAATAAAACAAAAAATGAAAAGAAAGAGAGAAACTCCAAAAACTCCAACCAAACAAGATCAACGTAATGTTAAGAAAACAGTGCACCGTCCCGATCATTTAAATGCTTTGGAATATCTTAAAGGTGCTCAACAAGGATGTATAAAGTCGCAATTTAATATTGGATTTTTATATCAAAATGGAAAAGGAGATAAACAAGATTATTCCAAAGCAATGGAATGGTATTTAAAAGCTGCTGAAAATGGTCATTCAGCATCACAATTTCAAATTGGATGGTTATACAAGCATGGAAAAGGAGTTAAACAGGATTATTCCAAAGCAATGGAATGGTATTTAAAAGCTGCTGGAAATGGTCATTCAGCATCATATCACAACATTGGATGTTTATATCAAGCATGGAAAAGGAGTTAAACAGGATTATTCCAAAGCAATGGAGTGGTTTTTAATATCTACTAACAATGGTCATTCAATTCATCATATCACAACATTGGATTTTTATATCAAAATGGACAAGGAGTCAAACAAGATTACAAAAAAGCAATGGAATGGTTTCTAAAAGCTGCTGAACATGGTCATTCATGCGCTCAATTTCAAATTGGATGGTTATACCTTATTGGAAAAGGAGTTCAACATGATTATTGCAAAGCAATGGAATGGATCATAAAAGCTGCTGAGAATGGAAGCTCTGCAGCCCAAAATTTCATTAATTGAAACAAACTGTAAACAAAGTTTCAAATATTTGAAAGAGCAACTTATCATTATTCCACTAAATCAATGAAGACAATTTTCTACTCAATAAACTTTCCATCTTTAATCTCAGAGTGTTTCTTTCTTGAATGTTGCTTTTTAGGATCCTTTTTCGCAGATTCTCCATCTGAGCTGTGCCTTTGTTGATTGATATTATTCGAAACGTGTATAAACTATTTTTGTAATGACTACAAACAAAAAAAATGGCATCAACCGATAAGAAGAAATGGGAAGAAGCTGTTGAATGTATCCGAAACAATGATTATTCCAAAATTCGTTCCTGCTCACTTCATTCCATCATTAATAATGAATATGATGAACATTTTAATTTTACCTTGTTGAGATTGGCTTGTAATATGGAAAGAGATGAAATTGTAGAGTATTTACTGACTATTCCGAATATTGATGTGAATCGGATGGTACGTTTTATGATATTTAATATTTAAATATTTTTAAATATTTTGTAAAGACTCCGTTGGTTTATTGTAAAAAAGTGGAAATTGTAAAATTGTTACTGGGACATTCAAATATTAATGTCAATCAAGTAGTAAGTAGGAAATTGTGGGTTGTTTTAATTGTTGAATGATTTCTAGTCTGTAAGTTTAGAATAGTTTTATTGGAAACTAAAATAATTAGGAAGTATGTATGCTGTTTATTTGGAAATTTAGTAATATTCGGAATTGTTAGAATGTATGTTCAGCAATCTCTTGAAAATTAACTCTTTTGATTTTCTGGATAAAATAGGTATTTGATAATCAGGTATGGTTCGAATAATTTCGAATAGCTAATTATCTATGATAATTTAGACACCTCTATACCGAGCATGTGTAGAAGGAAATCTGGAAATTGTAAAATTATTATTGGAATCACCTTTTATTGATGTAAACAAATTCGTAAGTTTACTATTTATGGAAATTTAATTTCATAAATAGAATCCTTTGAAAGTTGCATGCAGAAATTGTGATATAGAAATTGTAAAACATCTGATCAATGCACCATCCATTAAAATTGATCCAAGCATATCCGTATGTTTCAATTACAATGCAAAAGTTACCAATTTTGGATAAAGAAAGAGATTTTGGAACATGTTGAGGAAAATGTTAGAAAGGAAATGGATCTCAACAGCTTACTTTTGAAATATTCGAATCATATTGAAATTATTCAACTACTGAATACTTCAGTAGACATACAGAACAAGATTGACCATTTATATGTGGAGTCAATCAAATATTTACTTGTTAGAATGATGTTTATTGGATCTGATTGGTCTAAAATTTCGGATACTGGAGAATTTATTTCATCGAACACAAATCTAAATGAGAAAGTAAGAAAATTAGTATTATCCTACATGGAATATAGCTCAGCCTTTGAACTCTTGCTTTTACAAACGAATAGGAAAGCCTTAATGACCCTTCCTTTAAAACACGTGCTTTCTCACAAGAAGGATCAATTTATTTCATGGGAGGAATATGTTGTTTACAATTTGGCTGAATTAATTGCATACAGTTATTCGAAAGTTCAATTTGAACCGAGGAAAGTTACAAAACTCTCAAATCCAAAAATTGAAAGCATGAATAAGACAATTCTAGGAAAAGGAGGTTACGGAACTGTGTTTAAGGTTAAATTAAACGAGAAGGATGTCGCTGAGAAAGTAACTCACTTAATCTCTATTATTGAAATTGAAATACTTGAAAAGATTAATACCTACACAGGAACTGTGGAAATGCTACACCATTTGCAGTATGATGGAGGGTTTAGGCTATATTTTGAATTGATGGATAGCTCATTGAAAGAGTATTCGATTTGTGGAGATTCATTCCTGAAACTATTTCAAATTTTGATGGTCTTCTTGAAATGTTCTGGAACCCTCAATAGAATGCACCAAGATGGTATAGTGCACAATGACATTAAGCCTCCAAATATATTGGTTTCCAAGATGGAGGTTGGTGGTGAAATACTTATTAAGGATGCCAAAATTGCTGACTTTGATGTTTCACAACAAATTGAGAAAACAGAAACATATAATGTATCGAGGGTGGGTACATTGGGTTATATGGCACCGGAATTGATTGCTTTAATTAATAATCAACTTCCTAAGGATTTTGAATTCAATAGAAAAGCAATTGATGTCTATAGCTTTGGAGTTACCATGTATGAATTACTATTTGGAGAAATATATTTGAAAGATAACAATGAACAACGATCTCTACTTTCATTAACCCGTATCAAAAACTCATTAAGTGGTCTCATACTAGGATCTGACTCAAGTAGCAGATTAGAAGTTAGTTTAATGCAAAGTTATAATTTTCTAAATGGAGAACAAGTTGAAAAATTGGTAAATTTGGTAAATGCTTGCACATGTGTAGATCCCAAAAAAAGAAAATCATTTAGTGCCATTCAGGAAGAATTGCTTCAAATTACTATGGATATTTTCACTCAATACAGAAAAGGATATGTATTAGACTTTTAGTATCCAACCCTAACAATTTGTGGGTAAAGTTAATTTTCTTTTTATCTTTCATTTTCACTCAAGCCAGAAACAAAACTAAATGTTTACTTCAGAAATAAATTTCATTAAATTTGCACAGTTTATTGGTTTGCAAGTTTTAAACAGCTGATGCTTCAACATAAATATTGGTTGCCACAGTTGGAGCAGTTCCAAACTTGATAGTAATAGCAGTTGTTGATACACTTTGAATGCTCCAATAGGTGGACCAAGTTGGAGTGAATGAAAATTTGATTGGTACCCTTTCGAATGCACTATCGAATGTGAGTGTCGCTGTGGTGGATCCAGCAGCTACACTAACAGTCTTTGATTGTTTCAAAACAATTCCAATAAATGTACCATCAGCACTCAATGCATTGAAATTCAACTTGCTTCCAGCAATATTGTAAAAGATTGTAGATCCAAACAAATTCTTGGCACCACCAGCAGTAATTCCAGCATCCAAATTGACAAATCTGCAAGAGTAGAAGCTGAAACGTCCCTTATATTCATCATAACCAACAGCAGTACTTCCATGAAGATTACCCAAGAAGAGAACTGAATAAAAGTCAACTGTAGCAGCCTTTGGAACTGAAACCATTGTCTTTTGATTTTCAAAGGCACCTCCTGTCATGAGTAAATTAACATTTACAGCACCTGGCAATGAAGAATCAAAACGAATACCATAAGTATCCTTGGTGTAATCTCCATCTCCTGGATAATAGCTCAAATGACAATTTGACATTTGGAAAGCAACAGCATTGAAAGTATTATCAGAACCAGCATTTCTAAAAACAATATTTGATGATTGAGTTGCTTTTGCTGTTCCCAAAGTAAACATGGAAGTGTCAAAGTGGACAAAAGCATTCCAATTTTCAGCGTCCATAGAATCGACAATTAAATTGTGCTCAGTTGCACCATTCAAGTTCAAATTATCAAATTTCAACCATTGGTAACCGTTCAATCTCATGTTGGAAATGGCAACATTAGGATTGTTATTCTTAACATAAACTCTTTCGAATTGTGAGATGGAAACCAAATCCAAATCAACCATTGGTGAACCAGTTGATGAACCAGTGTTTACAAATGCCAAATCAAAAACTTTAAATCCCTTTACATTTTGCATTGGTGATGCATTGTTACCGACCTTAACTTTACCAGCTCCACGAAGATAGAGAACAGAGGATTGGGTACCTTCACCCATCAATGTAACACCATCTTTAACAATTGTCAAATTGGAGGAAATGGTATACATGCCCTTTGGGAAGAAGATTCTTACACCAATATTGTATGGTTGGGAATTGGTACTGTCAGATGTTGTTGAAATGTACGTGTTGATAATGTTGGTAATAACAGGAGCACAATCGTATGTGGATGCACCAGTCAAAATACCTGCCTGTTCAGAAGATGGAATGTTGTCAAGAATGTTGACAGTGGTTGCGTTACAGAAAGCAATGACAAGAGCCAAGCTCAATAAAACAACAGTGAATTGCTTTAACATGTTTTTTCTTTGTGGTGGAATTGTCAGTGTCTGCCGGCCATCCTTCTTGTGTGAATAAACATTGTTACTTGTTGCTATTCCACTACCTCCAAATATGGATGTCTTCAAGTCAACCGCTTGTTGATTTGCAACAAGTAAAGTACTAATTGCGAAAGGCATTACGAAATAAAAAGCATGTCGAAAGTACGTTTCCAAATTATAAAAGCAAAATTACCTTTTAGAATATTTTCTAAATTGTCGTTGTAATTGGCTGTTGGTTGACTTGACTTGTAAGTTGCCTTTTCTAAATTAGTGCCAGTATCAATAGATCGATGTTACTCTCCTCACCACGATAATTCCATTTGAGAATTTCTATACAACAAGCTTTAATTATTTCATTAACCACCACTCTCAATATTATTTCTTGTCAAGAACACGTTATCATATTCGAAAGATAGTCTTTCTTTGAGAGCTTCTTCATAGGGAATAGCTGGGTGACCAATCTCACAAAATAGCCCTGCATGTCGTGCTAATTCAATTGCTATATCTTTGCTTTTTGAAATATAATTTACAAACTCTGCTGCCATACCAGAACGCTGTTTTAGTGTGAACAAAAGCATTGACTCATCCGTAATGTACAAATGTCTAATATCGTTATTGTTTCGTATTAGACTAGGATTTGCTACTAGTGCCCTTTTTATATAGTCTCTATCAGATAGTTGACTGTTTGTGAGTTTGTGTTGACTACCGAATGTTTTTGAATGTTTGAGACATTCAAGAAGGAATTCTTCATCCTCCAACATTGAGGGAAGTATATCAATGGTAATATCTTCTGATAAAGTCTTGATTATTAGATTCTTATTTGTCTTTAAATGATGTGAAAGAAAGTGATAGACTTTCGGGTTCACTTTGAGTGCTTTTTCAGCAAACTCGATATCGTTCAGCAGATGATTTGGTAAATGTTTGATATACTCTGATTTGACAATAGTTTCCAATATTAAATCTTCGGTCATTGAAGAAATTAATTGTTCTTGTAATAACTTGATTTCCCAACAAACATTAATTACATGTTCAATAGCTAGGGGATTTTGAGATAATGCTTGTTTTACAATATTCTTATCAGACCTCAATCGTATAGATGCATATTGAAGAGCCAAACCATTCTGCTTTACAGCCAATAGCACAATTTCACTTTGATCTCTCATTACTTCATTCGCAAACTCCAGTGCAAGCCCATTTTGCTTCACTGCAATTTTAACAATAGAGTAAGGTACATCTCTAGAGCAAAAATTCAGAGCCAATCCATTTTGTGTAACAGCAATTTGAACAATGTCTAAATCATTCTGAAATTTTGAAAATACTTTCAAATTGAGTCCATTCCAACTGATGAATAATCTGGCCAGTTTCTTATCCACCAGTTTCGATTCATCTAAATAATTAATATCTCCCTTTGCAGCAGCAGTAATAACATCCTCATCATATTCCAACTCATTTCCAATAAAGTAAATATTGAATGGATTGACTTTTAAAACTCTCAATATAAATTCCTTATTTTCCAAATACTTTGAGGGAAGATTATGCAAAGTAAATCCAGTTTTTTCCATTGCAACCTCAATCACATCTTCATCATAGGCAATACTCGGATCTCCATAGTGAATCATTGCTCCAGACATTGAGAGGGCCCTCTTTAATATTTCCTTATCTAACAACCATGAAGGAAAGGAACCTCTCGCATGATCAATATAAAGTTGTCCATTTTGATTCACTGCCTCCAATACAACATTTCTACAGGCCATAAACTCGACAGGAATCAGACGAATTTCCCTCCACGAAATTATACTCTTTAATTTCCATGTTTTTAGTTCAATATTGAGAAAATCATCTCTTCTTCGGAACCATTTGCACAGATTTTCCTGTTGACTATTAAATTTTCTTCGTAATAATTTGCTGTAAATTCCCTCCGATAATTGGAAATCTATTAATTCAAAAATCACCAGAGCAGATGTTGGATCTAAATGCATTTAAATTGTTTTTTTTAAAAGAAATTTTTATTTATTTTACAATTTTATGTTTTAATATTTTACGATTGAATGAACAAGACAGGTTTAATGTAATATTGAATGAATAAATGTGATTTTGAGAGTGAAACTATTGAAATTTAGTTGGATTTTGATTCGAGAATTGATTTCAGCTTATTCAATTCTGACATAATCTCAGTAAATGAAGGACGAACAGACGGATCCTTATCCCAACAAACTTGCATCAGCTCAAGATACTTCCTAGTAAATTCTGATAATATCTCCAATGGCAATTTCTTCTCTGTTGGTAACACAAACTCACTCAACCAAATATTCATCTCCTCATTGGTAGAGAAGGGTATTTTAGGTCTTGACCCCTTTAACACTCTGCATAGAATAGTATATTCATTCGTGCTGTTTGTTGCATCATTTGATCCAAATCTGTGAATTTTGAAAACTCTGGAATTACAATAACAGTGTTCCTCAAAGAAAACTTCCCACATAATAATGGAGAAACTGTACACATCAACTTTGGTGGTATAGGATCCACTTTCAATCATTTCGGAGGCCATGTAGAAAACTGTGCCGATGTTCTTAGTTGAGGCACTATCAGTGGGTGTTGATAATCCAAAATCTGAAACCTTTCCAACAAAATCATTACTAATGAGTATATTTCCTGGTTTTAAATCTCTATTTATGGAAATCAATAAAAAAACTTAAATTAACTAAAGAAACATACCTGTGAATCAATGGAGGATTCAATGTGTGAAGATATTTCATTCCATTGGCAATTGAAATTAAAATATCAAGTTTTCCTTTCAAATTCAAAGGAGAAACTCCTATTCTTGAATTGTAAATCAATCGATCCAAACTTCCATTACCAATGTACTCCACAACCATGTATTTGTTGTTGGAGGTCTTGGAAATTCCATAAAATTTGACAATATTTGGATGAGATAAACTATTTAAAATTGCTGCCTCTCGTTCAAACTCACCAACTTCATCACCGGTAGTATCTGACTTGAGTGCTTTGATGGCAACTTGTTTACCTTTCCATTTACCCAAATAAACAACACCATTACTTCCCTCTCCTATTTTCTTTTCAATTGAAATTTCCTCAATTGGAATAATCAAAGATTGTGAAGTAAAGGATTTATCTGAAGTTACCAAAAGTGGTTGACTTAAAGAATTGAATGAATTTTCAATAATTACGTCTTCCAAATTCTTTTCGGCAATTTCCTTTCTCTTGAGAAGGTTTAGTTTCATATAAACATGTCTCACTCCTCTAAAAGTAAGAAACAATAAAAGAATGATAAAAATCATTAAGAGAATTCCAAGAACCACACTGATTGGAATTATTATTTGCTCAGAATTATCAGTATCAATACAAACAAAACCAGTAGAAAGTGGATTTTGAAGTACTTTTCCTTTTGGACAATCTGCAATATTAATAGTGATATTTTGAACAATATTTTGGATTGTAATATATCCATGCACTTGTCTCAGTTGCATTTTGTCTATGTCAAGTGAATAGGTTACAGAATTAAGTTGATTTGGAATAAGCTTTTTCGAATAAATCGTACCCTCTGATAAGGAAACAACGTCCACTTGACTTTGTAATTTCTTGACTGAAACCCTTTCTCCTTTACCCGTATAGGTCTGTAAATTTCCTATACTAATGGTCAGCTCTTGTCCTGGGTATTGTGAATAGATAACATCTTGGTTTTGAATGAATTTGGAAACAACACTAGTAGCAGATATAACTTCTACAGTAAATGTTATATTATTTAGAGGTTCTCCAATGATATCTCCATATGATCCGGCTTCATTATTATCCTCCATGAGAAAACTTGATACAATAATATAAGGACCTGGCTCTGAAATATAAATACAACCTCCTGAGAATACAGCACGATTGTATGAACACTTCAAATAATCCAAAAGCACTAATGGTTTTGGGTTTTCAACAAAAATAGCACCTCCAAGTTGTGCCGTATTATGTGTATTCGTTGAAGCTCTCAAATCCAAAGCATCTGTTCCCAATAATTTGGCATAGATAGCACCTCCCATTTGGGCACTATTGTTGTTTGCGAGTAGTCTTAATGAAATTGCCAATCCTTCAACATAGACAGCACCTCCTCTCACTGCCTTGTTTCCATTGAATGTGCAATCATTAATTTGAATGATATTTGCCTTTATATAAACTCCATGTTGTATTGTTAAATCACCATTGTAGTTAAAATCACAATAATTCATTAATAAAGATGATTGGGCAACATCCATCAACGAATCAATACGTATGGAAATACTAGAATTTCTAAAGTTAGTTTGAAATAGTGCAATGTAATTACTTTGAGAAACGCTGATACCATTTTTAACATTATTGAAATTATTAGAGAGGAACATTGTTTGTAAAGTGTTAGCAATTTGGAGTACTGGACTGTTTGCCAGTAAATTATGAAATTCATTGAATCCAATTTTTAAAGAATTAATGTTATAGGCGTAGAATTGAAATTCGCCATCACTCACATTGTTGTTTTCAAATTTTGAAGATGCCAAAAAGCTCTGTCGAATGGTTACAGAGCCAGTGAAGGTATTTTGTGAAATTTCAGAGGTTCTACAAATCAAAAAATCAGAATCTTTCACTCTACTGCGCAATAAGGAAAATCTTAGCTCAACCATATTGTCTCTATCAGATAGAGAAGAGGAAATAAATTGATACTTTTCAATGGTACAATTATTGAAAAATGTGCCAGGATTTAAAGATGGAGTCTCTTGTGTGTGTTTGATGTTTTTAAGTGTGGAATTTGCAAAATTTGCTGTAACAGTTGCGTAAAATTCAACAAATTCTAATTGAGAATTTACAACAGACACAGAAATTGTTCCAAACTGACGACTTGGTTCATAAATTACTGAATTAAGTAGAATGGAATTCTCAATCTCTATCAATGGAACAGCAACCAAACTGTTGCCACCATTGTTCAAAGTAAAATCAAAAAGTTTCAATCCCGACAACTTTAATCCATTCATGGCATTTAAATAAGTAAAGAAAGATCCTCCATTACATTCAAATTGAATCCTCTTACTTTGATCAAATGATTCCAAGATCAAACTTTGCAATGGTTGATAACATACTATTCCACACTTGTATTCTCCATCCATCAAGTAGACATGAACTCTAGAAAATCTAATAGAATTGGCATAGGAAATAGCCTCTTCTACACTCTTGCAAGGGTTATTAGGGGATGTACAATTGCGTTCTGTATTTAAGGATGACGGCTTAACATAGACAAATACATAACCAGATGACAATTGTTGATCAAATGATGATGATGTCGTTGTTGTTGTTGAATTATCAACCAGAGCATTAATTACCACTGGTAGGCACATGAAAAGCAAAAAGAAAATCGGGGATATTTTCAGTGGAGTCATTTTTCTTGTTTTTGGAAGTGGGAAGAGATTCCAGTTCAATTTAATCTGGATAGCTGCTGAGGTAGGCACATTCTTCTGATCTTTATCGGAGAAGTAACTGTAATTAAGTATCCTTACTTTCGAAAGTAAGTTGATGATAAACTTTGATGCAGACAATGTCAATACCATTGGAGTTCTTTAGATTTTTGGAGTTGTGATTAAAGTTGGGAACTGTCTGGCACCAATTACTTTGGGACTGACAATTACGTTAGGTATTTCATTGGGAACAGGTATTGGTCTATGTCTAGAATCCTTAGCTTTTATTCTCTCAAAAGTTTTTGTAATTTTGTTAAAGAATCTCAAGACAACGACAATTGATTTTATTTACAGAACAGAATCAAAATTCTTCTTTGCTGACTTTAGCTTATTCTTGATGGTATCAGTAAAGCTGGTATTTTTTGAATAATCATTTGGATTTGGTCTTTCTCTTCCATGCTTCTCGTAAACTCTATCTAGACGAGATTTGTGTGAACTTTTAGTTTCTTGTGGTTCTGAAAAGTCATCATAGTCATAGTTATCCTCATTCACTTCAACGAGTTTGATATTGTCATCAATCTCAATTCTTGTCTCAAAATCTTCATTTTCATCCAATGAAATATTAACAGCTGATCTCAAGTCGTTTTCTTCTAATTTGTCGAATGAGGAGGAAATCTTTTCAGCACTAACATTTTGAAGTTGTCTCAACTTCTTAGCACGAGCTCTATGTAATATTTCTCTGCCTTCCAAAATTGTTTCGTCACTCATATTTGATCCAGTATAACTAAATCTTTGAATATTACACAAAGTTCCACATCTTTCAATAAGTTTGAACATTGTAATAAAGGCAACAACAATAATTAACAATGGGAAGTAATCGACAATAAAACCACCAAGTAAACCAAAAATACGAAGACCATCTACTCTCAAAGCTCCATAAATTGCAAAGTAGGCAACACCATCATCAGGGTCGACACCAACCATCTGCAAAAAGTTGAAACACATAGTCGGAATGGCTCTGCACAATAAGAGAGCTGTATAGAATAAAGTGTAAGAGTCAGTGTGATGAGGAACCATTTGGAACAAGTACAAAATTCTAACTCTATACATGGCAAAGAGGAGTGTTACAAGGATCAACCCCAAAATGAGAAGAGCAACTATCTGGATAGCAAAACGATCTCTCATAGACATGATTATCAACTCTAAAATAGATAAACTCAATCTCTTGGTAGCATAAATGTTCTTGAAGAGAGGTGTAAATTCACACCACATGATAATCAAACCAAATGGAACGAATGCAAGAGCCAATAATTTCAAAAGTAGAGATCTCAAATATTTAACATAAATCCACTCTGGTTTTTCTATAATTGTTTGTACAACCTTTGGTCTTGGACTACGGAATGGAGAAGCAACTTTCATGTCAGAACTGTTTTCCTTTGAGTGAATTACATCTTGCAAGATGAATGCCTTCTTTTGGAGATGTTTCCATTGATATTGTTTGGAACTAAACTCACGAATAGCTTTTTGGAGCAATCTGTGAATCTTTACACAATCTGATCTTGATAAATCTTCAATGTTTTTAGGAAGCAAACCATCATCAACATCTCTTGAGGTGGATCTTCTAATTGCCTTATTCAACTGTGGGTGATCGCGAATCACTTCTTCGACAGTCATCATTATACGCTCCACATTCTTAAATTGTTTGTGTGTTGAGTCGACCTTTCTTTCCAATATCTTACAAACTCCCAAATAATCCAACAATTCATTTTCCAATTCCTCTAATTCTTCCACAATAGTTGGTGTAGTAAATTCGTACAATTGCAATTGACGTTCGTCATTAGAGGTTTCCCATAAATATCTAGGAACTGCAATTATACCATAACCAATGAAACCAACCAACAAGACCAAACCATAAATATTGGATAAACTCAAACCCAGACCAGCTATCAAATCTAGTGAAATTATCTGAGCATTGGCTGGATCATTCGCATTAGAAATTGCAATGTAAATGCAAAATCCTCCCAAACCAAGACCTCCCACAAGTAACATAATTGAGTAGGTAATCAAGTTATCCAAAATAGCACGAAGCCATCTGAAAATTGCCAAGAATTCACCGGTATACAAGTAACTCTGGAAAATTGGTAGTAAAATCCAAGATAACACTTGTAGTGTCCAATATATAACTCTCCACATGGTTACAAGTGCCGGATCAGGCTTCATCTTTTTGTTTAATTTATCATTTGAAATTGCCTGTTTTCATCATCCACATGTTGTTTGTTGTTGTTGTTTAAATTCCATAATAATGATTGATATGAAATTTGTATTACACAATTTAACCAAGTTTTAAATTCACAACATTATAAAGTTAAATTACTTACGGAAGCTAAATCTATACAACATAAGAAAACAGCCAAGAAGAGCAATAAATAGGTAATTAACAATGGAATGTACAAGAACCAAGGGAATGGGTTCGATTTGGTGTAGTACCTCAACAGTGCTACAGAGGCAATGGTTCCTAAAATCAACGTAAAAGCCAAACTCACAAAGAAGAAGGCATCCATTGAGTGTTGTGTATCTACATTGGTTCCATTCGTAAAGTTATATGTATTGTTGCTATTGATGATAGGTGGAGAAGGTCCAGCTAAAATACTATTAGCAATCGGATAGAGTATATTAGCCAAAAGGCTATCCGAGGTAGAAGAAGATACCTCTCCCTGTTGATTCATGTTGTGTTACTCTCTCAAATCAACACCTGTGTTCTAATTGATGATCAAACGCACGGAAGAAATCTTTGATTTTTTGTGTTTTGAGTTTTAATAATAATTGAACATTGGGTTACATCATGTAGCAAAAAGAGCACTCTTTCTACTGGTGTTCTAATTAGCCATAAAATAGAGAGCAAAAACAACGTCCAACAACATTTCTAATGAAAATTAATGGCGATTATATTTATATATGATACCAAAGCTATCCGTTAAGAAATTTTAAAATAATAATGAATTTATTTTATTTATAATTGAATTAAAGAAAGCAACAACAAGCATCGATAACACCTCATAATTAATACCATTATTTAGCCTAAGAGAAGTTAGTATGGTCATCAACCCAAAACATACCACAAACCCTTTATTAATAATTACATCAAATATCGTACTTCCGTGGCAAACGATTCATGAGAATCAAAAGGTGACGGATAGTACCACGAAGCTTGTAATCGAAGTGGTAATATTCCAAAAAACTTAAACATGTTAACCTCAATACACCTCAGGTTTTGGAAACAACACCCAAATTTGCTTGTTTGGTACTTTGACATATTGATGTATCTCATTGCTGCTACGAAACATGCTCTGTCAGTAAGAAAAAAATGTCAGGTAATGATGCCAGTGATTGGCTCTGGTCGAAATCTGACCTGGTTCTGTCATCCCTTCAACAACAAATGCCCCAAGGTCAAAATGGTAATAAACCACTTGCCTTTGGAGAATTATATAGACTTCAAAACTTTTCTCCACGAGAATATACTCAAGCTTCTATAGGGCTCACTATTGCTTTCATACTTGGATTTCTTGCTTTAGGTTTGATTATTATGATTTTCTTCAGTAGAAACAAGTATAGGAAAACTATGGTAATGAATCAAAAATTCATTCTCATGTTAGTTGGATTGTTATTGGCAATTCAGATATTTTCATTGATTTCAAGAATAATCTTTGAAGCCATTAGTTTGGATATTATTGATGACATATCACTATTCATTCAACAACAAAATGGAACAGAAGCAATGCAGAATGCCCTCGCTACAATGAATAGTACAGTTACTGCAGCTGAGGCTGGAGTTTCAGATTCTCCTATTTTTGCTATGGCATTCTTTGGAGCAATTTATATATTCACAACATCTGCCAATTTGGCTGTCATTACTTTGATTGTTACATTTGTTTCCTTTGTTTTCTTCAAGACAATCAAGAGAGGTGGAACTATTTCCAAGAGTCATTATGTTTTCCTTTCGATTTTTGGAGATGCCTTTGGTGTTTTTGTATTTGTGATTGTTCTATTGATTAGTTTGACATTGGGGATTGTGTACTTACTGGTATCAATTGGTCTCTCATCTGATTTCCAGACAGGATTATATATTGGTGTGTATGTTCCCTATGTTGTACAAATTCTGTTACAGACTATTCTCTTCAATGTAAGTTTAATTGTCCACCTCTTTTTACTTGAACTCACACTTAATAGTTCTCTGCTGTGAAAGTTCTCATCATCATCTCTAAAAACTCCAATCCTCAAAATAAGGGACAATATCAGAAGCCATTTTTCAAAGTAATTTCTGTACAGATCATTTTGACTCTTTGTGCCTTTATTCAACTGATAGCAACATTGATTGGCCTTATTCAGGGATTCACTTATTCGAAATTGCTCTTCTTCATTTTCAACAATATTGGAATTATAAGTTTTGCTATTGTTGCAATTACTTTATATAATCCTCTTTTCTCAATTGAACACAAACAGCTCGATAATAAGAATGATAGCGCTCTTACTTCTCCAAGAAGTAACAAACAAATTGTTCCACAAGAGAAACCTACACAGGATAATATTTAAATTGATTTTATTTCCAACTCTATTAGATGGAACTAATTTCTGTATAGGCTCTCTTCTTTCTATTGTAAAATACTAGAGTAAGGATTATCACACCAACAATAACAAGGAGGAGAGCAGCTCCACCAATTGATGCTCCAATAATAATACCTAGATTATCTGAATTCTTACTTGGTTCTGGAGTGATATATCCTCCTAAATTGGAGGCATCATTGTCATTTACATTTGATGTCAAATAGTATGGGACAAATTCAAAATACTTGGATGGACTCAATTTAGTGGAAATGATTTCATTCATTTCAGATGTAGTCAATTTAAGAGATTTATCAACTTTCTTACCCCAATAATTCAAGCTTACATTGAGCTTTGAATTAGCTTTTTGCACACAGACATCTCCATTGACTGTTTCGACACTATCAAAAATGTTTTTTTCAATCCTCAAGTTGTTATTGATTGCATTCTTAATAGTGAGAGAACATTTACCAGAGTTTCCTGTTAAAGTGTTACGTACAAACGAAAGGGCTCCAATATTGTCAAAGTTTACAATACTATAGAATCCATTGACTTGACAATTTACAATTTCATTTTGTTCAAAAACTACTGAATCAAAATTGAATAATGGTCCACCAATCAAATTCAAAGGTATTGATGGTAATCCAGAAGATGGGGTCAAATTAATCACCTTATTGTTAGTAAAGCGAAATAATTTCATGTTGTAATTCATGAATACGGCAAGACCATGGATATTCTGGAATGTACATTGTTGGATATCAAAAACTCCATTAGATACATCTGGTTGATTATTGGCAATTGCTATTCCACTCTCTTTCATATTGAAATTGTCAAATTTAACTCTGAATGCAGTAATATTATAGGAAACTATACCGGATTTGAACCATTTAAAGTCAACATTTGTCAATTTAAGGGAAACTCTCTCAGAATTAATACCTTGCCCAACATTGTCGAAAACAGTGTTCTCAACAGTGAATGAATTCTTTGCATTCTTATTGTCAGATCCTTTGTGGACAAAGGTATTTCCTATTTTGGAGAAATAACAATTCGAAACAGTCACTCGACAAGCATTTTCTGGTAATGCAATCAAAAGGACGGTTTGCATGTTTTCAAATTTTGATTCAGTTACATGGAATACATGTTCTCCACTAATGATACGAAATAGGTTGTATCCACCATTCATTGTGCAATTACTGAGTTTAATAGAATCCAGTGATTGTTGAATGTCAAAGGTTTGAACAGCCTTCAGTCTTTGAGACTTGATAACAGATACTGAATCCAAATCTAAGCGTCTTGTTTGGCCATCCAACACAAACGACCACATTTCATTGTTGAAAGATGGAACTGGTTTTGTTCCTTGGAACACATCCAAACTCATGAATTGTACGTGCTTTCCAATTTCTAAACTTCCATTAATATTGATAGTGATTGGTTGTGTAACATTGGATGATGAGTAGAATACTACTTGAGCATTATCTTTAATTGATAGGATGCTATCTTGTGGAATGTTCAAGCTTTCCTTGATGAGCACAAGTCCTTTCCATTCAATAATAGATACTTCATTTCTTTTAGCACATACATGTTGAATGTTGTAACTCACAACCATTAAGATAAACAAGTAAATGGCCAACACTAAGCGTGACCATCTACTCAAAGCTAATACGTTCATTGGTTATGTTTCTTTTTTTTCAATCAGAATAATATATATTGTGTGCAATTTTTAAATGGTTTACGAACAGAGCTGTTTAGAAAGTAGGTAGGAAAAGTGAAAGGCCCATTTCCTTAAAGCCATTCCATTAACATTGAATAATATTTTCCGGTAACAGGCAATGCTTGTTTTGGATTCATTCGGCAAGACAAATCAAAAGCGAATGCAAATTGAAAGCAAATTGAAAGCAATAAAAATGGGTCCGCCAAATCTACAGTAATAATAAGAGAATGCACTTGTACAATTCTGCAAGCTTAATCCCGTAATCCCTAGCTGCTAACGCACATTTCGATATTTCTCAACGGAGAAATTGGACTTTCCGAACAACACCGAGAGGCTCCACAATACGGTGAGCATTAAACCTCAACAGTAATGAGGAATAGAAAATTTTCCCAGCACTGCACCTTTTTTTAAACTTCCTACATTGATTAGCTATGTTGCATCACAAGCATGAGGAATTATCATTAAGGTTATAAATGTGGCTTTGCTTTTTTGGATTTTAATTGATTGCTAGAATTTTAGTTTATTATAAATTAGCAATTAAATCAAATCAGAATATTTCGTAATGAGATTTGCCAACTCCTTCAAGTATTTTCCATCAATTTCCAAACTAAATTGTTCCAAAGCAGTAGAATCAACATCAATCAAACCAAATACCTGTCCATTTTGAGAATTAAACAATGGTACACAAATTTCTGAATTAGAAGCACTGTCACATGCAATATGTCCAGAAAATTCATGAACATTTGGCACCACAATAATTTCCTCTTTTGTAATACAAGCTCCACACACTCCCTTTCCAAATCTAATTCTTGTACAAGCTAATTTACCATGAAAAGGTCCTAAAACAAGTTCTCTGATTGGTTTATCATTTGTTTTCACATCAATCAAATAAAAACCAAACCAATTAATTGGATGACCATTTTCCAGAAATGTATTATAAAACAATGAAGCACAATTTGCAAGATTTGCAATTAAATTACTTTCATCACTCATCACACTTTCGATTTCCTTCAGTAATTTAGTGTAGGTTTCCTCGGAGATGGGTTTTCTCTCCGAAGGTTGATGGCACTGATGATTTTGCTCGGAGAGTTGATGCATTTTTTTTGATTTTGTTTTCCAATTCACAGTTTGTGTTGTAATCTTTCGCATGTGAGAAATAATAGTTTGAAAATTCCACATTCAATTTTCATTGTAAACTCTTTTCACACAACTTTATCCTAAAACTGTCAAATACAAAAAAGGATCCAATATTCAACAACAAGTTACTTAAAAAAAATGTCATTATCACTACCACCTCCATCATCAGAGAGTTTTGTGAAAACTATTCTCTTCTCCTCCGAATCGGTGACAGAAGGACATCCAGATAAATTATGTGATCAAGTTTCTGATGCAGTTTTAGATGCTTGTTTGGCTGTTGATCCGATGAGTAAAGTTGCCTGTGAATCATGTTGTAAAACTGGAATGGTTTTGGTGTTTGGAGAGATTACATCAAAGGCCAATATTGATTTTCAAAAAATTGTGAGAGAGACAGTTAAAGAAATTGGATTTGATGATAGTAGTAAAGGATTTGATTACAAGACATGTAATGTTTTGGTTGCTGTTGAACAACAATCACCAGATATTTCACAATGTGTTGTAAAGGATGGATTGGATGAGAATTTGGGAGCTGGTGATCAGGGAATGATGTTTGGATATGCATGTAATGAAACAAGTGAATTGATGCCACTATCTCATTTACTTGCAAGTCAATTGGCTTTAAAATTGACTCAGGTTAGAAAATCTGGAGAATTGAAATGGTTGAGACCTGACGGAAAGACTCAAGTAACTGTAGAATATGAAAAACATTCGAATGGAGAAATGATTCCTAAACGAGTTCACACCATTGTCCTCTCCACTCAACACGACGAAAGTGTCACCAATGACCAAATCAAAACTGACATTAAGAAACATGTCATTCAAAAGGTTATTCCAGAAAAATACCTCGACTCTGAAACAATTTATCACATCAACCCATCTGGAAGATTTGTCATTGGAGGTCCACAAGGAGATGCTGGATTGACTGGAAGAAAAATCATTGTCGACACGTATGGAGGTTGGGGAGCACATGGTGGTGGAGCATTCTCTGGAAAGGATCCTACTAAGGTTGATAGATCTGCCTCCTATTACTCCAGATATGTGGCAAAGAATATAGTAGCTGCTGGATTGGCAAAGAGATGTTTAATTCAAGTTTCGTATGCGATTGGAATTTGTGAGCCATTGTCGGTTCATGTCGAAACTTTTGGAACTGCTCAAAATGGATTGGATGATTGGAAGATTTTGGATATTGTCAAGAAGAATTTCAATTTCACACCTTACAATATGATTAAGGAACTCAATTTGAGAAGACCAATCTATTCCAAAACTTCAGCCTATGGTCACTTTGGAAGATCTGAATTTCCTTGGGAACAAATCAAACCTCTTAAACTTGATTAAAATTAAATATTATTAAATAGTCATTTACAATATTTTTAAATAGTAAATATTGTTCGTTACAGTTCCAAATTTGCACCATGAACTTGACACTTCAAACTTCCACCACAAAAAAAAATTCTCAACAACTTTGCCAATAGTAATTTTTCCCAATCATTTTTGATCAACCATTTTCAGAGCTAAAATAACAATCGGAACAAGTAATAATTAGAAAAGAAGAATACAATTGTAATGGCTTCGATTTTTAATTTTTTCAAGAGTGGAGGTGCCTATTCGAAGAGTAATACTGGAGCAACATCAAGTAGTACTAGTTCTACTAGTGGTGGTAGTTCAAGTAGTAGTAGTAGTGGTGGTGATGCTAGCAGTGGTACATCTTCAAATGAAACACCTTTGAGCAGTCCTTCTCCGAATGATAAGAGTGCTGTAATAGTTGAGACAAACAAGGAAGTAATTGTTGATCAGAGCTCTACTTCAAAGGAAAAATCAACATCTAGTCAAATTGTGGATGGAAAGAATTTAATACTGTCAATTCAACCTGATAGTAGACCTGTGTTTAATGAAGCTGATCTCACAGATTTGATAAAATTGAAAGAACACTTACAGTACAAACCAAGTGTTTTGAATTTGATTGCTGTCTATCAGGCAGAAATTCAAAAACACGTAGAGTATGGTGTTAAAAAACCAAATAAGAAGGTACTCAATTATCAAATTGAACCAGCTCCTACAAACACAAAATATGTCTACTTGACATCATCTGGTTTACCAGGAGTTTATTGTACTAATAATGATATGCTAGATTATAGTCACTATCAAGCTCTTAAGGAAGGAAAAAGTGTCACACATTCATTCGATTCTCAAGATTTGCCAAAAATTGAAGAAACTTTAAAGAACCAAACTCAAATTTCATCAAATTCTTCAATTACAAACAAGAGGAAGGAATTGGAACAATTAGAGAAACAATACACCCTATTGATGCGCGAAAAGGAAAAATTATTGATCGATAGAGCTGCAGTACTTTCCCCTGAAGAATTGGCAATCATTGAAGAGGAAGAAGGCAAAAATAGAATCAGTAATCAAGACGATGATCAGTGGGAAATTGAAAGAAAGAAGAGAATTATTGAAAATGAAAGAAAATTGATCGAAAAAAGGTTAGCAGACGCTAAAAAGCACAGAAATGTTCGTTTCTATTGTAAGGGAGAATTGGAATACCTCACTAAATGGAATGACCACTTTGTGAAGACTAACAGTGAAACAGCACCAAAGGGATTGGATGATATGCTGAGATACAAGCTAAATCCAACAAATTGTTTTGATTTAGGTGCTGAGGAAATTCACTATAGATTTTGTGAATCCCAATTCCACAGATTAGCAGCCAATCCACTGTATGGATCATCCTATCCAACTGCAAAACTTATTAATGTTGAATATGTTGTGAATCCAGTCATTATGAGAAGATTTAACGCATGCAAACAAGAATTAGCTAAAAAACATGGCTTTATGCTCGAAAGTATGAAACCATTGCTCTTATTCCATGGTACCTCTGATACCAATATGGAGAATATCTTAAGGACCAACTTTTTACTGAACAAGATAGGTAAGTCATTACACTTTTAACAATTCATTTTAATGATGATCACATATTTGTTTTTTACATTCTTTAAACAGGCTCAACAACTGATATGGGTTGGTATGGAAAGTAAGTATTGATAGCCTTTATCATTTATTAATCTTCTATTCCACAGAGGTTTTTACTTTAGTGAATATCCAGGATTATCTATGGGTTATGCCAGAAATCAATATTTGTTAATTTGTATGGTTTTGATTGGTAAGGCCTTCCACATGAATCAAGTAGAAACTGGTAGAGCTATTGAACCTGGTTATGATTCACACGTATCTCCTGATGGTTGCAGTGAGGTCATTATTTTCAACCCAGATCAAATCATTCCTCTCTACAAGATTCAATGGGTGCAACAATAACATTATTGTAAAAATCAGAAAGGGAGGTCATCAATACGATGGTGCCATGAATCTGGATCGTACTTTAGACTATCCCTAATTTCATAATTGTACATATTTGGAAGATGCTCCAATAAAGCAAATCGACTTATTTATTAATATTTAAAAATCTAAAACATCCAAATTATCACAAATATTAAGCAAAAAAAGCACAACAACAACAACACTCAATCACAATATCGCAATAATTTATTCAATATCATCAATATGGTAAAAACAGTTACAAGAGGAATTTCAGAATATGACATTGTGCACTGTCCTCCATCTCACACCTATCATCCAACGACAAAGAAAGAACTCCTACGAGAACACATCTCATACGAACAATCCAGAAAAAAGAATTATCCAACAATAGGTCCATTCCAAAATATTGAGGAATTCTCAAATGGTACTGAGGAGGAATTGAAACATCTTCGAATGGACATGCTTCGTCAACAAATTGATCAAGATATCAAGGAGGGTTTTCCAGATTGGAATTTAACAGATTCATGGTTTTCAAAAATCAATTCTTCATTGTAAACTTTTAATATTCTTGTAAACAGAATTAAAAACTTTAAATAACATTAAAAAAAAAATGACAGCAGGAGGCTTACCTTCATCATCCTCTTCCGCATCATCCGATGATGGAAGTCAGGGTGCTAATTCTATTCTCCTCTCACTCTTTAATTTTTATATGAATAATAATTTTAATTCTTACAATAATAATTATAATTCAATAATGATGGAAAATTCCAATCAACAGCAACAACAATGCGATGCTGGTCAATATTGTTTGGCTGATGGGTTTTGCATTACGGAGGTATCACTCATTCCTACTTGTATTTTAGCCTTGATCGTTGGTGTTTATACTTGTCATCAGATCAGGAGACGATTTGCACATGTTCGGGCAAGTTGGATGTATTCATTGACGTTTTTATGTTTTGCAATCATGATGACAGACTCAATGTTTGTTCATTGCTTTGTTCCAAGACCAGATCCACAAAGCAAGTATTTTGTAATTAGTATGATTGTAAATTTGATTAATCTGGGAGGAACTACATCAATTGCTGTTGGATTTTTCTTTTGTGGACTTGCTGATATTAAGTGGATTGATGGAGATTCATTCCAATCCAAGTTGGCTTATGGATGCTCTTTTGTGGCTGTGTTTTTGGCTTGGTATTTGGCTTTGATCAATCAATGGAAAAATATGTTTTTGATTTTATATGGTGGAATGGTTGGGTTGTTTTGTGGCTTATATCTTGTCATGCAAATTATTCTATTGGCAAGAAGTACTCACCACGAAGGAGAATCCGAATTTAGAGCAATCATGTATTTCATCTTGTGTGGTATCAGTGGTGCTGTTGGGTTAGGAGCTGTTTTCATTTGGAGAAATCAAATTTGTAGCATGATGGGTCCAGTTCTATCTCCATATCTTGGTCCTACTTTTGTTTGGTTTATTTTGAGTGATGTGGCAGTCTATTTCCTATTCAAATATGTAGAAGAAACCATGAGTTTGAGAGATACTAGTCAAGTTGAAGAAAAGAAGAAAAAAGTCTATCCAAACTATAATCCATATACCAATGTTCAATATGCACCAATGCAAAATCAATCCTACATTGGAAATGATGGAAAAGTCTACACTTACACAAAGGTTTCCCAAAACGAACACGAAGATATTGAGCTCATGCCAAACTCTATCTTACCAACTCACAGACATCACACTAACAATGTATTTTAAATTAAATTATTTATTAGAGTTATTAATTTACAAATTTAGTAGAACTGCTTGAGTGGGGATTGTTTTTGAATGAGTTGTCTTATCAGTACATTTTCAAAGAGATTAGCAAGCTCATCATTACTCTTTGCAGAAACATAACAATATGGTACATTAAGTTGTTTAGCTCTTTCTTCCAAGCTGTGGTCAGTGGAATTTCCACTTCTATTTTGTACAATAACAATTGGTATTTGTGAAATATCAACTCTCTTAACAAACAAAATTTCTTCGATGAGCTCATTGATGGCAACAATGGAATTCTTTTGCTCTTCGGAACAAACGAGAACAAATGCATTAGAACTAAAGATTCTTTCATCTAGATATTCTTCATCATCTCCATTCATGTCCAACAAGTTCACTTTAACAACTTGATCATAAACTTTCAATTCCTTCAAATAGAGTTCTTCCTCAGAGTTTGGATCTTGCTCAGTAATAGTTCCTTGAACATAATTGTTGAGCAATCTTGATTTTCCTACAAGCGGTGGACCTCCAACAAAAACTTCAATTTCGTCTGGCAATGCCTTTGTGACGGTAATGTCACCAGAGCCACTAACTTCAACCTTGACAGTAGAGCTTAATTTCTTTGATTGGAAGAGAAGAGTGACATGTTGATTTCCATTGACAATATTTGTGTTGTCCAATTTAGATGTATAATCAGTAGAATCTCCCAAAATGAATGAATAGGACAAGTCATTGATATATGAGACACCTTCTTGTTTACCTGTTGTGAAGGTGAACTTGAGTAAATTCTTAAAGAAGGAAACATTCTTTTCAATCTTTGATGGAGTTGCAACTTTTGGTGAAGTCAATTCAATAAGTTTAGCATCTGATGGAGTTGCTTGGTATCCGAAACTAGTAAGAAGAGCAATAATCTTTTCCTTTAAAGATGATGGACATTCCTCACTAATAATTCTATCGATGGACTTTTCAACAAAACGTGGAGATTCTGCCTTGACAGTCAATTGATGATTGGCCTTGGCGTTTAACAATAATCTAGCCAACTTGACTTGCCCAGATTCAATAGCTCTATGAAGTGGAGTTCTTCCACTGAAATCTCTAACATCAACATTAGCATTATGTCTCAATAACCATTCAGCAATGAGATAACTCTTCAAATCAATTGCATAGTGGAGTGGATATCTTACTTCATCCTCAATAACACATGGATCATTGACGTAGGCAGAGAGTTCCTTTTCTTGTTCAGAGAAAATTTCAAGTGCCAAATCAGTCAAATAAACATCTCTTTCATGTGAATAGTTTTCGGAATCTGATGAGAAATCCAAACCTTCATCTTCTCCGCCTTGGTCAACTTCCAAAGATTGCAAAACAATGAGCAAGAGATTTTGTTGTTTTGGAAGCTTTGAAGCTTTCAATCTCAATCCTTCTTCTTTCAATAACTTGTAGGCTTTTCTATTGTTTTCCATCAATGCAAAGAGTAAAAGATTGGCTTTGAAATGGGATTCTTCATCGACAAGCATTTCAATTCTAGACAATTCTTCCTTTACAAAATGATCCTTCTTATTGATATGAATCAATTCTCCCAACAAGGAAGCATCTTCATGTAAAATTGAGATGAAAAGTAACTTTTTAAAGCATTCTTCAGTAGGTCTATTAGTGGACAACAAGTCAAGAAGTAAATCTTGCTTATTTTCTCTGGCATATTGTTTCAATTGATTTTCAACATCAACATTTTGAACAATTTTTGTTGTTTCAATTGGTTTTTGTTTCTTCATCAATTCTTTCAATAAGTAAATATTGAAAATGTCATTCACTTGATTGAAATCCCTAGCATTACAAGAAACGAAAGGCAATTTATATTGTAAAGCTTTCTTTTCAACAAGAGAGTGAACTGATCTTGCCTTTTGCATATCTTCTTCATCAAGAATATCCAAATACTTTTCTTGTGATTCTAAAATATCACTCTTATTGAGAATGATAACAATTGGTGTTTGATCAACATTACCAATTGATTGTTGATTATCAAGATTTGTTGATGATCTATTGTTAATTTGATTGACAATTTCATCAATCATTGATTGACATTGTTCAGGATCATCAAGAACACTACAAACAATCAAGAAAGCATTTCCATCAGCAATAAATTGATGTTGCAATTGTTTAAATTCACTTCTACCTCCACATTCATTAATATTTAATGTAATACTATCATTATCAAAATAAATAGTTTTGTAGTAGTGTTCAGTTACTGTAGGAACATATTCTTCTGTAAATTGTTTGGAAATGTATTGATGAATAATTGATGACTTGCCACTTGCTTCACTTCCCAATACAACAAGTTCTAAATAATCTGATGGAAAGACAGGTGAAAATTTAGTACTTGTACGTGTTGTAGTGTTGGTTGTAGGTAAATGTAGACTATCTTCCATTGTTTATTATACAGAGTGTGGGTGTTGATGTGTTTTTTTTAAGTTGAAGTAGATGGTTATGTAGGTAACAATTGACTATTACATTGACATTTGATTAGTGAGGTACTGTTTATATTGAGAGGGTGTATTAGGTAATCAGTTGCTGAGAATAAGCAACACTCTTCTACGATCACACTCATTGGTTATGATTCCTCAATAAATAGTTGAGTGGAATCAAACATTTGTCCTCAATTGGTAGTTAGATGATGTTTATTTACAAGGAATACTGATGATTTTAAGTGGAAGAATATTGATGATTTGTGTTAAGTGGAAGAATTTAACTAAATATAAATGGAGTTAATTGCTTACGCATCTAAGGTGAATTGATGAGTCAATTCTTTGGTCTTTTCCAATTGAGCATTTGTTTCTAGATTTCTCTTGTACATTTCGTCTACTTCGTCCATCATCTTTTTCATATCATTGGTTCTCTCGATAGCTGTTTCTTGCACTCTACCCATAAATTGATTAACAAGCTCGGAAAGCTTCATTGTAAAATCTAATCAAAACATTAAATGATCACTTGATAGTGACAACTTACTATTCAATACACTTTCCATCTTTTCATGAATCTCGGAGAGTCTCTGTCTAGCATGTTGCATATTAGGATCCAAATAATCTGCAGCTGCTCCACCTGAGGCTGATGATCCTTGTTGAGTTTCAAAAGAATGATTTCCACCTTCATTAGTTTCCTCCAAAGTGCTTCCTTCCAATGAATTTTCATAGCGTTGTTGATGTTGTTGTTGTGGATAATGAGAAGCTTCCTCACAGAATTGTTGTTCTCCCGATTCATAGAGATTAGAATCATTAACAAGACTAGAAGAATCATCACTTGCGAATTTTACTCGTTTAGTTGACTTTAAGATTTTGTTCAAAGGCTTTGAAAAATTAATTACTTACTTGTTGGTGATCGTCTTGGATCATATCGGTACTTTGGAATGTTCTCTTTTCTAAGCTTGTTGACATTTTTTTTAAGTTGAGTCAACTAAGGCTTGTTTCTTGAATGCAAAAATATGAACTTTTTGGCGCCAAAATTCTTAAAATTAATCTGAAAAATGTATTATTTGATGTAAGCGGTCTTGGACTGCAATTATGATACAATCAGGAGGGAGGTTGAAAAGGTGAAAAATATTGATGAAGAATATGAACACACTCATAGGTTATCAGTCCGAACAATCTGAAATGTTTCATTTCACAAGATCGTTTCCAACATAAAGTAAAATCCGCATTATTTTTTCAAATGCAAATGAAATTTTTAATTTATTTAAGAAATACGTTTACGTTCAAAAACATCCAACCTCAATTATTAATCCAAAAAAAACACAGCACGGAATTGATAAAAATATCATACCTACTGTAAGTCCAAAAAATGAAATGGTTATAAGAAATACCGAGAGTTTTCGATAAATTATTGAATAGGAAATTGCAAAGAAATAATCATTGTCATCATTATAAAAACAAGGCACCTTTGCACCCGCATTCATTTCTACTGACATTGTGGAATTCTTAAATGTAGCAATCTTTGGGGAAGGAATATAATTGGTTTCGTTCTCAATTTTGGTTACATTGCAACTACTTCCAACAAATGTTTCATTATATTTGGATGAGGGAAAGTATTTCTCAGTCGTAAAGAGTGTTGAATTATGAGTTGTTACAAACATTTTCACAAATAATCCTTTTTCCCACTCATCACAACCTCTACGTTGTTTAGCACAGTATGAGGCAATATAAAGATTGCAATCTGACACTTGGCATTCATGTTCCGGCGCTGTATGGACCAGAATACTAAAGTAAAGGAAAGTGAAGGAGACAATTATAAATACTATTAAAGAAATTATTCCTATGATGATAACGTTGATGATATGTCCATGTAATCTCTTCTTATGTCGTAATAATAATTCTTTGTTCTTTTTCCAATTTTCTGTTTCGGCAACAACAGAATAACAACTCTTGTTAATTTGTGCAAAACTTGCATATGAATCTATTGAAAGAAATCCAAGTATCAATGTTAATTCATCAGAATTTAATTTATGAAAGGGAAGTGTCATTAACAATTTCTATTGGATGCACGTTTAAATTATGGAGGGTGTGCTTAATTGTATTGGTGTTTTTTTGACATGCAAATCCATCTCATTTGACTTTTTAAAATATTCTTTAATATAAATGGAATATTTTAAACGAGTAGTATGCCACACAGTAACGCACTCACAGTAGTGGCATATTTTTTTGGGATGTCTACAAGTCAGATATACAGGTGTTGAGAAAATAAGAATTCATGGATTGGATGAGAAATACTCAGTTATTGTTGAAATTACTGAGTTCCCTTTTACATATTGGAACGATAAATTTCTTTCGTCACAACTACGTCATCATTTGCTTCAACGGATACTTTCCAATCCCAAAATAGAACCAAAAGGTGTATTACTTGCAGAGAACAATATTTATTACGCGCTCCGAAGGCGGCAACTTCAAATAAAATCAAACAAAAAAAAAGAGTTCAAACCAAACAACGAAACTCTATTGTAAAATAGCTTAGAATATATTATTTAAAAAAATATTTGATCAAAAATGTCGTTAGTGAGTGGTGATTATAGACCATGGGATTATGATATCCTTGTTAAAGTATTGATTATTGGTGATTCTGGAGTCGGGAAGAGTTGCTTACTTGTTCGTTATAGTGATGATGATTTCTTTGAATCACATCTTACAACTATTGGAGTTGATTTTAAAATTAAAACACAAACATTACCAGATAATAGAGTAGCAAAGATACAGTTGTGGGATACTGCTGGTCAGGTAAGTTTTTATTTCTAATATTTTCTAATAATTTCAAATAGGAACGATTCAATTCTATTGTGTCTGGATATTATAGAAGTTCAAATGGTATTATGATTGTATTCGATTTGACTGATGAACAATCTTTTAGAAATGTCAGTAAATGGCTTGATCAAATTAAGAAACATGGTGATCCTTCGGGTCCAATGGTTCTTGTTGGAAATAAGGCTGATTTAACATCAAAGAGAGTTATTGATTCTCAATTAGGAAAGGAATTAGCCAAGAATTTAGGAATTGAATATATTGAAACGAGTGCAAAGAGTTCACAAGGTGTTGAACAAGCTTTTGACAAAATGTTACAAGCAGTTGTAAAGGCTCAAAACTATATTGAAAGTGGACCAAAGAAGGACGATAGATATTCGAATTCTTCATCTTCCCTGGTGGTGCAAGGACCAAAAACTCCTTCTGGTAGTACTTGTAATTGTTGAGTTTAAGTAATAAAACAATTCATTTTACAAAAGTTTTATCATGTCCAAAGTATGATTCATAGAATTTTGGACGATAATTGGGAGAACAAGTGTACACTAGTTTATCAGACGAGAAAAACAACCTTTCAAGTGAAAACGCAAAACTAATTGAGAAAGTTGAAAATCTTTCAAATGAAAATAATAATTTATTGGAAAGAATCAAATTATTGGAACAAGAACTGTCAAAATTAAAACAATAATGTATTTATTTGGTTTTACATCAACATTATTAGTGAATGGATTGAGCAAGTTTTTGATATTCTTAAAGAAGAGGAACATCTCCATTAGAAATTGTTACAAAATATATTCGAATATATTCGAAAGAGGAAGAAACTCAATTGTTGAACTTCATACTAATTATTCTCAAAATAGCCCCGATTTCTAGAAATCAATTGAACAACAAAAGCACTTGAAAATGTCAGGAGCTTTTAATAAATGGCAAAAAGATGAATTCAAACAATAAAATTACTGGAAATTCATCCTTTTTCAATTTTTCAGAGATCTGTTGTTGATATTTCGGGAAAGTGAACTTGATTACAAGTTCCAGAATTATACTAATTACTAATACTAATGCAAAACAATAATTTTAAAAAAAATGTGGCTGGAAGATCTAGTGTACGATATAATTTATGATGTAATGGAAGAGCGGAAGAAAGAAAATTCACTCCAAGGCAATGTTTATATTTGGGATATTGTAAAACAAGTTCAAGAGATTATTCTTGAAAAAGGTGAAGAAACTTATTGGATGGTGGGAAATCCAATTGTTGAAGAAGAAATTTATGAGGAAATTAAACGAGAATTGAAAGAATTAAAAAAACAAGCTCGAGAGGATGAGGAAGAAGTGGAAATTGAACGAGATTTTAAAATTATGAATAATATAGATGAATATGATGATGATTATGATGATGAAGAAGAATTTGAAGGAGATGAAGATTATGATGATGAGGAAATGAATGAGGATTTTGATGATGAAGAATATGAACCAGAAATGGAGGGAGAAGAAGTCAATTCACAAAAAAGAAATAGAGAAGAGTATGGAGATTGGGCAGATTTTGGTAAACCAGCAAAGAGTAAAAAGTTCAATATAATATATATAAAGGAATGACCACCAAAATGAAATATATCAAAATATATTGCAAAACCATCTTGCTTGACAAGATATGAATCACTTTGTTTCGCAGTTAGTGCAATCTCTTTAATTCAGAAAACTACTAATGTAGTTTGGCACTTTTCAAACCTCTATCATCCAAGAATTCCATAATTATCTTATTAAAAATTTTGGATTATTCAAAAATATAATATTTAGCCAAAATCATCCGATGAGACGGAATCGAACCGCCGACCACAGGATTACAGTGTTTCTTGCTACAGTCCCATGCTCTACCAGCTGAGCTATCATCGGTACATGTTTTTAAATAAAGGATGAAATATTTTATTGTAACTCTAAAATAAATTATTGGAGAACACAATGTCCTTCAAATGGATTGTAGATGATGATTGCTTAGCTTTGTTGTAAATAAGGCGATGATTGTATTAAGTGAGCCCGTCTAGCTCAGTCGGTAGAGCGCAAGGCTCTTAACCTTGTGGTCGTGGGTTCGACCCCCACGGTGGGCGATTTCTCTTTTATGTTAATAAGCATTTTTTAATTTTCTCTGACTTATCAAATTGTCTTAACTTTACCAAATATTCCAATAAATTCAATTTACTGAGCTTTATGTTCTTATAAGCATCTACTATTTTGATTATTTCAACAATAATTAAATATTAAATTAAATTATATTAATTAAAAAATATTTGAATTTAAAAAACATTAGTCTGACTCCCAGATTTCACTCTCTGTTAGCTCATGCTCAGTTCTGCAATCTGACCATCATACAGTGTGAAGGCTATGATTTGCTCAGTTATCCTGCCTCAACCGGTTCACCTTTCATTAGGACCCTAGTTTCTCCTTTTTCATGGGGAGGTACTATGGTCACACCGCTATTGGCGCAGACAGAACATCGTCACCATATTGCTAACAGAGGAATGAGTCTGAAGAACCATCCCTTTGCCTGACGCTGTGGCAGAGAACCATCACAGCTACCTCCCTACAGTAGCCCAGCTTGTCTTTATCATCAATTCTCGAGTGTGTAAAGGTAAAAATCTTGGAAAATATTAAATAAATGTGGTTTTCAAAAATATGATCAAAAAGATGGATCAGTGGCTTAATGAGGATAGTTACTATTATTGATCCTTGTTCTTGTCTTGGTGAGGTTCTTCTTCCTTCCAACCCTTTTCAAAGGTGTTGGTATCGACACGATCTCGTGTAAGTTCTAATTGTAATTCTTCATCATGATTCAAATTCTTTAAATTCCAACTGAAGGTGGTTCGTTGCTGGTGAGATAATTCACTACTGTGAATACCAGTCTTGGAGTAGTACTTGCTACTCAACTTTCCACTGTTCCATTTCTATATGAAATTTAAATTCCTCTTCCGAAATCGAAAAACTAACCTTGATAAACTTTTTAAAGTAATGTTGTATTTCCTCTGTATTTTCCAAATCATCTTCAATTCTCAACTTTTTATTATTTAAAAGCCACAATCTAAATTCCTGATTTTTCCTATAATAATCATTCATTGTTAATTTTTCAATTGGTGATGAAGTTGTTATTGTAGATGATGAAGAAACATCTTCTCTTTTCTGTATCTTCTTATTCAACTTTTCCAATTTCTTTTCCAATTTCCTCTTCTTTTTATCCTCTTCATGGTCGGAATTTTCTGATGATTTATCTTCCTCATCTTTATACTTTCTCTTCTCGGCTGTCTTTTCCTTCTTTCCCATTTTTTCTTCTTTACATTCTTGATGATTAATCCTTTTGAAAAACATCATCTAATCACCAATTGTCATTCAGTAGGCCTAAAATCCACTAATAGTAGGAGATACATACGAGAGAGCTACAACTTTTTCCAACCGTCCATGTGCCTGATGAATATCAATCATCATGTAATAATCACATACCTTCTTAATTGATTGGTCAGCAAAAGAATCAAAAGATGAAAAAAATGTTTTCCATCTCACGGGTCTCTGCCGTGAATGAAGAGAATGGTCTGAGCAATGTTTTACAATCATCAGTCAATAATAATACTACAAACAATAATACTAATGTACAATCTCAAGTAGTAGTTGGATCAGGAAGTGGGACAATGCCTGTAACCACTACATCATCACCATCAAATAATATACCAGCCGATCCACAAGAAATTAAAAAGAATAATCGATTGACAGTGATACAAAGTAATAATCAGAGTTTCTATAGCAATATGAGTAGTGCAACAACAACAGAAATTAATTCGGATAGCAAGTTGAATCAATTGTCGACTTTGTCAACAGAGGAAGGAAGTAGTGGAATTTCAAGGAGAACAACACCATCATCACAAACTTTTGGAGAGGGAGGAATTGAAGGATTGTCAAATTTAGGGAGAAGAGGAAGAAGAGGATCTTTAGAACATGAAGTTAAACATCCAGTGGCTCTTTCTAAAACTCTAGATCAAAAAGTACCACTGATGGAATTTATCGTTCAAAAGAGAGTTGAAAATTTGGAATATATCAGGAAATTCCATGAAGGCCAAGTGTTTTGGATGAATACTGTCAAGGTCTCTCCTTCAGAAATTGAAAAGGCCTATCAATCACAAACATTACAAAAGAGATTGGAACAATGGTTTACTTTAGGCATGTCAATGGCTCCACTTATACAAATTGATAATGGATATGAATTTGTTAGAGCATGTTCACAATTATTAGAAGAGTTTGAATACCACTTTTCTAATATGGCTGTTCAAGGAATGAAAATTCTCAAAGCATTTACCAATAATTTTGTCGATGATGACACTCCACCTGTAATTACCTCCCAAAAGACAATCAAACCGTCCATTCACAAATCTAATGGTTCAGTTGTTTACGAATTTTTGCAAACACCAAATATTGTAAGTTTTAACGAATTGCAATATTCTAATAACCACGGTTTAGCCCTGTACACTTGATTATTGTCAAATAATTTTCTCTCTTTGTGACCTTCTGATATTTGTATATAGAAAGTTTCTCGATGAAGCTAATATTGGGTCATCTCTACATGAATACATTGTGAAATTAGATGGAAAAATTAAGGTACGTATTTAGTCAACAAACCAATTTAATATTTCAAATTATTATAATATTTCAAATTATTAATAATTCGAATAATAATTTAGAATAATTTTATTGGATTGATTTCAAGAGATATTAGTGCTCTAGCTATACAGATTGTAAAAACCAAGTTATCAAATGTACAAAATATGTTTTCATTGACACCTCAAGTAAACAATCAACCTATTACTAAACGTAAAGGTGATGCTGATGATTCCCAAAAACAGAAGGATGTCGATGAATGGTTTGTAATATAATTGTGGCCACTCGTTAGTAAAATTAATGTTGTTTCACTCAAAACGTTTGTTTGAATGTAAAATTTAAAATGGAGAGAGTAACTTGGTCCAAATCTCTTGCGGAATCCAAATTTTCATCATTTAACAAGTAACTCAACTTGCTCTTTTCACTTGTTGGCACGTCCAAATCAATATCTTGGGTTATGGATCCACATTGTCCAGGCCAACGCCCAATTCCAAGCTCATAGTATCTTCTTTTCAGCTTTAATGATTAAAATTTAATGTTAGGAATTCAAAAATAAAATTTTTTGTACATACTGTACTCAAAGAAACACCAAGACAATTTGCAGCCGTAGATTGTGGTAAAGCCATCACTCGAATTAATTCAAAAACTGGAATCTTAATCTTAGACTTCTTCTTAGAATCTGGTGTATATTTGGATTTGTGGGTGGAGGAGGAAGTAATCTTTGCATGCTTTTTGTTAATACTACTCTTCTTTGTCTTGTTTGGTTTGGAAATGGAGGAAGTGGATGTGATAGAGTTCTTTCTTGATTGTCTGTGACTTTGGTCATGAGTGGAAGAGGATGAATTGGAAGAAGGAGAGAAAGAGCTGTCTGAATCATCGTGTTGGGAACTGGAGGAAGAGATTGGAGAATGGATGGTAGATTTAGATTCATGAACTGTCGATGTTGGTTGACACATTACTCTAATTGCAGCTGGAGAAGGAGGTGAAATATTCTTCAAATGAGTACTGTTACTCGTTGTAGAAGTTGTGGAAGTTGTCATTTCAAAGTGATGATGATCTTGTATTGTTGTTGATAGAGAGTTGTCTTTTTGATGATGATAGAATGTTTCAGTGGCTGGTCTATTCTTCAAATAATTTAACATTTTAAGGTAGTGATGGTTGTGTGTTACCTCGTTACGAGATTATATTTTGTTACTTGGTTGGGTATTAATTGCAATGGCTCATTCAAAAGTTTTTGCGTTCTGCTTGCAATCTAGTGAGAGAGAGGAATTTCTGGTTGAACTGCAGCTAGAAATGGTCTTGTTTTTTTTGTCTTATTGTTGCGAAACAGTGTGTGAGTTGGAGGTTATATTTAAGAGAGAGGGATCATCTCACCTCATCGTTCTGCTGCTCACATTAAAATTGATCGACGACAACAACAGTGGTGCAATAACTGCGCTAATGGCGATCATCAATGTTGCAACTTCTCCGAATCCCTCAATGCAAATCCTATTTGTTCAATTAATCGCGAGCATCAGCATAAAAGCACAAAATATCAAGCATTTGAATTTGACCGCCGCCTCTAATTGGCTCAAGGCAGTTGAATGGTCGTTCTTCCAAATAATGTGTCTTCATTTGAGCTTCAGTTGATACATTGTAGTTTCATTATTGTATTAGAAACGAGAGAATCGTAGATGAGATGATGATAAAAGACTCCTTCAGTTTGAATATTTGAATTAGTTTCAACTGCATTTCTGTTGGAAAGGAATTGCATTGCCGTATTTCCATTCTTATATTTTGTGAATGTGCTCATCAGGATGCAATAGATAACCAAGGAAAATCCAAACAAACGGGTTGATTAATTGAAATTAATACTCACTCATAGGATGGCTGGAATTTTTGGCGCAACTAAAGGGCTTTTGGAAACCCGAAAAAAAACGTCCTCGCAGTGCTCTCTAAATACGTTAGTTCATCCGCACAATTCAAAATACCATCTAATAATTTTAAAGCAGAACTACAACAATGTTCCAAGCAGGCAGCTTGAAACCTTAACCATGTATCGATCCTATTGAGGTAAGGGAACTTTGAGTTCATTGAATTACTATAAGGTGGTCATAAACACCACAAACCATGGTTTATTTACTTTCTAGTTGGTTTCCTAGTATTGTGTGAACTCGTTTTCTTCGAGGAAGGAGCCACACTAGTTGATTCTACCTTAGATTGGAATGAGCATAGAGTGGCAAACATCTCTCGGTAATCCTGTTCCTTCTTCAAGCCTAGCTCTACAACATTATTCTTCAAATCATTGACAGTCATATTCTTCTCAATGTATTCCTTAATCAACTCGATTGTGAACTTCTTCAATTCACTATCGGTAAGGTCATTGTCTGAGAGTTCTTCAGCAATTTGAGAAAGTTGTGCATTCGATTCAATGGTACATTCGTGCCATGTCTTATTTTTGAGCTGTTTGTGGAGCTCAGAAACACTCATTACAGTATTCACAGATTCCTTGATCTTTTTACATTCTTCAATAAACTTTTCTTCACTCTTTTGTTTTTGTGTTTGTTTCTTGAATTGAGATACAAGTGATGTCTTTTCATGTGAAGTCTTTTCTAATTTTTCCATTAGAACACATTGGTTTTGTTTCATGGTTTGATATTCACTTTCAACCTTCTTGTAATGTTTGTGAGCTTTCTTTTGTTGCTTCTTGGTTGCCATTAATTCACGTTTCAAAGCAGTGAGTTCAAGTTTCAGATCACAATTTTCATTCAATAGCTTTTCAATTTGCTTTTGTGTATCAATTGACAAGGTTTCCTTGACAGTAGTTTTCTTCATGACATTTGGATGTTCAACAGCTTGATTTTCCTTATTGGACATCTTTTCAGGTTGAGATGTAGGAGTATTTGTTGTAGTTATTGGGGGAGTAATTGCGCTAGTTTGAGTAGTTATTGGAGGTGTTGATGTTGTTGGGAAGTTTACATGTTTGTTGGCAACTGTAGATGGGATGGGTTTCTTCAAAATTGGTTTTGGAGACTTTTCTGTCTTTTTACCAATTGGTTGTTGATGCATAGAGTCAATCTATCAATTTCAAATGATATCATTCACCAAAGAAAATTCCGAAATATTGCACAGATAATATTAACATGACACACAACAGAAGAAGAGGATCCACAACCACGGTCGGATAAGGATCATATTACAATAATCATCATCACACAATATTCCATCATTATTAATTTAAATATACATACCTCCCTCATCAAATCATCCATAGAATCATCTCTTAAAATTGAATAATCATCACTGTCCACACTACTCGTTGGTGATGGTGGACAATTTTCTGTATCGGTCTTGTCTAGGATGGATTGTTCAAGGAGTTGATCTTCAGGCTCCAAGCCAGAAGAATCAACTTGTGTATTATTGTTTTGAGCAATGTCAAACCCGGCAAAGTCCTCAACAGATCTTGTACTCATATTTTTTTATGTGATTTTTTGTTTGGTGAATTTAAAACTGATGAAATTGGCGCCAACTTTAAAACGTAACGACTTTTTAAAAACCTTCACATCTATCATCAAAAGATTTTTAATTCAACACAAAGAAAATGATTACTTTAGGAATGCAATCGGGTACTTGATAATAATCAAACAATCAAGGTTCACCTTCCTATTAATTTATTAATCGTCATACAATGAACTTGTTATGAAATTTGTCAAGATGAAAAAAATACAACAAACAAAGAGGAAGAGAGAAGATATTGTTCTCGATTTATCCAATGTTTCTCCCAATGGTAAATGGTGGACCGCTCCGAACATTGTTCATCTCGTATTAAAATATTTACCAGTTAAAGATATGATCCAGGGCAAGACATTGTGTAAGAATTGGTTCAAGGTGATGAATCATCAATTTGTGAGAGAGTATGTGGCTAGTTTCTTGGAGTTGGATGAAGACAACTTGCAAGATCTTGAAGTCATGATGAATACCTTCAAAACAGAGAAGAAAATGGTTTCCTCTTATGAGGCTATCATTGAACAATTGAAAGAATTAGATAATAGTAATGATTATTCTGAGAGTGTAAGATCACTATTGAGTAAATATGAAAAATCTCACAGTTTAGACCTTTTGAAAGAAATCTCAAAATTGACAAAGAAAGAAATCAGAAATCAGAACTCGTTGTCGTTGGAACCACCAAAAATTGTTATTGCTGAAAATGAGTACAATTGTCAAAACTATGGCAGCATTCGGTCTATTCTATTGTCACAAGATTTGAATTCTATTGAGCAATATGGTCTCAATGTCACAACTATTGAAAAGAGTTACTTTATTGTGTTAAGTAATGGTTATCCTATGAAGCTTAATTTTGATTATAAATGTGGAAGATATGATGGTCATTACAAAGTTGAAGTTAATGGAACTAAAGCTATCAGGTTGAAATGGTTTGAGGGTGGATTTGAGGAGAATCATAACTGGGAATTTATCAAATTACTGAAAAAGGGGTTGGATTTCAAGTCAGATACACCAATTGAAGAGGATACGGTATTTCTAACAATACTTTTTGCTTGGTTAATACAGCTTTTCCCAGAGGCAACAAATTATGAAATACCAGACTCATGTTTTGGAGAATCAATTCTTGTCTATTCAGATTTGGGTGAGGATAATAGGCTGTTTGCTGATGATAATTCAGAAAATGAGGAAGGCAGTAACAAGTACGATTCAGATGAGTAAAATATTGGCGCGCTTTTGAAACTTTGCAACCATCCAAAATAAGAAAGTCACAACATACTTTGAAACCCACACAAATATGTTTAGAATAACAAAAAATGAAACAGCTTACTCTGCTATTTATTTGCTTGCTACTTTCTGGTTGTTGTTTCTGCTTTGTGGATCCTTTCAAAATCAACTCTTCATATTATGTAGTTCAATCCTTGTCTGAGTCATCATTCGGAATGACTGCCTATCTGAAACTGTCCAATAACAGTGGTGGACCATACGGAAACGATATAGAAGAGTTAAAAGTCTCTATTCAATACAAATCTTCAAAAGTGTTAAATATCAAGATAACTGACAAGGAAGAAAAAAGATGGCAAGCTTCTCCCTTCGTTCTATCGAAAGAACAATCAAAAGTTTCCTCTATGAGTACAAGTTTAGATTATAGTGTGGAAATGTCACAGGTTGGAGAAGAATTCTACTTTACAATTCTAAGAAAATCCTCAAGTATTCCAATATTCACAACGAAAAGGACTTGGTTTGTATTCAGTGACCAATATATTACATTAGGAACTCAATTATTCTCTTTACCAAATGGAGAACCTCCTTATTTGAGCGGTTTTGGTGAAAGAGTTGATAACATCTTTCTCAATATTACAAATAATGAATTTATAATGTGGAATAATGAGTAAGTTTTTAACCTTTTGGAAAATGTTTCTAAATTTTCAAAGTCATGACAATCAACCACATATGAATCTCTATGGAAGTCATCCATTCTTCCTCTATTCTGGACCAAGCTCTCCATCATTTGGTGTTTTCCTTCTCAATAGTAATGCTATGAGTGTGAGAACTGAATTTAACAATCAAAACAAGTATTTACAATATCAAGTGATTGGTGGCGTTTTGGATTTTTACTTCTTCCTTGGACCTTCTTCGCAAGATGTCATTAAACAATATCATTCAATTATTGGAAAACCATACTTGCCTCCAAAGTTTGCACTTGGATTTCATCAATGTAGATGGGGATACAATAGTTTGGATGAAATTAAGAAAGTAGTTGCTGGATATGAGGCCAATAATTTACCATTGGATGCAATTTGGACAGATATTGATTATATGGACAAGTATAGAGATTTCACATTTGATCCTGATCGTTTTCCAATTCAAGACATGATACAATTTGTTTCTGATTTGCATAAGAAAGGTAAAAAGTATATTCTCATTATCGATCCTGGTATTCCAGTTGTAAATTTGAATCAGGAAAAGTATGAACCTTTAGAATTGGGACTTTCTCTCGATATTTTCATCAAGAATGGCAATAATAATTCCTATGTGAATAGAGATGTCTGGCCTGGCCAATGCTACTTCCCAGATATGACCAACCCCAAATTCAAGGACTATTTCTGGAAGCCACTCATTCACAAATTCCTCTCCACCTTAAATATTGATGGATTGTGGACAGATATGAATGAACCAGCTGTATTGAAAACCTACACACCCAATCAAAATAAGTGGAACTATCCTCCATTCGTACCAAGATCGCCAGCTGTTCACGATCCTAATGAACCTATTTTCCATCGAACTATTGACATGGATTCGAGAATGCACGCCTCAATCCATTACAATGTCCACAATTTATACAGTCATTTGGAGTCAATTGCAACATCAGAAGCTCTACAAGATTTCTATGGAAAGAGATCTTTCGTATTAACTAGAAGTAGCTTTGCTGGAAGTGGATCTCATGTTTCTCATTGGACAGGCGATAATGAGTCAACATACGAAAGCATGAAGAGTTCAATTCCATCAATTGTTATGAATGGAATGTTTGGTTTTTCACATGTTGGATCTGATATTGGTGGATTCTATTTGAACACAACTAAGGAACTTCTTATTAGATGGATGCAATTAGGATCCATGTATCCATTCTCACGTAACCATAATGCACGTGGAACTATTCCTCAAGAGCCATATGCCTTTGATAAGGAAACTACAGACATTTCAAGAAAATTCCTTCAATTAAGATATCAACTTATTCCATATTTGTATACACAAATTGCACTAGTTAGTAGAGATGGAGGTTCAGTTGCAAAACCACTTTCTTTCGTATTTCCAGATGACAGACAGTGTTATCAAATAGAAACTCAACTCATGTTAGGAGATTCCTTAATCATTGCTCCAGCATTAAATCCATCACAGTCAATGGTCAATGCCTACCTTCCTTACAATGCTATTTGGTATGATTACTTGACAGGTAAAAGAATTACCAAAACGGGAGGTCTATATTTCTCATTACCTTCTCCTCTTGATTCAATGCCAATTATCATGAAAGGTGGAAGTATCATTCCTTTACAAACTCCATCGCTTAATACTTTACAACAAGAATTTAATCCATATCAATTGAGAATTGCACTCAATCAAGAACAGCAGGCAAGGGGAGAGTTGTGGCTTGATGATGGTGAAAGTTTGGGAACAATTGAGAAGAAACTTTATACATTACTCAAATATGACATGAAAAATAATGGAAAAGTTTACAAGTTGACTTGTGAAAGGTTAATTGGAGGATATGATGAAAGAAATTTGAGTTTGAATGGAATTACCATCTACGGCATTGAACAACAACAAATTTCGTTCATTTCAATTAATAATCAACCAGTAGATTCGTATAACTTTGATCCTTCGAATGGTTTATTAGAAATTAACAATATTCACTCTGAAATTTCTTCAATTTCTGTAGTTTTACAATTTGCCTAAAAGGATTCCAAATAAAGAGCCCATTGTCAGAACTGCTCATCAATTATCATTGATCTACACCTGTCAATTTCAGTCTTTAAAAAAATTATTATGCATGTTTGGCTTTTTTTGATCCTCTTACTCTCGCTGAGTTTGCTGGTTCGTTTTTCAACGTCGGCCACATCATCAACCACATCACAGTATTCCTCTTCTTCCTTCGTTTCATTTCTTAACAATCGAATATATAATCAAACTAATTATTATCCGAAACGATTTATTCAATTCTCTGAACATGAAACTACTCATGATCATATTAAAAGACAACAATCACAGTTGTCATCATTAGAATCGCCACCATCATCATCTATAAACAAAATTGATTTTAATGACTATAGTTTCCTACTAACTAATAATCAAAACTATACTTCCGATTATCCATATATTTCTCCATTCAATTCCACCTATTCTTTACCACCTTGCTGTACTACCCTAAACGGAAATGAAAATGCCCTATTCGAAACTAAAAAGCTATTAAACATGGCTAAAAACACAAAACGAATTGAAATGGAAAAATGCAGAAATGCAGCACTTGATAGTATATTCGGATTGGATTGTGTTGTCATTGAATTGGAATATATATTGGAGAATTCGACGAGTTCTGAACTGAGGAGGAATTCAGTGAATGGTTCAATGGAAAGTATTCGAAATGAAACTGTTTATTCATCACTTGATGAAATATATCAAGTATTTAAAAGAGATGTGACGATAATTGCTGAGAGAGAAAATCAAAAATCAGCATTTTCGTATAAAAAGATTCCTGAGGGAATTATTTCACTGAGAGTACGTGTCTTGTCAGATATGGTGAACGAGGAAAATTGTACTCTTCAAATGGATATTGGACAAATATTCAATTCATCATCGATTAGAAGACCTATTGCAGATTATAAGGTATTCTTTGAATTGTACAGTGAAAATCAAAGACATGAATTATATTGCAGAGTTAATGTTGATAGTTCTCTGTTTTTTTCAACATTTAGAGGATTGACTTTACGTTTGGTAACACATAATTTGAGTTATTATGCAGAAAGGGTGACATTTCTTAGTGGAGCACTAAATGGAGGATTATTTGCTGTTTATTCACAGGTGGAATTGAGGCAGAATATACTCTTTTCACAAACACGTGTTACTTTATTTGAAGAATTGAATTATTTTGGACAAAATTGGATTCTTCAAAGAGATAATTCAAATAATATTAATGCAATTTTTGTAGATAGTAATATGACAGTGTATTTCGAAGACGTTCTTAAAGGAAGAAATATGTGGTTTCTGAATACAACTTTAGAGATTGATAGTGAGTTTTTGATTGAGGAAGTGAATGAAATTTTGATTCACAAATGTACTATCAAATCGAAAGGAAATACTTCGGATAGAGATTTTGCAAACTTGCAAATATCATTTGCGAATATTGTTGAAATTCATAGTACAGTATTCGAAACAGTAAATGGAAAGACCATTTTAGGAATTGGTGAAAGTATTGATGTCAACCTCATTGATACACATTTCACTGATCATAGAAATGAAGCTGGCTCTCTAATTTACATGAAGAATCTAAGAAATTTGGTGATTTCCAAATCTCATTTTTTGAGGAATTGGGTTGGTTCAAGTGTTCTCTTCCTCAGTAACATAATTGCGGGTTTTATTAGTGATTGTAGATTTGAAGAAAATGAATCTGTTATATCAAATGGTATAATCTTCGTTCAATCTGCTGGATCTTTCAAAAGGGTGCTGATTAGCTCATCTATTTTTATTAGAAACAGAGCGTATGATCGTGGAGGATGCATTCATGCCTCTGATACTTCAGTTCACGTTCACTTTAGTGAATTTCGTGAAAATTATGCTCCTTCAGGAAGTGCTATCTATGCACAAGAAACAGAGCTCTCAATTGAAAGCTGCAATTTTATTGATAATTATTCAGAGATGAGTGGTGGAGCTATTTTTATTAATGGCAATTTCAGTAGTGTTAATTCAAACTTTTACAATAACTCTGTGAATTTGAAATCAAATTATCCATGCACGTCATATTGCAGTGGAAGTGGAGGAGCCATTTCGTATGCATCTACAGAATTAGATACAATTCAGCTCTTTCTTGTTGATTCCAAATTCGAGAATAATAGTGCTATTAGAGGTGGAGCTCTCTCTATCAAGTACCTATCCAATACTCCAAAAATTACTTGGGAATCCGTCAAGATTTATAATAATTATGCCAAATCTGGAGGTGGAATATTTTTCTTTGAATTGATTGACAACAAAATTCTATCATCCACATTCGAAAGAAATAGAGCTGACTTTTATGGAAATGACATGGCTTCTTCCACTAGGTCAATTGAGTGGAATATTATGGGAAAATCACCAAATTCTCAAATAAGTGTGTTCCCAGGGCAGACTTTTTCCCTCAAGACATTTACTAAGGATTATTTCGGAGCTAATATTGGAGATTTGTGGGAGTATTATATTTTGACTGTGAATGATACACGATTTAATTTAAAAAAACCCACTCAAACTAATCGAAATGACACCATTGAGGGTTTGTTCATTTACAGTACAAAGATTCAAACTGAGCCAACATATATTCGGTTGTGGATTGATTTTTCACAATCCTTTAGTTATTTGGATATTCTAGTTAAGGGGTGTCCTGAGAATTATGAATTGATTTCTGCTAATTATGGATCAGAAAATTCCTATATTTGTCAAGCTGTGCCAAGTGTAACTGTTATTATTATAACAGTTGTTGTTTCTTCATTTGTTGCATTTTCAGTCTTTGTTATTGTTTCTACAATTTTGGGATATGCCATTTTCAGATTAACAAAAAAGCTCTTATATTGGAAAGAAAGAATTAAGGTGGAGAAGGATGTAGAAAAGAGACTATTCGAAAGTGGAATAAGGTGTACGAAAGAGGAAATCAAAGCATCAGGCGAGTATAGTCTTGCAAGAAAAAATGTTTTCATTATTGGTCTTGATCAGGTTCACATTGAAAAGAAAATTGGAGAAGGTAAGTGTATCATTCAACGCATGTTTCTAATAACCTATTATTAGGAGGAGCTGGTTTCGTTTACAAAGGAAAGTGGAATCACAACACAGTTGCCATCAAATGTCTAAGAGTGGAGGGATCAGAAAGCGAATTTCTCAGTGATGAAATTGAGAGAGAGGCAACCCATTTGTCTAAACTCAGACATCCGAATGTACTCATGTTCTACGGTATTTCTGTAACTCCACAAAAACACTATTTGATTATTGAATATTTGGAAAAGGGAAGTTTGGAAAATTTAATAATTGAAAGTAGGAAACATTCATTATTGAATTTGGAAATGAAATTGTCAATCCTAATTGACATTGCATGTGGAATGGAATATTTACACTCTTCACATATTATTCATCGTGATCTCAAGAGTGGCAATGTTCTCCTTGACGCCAACAATGTTGCAAAGGTTTGTGACTTTGGATTGAGTAAGATCATGTCCAATTCATGTCAACATTCAACTATTGCTAATGTGGGCACGATTTATTTCATGGCCGTGGAATTATTTTCTGAAAAACTGAGCTCCTCCACTGTCATTACACCAGCCATTGACGTTTATAGTTTTGGAATTATTATGCATGAGCTCTTTTTCGAGGAACGTCCCTACAATCTCTCAAAGAATAGCAAATTATTAATGTGGAAGAATGAGCAAGAGACAATCACATCTCCATTCGCAATGCTACCAAGAATTATCAAAGGAGAAAGACCCTTCATTCCATTTGAGGATGATTATAGTATGGATGAGTATTTGCAAATGGCTGTACCTGAATATCGTCGAATGAATAATTCTAGTTTGGTGTCCTTGATCAAGATGGAAAAGTACAGACAAGTTGTAACAGATTATATTGAACTAATGACCAAGTGTTGGAGTGGAGAGCCAACAGCTCGTCCCAATTTCACAACTGTCAATGAAACTCTCCAATCTATGAAACGTAAATTGAAAGAAATTGGAAAACATGACGAGCAAGTAAGTGGTTACAAAAAGTTGGTGGACGTAGAACTGGAAATGAAGTAATATATTACTATTTACTTTTTCTTCTCTAAAATTTCATCAGTATCAAAAACAAAAGACAATAAAGGAGATCCAACATTTGTCTGATTAGTGCTCTGAGCAACAATTGTAGAAACACTAAGGTTTGGAATTGCTGGAGCTGTCAAGCTACGATTGCTTCTATTTACAGGTTTCTTGTCTGGTGTTTTTGGATTACTGGTTGGTTGTTTCCTCTTTTTAATCCAATCTATTAGAGAATTCAAAAATGGTTTTACCAACCAAGTTCTTAGGCCTTGTTTATCCTTGTGTCTTGGATAACAGGTTTCATACAAATGATCAATAGAGAACCATTTGATTTTCAAAATTTCCTTTCTTGTTCTTGTTGCGAATTGTGTTGATTCAGGTATTCCACCTACAATAAAAAGCTTAGTGTATGGATTTGAGTGTTTGTACTTGTCCTTATAATCAGGAACAGAACTCTCATAATTTTGATCAATTTCGATAAAGTCTTGTTCATTCACTCTATCTCCCAATTCGTATCCACATTCTTCGTAGACTTCACGTGCTGCACACGTAGTTTCCTTTTCATTTTGGTTAATTTTTCCTTTTGGGAAGGACCATGACTTAGTATTATAACCTTGAACAAGTAGAACCTTATCAAGATTTTCATTCAATATGATACAACCATAAACTGGTACAGAAGTCTTGTAATCAAGAAATCTTTGAACTAGAGAATCAACATCTGCTTGAGATGAATCATTTTGAGTCAACTCCTCCAATATTGGACATCTAGCATACATCTTTTCACAGAACATGGAGAATTTGTACTTGGGTAAAGATTTGTGTTTAACTCTATGGAAATCGTAATAAAACCAAAAAGCTTCTTCCAATTGGAAGAATAACGTCTCAAATACACGAGAGTCAATACCCTCCATTTGTTCCTCCTCTAATGTTGGACAGTTCAGAATAAATCTTATACATAAATCATCCAACACTTCATCAAGTAGCTCATTTTCTTCCTCATTATCATCAAACTTGAGTGAAATTTTGGATGGTGCACTGCTACTATAATTATCTTCAACAAGTTGCTTCTTTTTACGTTGAGGAGGTGGTGTCATTATTTTCACAAATTTTGATGGTGATAAATTATTATTATTACTGCTGCCATTGATCAAGGTTGATTTTGAAACTTCAAATGTGTCATTAAGAGAGTTCGGAATGGATTTACTCTGCACCACTTGATTTGACACATTCAACAATTGTTTGTTTGACTTGTTAGAAGAAGTATTAACAGTAAGTGCTTGTTTAGGAGTGAATTGTGGAGTATTTTGGAATGACTTTGCTCGTAACCTAGTGTTATTATTATTATCATCAATGATTGGTGAATTATTATTAAATTGTTGTTGTTGTTGTTGTGATTGATCAATTTCTCGGGAAAGAGTCTGATCGTTAATTTTCTTAAAAGATCCTACTGATGATGCTGATTGATTATTCCTATTCTTTCGTGAGTTATTGTTTTTAAGAAATGATGATGATGATGAAGAATTGATAGTAATCGGTTGAGAATGTTGTTGTTGACTTGAAGAGTTTGATGAGTGGTTATTGTTGATTGGAGTGGAGAGACTCTGACTCTTCTTGTGATAACTATTGTTGGTGTTCGATTGTTTATTGATGTCATTTCCATTGCTATTATTGCCATTATTAAAACCGTTATTATTATTGTTGTTGTATGGTATTTTCTGTCTTGCTGATGGAATTAAAATTTGATGATCGGTGGAGGAGGACATTTTTTTGGATCCGAAAAGACAAATAAAGAAAAGACTTGATTAGACTTTACAATTTGATTTTGATTGAGAAAGTAAGCCATAAATAATATGTTTGCATGGGTTGTTTCCTCTAGTTTATCAATTCCAATAAACTGGGTTTTTGGCTTTAGTTTTGTTGTAGCACAAACTGGAATCTCATGTCAATTCAATCAATTATTTCAATTTGAAAAAAAATGGGATCACAACAAACGAGAGAACTTGGCCGTTTTTCTGAGAATAGCAAATTTACCAACGACATTTGCATGTTAATATTCTCTTTCATCAATTCTCCGAACGAATTGAATAATATGCAAATCTATTCGAAAGTGTGTCGTCAATGGCGAATCATTATAGAGAGCTATTTAGGTTTACACGTAACGATTTCTAAAGTATTTTCTGCAAGGAACTTGAGAACAAAAGTATATGCATTGCCTGATTGCTATTTCCAGTCAATTACTATCAAACATTCGTTGTTGAAAAGTGGTGACATTTGTGGACTTGAGAATTTGAAGAATATTAAAAAATTGAAGGAATTAAATGTTAATAACAATGAATTGAGGGGTGAAAGCATGACTTTTATAGGTTCTTCAATGAAATTGCAAGTATTGAGAGTGAGAAGAAATGAAATAGAAGATAGTGGAATAATGTCACTTGTCAAATCAAAGAATATGAAACAAATGCAAGTTTTGGATATTAGTTGGAATCCAATTACAAAGGATGGTTTATTTTCTGTCTTTAAAAGTCAATACATGAAGAATCTTACAGAAATTAGTGTAGGTCCATGTGAGATAGGTCCAGAAGGAGCTAAAACTATTTCTAATACTTTTACATTGAGAAAATTGGAAATGGTTTTGTGTGGAATTGGAAATGAAGGACTGATCTCGATTCTAAACTCTCCAAATATGGTAAATTTGAAAGTATTGAATGTCAAAGGAAATAACATTTCAGAAGAGGGAATTAATGCTCTCATTACAACTGAACTCAAATTGACTAAATTGAACGTCTCATCCAATCCTATTGGAAACTCTGTAAATACACTATTGGGAAGTGAAATATTGAAATATCTCACATCACTCAAAGTTGGCTCGTGTGGAATTGATGAAAATGGTGCCAAAATCCTTTCTAAAAATTCATTCATCAAGCATCTGACCTCTCTCAGTATGGAAGGCAACTCCATCGGATCTGTAGGTGCATCTGCATTGGGTTCCTCGCCATATTTACAACATTTGCAAAGTTTGAATTTGAATTCCAATAATCCACCAATTGGAGATTCAGGCCTAAGAGGTTTAGGATTTGCAAATTATGATTTTTCAGTTTTTGCATTAAGCTTGAAAGTTCTCAAGATTTGTTCGAATAACATTGGAGATTTCGGACTAAACACATTCACAGAGATTGCATTTGGTGATCTGGAAAGATTGGAGGTGTATGGAAATGTGATTACTGATGCTGGACACAACCTATTGAAGAATTGTATCTATTTACGTAATACAGAGGTGAGAACTGCGGAAGTATCGAAAAAAGTGCAAGCGCCACCGATGCATCACTAACAGTTTTTAGAAATGTCTATTAGTAAGGATAATATGTAAGGATGTAAATGCATTCTGCTTGGTTTAGAGAAATAGTTAAAGAAGAGTTTCAATTATTACACAATTCCAAAATCTGGCTATCAATTCTCAATTGAACTGATGCATATTTCAATGCATTCTTATTTTGTTTAACTGCAAATGAAACTATTTCTCTATCATTTCTATGTTTCGAACACATTTGACCCAAAAGATTTCCATTTCTTTTCACGACTCTAATAGCAAATAATCTATCTGTCACTTTTAAATAACTAGAAGCATTGCGGAATGCTGTGTCAACATTGGTTTTTAAAGCTTCCATCAAAATCTCTCTATCTCTTTGATAATAACTTGGAAAATATTGTAAACACTCCCCACTTTTCTTGGCAAATTGCATGCAACTTTGTTTGTCTTTCAATCCTCCTAATACTTTCCGAAAATTACTAAAAATAGGGATATTCAGTTGACATGTTTCAGCAGCTTTAAGAATTATATCCTCATCATCTAAAAGTTCTTTAGAGACCTTTTTAATTGCATGCCCGTTTTGGGAAACTGCAGCTAAAACTATTTCTCTATCTTTTCTAAATTGGTCATTCACAAAAGAAAGTATCATTCCACATCTTGTTGCAGCTTGTAATATAAATTCTCTGTCATTTTTCAATTCATTTGGAATAAAATCAAAATTGATTGGATCAAGTTTAAGTGATTCCAATAATATTTCTCTGTCATATCTAAATTCATCTGGAAGATATCTCAATAAATAGCCTCTCTTTCCCAATGATTGAAGAAATTCAGTGTCATTTCTCAATCTTTCAGAAATATACTGAATGCTTAAACCACATGATTTGAGTGCCAATTCTGCAATTTCCCTGTCATCTCTTAATTGTGCTGATAAAAACCTCAAACATAAACCATTTTTCATAACAGCTGATTTCACAATTTCTCTATCTTTTTGCAATTCCTTGGATGCAAAGATAAACCCGGATGGATCTTGTTGAATGGATTTAATTACAATCTCTCTGTCGTTTCTCAATTCCTCAGAAGCATAGTACAGTGCTACATTACCATCTAACTTTGCTAATGTGCGAATAAATTCTCTATCGTTGCTAAATAACTGATCAACTTGACTAAGGCAGGTAAGAGATTTTGAAAATGCTTTAAAAATCACGTCTCTATCCTTCTTCAATCCAAGAGATATGCATGCATAAGATTTTGGGTGTGATTCTAAAGCAAGCAAGACAATTTCCTTATTATTCTTCAATTCTTTTGACGCAAACTGAAGTGCAATACCATCTTGTTGTACAGCAATTCTAACAATTTCAATATCATTTCTCAATTCTTTAGATGCAAATTCAAGAGCTCTTCCACAACTAGTAACAGCTGCCATGACAATTTCCTTATCATTCTTCAATTCTTCTGACTCGACATACACAAGGTTAAATCCATTTACTTTGACAGATGCCATGACAATTTCTCTGTCATTCCCAAACTCTTCATCTACATATTCTAATGTTCCAAGATCAACATATTCAGTCGTTTGCAAAACAAATGATCTATTCTTCCACAATCCAAATTTTCTGGCCAAAATGTCAAAATTTTGAGAACACAAATTGAATATTTGATTGTGAATGAAAGTTTGATCTCTTATCCAATCAATTTTCAATTTAATTCTTTGACTTTCATCACTTTCGTCATTCTCTTCATCATCATATTCACTTTGGAAATCCCAAACATGAGCACTTTCATCATAACTTGTTCCGAAAGAATATTCGAATATTGGTTTCATAATTGTTTCAAATTTTTCCTTGTGTGGAATGTCTGCAATTTTGGTGGAAAGTAATTTTGATGAAAATGTTAAATCTAAAAAACAATAATGTTCATCATTATTTTCCAATAAATTGGGTTTTTGGCTTGTGAGTTTTTTTGATGGAGGAGTATGATTAGTTTCGACAGCTTTTCGTTTCATTTTTCTGTGTTTGATGTTACAAAAAAAGGAGCGAGCCTGTGTACCATCTCCTATTCAGTTTACTACACAACGGATTGTGAATTGCAATGATAATCTAAATGGACATGTTGCATCTAATGGAGAAAGGAATGGAATAATGAAATCCATTCTTATAATCAAAATATTACAGGTACCAGAAATTTATGCTTAACTCACCTCAATTTCGTAAAGATCTTAAAACTCCTGGCGTGTGCTTTCGGTACGACCGAGGTCTTGGATTCGATTCCCAACAAGGAAGGCATCTTTTTGGTTTGGGTCCAAGTAAAAGAATTTATTCTTCAATTATTGAATAATAATTCCCAATACAATCTATCTCAGGTATCATTCATTCCGGAATAACACCTTTTATGTTTTAAAAAATGTCTGCATTGAGTCCACTCATTATCCCTGTCATCAGCAATATCGCAAATATTTCCCAATATCTTCAAGAAGATAATGATTCAAAGAATTTACAGCTCAAGTTTGTTAATTATAGCAATCCGATCGAAGTTTTGAATTCTGGATTTGAAATTATTGTTGCTGATGGTTATTTGCTCACTCCGGAATTTTGGCAAGCTTTTCATCACCAACTTGAAAAGGGAGAATCATCATTGAAGTGGATTAATTGCACATTTGCGGGTGTGAATGCAATTTTTGAAAATATTAGAAAAACCACTGATTCCTCTAAATTAATTCAACTTTTAATTGAAAATAATATTAGATTGACTAAAATTGGAGTTTTTGGATCACACATGTTTGAATATTTAATTCAACACATGATGAATGAGTTACGTCATTATGAGAAAGTTTTGGATCATCAATCTCAAAGTTTGTGGGTTGGAAAAACTGCTTTCAATTACAAGACATTGGATAGAGTAAAGATTGGTCTATTGGGATATGGTAATATTGGAAAGTATATTTGTGAGACTTTCAAGAAAATATATCCAACCATTAAGATTCACATTTATAGAAATTCTCAAGTTGTTGAAGAATCCCAATATCAACCAGACAAGTTCTTCTATGGTAGTGAGCAATTGGGCGATTTTATTTCATCATGTGATTATGATTTCCTTATCAGTATTTTACCATCTACTCCTGAAACTAGATACATGCTCAATACTGATGTTTTAGAAAAGTTACAAACTCGTTCACAATGCTGCTTTATTAATGTTGGAAGAGGAGATTTAATTAGTGAATCAATGGTAGTTGAGGCTCTTGATAAGAATCTCATTAGAAAGGCCATTTTAGATGTTTTTGAAGTTGAGCCTTTACCAACCACCAGCCCATTCTGGACCAGAAAGGATGTTCTCGTTACTCCACATATTTCTGCACTTTCTATTCCACATACACTTGTGGATGCCTTCTTCAATAATTTCCACAAAGTTTCAAATAATGATGGATCATTTGCTTTTGAAAAATTGGAATATCAATGTAATTGGAATAAGGGATATTAAACATTTAAACTTTCATGAAGGATGTCATTTTCAGAACATTGACCACATTTTTCTTACACTCATTGGTTCTCTCCTTATCCATTTCTCCATCAGAATTGAAAATTCCATATAGTTTATATTGTCTATCAAGTTTCTTTCCATTTCTCAGCTTGATACTTCCAAACATTCTGCATCTTGGGTATTTAACACTATTTGTATCAATGATATCTTCCATGCTCCATGTTGAAGGTTTTCCTGTATATGATGTGCAATTACATTGTTTCAAATGATCAATCAGTCCTTCAAGATATAATCGATACTTTTCATTTGATTCTACCATAATTTGAGGAAAGTACAACCTGTAACCAGACTTGTATTTGCAATCTGGTGTTTGGGAATCACCAGCATAAGTACCATGGCAAAATGTTATGCAACATTCATAATCTGAATTTGGAAAATATTGTTTAGTAAACTCCAAAATTTCCTTCAACCATTGAGATTTAGTCAAGTTGACTGTTTCATTCTCCTTCAATTTGAAATCCAAATCCAAGTAGAGTTTAAAATTATGAAAAGACCTAATTTCCTCAATGAAAATATCCTGCTTCTTCTCAATAGAATTCTTCCAAGCATTGAAATATTCCTCCATAATTGTTTCATTTTCCAACTTGACATGATAATGACCACCTCTCTGTGATATATGTGTTGGATTTTGGAAAAGCAATTGTTTATCTCCAACCACTGAGTGATCATAAATCCACTGCTCCAAATAATCGGATGGTTCATAGGCAAATTCTTGAACTTTTTTGTAAAATTTGATATTGTCAGATGGAGAGGGAGTGAACTTGGATGTGTTTCTTGTTGCTGATGATGGCGGCTTGTTGGTGGAAGATGAAGTTTGTCGTGCTTTCATTTTTTTCTTTGTGTTGTTATTTTAAAGTTGAAGTCGTGAACTTCCAATTTCAACTTTATTCATTTTCAAAGTTGAAAAGTTGCCGACTAAGGATTTGTTTTCATGAAGATGCTAGACAATAATAAAGGATTAAATTGTTAAATTGTTGGCGCCAATTTTGCAAAAAGAACTCAAAAATTTGAGAAGTAAATTAAAAAGGAAAAATATTTTGATGATTTACTTGTTGAAATTACGAAAGAATTTATTGATGGTAGATGGGTTACCCCGTTTTTTCTGGCAATTGATATTGAGCATGATGTTACCAACTTTAAAAACAAATCAATATATTTTAGGGAACTATTCTTTGGAAATGAAGAACATTTCTTCTTAAAAACCTATATTACTTAAGGAGTTTGTTGTTTGGATTGGGTATACATTTATATAAAGTTCGTATACCCCATTCAGAAAAAGAAAAGGCCAACATTGTTAAAATTCCAAGTAAAATTGTCAAACAAGAGAAGAATTCAGTTCAACAGATGCTTTAAATTGTGTACATCATATTGGCTTTTCATCTTGTTTTGAATCATGCTAATCAAATTAATGCTGTTTGACAGATCAAATTGACAAGTCAAATATCAAAAAAATGGTTAACTTTCAAGCTGTCCAACAAACCGTCGCGTATGTAAAATCATCATCAAATCTAACCAAATATATTTAATTTGATCATCATAAAGTGATGGCAATCTAGGAAAATTCTTAAGTCTTGTCGATCAACTTCCAGATATCAATGCATCGGATGAGCATGGAAATACTCTTCTCCATTGGGCAGTCGCTTATAAACGCCTCCAAGTTGCTCAAGAATTAATTGAAAAGAAGAAGATCGATACAACCAAGCAAAATATTCAGAAAAAGACAGCCTTTGACCTTTGTGTTGATGCTTGCGTTTCGGATATTTCATTCTTTGAGATGAAGACTTATTTGAAGAAGATTTTGGGTAAATAAATCTTCAATCCATGTGTCTGTGCACAGAAAATTGTATGAAAATTAATATTATATTATTTGTTTGTAGGGGTTTTCCCTCCAAAATCGATTGTTGTTTTTATTTGGTTTGTTTTCCGTAAATTTGAAAAGTTATTTTCCATTGGCAAGTAGAAAAAAATGAAGAGAAAGATAACCTCCATATCTACTTCTTCATCGCAACAAATGGAGGATGTTGTTGCAGCTACAGAATCATCACTGGAAAGTTTGAATAAGAAGATGAAACAATATTTGCAATCGGATAACAAGGTATTGGCAATTTCGGAAGTTATGGATGAAGTAAAGGAGAGTGAAGAATTAATTATGATCGGAAAGGAGCAACAAGAAAATATGCCAAGTGATGACTCTCAAATTTCTATTGGATCCATTGGATCAATTTTGTTGGAGGATGAAAATTATATTTCTGTAAAAGAGGATCAACCATACTCATCAACGGATTTCAATGATGAGAATGAAGAGGAAGTTGACCACATAAATACTATTCCTGTGGTAAATGTCAAAATTAAAGAAATTAACAATGCTATGGATTTCTATGGACTACCACATTCGTGTGCTGAATTATTCAAAGAAGTCAAAGGTGTTCACAAGCTGTATGAATGGCAAGAGCAGTTATTGAGTATGCCAGAACTCAGGATGGGTAAAAACGTACTGTACTCCCTTCCAACATCAGGTGGTAAAACCCTCATTGCAGAAATTCTCATGATTAGAACTTGTCAACTAATGAAAAAGAAATCCCTGTTCGTTTTGCCATATGTTTCAATATGTGAGGAAAAAACTACTACTATGGAGTTGATAAGCGACCAAATGAATTTCTTTGTTGAGGGATATTTTGCGTCTAAAGGTAAAATTCCAGTAGATCCTGGAAACCAACTCATTATTTGTACAATAGAAAAGGCAAACCTTATTTTGGATAATTTAATTCGAGAGGAAAGAATACATGAACTAGGATGTGTTGTTGTGGATGAACTTCACATGATTGGAGAAGGAGGAAGAGGACAACTTTTGGAACAATTAATATCAAAAATTTTATATATTCAAAGAGAAAAGAAAACTGTAGAAATTATTATAGACGACGAGTTAGAAAACACTACACAAACTAAGATAGAAAACATATCAATTCAATTAGTTGGCATGTCAGCCACTATTCCTAATCTCGAGCAAATAGCTCAATGGATGGATGCTGTATTATTTAAATCTGATTTTAGACCTGTTCCTCTGAAGGAATTTTATTGTATTGGCGAGAATGTGTTTGATAAGGAGGGAAACACTGTTAGGACTCTCACCTCAATTCCTTCTGAAATGGGAAAGGGTAAGAATGATCCTGATTTTATTACTTCTTTATGTTGTGAGGTCATTCCTGCCAAAAGTGCTCTGATATTCTGCCCAAGCAAACAATCGTGTGAAGATTGCGTAAAACATTTAACTTGTACATTACCACTTTCCAATGATTATGTCCATGAGAAGAAAGATTTAGTTGCTAACCTAAAGCTTATTGGTACGAATGATACCAATTTATTTAATGGAATTATGTACGGAGTTGTCTATCATCATAGCTCTTTGACATCTGAGGAACGACAACTCATCGAGAATGCCTACAGAAACCATATTATTTGTGTAATTTGCTGTACAAGTACACTTGCAGCAGGTATTAACCTTCCAGCTGCAAGAGTGATCTTTAACACTCCGTATATTGGTTTCAAACAATTTTTAACAAAATCTAAATATATGCAAATGAGTGGCAGGTCAGGAAGAGCAGGTATTGACAGTTTTGGTGAGAGTTATCTTGGTAAGTTAATTTTTGAATCGGTCATCTAAGCATAATACCATAGTACTTCAGAAACAATATAAAACTCAAGTGGATGGCGGAAAGGATTTAATTGCCAAAAGACTTGAGAATGTAAATAGTTGTATTAATTTATCAGACACAGATTCTCTCAGTAGAATTTGCATGGAAATTATTTCTAGCAATCTAATTTCTTCAATGAATCAAATTGAGAAATTTGTGGAATGTACATATTTTTCTTACCAAAATCCTTCTATGAAATCTAATTTGGTAGAAAAGTTAAACGAGGTCTCGCAACAATTGATAACAAACAATCTGTTGCAAGTATCACCAGAAAGTTTTAAATTTGAAATGACCTCACTAGGTATGGGAACGAGTAGAAGTGCTCTCACATTGAAAGAATCACTTGATCTTACAGTAATATTACAACAAATTCAAGATGATGGAATAATAATTAGTGACGATTTACATATTCTGTACGTAATTGGTGTACCAATTGATGGAAATGGACTAATCGAGCCAAATTATGTCAAGTTGCTGAACTATTTGGAACAATGTGCAACACCACTAGAAAAAAAAATAATAGCTAGAATTGGCATTCCAGAAAATGCAATTCTTACAAAAGCAATGAACAAGTATTCAAAAATTAGTGATGCAGAACAATATACAATTAAGAGACTATACAATGCATTCATTATCAGAGATTTAATTAATGAGAGAACAAACTTTATTGACCATTGTGAAATTAAGGGAAGAGGAATGATACAACAATTAATGAGTCAAGCTTGTACCTTCTGTAGTATGGTCCAACAATTTTGTGAAACATTGGAATTTTGGCAAATTGCTAAAATTGCAAAGAAATATATTAGAAGAATCCAATACGGTGTCAAGTCAGACATAGTCGATTTGGTTCAATTGGAAGGTGTCAAGAGAGCAGAAATTGCCAGAATTTTGAAAGAAAGCAGCTTGAGTTTAGAAATACTTTCCAAGCTTATTTCAGAATGTGAGGATGAAGAAATTCCACCCTCATTCCTAGAATTCGAAAATCCTCTTTCCCTTACTATTCACCAAAAATTACTTTCTCAAATACTTTCTCTTTCACATTGGAAAGAGGAACAACGAACATTTATTCAAACATATTTCACAATTGAAAGGGTTGAAGCAATGGTTTACTCTGCCAAAAGAGAACTATCTAAAAAGGCCTTCTACCTTAGACAAAAGGCCGATACATTGGACTATTGAGAGTATTTCCATTTGAAGTTTATTTTGAACGCGCGACTTGTGTAATAGTTGAGTATTGTGGACATCATCATATTAAATAGTTGAAATTGGCTGGAAGTAGGCTTACTTTCTGTGAACCAATAAATTAATAAAACAATCTTCTTCGGTGAAGTAAATTATCAACAAATAGAAATTCATGATGAAATTAATAGAGAGGAATTTTCCATTGAAGCTGAAGTGGGGTTGATGTTTTTTTTTGATCATCGATTTCGATTTTTGGCTGTTTCAATAACAACAGGAGGGTTATTAATCTGACTCATTTCCCTCCAAAATCAGTTAACAAAAAAATTTAAAAAAAAGCATCAAATAATGGTTGTAAATGATGAATTTAAACTGATGCAATATTAAAAGATAATATTTCTCTCTCGCACTAGAAAAAGGAATTAAAAGGAAAAGCATTAAATATTGCTTACAAATAGTGGAAAATCATCAAAACATGTGACGAATCTATTGCGGAAGATAACAACTCCACATTTTACCCGAAGGCAAAAACAAACAAACATGCCATGTTGAACTATTGCACAACCACAAGGTCTTCCCGTAGTGGCAATCGTATTGTGTTAGTCAACTAGAGAATGTCAGACCATAAGTTGAAAAAAATGTTTGTTGGTAGCCCATGTCAATACCTCCTTATTGGGGTAATTGTTTTGCATGCATGCTTGTTTGCTTGTTGCTATCAACCACAGTATGACATGTCTGTTGTGGCAGGTGGTGGATCTTCAATAGGTGATGGATTATTAGCAACACAAGCATTGTTATCAGTACCAAGTGGTGGAATTGTTTCAAATTCTGATATTATATTCTGTGATACTAATAATCATAGAATACGTAAGATAGATGTGAATGGTATCATGTCAACTATTGCTGGTACTGGTGTTGCAAATTATTCTGGTAAGTTTATAGACTTCACATTGTTCAACAACTTTGGTCAACTCACATGCATGTGCAATTCAAATAGGAGATGGAGGAGCCGCAGTTAATGCACAACTAAACTCACCTCAAGGAATTGGAATACTATCAACTGGTGCCATTGTATTTTCAGATACATTAAACCACTGTATTAGAAAGATTGAAAATGGAATTATTTCAACATTAGCAGGTAATGGATCACCAGGATTGACAGGTAAGTTTTATATGCATACACATGATCTTCTAAAAACCTTGTAGTAGTTGGATCAGCAATCAGTGCTCAATTAAACACACCAACTGCTCTAATTGTTGCAAGTAATGACATTTATTTTGCTGAAAGTGGAAACCATCTCATTAGAAGAATTAGTTCTTCTGGCATGTTAACAATCTACATTGGAGAGTCAAGTGGAACATCTGGTAGTTCTGATACAGGTACAGCTGGAGCATCATTCAAAATGAATACACCAATGGGAATTGTTTTCCATGCAGGAAATTTATACTTTTCAGATTCCAAGAATTATAGAATTTGTGTAACCTCTGGTGCATTGATTTCTGTTTTCAAAGCATCATTGACAAGTGAACCACTTGGATTAGCTAGTTATAATGGTAATCTGTATATTGCCATGAAGGGAAACAAGGTTTTACAAGCAAAGAATTCGAATACAATCATTGATTTTGCTGGAAGTGGAACGAGTGGATATTCAGGAGATGGAGGATTGGGTACATCTGCTTTATTGAATGGTCCATCTGCTTTGGCTTTTGATTCGAGTGGAAATTTGCTCATTTCAGATTCTTTCAATAATAGAATTAGAAAAGTTGCAAATGGAACTATTTCAACTTTGGCTGGAAATAGCAATAGAAATTTTGGAAATGGTGTTTTGGGAACATTGGCTTCATTTTCCTCTCCAAATAGTGTTTATTATACAGGAAATGATGATTCAGCAGGTGGCATTTTGATTTCTGACACAAATAATCATGTTTTAAGAAGATTGAAAGATGGATACATTTATAATGTGATTGGAAATGTTGCAATTCCTGGAAACAACAATGGAAATGGAGTGAATGTCAATGATGCAACAGTGAATTCACCTCCATTTGTCATGAAGAGATTTGGTGATTTAATTTACTTTTTAGATAATAATGGATGTGCATTGAGAAGAATTGAATCGAATAATGTTTTAACACTTGTGGTAGGAAGTTGCAATACTGCCAATCAAGATTATTTCCTTTCCAAATCATTTGACATTTCCAATGATGGAATTATTTATATTGCTGATTATTACAATAATAGAATTGCCAAGTTTGAGATTAATAATTCCACTTTGACAACCCTTGTTGGACGTTCCTTAAAAGGATTCTTAGATGGAATTGGGTCGAATGCCTTACTCAACTATCCTGAAAGTCTTATTATTGGACCTGATAATATGATTTACTTTTCAGATCGTGATAATAATGCAATTAGATCTGTGTCCACAAGTTCTGCTTTGGTTACAACTCTGGCCGGTGACAGATTTAATGGATTTCTTGGAGATGGTGGTCCAGCTAAATCATCAAGACTTGATTCACCAGGACCTATTCAGTTGACATTAGGTGGTGAGATAATTTTCATGGACAGAGGAAATCAAAGAATTAGAAAGATTACAAAATATGGAAATATTTTTACTATTTATGGAAATGGATCAACAAGTGTTTTTAAAGATGCTAATGGTTTAACACTTGGTGGAAGTGGTGAAATTTACATTGCAGATAGTGGAAACAATCTCATCAAAATGTTATCTGCTGCCAAATGTTCAAATGGAACTTTTTACAATTCTTCATCATTTGAATGTCAATGTACAGCTGGTTTCTATGGAGAGAATTGCTTGGAATATGATTGCTCAGGAATCAATTGGAGAAACTCGTCCGTTTGTTCAGGAAGAGGTTCATGTATTGCGAAAGAAAAGTGTTCTTGCTCTGCCAATTTCACAGGAAGTAATTGTGAAGAATACTATTGTTATGGAGTTAATTCAGTGAATAGCAGTGTTTGTTCATCCAATGGTCAATGCACAGCTCCAGATAATTGTACCTGTTCATTTGGAACATTTGGGTTGAATTGTGAAAATGCTTATTGTCAAGGAATTGTCTCTTGGAATGAAACTGTTTGTAATTCGAGAGGAAAATGCATTGGCTACAACAAGTGTACATGCAATAATGGATTTTATGGCAATAATTGTGAATTTTACAATTGTTTCGGAGTTAAAAACACTGACAGCTCAATATGTTCAGGAAATGGTATTTGTTCCAAAATTGATAATTGCACTTGTTTTGATGGATATTTTGGAAATAACTGCTCTGATTTCAATTGTGTTGGAGAGCAGTATATTGGAAAGAACTTGTGTTTGAATAATGGCTCATGCACTGGTCCAGGTGATTGTAAATGTTTGCCTGAATGGGGTGGCAACATTTGTCAACATGTCAAATGTTTTAACAAGACAGCTGTCGATTCAAATGTTTGTTCATCACATGGTCAATGTTTGTCTTTTAATAATTGTTCATGTGATCCAAGATGGATTGGCAGTGATTGTGGCGTGACCACTTGTTTTGGTCAATTATCAAATGATTCGAATAGAGTTTGTTCATCATATGGTCAATGTTTAAATCCAGATCAATGCTCTTGTAATAATGGATACAGAGGTGATGAATGTGAATATAGAGTGTGTTATGATTTAATTCACACAGATCCAAATGTTTGCTCCTCACATGGTCAATGTGAATCACCAAATAATTGTAAATGTGAAAATGGTTTTGTTGGGGAGAATTGTCAATATCACCAAGTTTATTTAGACATTTCAAATGCATTGATTTATTCATATTTTGATTCACTTTTAAATATTTCAACAACAATTGATGGAGGTGATCAAGTATTGTTGAGTAGTGAATGTCAAGATTTATTCGAAAGTTCAGAATTGATCAAATTGGGAGAAGCTGATTTGATATCCTGTTATTGGACACCAAATTATTTCAAAATCAAATTGGGATATAATCACATGATTGAACATTTATCCACATTGAAACTGAATTCAAATTTCAATATTTCACTTCAAGTCAATTCAAATTCTTCTTTAATTTTACTCAATCAGCGAACATTTTCCTCTTCAATGGATACTTTACTTTTATACATTCCATCCAATCAAGATTTTATCATCAAATCCAGCAGTGATGATTATTATCATACATTTAAGAAAGTTTCAAAAAGTTGGACATGTGAAAACTGTCCTCAGCCACTTGTCAATTATTTAACAAATTATGAAAATAAGAGTATGATTTTAATACCAACTTCATTGCTGAATAGCATTCCATTAGATTCTTCATATTCTAAAATTCTTTCACTTAAATATTCATCCATGAATTCAATTCAAAAATCATTGACATCAAGCGACAAGACAAGAATTGAATCTAATAAGAATTTACCTCCCTCTTTCACATGGCATGGGGATAATGTAAAGGATACACAATTTAAATGTGTTGGACATAATTGTATTATTGAAAGTTCATTGAATTCAATGAATAGTTCACTTTCATTTACATTCTCTGGATTTTTCAGTTTATTGAATTCACTCTTTTCACAAAAACAAATGTTTAGATTGGTAAATGTTTATAATAATGAATTGGTGGACAGTGAATATTCATCCAATGCACAAATAGTTGGATTTCAATTGAAAACCTATGTTTCCACTTCACTTTCTTATTATTTCTCATATTCAACATTTGATAGATTGGATCATGTTTTGACAAATGTGAATAGAACTCTATCTCTTGATGATTCTAAATTTACAATTTCAATATTCAATCAAGATCCTTTCATTTCAAGTTTCACATTACCTGAATATTTCACATTCAATTACCAATTTTATCAAATTAATTCAATTGACAATAATTTAAGTAGTAGTGAAAAAACATTGAATATAGATGTTGAAAAATTGAATTTATCAGAAGGAATGTATTTAGTGAACTTGACACTAACAGTTTCCAAGTCATATGTCACAATTCCATATTATTATTTTGGATTTATTCATTTTTATGCTCAATCAAATGTTCCAAAATTAACAATTGATCAATTACCTGCTATTTATCCTTCCAAAAAGGATTTACATTTGAAAGTATTGATTCAATCATCAAGTGCAATTCAAAATTATAAATGGAAATTAAAAGAAGGTTTAGTGAAAGAAAGGAAAATAATTGGACAATTTTTGGAAAGTTCACAATTTACTCAACTCACGTCTAATACATACAAGAGTGAAATTATAATTAATAGTCAATATTTATTGGAAGGTGAATTTATTTCATTTGATTTTTCAGTTTCAAATATGAATGGAATGTCAAATGTTTCATTATCAACTAGAATTGATGAATCTCCAAGATTTTCATGTGAATATTTCAATTTAAAGAATGAATTTACAAATTATGCATTTGATTCACTTCTTTCCATTTCATGTTTCAATTTACCTGAAGAACCAATTTCAAGTTTTAATTTTGAATTTCATTCCATTTATGGAAAGAGATTAAATATCATTTCCAATACATTGAAAAAGAATATCATTACAAGAATACCAATGTACTCATTTGAAGAAGGTAAAATCAATCTTGTTGTAAAATTAGTGAATAGATATGGCTCAGTTTCACAAATCTCAAAAACTATTTCAGTTTTACCTCCATTAACTATTTACAATTCACAAAATTCAATTCTATCAAGATTTAATTATTTTAAACAATCTTTTTATAATTTGAAGTTGAATGAGCCATTGAGAATTGATACTGCTCATTCAATTTATTCCTTAATGAGTATTCTCATTCAGAACGAAACCATTTCGAATATAAAAGGACAATTAGTGAATGAATTAACAATGGATCAATTATCAACATTTAATTCATTGTTGAAAGATATGATTAATCAATTGAAAAGTATTCAATCGTTGACATATAAGGTTGATGAAAAGATAATTCAATTGACACTTCCAATAATTTCACAAATTTATTCGATTCTGGATAATTTATCATTGGATGAAAGTTGGATTTCAGATATTTCAAGTTGGCTTGATTGGATTTATTCTGGAATGTCAAATGCCAAACAATATTATTCAGAAATATTATTAGAAACTGTACTTTCCACTGAACATTATTCAGAATTGAAAATTATTCAAAATATACTTTCAAAAAGATATTCTAATAGATTGGATAAACAAGAATTAATTTCAAAATATAGAGCTCAATATTTAATGTTGACTAAACTGAACGAATCATCAGATGATTCATCTTTTGAAATTTATCAAATAGATATTGCTTCTCAATTAAATGGCAAGTCAATTACAACAAACATCAATCAAGATATTCAAATTCAAGCCATACTTCCATCAGATTTAACAAGTCAAGTGTCAAATATTGAAGATAATTCACAATTATTTTACTCTTCATCATTAATTTCAAATGACAAGACATTGAATAATATTTTAACAAATAGACCTATTTTGGAATTATCAATTTTTTCAAAAGATGGTTCATTGACAAGTGTGAATAATTTACAGAATCCAATTCAATTGAAATTCAAAAATTTATTTACAGATTACAAAATCTATACTAATTTATCATGTGTTTATTTTGATGCTTCATCAAATGGATGGTCAACCAATGGAATTACAGCCAAATCAACGATAATCAAACAAGAAAATGGAAAATTGTATTTTGAAATGGAATGTAACACAACTCACTTGTCTTTATTCTCAGTTCAAGAATATAATTTCATTTCAATTCCAGTTGTTATCAACTCAAGTCAACCTAGAAATGAAATAGATACAAATTTAGGATTAATTCTTGGATTGGCACTTGGCATTTCTATTCCAGTTGTGTTAATGATAGTGTTTGTTATCATTATCATTGTGTTATCTGTATTTGTGTGGAAATTAAAAACTAAGAGAACACGATATGATATTGAAATGACAGGAACTGATTTTCCTGATTCGAGTATGTTCCTGACACCACTTGTTAGCGTTTCAGGAAGTTCAAATGAAAGTTTCAATCCACTTTCAAGATATTTAGATCTAGTTAGAATTGGTCAAGGAGCATTTGGCTCAGTTTTCAAAGCAATGGATTCAAAAACAAATACAATGAAAGCAATCAAAGTGATGAGATATCAAACCAATGAAGAATTGAATGGATTTATGAAAGAAGGAACTCAATTAATGAATGTCAGTCATCCAAATATTTTGAAAGTGAATGATTTCTTTATTAGTCAAGATAATTTATTGTGTATTGATATGGATTTTTATGAAAAGGGTGATTTGGTTCAATTGACCAATGAATCTTTCATTTGCTCAGAGAAGATGTTGCTTCAAATTATTTATCAAATGTTAAATGCATTGAATTATATTCACAACTCAATGAAACTCATTCACAGAGATATCAAACCATCAAATATTTTCATCAAATCAATCGATAATGATAATATTCAAATTGTAATTGCTGATTTTGGATTGGCAAGGGCAGATCAAGGTTCTGCTCACAAATCATATGCTGGAACTCCTTTATTTATGGTATGTTATTTATCAATACTTTGGCATGTCAATTCTAACATATATTACTGTTAACTTGGAGGAATTATAGTCACCTGAACTTGGATATGGCGGAAAGTATTATTTCAATACAGATATTTACAGTTTAGGAGTCACTCTTTATCAAATCATGACCAAAGATACTCAAACTTCAATTAGTCAACTATTAATCACAAAAGATAAACTTGAAGTGAATACAATTCTCAAACAAAAATTTGATGAGCGAAGAATTTACTCATCTGAAGTTATTGATTTGGTCATTTCAATGTTAGAAAAGGATTTGACAATCAGACCACAAGCAACAACTCTCCTTAGCAATCATCTTTTCAAATCATTCCAATAACAACAGTTATCATATTTCAGTCACTATTGAAAAACTTAATTGTCATTACTTTTCTTCAACTCATTATTAACATCTTCAAGGCATTTTGTTGCCGAATGATATTTACAATTAATCATGTCTTTCAAAACAGAACATAAACCTTCAATTTCTGTAAATGCAAAATGAGATTGCAAAATATCAACTTGCACAATGTGTGATGACATTTTGTCGCATACAAGTCTTGAATGTCTCATCATCAGTTTAATTAAAACAACTGCCAGAGCATAAAGATCATGAGTAGGAGTAAATCTATAGTTGATATCTGTGGGGGTGTAGTCTGGTTTAAAATGTAAACAAGTTTTTGCATATTCAGAATTCATAATACTAGAATTATTCATGTCAATAATAACTGGTTCATTGTAATTTCTAAACATAATATTATTTACACTAATATCACAGTGAACGACATTATTGGAATGTAAACATTCAAGACCTTTCAAGCACCCAATGAAAACGTTTTGCAAGAAACACTCAAAGTTATTGCTATTGTAGGCATAGGTATGGTCAAAACAATCCAAAGGTTCCATTGCTGTAATTGTTATATTAGAACAATTCCATCCGGATACATCACTGATTCGGTTGCTAGTGTGTACATACTTATAAATACGACAAATATTTGGGTGTGAAATTGTTGTAACCAAGTTCATTGTATCAATTTTCTCTGACATTGTTTTTGAAAGTTTTACAAACACTTTCAATCCTGAATTTTTCATTAAGCCTGTTCCTATAATTTTCCTTTCATCAATTACTATATTATCAAAGTCAGATATGCCAGAACTATCTAATTGAATAACACCAGTGTTGTTAAATTCAGAATCCGTATTGTTTTCACTGCAGTTATTGTCGTTACTGTTAGTATTATTGTCATCATTGTTATTGCTATTACTATTCAAATATTTCAATACCAAACAATATTTTGAAATCTTTTCAGTAATATAGTATAACTTGGAGTTAATTTTAAAAAGAATTAATACATCTGTCATATCTGAATGGGGATAATACAAAAGAGGGGTGTTGGACACAATGTATATCAGCCCTTGTTTGTTCCTTTTTACATGTGATATTATGTCCATATTATTAACTATAGTTGGTTGTCTTGTTGATAGTACAAAAGAGAGTTTGTTTTGCAACCATTCTTTAACTGATTCAAACGTTGCAAAGTCTTGAATAACCAGAAATTGGAATGGATGTAACTCTTCCTTATAATCAGCAGTTAATATGTTTGTAATATCAATTCCGTCGTCATTAATATCGAAAGACTTGGAAACTTTCAGCTCACAATGCGGGTTATTTAAATTCAAGTTGAACCAATATTTACAATTTTTGAATAAAGTAATCATAATCTCTGCAAGATCCTTTGGATTTGTAAAATCATACCACTCTGAAACATATAAATGGTATGCGGCTCTGCAGCTATTCTCTTTTGGTATAGAATTAGGGATGCATATAAGTCGAAGAAAGCAAAGTTTTGTGCCACCAGTCAAGGATCCATACATGTTAAGAACTGTATCAACTCCAAATTTATTGCGAAGCAATAACTCTTGGGACAATTCTGTTAGTGAGCTACGTAACAGTACTACAATTTTAATAAAGTCTGGATGATCGAACACCTTTGAATACTCATTTGGATTATATTCGGCATAAAAGCATCTCCATTCATAATTTGGAAGAAAACTGTTTTGTAAGAATAATACTTTGTCTGGTTTAAAGTATGTTTGAGTGAAGTATCTTGTCACTCTAGTGTGGTTCGATAGTACTGTGTCTTTAATTTTACTAATAACAATGTTAAAGATGTTAAAAAATATCTTACCTGAATGAAGAAAGAACGTCATCAATGAAGTATGATTTTGTGAATGTCAAAAAGTTTTGGGAATTGATATTTAACTCGTTAGCTGAGAACATTTCCACAAGGACTTGTTTCAAGCAATCAATTGAATCATCTTGCTCAAGGTGAAGAGAATTCATATCTTTCAAGCAAATAAGAGATGCAAGAAAGAACTTTTCCAAGTTTTTGTATCCAGCCCCCAATACCATATTATTTACAACCACCATATTCTTATTGGCAGACTGAATATTTTGAGTAGTAATTCCAAGAGCTGTCAATACTATATATGAAAGAGAATAGTCAGAGAAAATCTTAACAGCCTCGCCCCAGTTCTCTTTTTTATCCTCTGGAACAACTAGGTCCTCTTTGTTATAGGCATTCACCTTATGAACTGATAAGATTTTTGGTGCTTTGAATGTTGGCAATATTGGAAGGGCTGAACGTGTATCCCTGTTGTAAAGAGAAGGCCAGAGAAATGTAGCATTGTTGTCTGTGATAAGGGCCCACACTGGCTCATTGTTTTCAAAGTTACTTTCTTCCTCAAATCCGGGAATAATGATTTTGTGCCTTTTTCTTCTTTTTCTTGTGTGTTTGCTTGGAATCAAAGTCTTTGGATCAAACGAATCATCCATCACAGCTTCGGGAGTAACAGATGAATAACCTGTGTGGTAGTACACCACAGGGTCATCACTAGTTTCCATCATTACGACCAATTTTGTTGTTTCGTCCATGACACTCACTATGGAAATTCCTAAAAACTCAAGCTTTTCCTTCAGAGCATCAATGCTAGGATAAAACTGAAGTGTGTACCAACAAATGTAAGCCTTACTTGGTGGATTTGGAGCAAACATGGTAGAAGCTTAAGGTGTTTTTATTTTATTTTTAAAAATCTTTGAGCGGGAAACCCTTATCTAAGAATGTTTGTTGTTGAAGAGCCTAGTAAATTTTCCAAGAAGGTTAATCTTGTTTTGATTTTGTGTAGGAGAGCATCTGCATTCTTTGGCTTTTCTTTTTCAATTTGAGCTTGTAATCCTCTATAGTTTTCTGTCACGTTGATTATTAAATCCTTAGTTACAATTGAGTTTTCCAATGCAAAGTCCTTGGCATTAATGAGTAAAAGTTTCATGTCCAATGATTCAGGATGTTCTGATTCCAATTCTTGTAGATAAGGAATGGCATCTGAAGCAGATTTTGTGACAGTTCGTCCAGCAAGGTAAAATGATGTGCTATTAACAATGTATGGATCAAATTCACACAAATGTCTTATGGAGAATAGAATATTGAAGGTTTCGGCAGTGGCTGCATGATTTCTCAAGTAAAAATTAGCTCTCATTCTTAAGAAAATACTTTGAGTAATAAGGTTACTCGTAATTCTAGGAGGACAATTTGTGAAAATTTCCTGAAGAGAATTCAACTGCTCAATAATTGCTGCGGCTGATTCTTGAACCTTAGGAAGAGTGTCTCTGGATTTAGAGTAGTAATCAATGTGCAAACTATGAATTGAAGCAAGTCGTAATGCAATAGGCATGAATGAATAAGAGCTGGTTTTCCTCACGGAATATCTCTTCAACATCTTTTCCAATAGATTGCACAAGTTAATGCATTGAGTTAAACTATCTTCAAGTTTTGTTTTCACTTGATTTTTCGTAACATCCTTAGTTAATAAGAACTTAACTCTCTTTTCTAGTGTAATAATATTAAAATATGTAATGTATGGATTGTTAGGATCAGTTTTTTGTAATTCAAAAAGTTGAGATTTGGTAATCTCGATTGTTTTTTCGTTTTTTCCATCAGAGTTCAAAATTATTTGACATAAATTCATACAAGATTTCAAATTAAGAGGAATTCCTGTTCCAATATCATCAAAGACATTGTTATTCAGATGAGCTTTTTGGAATAAGGCCTGAGCATTATTAAGCATTTTGAGAAGTACGGTTTTTTCAGTATTATTATCGGTGGTCATAAGTGGTTCATTGAGCATAATAGTGTAGCAATACCCAGAGAAAAGTTCCTTGCTCAGTGTTATATTAGGATGAACATTTTCATTAACAACATTTGTGAAAAATAATAGAAATGCCTTTTGAATTTCCAAATCAATAATTGATGATTTGGCGATCAAATCAGAATAATCACTGGTCAATATGGAATGAACTGCTTTTTTCAAATCCATTTGTTGAATTTCAGTACTTTTTTCCGGCATTCCAAATCGTTCTGGATTAATCTTTTGAATAATTTCATTTAACAATTTGCTAACTTCAATTTCTTTCAATTTCTCAATCCATTCGCTCCATTCCTTAGTTTTAAAAGCCCATCCCTGAAGTAAAGACTGAACAAACACAAGAGAAAAATTCAACATTTCATCACACAGTACATTATTTCCAGGAGCCATAATTCTATTCAACAAGAAAACTCCAGCTTTTTCCTGCTCATTACTAGCCAATAATTCCCTCACATATTCCAAATCCTTTCCCAACTCACGTCTCGACTTTTCCAATTGATTTTTATCCACAGCTTCCTGTTGCAATTTCCTACTCTTTTTCAATTGTTCTTCAATTTGCAATTTCATTTGTTGAATATTAAGCAAATTTTCCTCATGACTAATTTCCTTCCTAACAAAAACTCCACTCGTACGAAGATTAGATTTGGATTTGATAGAAGTACTAGTAGTAGTGGCATTGCTTGTATTAGATGTAATTGATGAAGTATTAGTAGTAATATTAGGCTTGCTTAAATTATTATTTGGAGAAGAGTTTCTATGGGATTTGAATGTTTTTAAATCATCAGCGAATTTTAATTTCAATTCCGATGAGTGATAATGTCTCATTCCATCACCATCACCAACATTAAATATTAAACTAGTATTATTACATTTAATATTATTATTACTACTATGCTGATGAATATTATTGCTATAATTTAATATATAATTCCGAAAATATGTTGCTGATTTCCTTGGTAAACGATGTGAAAGACTTCTCGAGGAGGAAATGGAGAGTTTCATCTCTAGATTTTTTTTTTTAATTTCAACAAATTTAAATTTCTTTAATATTTAAAATTATTTTAATATTTAATATTAATGGTTGTTGTATAGAACAGAGAATGTTGGACAAGGTCATGGATAAATGCAATTCTTAAATCACCAAATTTAATACTGAATTACCATATTTATACAGTGATTGTCTTTGCATGGATTTGATTTGTCAGTCTCACCTAATAACCAAAGGCAATTACAAGACATTAAAGTTGTTACAATTAAAAACATCATAAAAAAAGTATCTACAAGGCATCACAAGCCATACAATCATTTCGAATACTTTTCTAAAAGAATAATTTACTTTCGGATGGGAAATACACATCATCAGGGACTTGAAGAGGGTCATCATCACCGAAAATCACAACGTTCCTCTGATAATTCACCACTTTCCACTCATCAAAATCCTTTCCATCATCGACACAGCACCAAAAGCAATCATTCGAATTATGAACAACAATTAGATACTGCCATAACACAATTAACCAATAATAATGGAACTCTGGATGAAAATAATCATCATCATTACCAACCTAATCATCAATTGGATGGTGAAATTCTTGTTGGTCTTCCAAATATAACTGCCTTTTCAGGAAAAGATGCACTAGTGGTGGAAAATTCACTTGAAAAATTCAAAATCCTATTGTGTGGAAGTGGATCAAGTGGAAAAACCACATTTCTCAAAAGTATTGAATTGTACAAGAAGGGAGCATTTATGGAATCAGCTTACAAGAAGGGAATTATCTATTTTAATATTATTAGAGATTTGGGATTGATGTGTAAACAGTATTTGAGTGTGGCTACAGAGTTTTTGAATTTCATTTCAGGTTTGAATGAGGAAAATTATGGAAAATCATTGAGTGATTTGAATGAAATGTTTCCTAGAGAATTGCCACGTGAAATTACAGATTCGATGGATAGATTGATTAAGGTTGCGAGCTCAAAGAATTTTCTACATAGTTCAGCAAGTAGATCATCTTCAAAACAGTATAATCCTACATTTGATACTTATTTTAATGAGCAAACATTTGAGGATATTGAATCATTGTGGAAATATAGACCTTTCAACTTATTTGCTCATTTTCACTTGACACATTCAAGTATTCCAGAATTTTTGACACCTGTTTTAACTAAAATGGACACAATTCCAAACATTACGTTTGGAGAGAATGAATCCACTAATTATTCCAAGTTTATGCTCTCATTGAGGAATAGTGATTTTGATGATTTAATTTACTTTTTAGATCGTAGACTCAATGAATTATATCCTCCTTATCAGTATGACCCCAATTGGGTTGATCTCTTACATAGAAGACAAAAAACAGTTGGATTTTATCATTTAAACTATGTGGAAGATGCCATTTCAGAGGAGGGCATGAGAGAAACGAGAAATTACATTTTTATTGATACAGCTGGTCAAAGGTCAGAAAGAAAGAAGTGGTCAATCTGTTATCCAAACACATTTACACTCTTTTACTTTGTTTCATTGGCTGATATTAATTTAACATTGTATGAATCGAATGTGGAGAATAGATTGTTGGATTCTTTGCATTTGTTTGAGCATGTTTGTCAGGAACCAGATCTCATTCAAACTCCAATTGTTCTCTTCTTTACAAAAACAGATATTCTCAAGAGGAAGATTAAAAATGGATTGAAACCTATTGAGCTATTTGAAAAGATTGAAAAGCTCTACTCACAACGATATGAAGCAGCAACCATTGTTGACATGCCACCATCATCTGCAACTAATGATACTGAGAAGAATTCCGAACTTTCTCTCAATATTTCGTCTGGAAATCAAGCGAATCAAGTCGATGCTGAATTCAACCAATTCATTGAATATATTTCAGCCAAATTCAAGGAAAAACTGTTACCAACACAAACAATCACCATTTACACTCTCGACTGCACTGAACCTACTCAATTCAAAACAACATTCAAGGAAATCATGCAAATGTTAAATAAAACTATCAAGGACTAATTTATTCGTCATCATCTTCATCACTTTCTTCCTCTTCAGAATCGGAGAAAGCTACTCTATTAGGATTTCCTTGAAACATTTCATCTTCCTCTTCATCATCAATATCCAAAACTTGTTGTTTATCTTCTGTTGTTGTATTGTTATCATTATCAAATTCAGCTGGCCATTTTCCTTGTTTCTTCAATTCCTTTACTTGTTGAGCAACCAAAATATGATCAACAAATCCTTTAATTTTACCCTTGTTCTGTTCGGAAAGATCAGTGCTAATAATCACAAAATCACCCTTCTTTACCCAAAGTAATTTATTAAACTTGGTCGGAAGGATAACAAGTATTCTTTCTCTTGTTCCTGGATATTCTACTTCAATTTGGTTGGTTCCTCTTGTTGCGACAATTCTCACGATAGATTGACTATCAGTAATTTCTGGTGCTTCATCAAATAACGTATTTTGAATATTCTTTCTTACTCTACTCATCTTTTCATTTTTTTTATTCAATTTCAAAATTTCATCAAACTTTTCATCACGGAATTGAATTTTAATAATTTAATTTAAATGATGAAGATAAATTGTGATATTGAAGATTAGATAGAGGTTTAAATGATCGGATAATATGATTGGGAACACACAGCAATGATGATGTTAGAGTCTGCAGATTCTTGTGTCAAGGAGTGTCAACATACACTCATAGCACAAGGAGTTTCTTTCTTCTTGACAATTTACAATGACCAAACTACAGTTAATACTCTTGAATTGTTTGAACAAAACTATGTATTTTGTTTGCCATGTACTAATTGTTTAACTTTAAAAGAGTAAATAGCTCAGTTGACCACCCAAAATCACCAATAAATTTCGCTTTTCGCAAACTTTGAACCAACTCGAAATCCATAAAAATAAAGGTAAATTTTTGGGCGGGAGGAGTTCAACTTACCAATTAGTCAATTCATCCAAAGTTGTGTGAACCAGGTCCTCAAGATTTTGTAATCCAAAACTATGAAGTTTTCTGATTGGATCTTCTTGGAATAGAGTTTGTTTTTAATGCGTGTTTGCATTGCAAAAAACGTACAAATAGTTTGTGTAGTTTTGTGTTCAGAGATTTCGATGACAAAAAAAACAAAATGAAACAACAAGTTTTATTAATGATGATTGGCATGTTTCTCATATTGAGTGCTGCTATTATTTCAGAAAGTTATGCCAAGATTAGTTTGGTTTCTGATATCAAGACTAATCCTACTTCACCTGCCTGGCCACAAACTCTTCACGATGAATATCTTTCCAATAGAGTTCCATTCAATTATGCTCACAATAATTGGTATCAAACTATCAAAGTTTCCAACATGACTCTTTTCACACCAAAGGGAATGATTGACTCTTTCGCTGACCAAATGAAATTCATCTTACAAAGTCAACTCGACAATTCCCAATTCTATCTTTCTCAAGTTGATTTAATGAGTGGTGCCATCCAATTGAGTGGATTGAAACCAAAGAATTTAATTCCAAAGAATTTACATTTGCCTTCATATTTCTTTGCAAGTGGTTCGATGGTTGGTGATAAGAATGGAAATATGTTCATGTTTGCTACCAATGATACTCTCCATTATGGAAGTACTTACAATTACTTGTTGGTTGTTCAAGCTAAGGAAAAGACAATTCAAGCTATTGCACTTTCTAATTTTGGTAATGTTATGGATTTTTACAAATTAGGAGGTTTACTAATTGATGAAGTTAATAATCATTTGATCATTTCTTCCAGTACTCACCTTATGGCAGTTGACTTGGAAACATTTACTATCAAATGGAAACAACAACTTCGTGTTTTCAAATCTCAAGCCGTTGCCGTAACTGGAAATATCATTTCCATCAATAACAATAATGGAAATGTAATCTTGTTTGTTGCAACTGTCAACTCAATCTTTAAAATTCATTCACAGGATGGTTTGGTTCTTGCAATTACTCATTTAAATCAACCAGAATTTGAAAATGGTGAAGCAGGAATTGGCTCTATCACTTCATTAGATGGCATGGACTTGTTGGCAGTTGTCATGAATGGTGAGGCTTCATATTCTTCATCTGTTTACTTTGTTAATATGGAAAATCAACAATATTCTCTTTCAATGATTCAAGAATCGAATACTAGATATTTGGCTTATTCTTGCTTCTCTCCAACTAGTTTCACTCATCAAGACAGGTCAACTAATGGTGTTGAAATGGTTAGAGTAACATTTGCTTGTCAATCATCATGGTTTTCAACTAAGAATTCATTGGTTTTGGTTAGTGCCACAGCAAATGTAACTTCTGATTTTATGGGATCAAAGTTTACCACTCCTTCTATTGATTACTACTCTGAATTGGTTTCTAATACTAATATGAATCATTTTTGGATTGGTGCTGCAAGCGATAAGAGAGATTTAATTTCCTATTTCGATATCAAAACACATGCATTAATTGCTTCCAATATTCAAGATAAGATTCGTCAAGTCGTTCATATGGATCTTTCATATGCTGCTGAATTGTGGGATAGTAGCTCAATTTGTCATTCCTTTACTGCTTCCAATGATAGATTGTATTCTTGCTGTCTTGTTAAAGATCAATTAGTGTGCAGATCAGTACAATATTTGAACTAAAGCTTACTCTCAATAAACTTATCAACTTTTGAAGAAGATCATCTTTATTTAAAATTTACATTGCCTTGCTTTACATCTGATGATCTTCCATCCACTTGGCCACTCTTGGTAACCAAAACATCGCCACTTTTTACAGAGCTACTGTTTTGATTGACTGTTCCATCATAGTTTAACAAAAGAGAGCCATCTCTAACATCAGAACTTCTCTTGTCCACATTTGTTTCAATCAAATCATCTCTTGTTTGTCCCAATGCTCCAGCAGAGGAATAGTCATAAGGGTAATTTTGATTCTTGTCATATCTATTCTGTTTTGCTTGAAGAGCTTGAAGGTTTTTTGAATCATAGGTTCCTCCTGCAGCCAATGGCTTGGCATGATCAACATCCCAACCCATGGGAGAGATCATGCCATAGGAGGGTCCATACAAGACGTTTCCAACCGCGTCCTCTCGGTAGAGGTTTGGATCTTTAGTTGGAATTGTGGATCCTTTTTCCCAAGCATTTTCTTTCTCAGCATCAGTAAAGTTACGTCTTTCTGTCATTTTTTGTTTTTAAGGTGAATGAAATTGCATTGACCTTTTTGTAGAGTTATCGTTTACTAATTCCCAACCCAAAACTGATACAATCCATACCAGGAAATTGCCAGTTGAGGATTAGCTTTAATAGAAATTGTTTGAATTGAGTAAAACTCGATATTTAGTATTGAAGTGACATTTCCCAAGTTCAATCTATAATTGTCATAATTGTTCTGTTTGGATTATCATCTAAGTTTCATCACAACAAGCAAAGCTATCAAATTATTCAAAAATCAAAAGACAACATCTCAACCAAACAAAGAGCTGCATTCTGCAAGACAATAGTGATGATAATGGAATTGAGGAATACTCTAGAATACTATTGATAGAATCACAATATCCTCACATTAGACAAAACACATCATACATTTTGAGTACCTTGTCACAAGTAATAGTTCAATAGTACACCTGTCTATTACTTTCATCCCACATATATGGTTTTAATAACTGTTCTGCCTTGTCTGGAAACTCTATAAACTCTTCTTTGAAATTTTCGTAATTAGAAAATAATTCAGAATTGAGAGCGTGTAGAATATCGAATGTAATTGAGATATTGAGGTCAAGCATTCCAGATTCAGTTAGCAATATTGGACAATTTGTTATTTTGGAAACAGTATCCATACGTTTTCCATAGCAAAAACCATAAAACAAACACCATCTCCATGGTACTTCTAACATGCGATTCGAATCCCTCATTAAAAGCTCCATAGTTGTTAAACAGATTTCAAAAGTATAATGAAATTTGCTTGGATTGACTAAATCTCTCTTTTTCGAATTGTTAAATAGTGGAACCCTTACATCCTTTACTCCATAATAGGTTAAAACTTTAACATGAGGAAAATTGGTTGCGAGTAATTTCTTGTACCTTTCTATTTGAGAAACTAAAACCACAACCAGAATAGGTTGAGAATTATTACTCTCCATTAAATAGTTAATCATTGAGAGTATAATTTCATCTCGATCAGCATGACATCTCAAATATGAATTAGCCTTTTTGTGATATTGATCAATTAACCATTCAGTAATTAAATCAACTTCCTTTTTTTCTGAATTAATTATTTTCTTCTTGGTTTTCAAATATGAACCACGATATTGAATCGGAATTGTTATTTCTTCCGAGGAGGTGGTTGAACATTGTCTTTTAATAACTTGCTGAATATTCATAACGTATTCTTCAATTTTATGATCGGAATCAAGGCTTTCATTTAAATATTCCCAACTCTTTGATTTATCATCCCATTCAATATAATATACCAGTGATTGTTTAGAATTATCCTCATCATCCATAATAATACCATGATCTAATATTTTGAAAATCTTCCTTCCTCCATTTAACGACATTTTTTTCAAACTTGGAAAATTGAAAAATTGTAACAAATAAAATCAATGAAATTACATGTGTTTCATAGTGAAATACTGTTCCTGGAGTAATGCATGGAACAATTTAATACACTCTAATCCATGTAACCTTCCAACCCTTTACAACTTCCACCTATGTTCCGACTATTCCACTCAGCGAATCAAAAAACAATCAAAAAAAATGCAACCAAATCATTATGGGGGTTACCCTGCTGGTGGTCATCAACAGCAACCAATGATGATGTACGGAAATAATACTCAAAACCTTTCTTTATCATCGGGAGGTGTTACTCTTACGATGAGTGGTAATAATAATACACCAGGGATTGTTGGTGGAGTTCCAATTATGTATCAACAACAAATGATGATGAGTCCACTTCTTCCGTATAATTTGAAAGGAGAAGTTGTGATCAAGCTTCAAAATCCATTTTCAATTAAATTGTTACCAAAATCTAATACTTTGGTGATGGTTGATGGAAATATAGGTCGTGTTGTGATGAAGGATGCAACTACTGGTATTATTAAAGAAGATTTCTCAGTTACATCTGGATGTGTTAAAGGAATTGGGGTTGATCCAACAGATGATAGTTTTTATATAATTTCAGGAAAATTCTTGATAAAATATGATTATCGTGGAGTTTATCTTGGAAAATTTGCAAAGAAAATGAATTTGAACAATCCATATGGTTGTACTGTTGATGATACTGGAAATGTCTATATCACAGATTTGAATGATTGTAAAATTGTTGTTCTCTCACGTGAAGAGCAACTTGTAAATAAGATTGAATTTAACAAACCATACGATATAGTATTTGATAATGTGAATAAGCTCCTAATTGTGACAGATCAACAAAAGGATTGTGTTAGAATTTTAGCAAAGAGTGGTCAAGAAATTAGAAAGATTGGAGACAAGGGTAACGCCAAAGGTCAATTCAGTTCACCAAGTGGTGTTTGTGTGGATGGAAATTCTCAAATTTTCGTAGCAGATTATGGAAATCATCGTGTACAAATGTTTGACATTAATGGAAGATTTTTAAATTCATTTGGAACAAAGGGCAATACAGATTCACATTTTGATTTACCAAGATCTCTATGTGTGGATATGAATGGAAATTTATATGTAGCAGAGTATGGTAATTCACGTGTACAAGTATTCAAAAAGTTGTAATTAAGATTAAACGATTTTTCTCCATATTGAATATTTCATTACATACAAGAGAGAAGTGTTGTGGAATAGTAGTAGTAATTCATACAACCAACAGAAAAGAGCGCTTAACTCTGTAACAAACATCAATTCCACAACATATCAGTTCTCAATAATGTGTTACACACATTTTCAATATTGGAAATGATCTGTGTCCAACCAATAAAATCATATCAACATCTCAAAAATCTTTGAAAATCACCAACACAATGCAAGCTTAATAAATTGTTACACACAACACCAAACTACACTGAACACTCAATGAACATTCTCCAATTTCCAAAACATTTAAATAGATCTTTGTAAATTACAATTTTTAAAAAATGTATCAACAACAACAACCTTATTATCATCCATCACAACAACAACGACAACAACCGAATTTACCCATCGGATCAGTATCACACCAGCAAATAACTGTACAGAATAATTTTCAACCAAACATGTATCCTCCACATCCTCAACAACAATATCAACAACAACAACAACAACAACAACAACAATATAATCCATATGGATCATCATCTGCTCCTCCATTGGTGATGAATCAACAACAGCAACCACCTACTTATGGACAGCCTATGAATCAACAACAACAACAACCACCGATGCATCATCAACCGAATTATGGACAAGTTGTGCAACCAACAACATCGGGTGGATCGATTACAGTTTCTACTACACAACAACATCCACATTCATTCTATTATCCATATTATTCATATCAGACAACTACTAATACTAACATTCCAATTCATGGACAACCACAACAAGGATCAGTCCCACCACCACAACAACAACATGTACAACAACCGTATGGTCAACCACAACCACCAATGAATCCACCAAGTACTAATATTCAACCTATGAATCCTTATGGTCAACCAATGATGACTCCACCACCTGTTGTGAATAGTTCACCATTAACTGTTGCCTCAGTCCAAACTAGTATTACATTCAGTAATACTACTACTCCAACTCCAACACACAACAGTATTAAATATCAAATTAACCCACCTCTCCACATTGCTCCACATTATTCATTGAGAGGAGAATTGGTATTAAAAACACAACATCCATTCTGTGTGAGAGCTATGCATCATTCACCAACAATTATTATTGCTGATTCGAATACTAGCAAAATTACCTTGTTGGATAGTTCAAGTGGGATGGTAAGAGAAACCTTCGATGTTACCACAGGATGTGTTGGAGGTGTTGGAGTTGATCCAATGGATGACAGTTTTTATATTGTTTCTGGACAGAAAATTCTAAAATATGGAGCTAATGGAGTTCATTTGGGAACTTTTGGAGAGAATTTCAATTTGAAAAAGCCATACGGTCTAACAGTCGACGATCAAGGGTTTGTCTATATCTGTGATCTTCATCAACATATTTTTGTAATGACTCGTGAAGGAATCATGGTCAGATACATCTCAGTAGAGAAGCCTTATGATATTTTCTTTGATAAATTAAATCAAACTCTTGTAGTGACTGACCAAGATAAGGATTGTGTAAGAGTTTTAACTAAAGAAGGTCTGAAAATTAGAAAAATTGGTGGAAAGGGAAATGCTAAAGGTCAATTCATTTCACCAAGTGGAGTTTGTGTAAATGCAGGTAGTAACATTATTGTTGCAGATTATGGAAATCATAGAGTGCAAGTATTTGATTGTATGGGAAGATTCCTCTATTCTATGGGAAATAAGGGAAAATTAGAATCAGAATTTGATTTACCAAGATCAGTATGCACTGATATTAATGGAAATTTATTTGTTGCTGAATATGGAAACTCTAGAGTTCAAATATTCAGGAAAATGTAAATAAACTTCTCTTTGCCCAGATAGATTGTAATGAACATTTTATAGAATTTAGATGCCTACGAAAGAGATTGTATCACTTATCGTATGGAAAGTTGTTGTTTGCTATTCTAATAAATTCCTTAAATCAATTTAGTATTAGCCAATAACACTAATAAAAATAATAACTTTAAGGATAGGAATGTAAAGCAAATTGGAAGCGCGATGGGCTCATAACCCATAGGTCCTAGGATCGAAACCTAGATTTGCTAATCATTTTACAATTTTGGCATTGAAACAATCTATTAATAAATTTAGTGAACTAAGGCAAAAACAAACCAATATTAATTTAAAAGGAATTAATTTAAAAAGGAAATGGGGACCAGTGGGAATCGAACCCACGGCCTCTCGCACCCAAAGCGAGAATCATACCACTAGACCATGGTCCCTTATATTGAATGAATAATATTAAAAAAAATTGATGTCTAGAACTTTGGCGCATTTGATTGAATTTACTATTGTAATATTCCATTCTTTGAAAATCTTGTAATGGGCTTCTTTCTTCATCAAAAAAAAACAAGAGAAGCACATAGATTTCAGATGCTGATTCTTCATCAAACAGATTATCCTCTGATTCAGATTTTGATTCATCATTATCACAAAGGCCTCACCTTCAAAAATATCTTGAAAAAGTGTCTCACCAGAAAAAGATACCATTACTACATTCCATCAAGCTTAAGGATTATGTTTTCAAATCCAAAAATGATTCTTCTTCTTTCTCGAAGATTTCCAATTCAACCAAGAGGGTATTTGTAAATTGAAGATCTTAATGGATACATTCATTTTTAGAAAGTATGTCGATTAGTTCTGAATAAAATTGAATTGTTATTACAACAGACTTCTATGTAGGGCGCCCATTGTTTGAATTATTATTCACATACTACAAAGAACACAAAGTGTCAAGGTTTTTTAACAAAAGTCTGCCATAATTTATTCATCGAATGGATCTTCTACTCTCGCACTAGTGAGCTCTAATAATTGATTCATATCTTCTCTCAATACTCTTGTTCTTTCCTCATCCAAGTTCAACGTTTCACTTGAGAACAATCCAAAGAATTCATAAACTCGAGGTAATATTTCACCTCTTCTGAATTTCGAACTTCCAAATAATCTACATCTTGGATGATTACAAGTTTTCAAATCAATGATATCTTCAAATGACCATTCAGTTGGTTTTCCTTCATAAGTTTTAAATTTTTCCTCAATCATCATACATAATTGATGTGTATAATCACAAAATGTATCATAATCTACAATAATTTCATGGAAATAGAGTCTATATCCTGATTTGTATTTGGCTGTAGTTGTAACAGCATCTTCCCATTTTCCATGACATTGTGTCAATACCATTGAAATATCTTTTTTAGGAAAATATTGTTTTGTAAATTGCATAATACTATCAACCCATCCCAATTCCACAATATCACATGGTTTTTCAATTTCCACTTTCAAATCAATATCAACATATAATCTAAATGCATGTTTAGTTCTCATTTCCTCAATGTACATTTTAGATTTATCAAGTATTGTCTTCTTCCAAGCACTCAAATATTCATTATACATTTGTTGAGATCTGAAAATGATGTGATAATGTCCTCCTCGTTGTGACACATGTGTTGGATGTTCTAAACATAAAACTAAATTCTTTTCATTGTGTTTCAAGAGCCATTTCTCTAATTCGTCTTGTGGTTTATAATCCTCGATGCATTTTCTTGCTTTTACTTGTGAAAAGACGACACCATATTCTCCAATCTTGGAATTACTATTGGATGATGTTGAATTTCCTTTAATTTCGGAATATCTTTTCACATTGGGTGAAATTTTTGTAATTGATTCCAGTGATGATCCGGACTGCTGACTATGTTTCTTTGGTGCCATTATAAAGTTATTATTAAATATAATTGTTAATATCTTGAATTGATTATTTTTTTTTAATTGATTTGAAATTCATCAATTTACATCAAATTTGAACTTTATTTATAGTTTTAAAGTTCAATCTCAAAATTTAAAGGTTGTTGTTGGTTTGTACAATTTTTACAAAGTTGTAAAAAGTTTTAAAGGGTTATTGCCGATGGGATAAAACGTCTAAATGGTTCATAGAAACAGCTCTGATATGTTTCGCTACCCTTAGTGAACTCGTCTTGTCCATAAATTGGTTTTGAATTGCTAGTGATTGGTTGTGGAGATGGGTGGAAATGATTATTTTCTTGTTTCTTTCTCAAAATTTGGACAATCATTATTTCGTAAACTACTGTAAAATCAGATAGTTTCTTAACTCGCTTTGCTAGAATATCTTTGTTTGGATTTTGTCTGCTTTTAGGTGATACAAACAGGTGTCTTCGTTCTCCCAGAGACATTTGGCAAAGATGTTTCTCGATATCTGGATTTACTTGACCTTTACCAATAGTAAATTGAAGTAAATCTGGAACTACTTCAATATCTTTGGCAACAGAATCAAATATAATGCTAACTGTTGATGTAGAGCTGGATGTACCACCTCCTCTTCCTGAAGAGTCAGTAGACCAGTTGTCTTCAGCATCTTCTGGATCGTGATTTGTTATTGGTGGCAGAGCAGATGAATTAGAGGAATAGAGAGATAGGTCATCTTCACTTCTTTGCGAAAGTGTCAGTCTAGAATCAGTGCAAGTGGTTGCAAAACTCAGTTCTGAAAATGAACTTGCTACAGATGCTCTACTATCATAAACTTCGCTATTATTTGTGCTGGTGGAAGTTATTTCGTCTTCCGAATCCACATCAGATTTTCTTTGTTTTAACAAGAACTTGTTATTGGCATGTGACAACCAATTTTCAAAATCAGTATAACTATTTGATGGTGGTTTGACAATGTACAAATCCTTGTCATCATCGAACCCTTCTTCTCCTTCTTCATCATCGCTTGTATCATATGAAACACTACAGTGTTTGTTTGTTTCAATAGATTTATAAGTCTTATCCACAATGGTATCATTCAATAGCTTTGCAACATAATGTACAGAAATAGAATCCCCAATTTGAGGTCTATTTGTTTCGTCTCCCTTTTGCAATATTTTCGAATAAGTTCCATTATTTAGAGCTCTAACAGCACAATTACATTCAAATTTGTGTTTTGGCCAATCCGATACTTGATGTTCTTTACAACAATATCTAACTTCTCTACATAAGCTGCAAGTTTTAAGTTGTAATCTTCCTGAATCCAATGATTTGTTAGATAATTTACAATATTTACAAAACAAAAATCTTTCCATTTCCTTGCCACTTGTTTTTCTAGTGAGTTTCTTTTTCGAGTTTGAAACTGATGATAATTTAGTGGCATATAACATGTCAATCTTGGAATCTTTAGTTGAAATTCCAAAACCTGAAACTAATTTTCTGGCATGAGTAATGGTGTCAACCGTAGTCGAAGATGATGATTTTCTCTTTCCATTTGTTTCGGTTTGTTGATTATTAGATTTCATATTTGCTAAACTATAAGGATCAACTTGTTTCGTATTATTATTATTATTATTTTGACAGGTATTAAATTCTTCCTGTTCTTCGGTAGTAGTTGTACTAGTAATAGTCTTTGCTTCAAATTCACTTCTCTCCTGCTGAAGATGATGATGATGCTGACTTCCTTCCTTCGTCGTCAGATGAGCGGAATTAGAGAAGAAACTGCTCTGCTCTGCTTTTTGCTGAGTTATTGTTGTTGTCGAAGAAAGGTTTGCGTGTCTGAGAAAGGCTTTGGAGCGAAATTTTTTAGTGCTGTTTGATTCGTAATGTTGGTGTTGGTGTTGGTGGTGTGCGACATTAACGCCATCATCATCATTGTTATTATCAGAAATTTTCATTGGTTTGAGTGGATCATTGTTTTGATAGTTGTCTTGATTTGGATTGATAATTGGTTCTGTCAGGTATTCTTCGTCTTCTTGTTGGTTAGTGGTGGTGTTTTTGTGATTATTGGATGTTAGAGGAGTTTGTTCTTCTTGAGGTGAAGATGAAGGAAATTGTTGTTGTCCTGAGAGAAGTAACGGATTGATTTGAATCATTGGTGAAGTGGCCATTATGTTGATTCAAGGAAGGTAGATAATTATAATAGAGGATTTTTCTTTTGCATGGCCCCTTGCATGCTGTTGGCATTGATTTCGTCAACATTAGTTGATGCGATTCAAGGTTAATAAGAGCGAAAAAGCATATAATAAGGTGTGAACGAAATTTAACTTCTTTAAAAAGCTTTAAAGAAAAGAATCAGCAGGCTTGTGATGGTTGTTATTTCTATTTTCTCAGAATTTCACAACCTAATGGACCATTTTACAATATTTAATAAACATGTATCTGTTCATTCGAAAGAATATTATTCTTTACAACAAGTTTAACCAATGCATATCACTATTTTCCTTGAAAACAAAGTTTCCACCAATATCAATATTAATTGACTTTTGATGAATAATTCAATTCTTAATATTTCTTTAAATTTTAAATTAATAAAAAGTTTTTAACTTTCCTTGATTTAATAAATAATTATAGTTTATTACTGGACAATTACCAAAATGCACACCAACCGATGTACATTTGACATAAATTAGAGTTAGATGTTGCTTGCTCAATTAAGAGTTCAACTTGTTCAGAACAATTCAAAGTGTGAGGCTCATCTTCAATTTGGTCATCCTCATCTTCATCAACAAAATCTCTGCCCAAAAGCTTGCTTTCAATTCTTGAACTGACAGATAAAGCTCTTTGGTTGAGAGCTTCTGGTTGTTTGAGTGATTCTTCTTCAGTTTCATCACTTTGCAATGATCTTCGGAGATTCTTCTCACGAAGTGATCTAGAAGGATAATGTACACTATCGTGGTCGGTGTAAGATGAAACAGTTTGAGGAGAACCTTCATTATTTGACCTGAGTCCCATATCAGAGTCTTGTTGCATATTATTTGCAATATTTTGCATGGAAGATTCTTGAGTATTGTCTTCATCATTTTGAGTTTCAAGCAAACGCCAATTGATCAAAGGATCGTGGACGAAAGCTTCTAACATGGCCATAACAGAATCCTTATTTTCTCTTAACACTCTCATGACACTTTCACAAGTAGATTTGAATGTTCCTTCAATACCACAAACCTCCATAGCATTAATGAGCATTCTTGTAAGTCTGAAAGGAACCTTTTCAGGGAACTTATCTCTGTGCATAGCAACTTCGAAACAGTCACCAAAGTCAATGTGAACAATTTTACCAGTTGACTTTTCCAACATCAAGTTACTAGGGTGTCTGTCACCAAGACCAAGAATATAACCAACAATAGACATAACAGCCAATGAACGGGTATAGTTAGTTCTTCTTTCAAGCCAGACTTCAGAGTTTCTACTCTTGAGCCACAATACTTTGTACAAATCTTGTCCTGTGGTATTTTCAAGAGCGTATTCAAACACTTCAATCTTTTGCATTAAAGTTAAATTTTCATAATCAAAAGCGACTTGTTGCATGAGTCTATGTTCAATGTTCAAGAGTACATTTCTGCTATCCCTGAATTCCTTGATAAGAGCGTGAAGAGTATCACAATTGTCAACCCAACCAATCAAACCAGCATTAGAGCTGAGTGGAATAACAGCATATCTCTTAATACTAAGATCACGAGTAGATGTTTCAGGATCATTCTTCAGCAAGGTGTTAACCAAACCGAAGAGTTGCATTACTCTTTCGTCTTGTCTTAAATCTTCGTGACCCTTCAACAAGAATTGATACTCGTTACCGTCACTACCGAAAATCTTGAGTTTTCTTGGTCTTTGTTTGGAAGATATAACTCTCAATTGACGAGCAAAGTTAGCAATTCTAATAACTGGTTGTCCACTCTTGTAAGTACCAGGAATGGCAAGTTCTAAATCATTAGCTTCCAATAATTTTGGAGAAACAATTTGCAATTCAAGCTTCATCATGTGTGGAAGTTGCTTATCAATTCTTCTAAATACATGATAGTACAGGTCCCAAGCTTGAGAAAGTTCCTTTTCTTTCTTTGTTCTTTGATACTTTTTACAGAATTCCCAAGCATCCTGGAGGTCTCTACCGAAACCTTGTGCAAAAGCGATTTCGCTCAAAGTCTCTGGATTTTGAATCATTTCATGCAATGGCTTCAAGGTATTTAACATGCCAGGGACGTTGTGTTCGCCAAAGTACAATCTAGATGCTTCTTGAAGTCCTTCATGCCACAATTCGTTCCACAAAATTGCAACTCTAATCAACTCATGACTGACCATAAGAGCTTGTTCGGCAAGAACTGGGTTATTTTGTCTCATGTAATTAAGCAAGGATTCAGCAGCCTTCTTTCTTGACAAAGATTGAGAGTATGAACAAACTGTTAATGGATAAACCAAAGCTTGAGGATGTACTTTGCCAACCTTGGACAAAAGCTTGTGGATCAATTTACGAACAGGACCCACATGGGAGTTAACACGAGCAATAATTTGCGGAATAACTTCGAGCCATGTATCAATTGAAACAGTATTAAAACCATCAACCAGAGTCTTTTCAATTTCTTTCATAGCACCATGTTTGAACCACAATGTAAGTAAACGTAAAATATCTTGCAAGCTTGAGTTTCTATCTGGACTGAGATTAATAGAATTGAAAAAGCCAGTAAGAGCAGAGATGAGATAAATAGTCATAGCTTCCATATTTCTTGAAGAAGGTTGAGACTTCTTTTCAAAGTGAGAAACAACTTCAGAGTTGAGAAGAGCCCATTCGTGCCAAGCTTTGTACCATTCCTTATCGAAATCTGTGGCAGCCTTGAAATGAGAAAGAATTTGTGGTAATTTGCTCTCTTCTAATCCACCATGTTGTCTGTAAATAACCTTTTGCCATTGTCCCAATGTAAGGAATGCTCTAGCTTTAAGTTGGTTATCACATTGAATGTTGTATACAAATTGGTTCATTAATTCATAAGCTCTCATTTGCTTTCCTTCAACCCACATGTGTTTGAAATATTCATATGAAATCTTTGGATGTACTTCTGGAGAAATGAGAAGCTTTTCTGGTTCTTCACTCAATGAAATTCCATCAACTAATTTTTGAAGAATCTTTTCACTCATTCTAATCTTGTTAGACTTTCTGCAAATAGAAGCAAACTTCAACCATGTCGAAAGATCTTGTCTTTCAGGAATTACTAATTTTCTAACTGAGAGAATGTTTTGCCAATGTTCAACATTTCTCTTACAACCATGAAGTCTGTCAATCCATATTTGGTGAGTAAGAGCTTTGGTTTCTTCATCTTCAGCCTTTTGATATCTAATAATTTCTTCCATTTCAGACAATTGTTGGACGGTAACAATAATATCATAGGCTCTATTGTAACTTTCACCAACAAGTGCTGCAAGTTCGGTATCCAAAACTTTACGAGTCTTATCAATCAAAACCTCTGCATTATGATGATCCTTTTGGTGAATAGCCAAAATTGCTCTAAAGAAAGCACCTTCACTTGTATCTTCGCTGAGAATGTTAACATAATTTCTCATGCTTTCCCATTCTCCCAAGTTCCAAGCAGCATGAGCTGCCATTGGTGCCATTTCTTCTTTGATAGTATCACTGAAAGTGTTCCATGATTCTTGGCAAAGCTTGAAAAGCTTTTCCCATTCGCCAATAGCCTTCAAACATCTCATCTTACCTAGAGTTAGGCTTTGGTCATATGGATTTTGCTTTTGTTTGATACTGTAGGCGTCATAAGCTTCCTTCCATCTTTGAAGTTTTTCATACCACGATTCTTTGAGTTCAATACTGTGATTCTTTTGAGCATATTTAAGAATACCCATAGCGGCTTCATGTTGTTGGAGTTGGTTATTGATACTAATCAAATCTTCAATGAGAGCACTTGGATTTTGTTGGAATTCAATTTCCTTATAGTGCAATGCCTTGGCAAAACATTGACATTTTTCAGCCAAAGCACCAAGAGCACTTATAGCAATAGGAAGTGGATTTTCATCATGTTCCATAAATTCTGCCAAGTTCAAAAGTGTTTGCAAAACTTCAGGAGGTAAATCAGGGGAAGAGAATGCCATCTCCAAAGCACGCACAACTTCATTTTGTGCCTTATCATCAAGTTCAGACCAACAGCTGACAAAACCAGCATTAAATAATTCTCTAGTAAGTGGATGATAGACTTGAGCTAATGCTGAACATGAACGTAATGCAGGAGAAGGAGATTCTTTCAAAAGTTCAACTGAAAAACCTCTATTCCATTCAATCCAATCGTCCTTGGTTGCTCTCTGGGATGCTTCCCATGCCTTTCTCAAACTATTTTGGTTGATAACCATTTTCTTGACCTCTGTCATTGAGTCTTCTCCATTAGAATTACTAACTTCATCTTCATCATCAGGCATATTAGGAAGTGGAAGTCCCTTCAACAAGTGGAATATGAATTCATTATACTTTTGATGTGTGATATTATATTGAGTTAACACTTTAGTAACCATTGGAATGAAAATAGAAAAGTCGCTTCCCAATTGGTGAATAATATTGCAGAGAGTATCCATAGCTTCTTGTCTAATTTCATTGTTTGGTATTTTGAGAACTCTAGAAAGTGGATGAATAATTCTTGAAGAATATTCTGAGAAGTTCAAGATTCTACTCAATTTACCAATACATCTAATAGCCTCTCTCTTAAGAGAAATATTAGCCAATGGAGCTTCGAACAATTTAACCACTGTTGGAATAACGAGATATAAATATTCTTCTAAATGTCTACCAAAAACAATAAGTGCATGAAGTGCTTTCTTTGCTGGTTTAAATTGTTGAGGAGTTTGAAGAACGCTCAATATTTGAGGGATAACATCAGGAAGGTTTGGTTTGAATTGCTCATTAAGTGCTGTACAAATTTCCTCTTCTAGTGAAATAATTTGTTCCTTGAAATCAGTATCAGAAGAACTCATATCCCAGAACTCGTGGATAAGTAGGAAAATCTCGTCTAAATAGTTTCTGATATGCTGCTTAACAATAGAAACTAGCAAACTTAATTGTTGGAAAACAGTATTACGAATATTAGGTTCACAATTTCTAATCAAGTTCAAGAAAGGAGGCATAACTTGAGGTAAGAAAGGAACACATTTCATATTTAAACTGGTAAAGATAAACATGACTGCTTGGATGGCGTTAAGATGGTGAATGGCAAGAGAAGGATCAGTCAAAATTCTAATAAGAGCATTAAATGCAACTGTAGGATAGTATTCTTCAGAAGAAGGGCTTAAACCTGGAATAATGTCGCTGCTGTCGTTAGTTTCCTTTGCTGATTCCAATTGGAGCTTGTGTTGATATGGATCAATAGCACCAATAATACCAAGAACTTTGATTATTTCTCTTCTTGTGGTCCATTCTTCTTCCGACTTTAAAATAGCTAATAAAAGTGTCAGTAAATTAGGATACTTGATATAGGGAGTGATTACATAACCAGTGCTGGCAACTATTTGTCCTAAAGTCTTTACAGCCATAGCTCTCTTTGCTGAAGAACTTTGATCTTGTAAAGTTTCAATTACAGAAGGCAAAAGATCATCAATAAAATCAGCAATATCCATTCCACCAACTTCTGCAAGTTTACCTGTTGTATCCAATACACAAGAGGCTACATTTGGATTATTGTCCTTGATTCTTTCCATTAAAACTTTCAATACGCTCGAAACATATGGTTTTATCAATCTAGGAGCTGCAACTATTAAATGACCAAGCATTCTAGCGCTTTCTTCCTTGCTTCTAGAGTCTTGACTATATTCAAGTTCAGTCAAAAGTTGGAGAAGAGCCTTTCTTAAAGATGGAAGAACAAATGCAGGATTTCTAATGCTCAATCTTCCAATAACAGAAATAGCAACCTCTCTAATTTCGAAAAATTCATCATTAAGAGCAATAAATAAGGATCTCAAATTATCTGATAATGCCAAATAATGATCAAACTTTGGATCTAAAGAAGATAAAACAGCAAATCTAATTGTGTAGTCTGTATCTGTAATACCAACAATTAAAAGTTTTGCTAAAACATCACCAACAACAGAACCAAAATGACCTTTAACTGGTGGTTTTCCTTGACTGACAAGAAGTCTGCAACATGTTTTAGCAGCCTCTTTTCTAACAGAAGGTATATCATCATCCAAATATTTTACAACACAATCATGTACAAAATCTATCAAGTTGTGTCCCTTGACATTGAAACTTCCCAAAGTTTTAAGAGCAAAAACTATTGTTGGTGTACTATAAAGTGTAGATTCAATATGTGGAGCAAATTGGGTTGGAGGTGTGACTGGATTAAGGGTATTAAATGGTTGTCTAGCCAAAATTTGAGAAATTGTGTCCAAAACTCTCTTTTGAATAGGTTGTAAGAGTGCAGGGATTTCTTTGGAGATAATTGTAAGGGATTGGATAAGTGTTGTGGTTAAGCCACCAGCAAACATGGAAGGAAGTAAATGTAAAATACGGAGAGAAACTGTATCACCAACAGCTTTTGAAATATCACTAATACATGTTAAAGATTCCTCGCAAAAGTTCTTCTTTTTGATTTTAAGACCCCATTCTGTTATTATGTTGAAAATGTCATCCACATATTTCTTGATAGGTTGTCCAACACGTGTTGTTAATTCACCAAGAGCAAGAAATGATGAAGGTCTTTCGAACCCGTTTTTGATAGCTTCTAATATCAAATTAATTGATCTATGTAAGTATTTCTCATTAAATCTTTCTCCGTAAAACTTTGCCAATACGGGTATAAGCTCAATGACAGTTCTTCTGACCATTTTATCTTTATGTGAGTGGAATCCAAGAACTGTATTACAGATGGCATCAAATTCATCTTTCAAGACATTTCCTGCAAATCCTAATAATTCACCAATGGCAAGTAAAGCTCCGTGAACAACATCAGATTTAGCATTCTTAAAGTTGATATTTGTCTGATTATAAATATCTTGATACCAAATATTACGGAAATTTGTTGGACGTTCTGATATTAAACCAAGAACAGCATGAAGTGCTTGCACTGAACCAATTCTAACACTTACGTTTGGATCAGTGAGTCCATTCCAAATCACACTCAAAAAGCTTTGTACATGTCCATAAAATAGTGTAGGAGCATTTTCAGCAAGTTCTTTTAGAATAAACACTGCTGCATATCGTTTTCCGTCATCATTTTTCTTGTTGTTATTGTTATCACTTTCCAACCATTCCAAAGCTCTCTTAATTTCAAATTCAACCCATTCTGCTGTTAAAGTTTTAGATTCACTTGCTCTGGCTAATTTACCAAAAGTTTTGGCAACCATTAACACTATCTGAGACTCGTTAGATGGATTTGCTACTATATTCCTAAGACATTGATAAAATCGAGTTTTGTTAATTTTCCTTTGATCATCGTATCTAACATCAATTAAAACGTCGATTAATACGATGGCAGCAATACGGTCATTTGTTTCTCTAGAGCTTGAAAACTCTACAATTTTACTATGGTAAATATCATCTATAAACTTGATAAAGTTGTCAGCTGAATATTCACGATATATTTTCTCAACCTATTATCATCAAGATATTGTGTTTAATGTTTATAATATTATTTAGTTTGATGAACAACAATAAAAACATACCTGTGTTTTGAACAATTGAACCCCAATGTTCCTTTGTTCCTCGTTCTTGCTTGTTATATTTGAAAATATTTCTACCAATTCACTACTCATTCTTTAATAATTTAGTGGTGATCATCAACTAAGAGTGATTTTTCTATACAATATTATTTACTATTCGTCGTGATGTGTGTTATTGTTGTATTTACTATAAAGGATTATTAGTAATAGCAAAATAATTTTACAGCAACAATAAATTACTACCCAAGAGAGGATTTCGAAGATGATGATGCTGGGTTGTTGCTGTAATTGTAGAAATTTTGCTTTTTTTTAAAAATAAATAAAAATCCATTACGTTAATTGAGAGGCGATTGGTGATGAATTATTTACTTCATCCTTCCTATCTGGAAGTTTTGTAAGAAATATTAAACGTTGTTTATGTTTGAATTGTCGAACCAATTTATTAGGAACAATTTCCTGTTAATGGCATCGTGAACCTGGAATGTAATGGTGCAACAATAAAACCAAAGGAATAAATAACTAAAATGAAAGAACTCAAAAATTTGAATAACATCTCCTCTCATTACCGCCTTAGAAGTAAATTATTCTTCATAATAAAACTCCTCTGAATCTGAACCTTTAATCTGGGATAACATAATCTATGATAAGTAATATTGAAATGATTGTAGAATTATCAATATATTGACACTACTCAAAAGTAGAATATGGTATGATTCTTTTCAATTAATCCTTGCAAACAGATATTAAACAACTATGCAGTAGACATCTATTTTAAATATTATTCATTTTCAATATAAGGGACCATGGTCTAGTGGTATGATTCTCGCTTTGGGTGCGAGAGGCCGTGGGTTCGATTCCCACTGGTCCCCATTTCCTTTTTAAATTAATCCCATTTAAATTAGTATTGGTTTGTTTTTGCCTTAGTGCACTAAATTTATTAATAGACTGTTTCAATTCCAAAATTGTAAAATGATTAGCAAATCTAGGTTTCGATCCTAGGACCTATGGGTTATGAGCCCATCGCGCTTCCGCTGCGCCAATTTGCTTTACATTACTACAAAGTTATTATTTTTATTAATGTTATTGGCCAAGTGAACTTATAAACACAAATAATTGTTATTTAAGGAATTTATTAGAATAGCAAACAACAAGTTTCAATACGGTAAGTGATACAATCTCTTTCGTAGGGATCCAAATTGAGTGTGCTAACTCAGATGGACCACCTTTGAGAACTTATAATAATTTATGAGCTTGGCCTCTTGCATTCCATGATTATGTTTCAGCAGGTGTCATTGATTATGTTTTCAATGATGTTTTTGACAGTTTGACAGATATTGTTGATCCAGCTAATTGTGTTAGATTGCAAACTTTTCCAAGGTATCAACTACTTTCTATGGGTGATGAATTCTTTGCTCCGTAAGTTTTCTTACAAAATTTCATTATTTAATCTCACCTTCCTTAATGTATAGGGATCTTAATGCACTTTCCTATTCAAAGATTAAGGATGAAAAGTATGTTCGTTTCCTTCCAAACACTGCTCACTACATGTTCAACACTGATGTTCTTACTGTTCTTGGAACATTCTACATTTCCAGATTGAATAATGCAATTCTTCCAAAGTACAATTTCTCTCATGAATATGTGAATGCAGGTGTTGTCATTTATGTTTCAGTTAGTAATGGAATTAAGCCATCCAGTGTTAAAGTTTGGAACGCCACCAATCCATTTGCACACGATTTCAGAACTTCCACCATTGGATCCAATGTTTGGCAAAATCAAACCTTAATTGAAACTCAACCACTCGTGACTGGAAACGAATCAGCTGAATAATCCTTTTCATCGAAATTGGTTTGTATAGTCCTTGTAAATGATTGAAGGGAGTGTTAAAACATTGTAGATTTGATTTGGATGAGGATCTTAGGAGAAAACTGCATAAATTTGTATTAATTGCTGCAGTTTCTATGTGGGATTTGGATGAGAACCGAAATTTAAAATTGGAATACCCGATAGAGAGTTGGCATTCAAAAACTAAAATGACACCCATACTTGCAAAGTCAACATATTGATAACCACCTATGAATGGTGCTTGATAAAACTCTTTCAATAATTCTCTCCTCTTAAACACTGATTAAAATTGTGCAATAACATTTCCTCTCTCATAACCCTTGCATCAATTTTAAATAGTTTACAAATAGTGTCATTGTAAATTGTCTTATCAAAATAATCTGCTCTCAACATTTCTGCAAAATATTTGCTAGATCTCTCCATAATGGCAATACTGGGCAGTGGTAAGGTAATATCGGGTGAGTGGTAAACATCAGAAAGTGATGACATTTTTTTAAAGATATTTAATTTATTTAATATTCACCATCTCCTTAACACCCACGAAATGCTTGGTGATATTCTCCTTACCAGGTAAGTAATTTTTACCAATCACTTTCATATTACTCCACAGAGAGGCCATTAAATAAACGAATCTTTACAAAGTAAGGCAGCCTTAAATATCAACAAAGAATCTTAGTTAGTCTAAAGATTTGGTCTCAGGCTGTTATTGATATAAGACATCTAATAAAGTTTCTCGTTTTATTCTACGCTAATAGGACCAATATTAAGTAATGTTAATTGTTTCATTTCACTTATGTATTTGGATCCTTCTGCACCAATTTGATTTCTACCAATATTAAGTAATGTTAATTGTTTCATTTCACTTATGAATTTGGCTCCTTCATCACCAATTTGATTTCTACCAATATAAAGTGATGTTAATTGTTTCATTTCACTTATGAATTTGGCTCCTTCATCACCAATTTGATTGCCATCAATATTAAGTGATGTTAATTGTTTCATTTCACTTATGAATTTAACTGTATCTGGAGAGTTAAGCAACTTATTAGAAAACTTAATGTTTACAATACTATTCATGAATTGACTTTTCATTAACAATTCAATTCTATTTTCTGTAAATTGTTTTTTAAATTGAATAACAAGTTTTGAACGTTCCTTGATCACATTAAACCATTGTTTTGAAATTAAAGAACAATTATTCAAAATAAACCACGAATCATCAATCATGCAAATAATTTCAAAACAAACATCATCCGAAAATATAATATTCTCTATTAATTAGCAATTCATTTCATTAATTATTATTATTATGAAAACAACCCTTCGAGAAAATACCAACCTTCTACAGGTTTTACCTCCATCACGATGATAATAATGATAGCAGGAATATTGGTAGTTTTTTCTGATAGAATATCGCAAACAATTCTTAATGTTCCATCATGTTCGCACAAATTAAAAGAATCAACAAATCAATAAGAATGGGCTTGTTCTGTAAAGTATTTTTTTCAAAGTCAATACAGTAATTAATATTTTATGACAGAGTAATAATATTAATTACTTACTGTGATAGATAATATCAATTACCAATATTTGCCAAATTTCCTTGGTCTAGCAATAAATGTGTGTGATTCTTCTTCTAATAACTGTTGAATAACATCAGTTTTATCAACATGCCGTTCTTGATAATAGCAGAAAAGTTGTTGTCATCTTGATGTCTTCATTAATTATTGTACTCTCAATTTTCTGTATTTTTCTAACAATTGTTCTTCTGGTTTGGATAGGGATGGTTCTGCTATTTCCTCTTCTTCATTATTCGCTCTCTTCATTTTTTTAACAATATTTATCACAGTTTATTTTGGTTCTGATTTGTGGAAGCTTAATACATAAACTAAGGGTGTTATCATTATCACAATTCACAATTCAAAGTTGAAAAGTGATAGGGAAATTGTGGCGAAGGCCTTCGCTCAGAACCTACTTCTCTGATATTTGCTTAAGAGCATTTGATGCATGTTGTCATAATTTGAATGACATTTGGCGTCCAATGTGTAAAAGCTAGTACAGCTACATTGAAGAAACAACAGAGGAAGCAGGTACATTAGCTCGAATTGTAATTGGAAATTGAGAATTGAAATTCCATTTGCTTGTGAATTTTCTGCATTACCAGATTCAAAGAAATTTAAAACAATATCCAAATCCTTTATTATTCAACATTAAGATTTTAAAATATTGATTGGCTACGGCCATATCACGATTCATGCACCTCATCCCGTCCGATTTGAGAAGTTAAGCATCGTCGAGCCACATCAGTACTGAGGTTGGAGACAACTTGGGAACCTGTGGTGCTGTAGTCTTTTGCTTATTGGTTTTTCTGTTGAGGTAGTAGAAATTGAAAATTAAAGTTGTGTTATCCTGAGCTCTTCTCAATGTATTATCCTCTGTGCTACTCTGGGAGATTCTCCAACAACTACCTTAACAACCTTTCTTTTTGTAAACTGTGTGTTTACCAATATTGTTGAATATTCGCCCGATTGGTAAGTGTTTTGAACTTACAAAAAAAAAATGCGACTATCAAATATCTTTCAAATTTTGCCTCACGATTTAATCAAAGAAATTCTCAGCCACATCAATTGTGTCGAACTAATATTCTCGCTCACACAAGTGTCTCGATATTGGAGAAGTGTTTGTCATGAATTTATGTGGCAACACTATCAAGAAACAAATTATTTAAGGCCTCCTCCTCCTCCGAAGAATCTAGATTCGTCATTTGAATTTCTCTACTCACCAGAAGGAAGAAAATTCACCAAATATTTGCTCCGAAAACAAGTTTATGAATTTTCGAGTAAATTACAGAATAGTATTGAAAAAGGAAGTGATTCCTTCTCAAAAATGATTTTGTTGAAAGAGGAGTGGGTTGATGAAGAATTGAAAATTCTCAAGGGATACTTTAGACAATATTTTGATTTACAAGAATTGAAAACTGAAACGATTTCACGAGGATCGAATAGTTTTATTGGAAATACGTTTTCTTTTATTGGATCTTTCTTTTCAAGTAAATCAAAATCAACGAATAGCTTATCAAATTCAACAGTATCTCACAAAGATGAAAACTATCTCACAAAGATACTTTTGGATGGTGAATCTGGAAGTGGAAAGACTTCACTACTCAATTGTGTCTTTTATAATTCACCTGTTGTTCCAAATGCTTACGTTCCTTGCATGGGTGAAATGCCCATTAAAAATTATCAATTTGGAAACACAGCAAGAGTCAAAATTCAAATTTGGGATCTTCCAGGAAATACTCGTTTTAGAAGTATTTCTACATCCTATCATAGAGGAGCCACATTTTTTTTACTATTTGTTGATCCTTATTCAATTGATTACAATAGCTCACTAAAAGAAAAGCTGGAATATATGAAGAGTTATCTACCTGGAAAGGAAGTAATTTTCATTACAACAAAGAAAGATCGTACCAATGAGAAAAGATACTTTTCGAATGAACAAGCAGATCAGTTTGCTTTCGAAAATTTTGGTGGAATTCATTTAGATATTACCAATACTCAATTGGATGAACCAAAAACTATTGTATTATATTGTGCACTACTCAAATATTTACTTTCTCCTTAAACATTCCAATACTATTATTTAACAAAAACAAATTCGTTTTTCATTAAAGAAAAAAATGTCGCTAACTAAACTGGCAAATGATGAATGGTTTGAAATTGCTCAATATTTATCTCCGTGTGATCTTTACAGAGTTTCACAAATTAGTCAACAATTTTATAATGAATATTTCTCTAATCAACAAGATTCGTTTTCTTTCCGATGGTTTCCACAAATGATTTGTAAAAAAGTAATTGATCAGGTGGAGAGGAGTTTTTGCCTTCTGAGCGATCAAGAAAATTCGCTTTATCAAAAAATTATAAAAGACGAAACCTTTATATCCAGAGCAGAATGGAAACAATTATTGAAAATTTATTTAAAATCAAGTTATTTAAAAGTCATGATGTGGAATATTACAAGGGATGATGGCGATTTTCTAGTTTATTTTCCATCGAGATTAGTTAATCATGATTGTGAAATTCTTTCAAGAAAATTATTCTTGAAATCGAATAATGATGAATACAGAGATGAGGATGAAATGATCTTGATTCATGGATACAAACAGGGAACAGACAATTTAATAATATTTTCAAAAGAATTGGTTGATAAGACAAGACAAGTTAACGAAACAATTCACATTTCTCAAATCATTGATTTAAAACTAGCTCATTTAGATTCTTCACACAGTATTTTACGAAAGATATTATTGAAGATGTGGGAAAACTCTCCTCACAAGAGGTTGTATCAGTCATTGGATATGATCGTAAAGCAGGAAATTACCTATCCTAATAAGAAATTAACTTTTCAAGTTATGCAATTGAATAGAATGCAAAAGAAGATAGTTTTAGATTTTCCAGAAGTAGGACTCCACTCAGCACAAGTCAACCTTCAGGTTAGACCATTCAAAATCAGCTATGTATTTTCAAATCAAAGTCTGTGGATCTCATTTAAAATCTTAATCAGAGAATTGATAATTGTTGCCATGATGCTCATTTACATTTGGTTTAGAACTAAATTATCTTGGAATGGAAATTCTTATTCATGGTTCGAATGTACTATTCGATCTATTCAGGCTCTTTATGTGAATTCTGATTTTTCCTTCCTTTCAGTGATACAAATGATATTCTACGCCATGGTTTATTTGTTCATTTTTATTTTCGGAGGAAAATATGAACGTGCAATCTCTACAATTAGTATGGGGTATTTTTTCATAGCTCAGGCACATCTTGGACTATTGGAGGAATCACAATCTAACATTGTACAAGTTGTGAATGCTTCGTTTGAGCTTATTCATATTACACATTTGGCTAAATTGCTGGTACAAAACATACAGGGAGGGATAGTTAAAAGATGCAGGTTTTGGATCAAGTCTGTTTTGGATAAATTTTGGCATGCATCTGAATAGGTCAATAGTTCCAAAAGGTATTCATTTATGTCTCCAATAAATTCCATATTATTAATTCTTAGCATTCAACATTTTGATTGCTTCATTGAAATATTCTGGAGTTTCAGATGTAAATTCCAAATATTTTCCAGTTTTTGGATGTTTAAAACCCAAATATGAAGCATGCAAGAATTGTCCCTTCTCAGTTGCAAACTTTTCAAATCCTTCCTCTTGTTTGGATTGCTTTTTTTTCTTAGTCTTTTTACTAGCTTTGAATCGAGGGTTATAGAGGGCATCTCCTACAAGTGGTCTATTAAGGTGGGCCATTGATACTCTAATTTGGTGAGTTCCTTTGAAATAATTGTTAATTAAACATTTCTCAAATACTTACTTCCAGTTAAAAGTTTACATCTCACAAGTGTTAAAACTTTACAACCAGTTAAATTATTGACTGGGAAGGTTTTTTGCTCCTTATATTCAGTAATACTGAGTTTGGCACCAGTTTCTAGTGCATTGTTAGTTACCTCTCTCTTGGATGGCATGGAGTGATGTCTCTTTATGTAAATTTCAATTCTTCCTTCTGATTGGTTCAATTCATTTTCTACAAGGGCTTGGTAGTATCTGGTTATTTTATCTTCATTATTTTCATCTCCTACATTCTTATTTTCGAATAATTTCTTCAATGCCAAATGAGTTTCATCATCTTTGGCAACAACCATAATTCCACTAGTGTCTCTATCCAATCTGTGAACAATACCAGGTCTGTAATGTTCTTCACAGCTTCCACAAGTAGATAATTTTCCATTTGTGTGGAATAAGAGAGCATTCACCAAAGTTCCAGTAGTATTTCTTGGTTTTGGTTTTAAAGAAGGATGCACTGTCATGAATTTAGGCTTATCCAAAACAATGAGAAAATCATCTTCAAACAGAATGTTGAGAGGAATGTTTTCTGGCATGATTGCATCACTTGTAGTTGATGAGGAAGCAGCATTTTCCTCTGTAGTATTACTGGCTACTGATAATTGTTCAGAACTTGATGATTCCGAAGAGGCTGTTGTTGTCTTTTCCTTTCTTTCCTTCACAATAACCACATCACCATGTCGTAATTTGAGAGCAGGCTTATTAGTCTCCTCATCATTATATAAAAATCTGTACTTTGAATTTTCTCCATTTGAATATTGAATTGTCTTTCCGAGTGATGATTTTGAAACTTGTCTCTCCTTGAAGAAACAATCAAATAGAAAGACATCGAGTCTTTCCTTGTGGTAATCAACAGAAACAGTCAAACTTGCAATCTGCTCAAAAGAAGACATTTTTTAATATTATTGCAAATCAAATTCAAACTTTATTTGCAATAAAAAATTGTGCAAGAAGTTGTTGTTAATAATTAGTAATTGTTTTTGGATGGAAAGAGGATGGATCCTTCTTGCTGTAAAAATGTAAGATTGGGGCGGATTAGTATTTACATTGGTTTGGATTGATAAGAAAAAGTCTCATCAATATTGTACATGGGCTCATTATTATTACAAGGAAAAATAGTATTACAATTTGTTGTCAGTCACAGTCTACTACACACATATTTACAAGTTATTCATCTTGACCAAAAAGTTCTTCAAAAAGCCTGTTTGTGGAGAACTAAGAGAACTTCCACTGTTACTTCTTTGTCTAGAATCAGTTGAGAAGACCTTTTCATATTGACCAAGGCATGGATTATATTCCATCTTATAGTTAGGAATGGACTTGACAACAGATGAGGAAACGTTATTGGTGTTCATTGTTAGGGTTTGATGTTGTTGTATTTGTTTTAAGTTTGATTACTTGTTGGTGGGAAATTGTGTGACATCATAAGGCATCAAGAAAATTCAGTTAGAATCATCGCATATTTTTAGAATGGAAATTTTCCGTAATTTGACGAGATAAGTCTTGCAAAGATTGGACGGTTGCATGTGAATCGACAATTACAAAGACCTTTTTGTAACTCACAGACCAGTTCCTTGAGGAAATTTTTTGTTGTATGAAGCCAAGTTGTTTGAGGAAGAGCTCTTCCTCAAACCGCTTAATCGAATTGTTGGAATTTTTAATAAGGTGACCTTTGGATGCGAAATTATTAAGAAAATTTATTTATAGAGTTGATGAGGTGGCGACTAAAGTTATTAATTGCTTGAGAGTAACAATTTAGATCCTTAGAGGAGTTTACAATCATTTCTTTTTTAAAATTAGAGGTGGTGTGCTGATAGTACCAATTATGTGATAATGCTAATATAATTTTTATTTTGAAAGAGATTGAATTTCACTTTATCTCCAAATAATTACAAAATTGGAATATTACATGCTGTGAAAATTAGTGAAAGAGGAGATTCCAATGCTTGCATGTGTGAAAACACAACTTCAACTGTAATAGAAACTCTTAATATTTAATTACAAGATCGCTCCACCTTAACTTGACAGATTTTTATAACTCTATCACCACTAGCATATTATGAAATGATCCACTGGACCGTTTTGATATTTTCAAATGAATGATAATGGGTGTGGATATTGATGCCCTGTTAAGGGGTGCACTTTAAATTTCTCATCACAAAAATTTGTCATCATGAAATTGGAACGTTTCTTATTGCTTGGTGTTACCATGTGGATGGTTGTGGCCATGCTATGGAACGGAAAGATCAACCCAACATGTTCAACAAGTGTATCCTCTCCTGTTCTCTTGATGGTTAACGCTCAGCAAGACCTTTCCCTTGAAGATTTTGAACAGTTAATCAAGAAGACCTTGAGAAAGGACTGCCCACATTTAAAGAAAGCTGTTAAGGATGGATGGAGTGTATGTGATAAGGAGTATGGTGAGTTGGATTTAGCTGGTAAGGCATCTTCCTCTGAAGTGGACATGTCCCTCATTAGGAGTGGATATGGCTACTCTCCTGTTGAACATGAGATCAAGTTACAAGTATTAGAGTCAGCCAATGCATCAATCATTGATCCACCAATGGTTGAGACTAAGGAAATGCATTTTAGCAAGGTGAGAGATTTCTACAACCATGTCTATAACATGAATTCCACAAGTCATGTTGCAGTTTTGTACTCTGACACTTTGGAAAATGCCAAACAAACATTCACCACTCTTTTCAAATCAAAAACTGATATTCATGCTGTAGATACCAAATATGCTCACTACTCTGTCAAGACCACTAAACAATTACAATTCACCACTAGTTTTCAAACAATTTTACAAAAACTACCAATGAGTTACCATTCAAAAATTTATGAAAGATTTATCAATATATTTGGAAGTCAAGTAATGACTAGTGTCTTATACGGAGGATTGGTAGGTCAAACCAGTATCATCAAGTCATGCTATTCAAGTGAAAGTGCAGTTAAATATTCGCAAGCAAGATTACAAAAATTAATGACTGGAACCTCAGATGTTGACATTCCAAATACCTTCTTGAAATATTCCAAGATTATTTCGAGTGATATCATTGGAGGAAATCCAGAAATTTCCTCAATCAAAAAGAGAGTTTCAACATTCCCAAAAAATAGTTCACCAATCAAATTCCAAACTGTTCCAATTTGGAAATTAATTCCTGAGGAAAATTATCAAAGAGAACATTTAAAGACTGCCTATGACAATTTAATGACCAAATCCGCCAACAAATTTGAGAAATTGATTTCAGATATTGAAAATCTCAAGTTGAAACAAAGTGGAGCAGCAATTCCTGCAAAATTATTCTATTCTCAAAGTGAATGTGGATTCAATTTTGCTAAAGATCGTTGTTATGGAAAACGTAAGACTTCATGTAAAGGTAATAAGCGTTCTGCATGTACTGGGCTTGTCAATAAGAAATCTGACATTCATATCGTAAGAGGAGCTCCATCTAAGGTAATTGACAAACTCTGTCCATTTGAATATAGAATGACAATCTTCCCTACAGATGTTTATGGTTGCAGATCTGCAGCTGTCAGATTATTTGTCTCAAGAAATTGGCAGGATGAAATTCAAGTGTCAGTTGTCTATTCTTTCATTGATGACAATTACAAACTTGTTGAACAAGTTGTCTATGTCTCACCACCACAAAAACAAGGTGGATGTATTCAAGTTTCTACTAGCAATTTCAATAATGAAGAATTGAGCACTTCTTTGAAGGGTTTGAAATGGAGATTGTGTACTAATTGCATGCCAATGATTGGTAAGGATCATTCATTAAAATGCGGATGTCCATATCTTGTTTAGATTTTTGATTTAGTGTGAAATAAACTTTTTCAATACTACTAACGTATAAAATTTCTCATAATAAATTTCGATTAAAACTTTACAAAAAAAATGCAAGATGATGATTGCTGCGTCCTCAATCTCGATTTCTCCATTGCTAGTCAATTATTAAAAAATTCATTTAAACAATGCTACAAAAATTCAACAATAATTATGGATATAGGAAGTTGTGAAGCAAAGATTGGATTTTCACAAAATCCTGCTGATCCGATAATATTTCCATCAGTATACGGCAATGCGCGATATAAATTTTCATTGATGTCTATATTCAATGATGTTGAAGTGGGAGAAAGAGCTCTGCAAAGAAAAGGAGTCTTGTCTTTAAGGTATCCAATGATGGCTAATGGAAGAACAAGTGATTGGGTTGGAGTGCAAAGGATTTATGATCACTCGTTTGAATTATTGGAATTGGTGGATGTGGATGAGAGATTTATGGTTTTATTGAGCGAAAATAATGCAACTGGAAATCAATCAAATGTTGTGGAGGAAAGAAAGCAAAAGGCAGAGTATTTGTTTGAAAAAGAGGCCGTGATGAAGATTGGAATGATCAATCAGACGATAATGACACTTGTGTCTTATGGGTTATATACTGGAACAGTTCTACATTCAGGGAATATCCAATCTTTGGCCATGTGTATTGAAAATTGTAAATTGGTTTCAGAGATGGAATCTTGTGTTCATAATCAACTTTTGGAAATAGGAGGACATCAAATGACATTGGATTTAGAAGATTTATTTAGAAGAAATGGTATTACATTAGGACATCACACCAATACCATTTGTACTGAGGTTAAGGAAACTCTATGTAGGGTTAAAATTCCAACACGAACAGTTCAGGATAGAAAATTTGAGCTTCCAGATGGATCTGATCTGATGATCGAAGGGGAATGGTTGGAACAAATTACAGAAAAATTATTTCATTCAGGTTCATATTGTGTGGAATCATTGATCACGAACGCCAAGGCCACACTTTTACAAGAATATTGTGTTGGGAGGTGGAAATTGTCTATTTCCAGGATTTAGGGAACGTTTGCAAATTGAGCTAGATGCTATAGTATCGTCCCAATATCGCAGCTGTTTGAATGTACTTCCATTTTTGGAAGGGAAGAAAACAGAATATAAGGGAGGTCGTATTCTTTCAGAATTGTCAACAGTTCAAAAAGGAGCAATGATATCCAAGTCGCAATTTGAAGAACTTGGTTCGTCTATTTTCCACAGATTCCAATCATTCGAAAGGCCAATTTGCGAATTTTATTAGACGAAACAGTGCTGTTGATTCAAATCTGTTGTTTGTTCAAACTTTTACATAAAATATTAAGCACAAAAACCAGCTCAATTAAGGTTCCTTTAATAGAAACCAAACAGTCTATTCACTAAACAAAACTAACCCTATTCATCATACTCTATTGTGAAATCGGGTGTGGTATAGTGGTAGCATTCCAGACTGTCACTCTGGCGACCCGGGTTCAATTCCCGGCACTCGAGTAATAATTTTATATTTTCTAGTTCAATAGTCATTATTTGTTCAATTTTCATTTTATGTTAGTTTAGATATTTTACTTCAATATTGCGTTTTTATTTTTTTAAAATTTCTTCTACTTCCATTTTTAGAAGCCTCTGTTTGGATTAAAACTAATATTTTTTTTCCAAAAATATCCAAAAGAAAGATTGCTTCTTTCTTCCTTATTTCTATTAATGAATAATGGTTCCATGCTCTCATAGATCAATTTTGACTCTATCTTTAATATTTGAGTTTTAATTTTGTCATAATATGAAGAAATAGATCTTTATTCAACAACTTATGGCTCACTTTCAATTGAAAATTCAGAAGAACAATGATAGATTTGAATTTTTGTTTTGTAAAAATTTCATCAAGGCCAAAATTGAACATAATGAGGATGTATTAATCAAATCGTAGTGATTGTGGATGGAGTGCGTTTGAATTCAGAATCATTAATCTTCTTCATCAAACAATAAGAAGCAATTCAATAAAAAAAATGGAAGACTTTGATGATTTGATGGACCAAGTTATTCACTTGGAACGTAATTTATATGAAAATGCCAAGGAATTAGGAAAGAATCATGGAGAACAAGCAGCAAGAGATGAAGGGTTTGAATTTGGAGTTGGTTATGGAAGAAAGGCTGGTTTGGAAATTGGAGAAGTTATCGGATTGTGTATTTACATTAAATCACATATTACTGATGTTGATGAAAAGACAAAGGAGAGAATTATTCATACAATTCAACAAATAGAAAAGATTATTACTTTGGATATTAATTGGTCAAATCCATCAAAAAATGATTTGGAAGAAATTGTAGAAAATTTAAGAAATAAGAAAAAGTTACTTGAAATTAGATCTAAACAAGTTATTGGAAAAGTAATTGTTACACAAAAGCAAGATTATTCATTTTAATCATCATGTGTTAATGATACATCGTTTGGAGGATAATCAGTATATGGAGTATTTGATTCAGTTGGTTCCTTATTTAATAACAAGTGATAATCATAAGTATCATTTCCAAATCTAAGAAGTTTTTTCAGTGTTGTTAATTGATAAACTGAGCATGATAAGAATGGAACACAACAAAATACTGTAGCCAATGAAGATAAAACAATACTGATAATATATGCATATTTCTTTACACTTGATTCGTGTGTTTCATCAGGTGTGTTAAAGTTTGGATTTGAGACAAGAGATCCAATGGTTAATCCTATATTTTTCATTATCTATATATCAATTTGATTTCCAATCAATAAAAACTCACCAATTCTATAATATATTCAATTAATGTTCATTTTGTTTCAAATCATTTTCATAAAACACATGATGATGATTTGAATTCATACTTCATAAGAATTTAAATTATTAATTAGTAAATTACCTCAAAATAGCCATCAAAAGACACAGAGAAACAAAAACAACCCAAGAAACACTCAATACATATCTCCTCTTAACATTGGCCAACATGACAGAACTCACAATAGCCAACACTCCAGCAACCACCAATAATATCCCAATAACATAGTCCAAAGCAATGGCCGGAATTGAAAATGATCCTTCCAAAATTGTGGCAAAATAACCAGTCTTTGTGTGAGTGATGAGGAGAGAGGAGGCAAAAATAATACAAGCAACACCGAACATGATCATAATTATACCTCCAATCAGTGAGAGGTTTCTTGATTGTTGTACACGATGAGATAACTTTTGTGACTCATTTTCTGTTGCAGCCATTTTTTTAATTGAAAATGACTTGATAAGTGACATCAATAGTTTTCAAAGAGAGCTTTTTGTTTCGTACAGTGCATCAGCAGTGCAGTGAATAAAGAGGGAAAATATTTATTATGTATTCCTATTTGAAAAAGTTTACATATTTATTCTGATTCAACACCTAATGTTGGTAGTTGAACGACTAATTCGCCTACCGATTTAGAGTCAATCTTAATATTCTTTACAGAGTTAATAGTTAGATCCGTTATTCTTTTAATTAATTGGATATCTTCATCGTCTGGTGTTCTGCTGTTAGTTTCATCATTGTTTGAACAATCTTTGATCAACTGTTCAATAACCGATTGATTTTCAATTATATTTGATGTAGGTAATGTGAATAAATTGGATTGTTTAAGAATAGTTTCAACGGTTTTCATCCTCTCTTCATTTTCAGGTTCGTCTTCTTCTCCGTAATTATTTTCATAATTTAAATCTCCACCTCCTACAAGTAAACTTGGACTACTGCTCACATAGATAAACTTTTTACCAGTCTTGTTAAGAATTTTATCGAACATTTCTCTCTCCTTCATACGTAGATCGGTCCAACTTTCAGCCACAGACTTTGCAACAGCTCCATCTTCACCCTCTACAAGATGAGGTTTTGTTAAAAGTGGATTTGAATGTATATTGTTTTGATTTCCATTATTATTTGTTGTATTTGTTGTTGTTGCTCCTCCACTATTATTTCCACCCGATGATGATGGAACAGTCTTTTCTCTGGTTTTTGTTGAATTTACGTCTTGTTGTTTACTTTGGTCACAGCCCATTTTTTATGTTGTGATTCTTTGAGAGGATATTTTTAGGCTTTGAAAAAAATATCAAATTATTACAAGTTATTACTCAGCGAATTTATTAAAGATTTGGAAAGGATTTTAAATCTATTATCTCATATATAGTTGATTATAGATAAATAGATTCCGAGTGTAGTGAACAAAATATTAATATTTTAAAAATGTTAACAGACTTTGAAATCAATGATGAGAATAATCATCAGGACGATCAGGGCTATGATGAAATTATTGGAGGAGAAGATCATCATGTTCGTAATAGTAACGAAACAAAATTTGATAATTTACCGGAGGAAGTAATTGCAAATATTTGTTCATGTTTTATGAGAAATTCAACAACAAATTTAGCAGAAAGAAAAGGACAACAGGATTTTTCTGAAAATTCATTGTTTGAGTATGAAGATTTTCATACTGTCAATATTGATGATTTAATAGATATTTATCCATTATCGTTACTTAATAGAACTATTAGAAACAAAATTTTAAATAATAATCATTTGTGGAATGAACAAATGATTGTTGATCTGAGTGAATTTTCAAAATCAACCAAATTATTTAAATATATGAATAAGATTAATGATTGGAATTATAGTTCATCTGATGATGATCTAATTGTAACAGTAGAAAGAGAAAGACTAAATATTGCTTTGAACTTTCTTTCATGTCTTGGTTTATCTGAATATATTAAAAAGTTAAAAGTTAGTTGCATATTGAAAGAAGTTGGGTTGAAGGAATCCATTTCATGGTCAAAACTCATTATTCACTCATTCCCTAATCTAACAGATATCATCTATTACAGCCTCACTGATAGAAATGTTGTTAAGAGGTACGAATCCTTAGATTGTACTCAGGGAAAATGGCAAAATTTGAGCTCAATAACTGTTTATTTTGATTTTACGTCATTATTATCTTTAATAGAAAACCACAAATCTACTATCAAGTCTATTGCTTTTTCTCCAAAAATGTCAGATAGGAAATCAACAGAAGAACTCTTAAAAAATCCCAAGATACTGGAAAATGTACAGAACATTATTATTAGTATGAAGTTTGATTCTGCAATGATGGAATCTAACAAAAATTATATGGAAAAGTTTGGTGCATTAAACATAGATTGTTCTGCTTTAGATATAGAGCGTTGGATTCCAAAACTGACACACCTTAAAAAGTTGGTGTTGGAAGGAATATACAATCCAAATTTTAAAATTGAAAACGTTAATTTCACAAATTTAACTGAGCTAGTGATATGTTTAGCTAATCAATCGGAATTAGCTTTCAACAATGTTCAAGCTCCAGAATTGCAAGAGCTTAGCATTTCTAATGCATCAATAGAAGCATCAACAGAGCCATTTAAAAATTTGCGATCATTGAAATTTCAAACTTGTAATTATGATCAAAATTTTTGGATCAAATCTCACCCTACACTCATGTACTTTAGCTTGTTTTTTCCAGAGTTTAAAGACACTATGTATAATCGCTCATTTTCATTGACTGACAATCAAAGCTTACTTGTTATTTTACTTACCTCACTGGAATCTGTCTCTATAACTAACATCAACCCTTCTTGCAAATTATATATTGAAAAATGTCAATCAATTCAGATTAATACTAGTAAGATATCTGAAATTTATATACAGAGCTATTCTACTGCTAGCGATATAAATATCAAAGGAGATCACTGTTCAAAACTTCATCTTCCAAAAGGTATTGAAAAATGTAAAATAGATTTGAATTCAATTAGTGAGATGAACTGTTATTATCAAGATAATTATTCTAAAATATTACCTCTTAGAGCACATAACATTTCGTTAGAAACATTGCATATATCCTGCTTTAACATTCCTATTTTTATTAAGGAATTCTTAACATCCTTTAAATATATTGGAACTTGTAAATGTGTTATCAGTCATGATCATACATACTCAAAAGTATACAAAAACATTAGTCCAAGCTCTAATCTTGATACTGACATGTCTAGTGTTGAGAAAATAATTACTCATGGAGATATATCACTTCATACACATTTGACAAATAGCACCTCCTTACATACAATAATATCTGGAAGCAAATTAATCTGTTCTCCCAATACCACCTACTTGAGCACTTCACTCACTCATTTGGAAACAAGTATTCAAAACTTTTCTTCACAATTTGACCTCCCTAATTTGAAAAATTTAATAATTTCTCATTCTGCAGATATAGAAATTGATCTTTCTCAATATCCACATCTAGAAGATTTTTCAATTTCTCATTCTAAGAATGTAAAAATTCGAAATACATCCAAGAGTATGGAGAAAATGAAATTTTTCCTATTGGAGGGTATTAATTCTCTTTCAATCAGTATTGATAATGTACAAGCCCCAAATATCCGAGAAGCCATCATTCACTCAATCAAAAGCATTGAACCTGGTACTGAGCCAATATTCACTTTATCTCATAGCCCAAAGATGCTCTTTTACTATGTTTCATTTGTGTGGAAACCAGCTTTTAAACCAAACCCACCTCGTACACATCAAGAAACTTTTGTAACGCCAATACCTAACGAAAACACCAGAAATTGTGAAATATTATAACAATTTCTGGTGTGAAATATTAGAAACTTTGGATAACTTTTTTTCATTGAATCTGTGGCCAATTAATTGTGTTACTCCTCATTCATAGAAATTTCTAAAAACCTCGTTCCATTAAAATCTTTAATTGTTTCAATAACAATCTTATCTATTGGATCTGATAATAGCAATACTTCTAACCCTTTCTTGGAATACTGTTCAATAAGTACTTCATTAATATTGGTTTCAATGCTTAGCAAAAAGTAAATGAATGTTTGTCCCTCCATCATTCTTGAACAATAATCCCTCAAACTCGACCACTCCGTCCTTTTGCAATTCGAGTGAAATCTCAAAAGGTCTGTCAGAAGTAATCTATTTGAATCATCTAAAATCACTCCCATCTTGATTTTCCTTCCAAAATTTTGGTAGAAGTTCTTATAATCATCCTTATTTTCAGCAAGTCTTTCAAACATTTGCAATGTTGCCCTTGTCACACGTTTCCTTATTACTTTTAAAATTTTGTTTTCAGAAAATTGATATAAATTAAGAGGTAAATCTTCCGAATCTACCAATACTCTCATGAAATCCAAATAGTCTGGTACAATATATTTGCAATTATCCATTATAAACGTGCTTCTTATGTACAGATGACTGACAAGCTCATAATTAAAATGGGCCACCTTTGGAATAAACAATAGTAATTTGAATTCAAGAATTCCTTCAACTCTGTAATGAGACATGGTCAAGTAATCTTCCCAATCATTTGACATTTCCTTATAGAACTGTAAATATTCACTTTTTGAAATTTTTTCAGGATCTCTTGTCCACAAGGGCTGATCTTTGTTCAAAAACTCACATTTCTGTTCATTATTTTCATCCAGAGTCTGTAGTAACACTGGATATCTAATTGGTTTGGAAAGAACAGTCAGATACATCTTGAGAAATGAATTATCCAACAATACAAGTGAATCCTCATTCAAATATAGTGTTACTCTTGTTCCTCTTGTCAATTGTTCAGAACTTGTGTCACTTGCTACTTTGAAAACTCCATCTCCACTCGATTTCCAAATAAATTGCTCATTTCCATGCATTTTAGATGAAACCACCACTTTTTCAGCAATCATAAATGCTAAATTAAATCCAAAACAATTTCCAAACCGTTCCATTACACTACTTTTATCACCTTGTTTCAATAATTCAACATATAATTTCACTCTCTTACTCAAAGAACCTCCTAAATTCAACACAAGATCATTCCTTGACATTCCAAATCCTGAATCAATAATACTCAATGATTTACTCTCCAAATCAGGAATTATTTTAATGAATAGTTGAGGTTCACTCAACAAGACAGAAGAATCCGATAGACTTGCATATTTAATTCTATCCAAAGCATCAGAAGAGTTGGAAATTAGTGATTTGAGAATAGTTTGCAAGTTATTGGAAGGAGGAATTTGTTTCAATAATTTGATTAATTCTGCAATTTCCTCTTGAAATAAGAAAGTATCTTCCGATATCTGATGATCTGAAGCCATTTTTTTAATATATTGTAATGGATAATATTTTGTAAACAACATGCAGGAAAAATAGCGTTGGTCTGATGAAAATTAAATTGTCATCAACACAATTTCTTATGGAAAGACACCATACAATAAAAGTAAGTTGTAGGTTCAATTACTGGTCCTAACAAGGATTTTTCTTCAGCTAAAACACTCAAAAAAATACAACAAATTCACTTCTAAAAAAAACCTCCATCGGTACGGTTTTGGCTTTTTTCGTTCTCTTCATCACAAAGTTAAACCGTTGTTGTGTATTTTAAAAAGGCTTTGCAGAATAAGAAATAACATCGGCCCACAACATCAACATCTTCAACAACAACAACAACAAAATTTAAAAACACAACAGGTGATAGATTTCTACCTGATACAATCTAGGCTATTAACTGATTCATCATCAATTTGATCAAAATACTTTTCAACAATACAATTTCACGGATATGATAAAAACAAAACAATCACAATGAATACTCAACTCTCCAATAATAACCAATCCTCTTCCTCTGAACCCCACGAAATTTCAACTCACAAACAAAATGATGAAGCAAACAATATTCCAGTTGACGTTGCTTCTGGTGATCCTAATTCCCAATCATGGGTGAATTTACAACAACAGTTCATGGGAAATCCACATTACATGCCACCAAATATGACACCACAACAATACTATTATATGACTCTGTGGTTAATGCAACAAAACGGAGGCAAGGATGATCCCAATAAGAAGAAAACAGACAATCCATCAATAATAGATCCATCAGGTGCTGCTCCAAACGGAGAAGCTGAAAATCCATTAGGTATCTACCCACCACAAGTATATTTCCCATTTCCTGGCAACAATCCACCAAATAATTCACAAATTCCATCCCTAAATGTTGTTCAATCACAAGAAGACACAAACATTTCACAAGAAGCTGCAACACAAGAAAAGAAAACTAAAAGAAGAACAAAAGCCGCATCAACAACTCCTAAATCTTCAACTAAAAAACGAAAAAACACAAAGGAAGCAACAACTCCTGTTGAAGAAAGTTCTAACACACCAGATACACCAAAGAAAAAAAAGAAAAAGGAAACAACTTCTTCAAATGCAGGATCTAGTAGTAGAGGATCGAGAGGAGGACTTAGACATTTTAGTTTTAAAGTTTGCGAACTTGTTCAAAGAAAGAAAACAACTACAATTAATGATGTTGCTGATGAACTGGTTCAAGCAGAACTTCAAGATGAAGACAGTAAATCTGATGACAAGAACATTAGACGACGTGTTTATGATGCTCTCAACGTTTTAATGGCTTTAAATATTATTTCAAAAGATAAGAAAGAGATTAAGTGGAAGGGTTTACCTGTAGATTCACAAAAAGAATGTGAAGCATTGAATCAAATCAAATTACAACGTTTAGAAATGATTCAAAAAAAAACTCAACAATTACAAGAACTTGAAAAACAACATCGATCATTATCAAGTTTATGTCAAAGAAATTCAAGCATGAATTTTGCAGAATCTAAGAGGATTGAATTACCTTTTATTATTGTTCATACATCAAAATCAACACAAATTGAATGCGAAATGGATGAAAATAGGTCTGAGGTATTTTTCAATTTCGACAAGCCTTTCGAAATTCATGATGATAATGAGATTTTATATAGGTTAAATCTAGGTTCAGATCAAAATCAATCTTCAAATCAACCAAGTGAGTCGAATAATATGAACATTTCAACATCAGGTCAAGCAGAAGATGACTTCTTTTCATTGGAACAACCCACAAACACTTCCTCTCCAAAAAAACCTTCTAATAGCACTTCAAACAATGAAAAAGATATGGACACTCAATAAACTTGTACATTTTGTTATTTATTGTTGCTTAGTAGATGCATTACTTCAGACAGAACTCTTCTTGTTTTTTCATTCGCCATAAAAGCCTCATTATAATCTGATTCAATTTGATTTAGTTCCATTTCTAGAGAAGCAATTAATTTCTTCTGATCTTCTATCCTTACAACAAGATCCTGCTTAGTCTTTCGTTCGGTTTCAATCTTTTTCTTAATGTCTGAAATTGAGCTTGGGGGAGAACTCGAGGGAGAAGGCTCCTTCACTTTGTCAAATGAAAATTTGTAAAAATCCACATCTGGCCTTCTGAAAAATATCGTGTATTTGATTTCTGATTCCTCATTGAAATCCAACCAATCAACCAGATATTTTTTGATATTGTTTCCAATTAGAATGAGTATCGATGCTCCATGCAGAGTGGAGTTTGTTTTTTGGGAGTGGGGATCAAAAATTACATGCACTATTTCTCCATATTCTTGGTCTAGAATTGAGTATATTAGCTTAGTAAATGTGTTCTGTTGGAGTAATAATATACAACTCCTTCGTTTCGTTTCCAAAACTCGATCAACCTTGGAAGAAAGACTTGTGAGCTCTCTAAGAGTAATTGCAGCTGCGGCTTGAAGATCCAATAATTTGTTTAACCTATCGTTCATTCGCAACATGTGCTCTGCATCAAGAATTCCCTGTTGGGGATCTTGAAAAGCTCCAAGTTGTAGAACGTTGTCAATCAAAGAGTTGGTAATTTTTGATGGTTCTAGCACTCTGTAAAGCAATTGTGCACCCATTTCAAGGCAAGTCGGCAGTGATGATGTACTCACCCCAAATGTTTGATAATCATTTTCACTAGCGATTAATAAACACTTCTCGATGTACTTATAATTTTTCCTATACATGGTTTCGAATTCAAATTTCTTGATTGACCTAAGTGGTGATTCCCTCTCTGTTGTTGATTGTCTCGAATATTGTTTATCATTAATTTGATTCCTATCAATTGAATAATCATATGATCCGTAAGGGCTTCCACTTTTACTATAATTTCTTGATGGATCTGAAGGAGAGAAGGATCTGGTTGGCGTTGAAAATCGAACTGAGGGTTCTCTTGGAGGAGATTTAATAAGTTCATTGCTAAGTGACCTACGCTTTGCATCCGAAGAAGATGGTTTTTGAGGAGGAGAAGCAATAGGTGAATTAAAATTTCTGAAAGGACCATCCGAAGGAAATATTGTTGAGTCTCCATATGATCTTCTGTGGGATTGTTTTGATGTTGTAGTTATCGATGAAGATACTGGAGTATATTTTGAATAAGTTAATGAGTTTGAATTTCCATAGACATGTTGTTGCTGTTGCTGATCAAAGTGATGGTCATACTTTGGTCGTTGAGACATTTTATTCACTTTATTTTTTTGTAGAAAGTTTGGCGGGAAATCATTCTTCATTCTTTTCTTCTAACAGAATTTAAATCTGATGAATTTTCTTATCGCTCTCTAATCACTATTCAACTTAGCTAAAAACTAGGAAACGCGCTAGGAAGCATGCTGATAATTACCAATTATTTTGATGGTTCCTTATCATCCTTCTTATCCTTCTTATCTCCTAAATCAATTTCATCATCACTACTGTGTTTAGTCGAAACTGTCCTTGCAGACATGCTATCTGATACAACCATATGGTTTGAATTATTTGGAGGTAAAGTCAGATTTGGAAAACTCTTTTCTCCTGCTTGTTCCTTCTTATCTTCCTTCTTTTCTTCCTCTACTCTAGCAGAGCTTTGATTGTCATTGGAATTGCTTGTAGAAGCCACACTAATATCGCTTCTTGTTTTTCCTTGAGCTGAAAGAGGTTTAATCAACTTCATGATCGATTTAACTTTAGTTTGAACTCGGGTTTTTGTAACAGTTGTTTTTTGGTTGGCTTGGGTTCTCTTCTCAGCTTCTTCCTGAATTTTCTTTTTGGCCTCAGGGAATCTTGCAAGCACATTGTCGAAATCCTCCTTATACAAAACGAACACTTCACAAATTTCTTTTGCTCTCACAGAAGCCATTCTCTTGGAGTTGGAAATTAAGGCTACCTCTCCAAAGAAAGAACCAGAGGTAAGAGTGGCCCAAATTTGACCTTGAGGGCCGACAATTTCAACTGTTCCTTTACCAAGGAAAAACATTTCTCTACCAACCTCACCAAACTGCATCGCATAGTAATTTTCCAAAATGATTGTGTGGTTCAAGTAAAGACAAATTTCTTGAATGAATAATTCTTCCATATCTTTCATGAAAGGGACTTTCTTTACAAGGTCTTTGTGCAAAAATTGAGAAACTTTTCTCTTTGTCTCAAGTTCCAAGTCTTCCAAGATATCCTCATCAGATTTTAGTTCTCTGTTAGCTCTCTGAATGATACCTAAAAAGTTACGAGAGTCAACAATTAGTTTAGTATTGACCTTTCTAAATTTCAAATAACCTGAAATGTCATCCAATTTTCTGTTAAACTTAGAACTCTGTTGATTCATTTGGTTTACAAGATTCGACACGACACCAACAATGCCGGCAAAGAACAGTACTCCAAAAATGGCATTCAAAATGGAGTAGAGGGCACCAAGCTCATCTTGAGGGACGTCAGTTGCGAAACCCACAAGGAAGACAGTAGCAAAGTAAAAACTTCCTACATATTGCTTCACTCTTGTAACAAAGTTATAAGAAGCAATATCAGAAGATAGGTTCATAAACACTAAGTATTTCAAATTATCTGTTGTGTCCATCTGAATTAAAATATTACCATATTCATGATACTGATTAAGGTTCCAAAAATATAGGCATGAAAACCAGTGAATAATAACACTGAGATAAATAATAGACTTGACAATACGTAAATAGATGGGGTTAAGCCTACTCTTCGATTCTACAGTTTGATAATAGTCACCCAATCTGAGACTAATAACAGGAATAATTCTAAACAATCTAAATGCTGGATGATTGAGTAAAAACCAATCATATAATGTACAATACGAGAGAATATCTATTAACAACAATTTCCAGTAAGAAAGCAATCTTCCAAGTCTCTTTTTTTCAGGATCTGCTCCAACCATCTTTGGCTCCAAAAGGTGAGCTATCACATTGGTGATAGCCAAAACATCCGCAACAATATTCAAAACCAAAAATCCAACATGTGTATATTCTTCAAAACAAGCAAGGTAAGGTGCAATAATAGCATTATACAAAATTACTATTGTCATAATAAAATCCAAAACTATTCTAATATTGCTGTCAGGCATGATGTAAAAGGATGTTGTTATGTTTTTTATCCTCATCGGAATAGAAACATGTTCTTTTTGACTCTCCTTATCTGCCAGTTTTACATCAACGTGACTTGATGATGCTGGAGAATCTGGTTTTACTCTTCGTTTTCCTCTCTGAAAGAATTTACTCAGGAACATTTCAGTTATTTTTTTTATAGTTACCAGTAGCATGTTTGGCGGGAAAATATGAACATTGAGATGCTCAATGATTGGCATTGAAATTAAGAGTTCTTATTTGAACATTTTAAGTGCTTCTCGAGTAATTAAAATCTAGTGATGTTATTAGCTCACTTTTTTGATAGTCACGTCAAAGTTGGTATTGAATTTATTCTGGTTATAAGAATTACAACAAACCTAAAGCTTTACACTCAAAAAAATGTAGGTTTGATAATCATCTTAATTCTCTATTAAGTTTTGAAAGAATCTATGCAAGTAAATAGTGGAAGGCACAAATTTAGAATTGTCACCAAAGAATATTGAAAAATATTTTCCAACGTCATACCTTCTGCCTTGTTCATCTTCTCTGAGAATTTGTTTTCTCAGCACAGAAACTTCTCCGCAATATTCATAGCCTGAGCAACACCATAGAAAAAATATGAACAATCGACAACTTCCCTCCAATTTTAACTTTTACGGGGAGACAACAACAGACTATCCCTCTGATTTTAATATGACAACAAATTTATTTGATGATTTTCTTGCTTCTTTAACTGAAACACATCTACTCACGGATAGTAATGTAAATACAAACAATAGCATGCTCCTTCCGCATAATGTATCTTCTAATTTAATACCAACAACATCATCAACAAGTACATCATCATCGTCGACAATGTTGCCACCAATAACGGCACAAGATCTAACCGGTACTACATCTTCACAAAACGATTCAAATTCTGGTCAACTTGTTACAAACGTTTCTCTAATTACAAATAATCAAAAATATCCATCAGGAATAATTCAAGATAATGTACATTTGTTTTTTGGTTCTCATGGTTCTTCAGATACATATAAATTGGAAGTTCAGGTAACGCCAATTGTTGATCAAATGATAATGAGTAATCAAACTAAACTTGTCATACAAGTTAAAAGAGAAAATAGCAAGGAACTTTTGAAGAAGGCTCGTTGGGTATTGTCTTTGGAGAATAGAAAAGAAGAATGTATTTATCTCGTTCAAAATAATAATTTTCCAAAAACAAGAAGAGGAAGAGGTATTAACGAATCTTGTTTATTTGCCTTCTCTCTGGAAAATTTACAAAATGTTCCTGAACAATTATTTCCAACATTTAAATTTCAATTTTACTCCAAGCTCATACCAGGAAGTTTCCCAACAGATTCGTTCACTGTTCCACCATCAACACAACTTTCTAGGCCAGAAGTATCCACATCCTCATCATCACCACCTACACAACAAATCATTTCCAATCCACCTATGATAGTAATGGAACAACCAAAACCTGTTATGAATAATATTCTCTTCCCAGCTTCTGCCTTTAATCAGTCAACCCAATCCTTTGATCCTATGTCACTTTTTAACTCTCTTACCGAACAATCCCAACAACAATCAGATGATCTAATTTATCAATCTTCAGGAAAAAAGAGGAAAAAGATAGAAATCTTTGAACCAAAGTTATTCTCAATCAATCCAATGTATGGAACTATTGGAAGCACTGTTGTTTTATTGGGCAATTTTAACGTTTTAAGTGAAAAAGCAGTCAAGGTCCATTTTGATCAAGTTGTTGTTGAGCATCCACATGCCGTTACGCCAAATACTATTGTTTGTACTGCTCCTGATCATGAAGATGGTAACTCTTTTGTTCAAGTTGTAGAAGAATTTGAACACTTCCAAATGAAAACTGAGCACAAAATTTTCAGATATATTTCACAAAGCTTCCAAATGGGTATCAACCAACTCGTCTTTAATTCAGGCCCAAGACCTTACCAATCACCACCTTCATATCTTTCTCCTGGAGCTCCAAACACTGACTCATCTTCTAGTTCTAACTCTTATAACTCAGGGCAAATGTTTTATGATAGTCTTAGACAAAATAATTTACATAGAGCAGCTTATGATGGTGATTTGAGGGCTGTTGTTTCAATTCTTGAAAGCAGATCATGTGATCCATTTGAATTGGACAATTTTAAGAGAAGTCCATTCCACATTGCTTGTGCTATGGGTCACTTATCAGTTGTTCAAGCATTATGGACTCATATTGTTGATATTCTTCCTGAAGAAGAGGATGAAGATGAAGACGTACTTGCATCTGTTCTCTTATATCAACAGGATAGTTTCTCAATGACACCTCTCGATTTAGCTTCAAAGATTATAGACGACAATGAACATGATGTTATTTTCTTCCTTAAAGACAAATTAGTCACCTATCCAAACTTGAATACAAAGCTAGGTAATGGTGATCTAGTTCTAGTAGAAAACGAGGTACACGAACGTAAACTAAATCAATTGAAGCACTTATTCCCATCCTTTGACGATTTCTTCATTAGAGAAATTCTTGAGAGATGTGGTTGGAGTGAGACAGAAGCTGCTGCTTTGGTTTTATGCCAACAATTTGAATCCAATATCTGTGCCAAATCATCTATGACTTCTAAGGAAGTTTTCATGGTAATAGAGAAACAAAAGGCCATCAATCAACTCATTGATTTTATGAACATGTCTCCCTTCTCAACACTTTTAGCAAACAAACTTTCTAGATTCTTTGATCCAGAGAAGCATTTCGAAAATTATGAAAAGGAAATCAAACACAAGTTTTCTAAAAAGATTTACAAGATTGAAAACATTGTTCATCCCGAGCTTCAACTCAGATTCAGCCAATATATCAATCAAGAAGAAAACCCACTGATATTTATGACATTCCACGGAACAAGTGAACAAAATGTTTCTAGTATTAAGGAACACGGTCTCTTGGTTCCTGGAAAGGGTAATGATATTAGACCAGTTAATGGTAGCGAGTATGGATTGGGTATTTACACATCATTCTCGGGTACTTCATCAATTGAGTATTGTTATGGTGGTAACAAGATGTTTGTTTGTGCTGTGTGCGTTAGGGACAAGATTGTTATAAGTGAAGATGGAAATGTTCTTGTTGTTTTTGATGAAAGATCAGTATTGCCTTGCTGGCTGATAACATTTGAAAACCGAGTTGAAAATGTTCAAGAACCTGTCAATATGAACTATAACAATAACCTTCTCAGACAAATCTAATTGTAAAATATAATTAAACAAAAGTTTATTCCATTGATCAATGGTTCATTTTCATAATAATAATCAGTTGCTTCAGCTTTGTAATAAGCATACTTCATTTCCAATTGAATTTCGTCATTATCATCCCTTGTAGCATAGAGTTTAAATTGACCTTTGTAACTACATTGTGGCACCTCTAACAGCTCCAAAGAGATTCATCACACCTGCACATTTAGAAACGAGTACCTTTGGTGATTATTTCTTTAAATTCTTTGGTGAGAACCTTCTGGCCGTTGCGTTCCATATTGGATAGTTCTAAATTTGATTGGTGGAATTAATTCTCCTCTTAATGTGAAATTTCTAACATTTTTCAATTATCATCATTTCACCATTTTCACCCATATCAATTTTATTCATATTCAATACATCTTTGTATTCGGTTCCATCATGTGGATTGGCGCCAAAATTGATAATGAAACCTTAATCAAAAAAAAATGCTCAAACATGATCACACCATGCGCTTTATTCTCTCATTGTTCAATGACGGAGATGAATTTGTTTATTTAAAAAATTAGCAATGGTGAGAAATAGTATCTGAATTTGGTGGGAATTCTAATAATTTATTACTTTGGTTAAATCGTGATGAATGGTGACCAACATTGATCCAGCTGTCAGCATTTCTAGATTCTTCATAAAAAAATGGCAGATTTTCAGAAGGCGTTTTATGCTGCGAGAGACGGCAAAATTGATGAATTTAATAATTATTTTAATGAACAAGATGTTAATAATAAATCACAGTATGGTCAAACCATGTTGTGGGTTGCTTGCTTCAACGGACATTTAGAAATTGTTAAATTATTATTATCATGTAAAACAATTGATGTTAATTTGGGAGTAAGTATTTAATATTTAATGTAATTTTATATTTATAATATTAGAATGTAAGTATTTAATATTATTTTTATTTATATTTATAATATTAGAGAGTAAGTATTTTAATATTTAATTTTATTTATAATATTAGGATGTAAGTATTTAATATTTAATTTTATTTATATATTTAATATTAGTCACCATTATACACTGCTTGCCAAAATGGACATTTAGAAATTGTTAAATTATTATTATCATGTAAAACAATTGATGTTAATTTGACTGTAAGTTTAATATTTAATGTAATTTTATATTTATAATATTAGGATGTAAGTATTTAATATTTAATATTATTTATATTTATAATAATAGTATGTAAGCATTTTAATATTTAATATTATTTATATTTATAATATTAGAGAGTAAGTATTTAATATTTAATTTAATTTTATACTTTTAATTAGGATGTAAGTTAAATATTAAATATTATTTATATTTATAATATTAGTATGTAAGTATTTTAATATTAATTTTATTTATATATATAATATTAGTCACCATTATACATTGCTTGCCGATATGGATATTTAGAAATTATTAAACAATTACTTCAACATCCAAATATTGAAATAGATAGCACATTGTCAGTGAATGGAATTAATATTCAAACAATTAAAAGTAACATGGAAAAAGAACAACAACAAATATTAAAAGAACAATTAGAACAAGAAGAGTTTAAACAACTAGAAGTGGAAAGATTAGAAAGAGACAGAATTAAAAAATTAGAAATGGAAAGATTAGAAAGAGAAAGAATTGAAAAGGAACATTTACTAAAAATAGAAAGAGAAAGATTAGAACGAAAAGAATTGGAGAAAAAACAACCATTCATAATCACATCTGAAACATTTTCAAAATTATGTTCACTCAACCAACAAATTGATAATAATAGAAGAAAAATTGAAAAACAATTTGAATCAATTCAATCATTTTTTTCTTCTATTCAAATTAAGAAAGAATTTGAAGATGAATATTTAACAATTTGTGATAATTTAAATAATTGTTGTAATTTAATTGACAAATTAACAAGTAATAATTATAATATTGAAAATAACGAACATTTGTTAAATATTAATAATTTGATGAATAATATTAGAACTATATTGGAATTTATTAATAATCAAAAATACTTATTTAAATTACAATCTTATTCAGAAGTATTAAAAGACAAATTACAATTATTTAATGAATTTAATTCTCAATTTATTAAACAAGAATTATTTGACAATATTGAAATGAGTGAACAATCTATTAAGAATATAAAAAGTATTAATATAGTTCCAACTCATAATAAATTTAGAAATGAAACTAAAACAACATTACAACAAGTTACAAAACAATTATCAAATATTGTTAACTCAATCAATAATTGTAATGAAATTGATTTGTCACAATTTTCAAATAATTTACAAAAAGCAATGGAATTATCAGAACAAGAAGAATTATATTTAAATAATATATTGTCAAATTGTAAAGTATTAATTTCAGACAATGATCAAATGAATATTTTACAATTATTTAATTTTTATCAAACACAAGAATTAAATTGTAAATTATTAATTCAAGAAACAATTCCATATATAATTGAAAAATATGAAATGTTACAAAATATTATAAATATTATGGATGATTATTCAAATTTATCAGAACAATTTAAAACTATTCAAAGACAAAAAACAAAAATTACAAGAAATTTACATATTGTAAATCTAGATATTGAAGGATTAAAAGATGAATTGAAACATGTCAATAATGACGATGAAATTAAAGATGAAATTCAAACTAAAGAAAAGAATTTAATTGAATTAAAATCTAATTTGAAGGAAAATATTCAAAAGTTAAATGAAATTAAAATGAAATTTCTTCAATTAAAAACAATTGGATTTGATATTAAATCAAACATGACAAGTGATTTATTATCTAATTTAAATATTAATGAAATGACACCTGAAATGTTTAAAGAAATTAAACCAATTCAAAATTGGAATGGAAATCATAATGTTTTTATTGGAATTGATTTAAATGATAAAAAACATATAATTAAACAATATAATTTAAAAGATAAGAAATCAATTGAAGGTTTAGAAAAGGAATTGAAAATAACAAACAAATTAAAGCACGCAAATATTATTGAAATTGAAGGAATTTACACTGAAGCTGATAACAAACACAGTACCACTAATGTATTTATTGTAATGCCATATTATTCAAATGGAAATTTGAAAGAATTTATTCAAACTAAAAGAAATCATCAAAGTAATACTTTAAATTTATTATTTTGGGAAAGAACATGGAGACAATTATTAATTGGAATTCAACATGTACATTCCAGAGGTGTTATTCATTGTGATATAAAACCAGAGAATATATTTGTTGGTGATAAAGATGAATCAACAGAATATTATCCAATTATTTTAGGTGATTTTGATATTAGTTTAGATATAACAAGTAGAACAATGAATTTATTCACAAGAACAAGTGGAATTGCTGGTACATTAGATTATTTATCACCTGAACTAGTGAATGGAAAAACATCAGCAACATTTAGATCTGACATGTTTGCATTTGGTAAAACAATTCAAAATTGTATGACAGATCAAGAATTGAAACAATTCAAATCATTGAATAATTTATGTGAAGAGTGTTTGAATTCAGATGTAAATTTGAGACCATTTGCATCTGATGCACTTGCAAATGAATTCTTTATGAAAGAAACATTATTAGATGAAGTTAAAATTCAGAAACATGTTCAATTAATCGAAAATCAATCAAAAGAATTGAAAGATTATCACAATCAATTGAATGAATTTGAATTGAAAATGAAAAAAAATCATGAAAATTTGAAAACTGAAATTTTAAATCTAGAAAAGGAAAAGAAACAATTTTCAAATTCAAAGCAAAGGAAAACGAAGAAATTTCAAAGAAATTACAAAATTTGAAACAAAAAGAAATTGAAATTGAGAAAATGGAAAAGGAAATTAAAGAATCAAAATCCAAACAATTAACAATATCACTTCCAGGTTATTGGAAAAGAAACACATTCCCAAGCTATTCGAAAAGATATTACACTGTTGATGTTACACAATATTTAAAAGATACAATGCAAGAAATTATGAATGCATCCTGTAATTCTGCAACACTTGGATCTGGAAGAGATCAAGTATCAAGAATTATGTATTCTAAATTGATTGTTTCCAGTGTTTCAAGAATTGAAAATTCAACACTTTTCACTTCATTCAAATCAAGAATGAATCAGTTAATTTCATATCAAGATTCAATTAATTCACTCCAAGTTCAGACTGAAAATATTTCAAAAACATCAAAAACATTTGAATGGATGAAAACAATTGGATTGAATTCTAATATGAATGAAAAATATTTATGGCATGGAACAAAACCTGAATTTGTGAATACAATTGCAGAACATGGATTCGATGAAAGAGTTGCAAATTTAAATGGATTATTTGGAGCAGGTATTTATTTTGCAGAATATTGTTCAAAGAGTGATCAATATTGTACGCCTGATCATTCCAATGAATTTACTCTATTATTATGTAGAGTTGTAATGGGAAGACAAATTCATTTCACAAAACAAGTGATGAATAATCAGAGAAGACCACCTGAAATTTCAGGAAGTAATAATAGAGTTTATGATAGTGTTATTGGTCAATCAAATACTTCAACTAATTCATATAGAGAATTCATTGTCTATGATAAATGTCAATGTTATCCTGAATTTATAATTAAATACAAGAGACAATAAGGAATCAATCAAAGAATTACCAATTTCACTCCCGATGTGAGAATTAGTTATAGAAACCTGTTGTAGAGATTACTACCATAAATCAGTAACTCTCAGGATCCGGACTATTGCAATAACCTTCTCAGACAACTCTAAATATAATTAAAACAAAAGTTTATTCCATTAAGTAAGGACATGAGCACTCATGTTTACAACAATACAACCACCTTCCTTTCTCTTTTCACTTACATTACATGCTTTCCTCTTGGTAGACATAATTTGGTTCATTTTCATAATAATAATCAGTTGTTGCTTCAGATTTGTAATAAGCATACTTCATTTCCAATTGAATTTCGTCATTATCATCCCTTGTAGCATAGAGTTTAAATTGACCTTTGTAACTACATTGTGGCACCTCTAACAGCTCCAAAGAGATTCACCACACCTTGCACATTTAGAAACGAGTACCTTTGGTGTGCTACTTCTTCTAATCATGATATCTTTGTAATAAGAATAGTGCATGCAGGTCTTTGACTTCCTGACTTGCAACGAATTCCATTCTTTCCAGCTCGGCAAATATTTTGTGAAAAATCTTGATATCCACATGGACTTTGTTGTAAGAAAACTTTCAATAGAATTGGTTGAGATGTTTGTTTGGTTATCATATTTTCTATTCTTTGAATTCTTCTTTCCTTTTTAGCAACAGATTTTTCCATGCACTTTTTGTAGGCGATTTTAAGATTTCTTCTTTGATGAGAACCGTCTGGCATTGCTTCCCATATTGGAATAGTTCTAAATTTGATTGGTGAAGGATTTTTCACAAAAGATGTAATTCTCCTCTTAATGTGTGAAATTTCTGGATTTCCTCCAATAATATCTCTGGCAGCAATCTTTGAATATTTCAAAAAAGTTGCTAGAATTGGGAGATTTTCAGTTGAGTTTGTTGATTGAATGAAGTTTTGCAGCATAACTAACAGCTTTCTCTCTCGAATAACAAGATCTGGTAATACTGGTTTGTCCAACAATTCCTCCATAATAAGTTTGAGTCATGACTCTTTCTCCAAAATACTTAATAACCATACTATAAACAGAATAAGAATATTTCGCTGGTAATCTGTGGAAATTTCTCTGAAATTCATCACTGAATGTTAAATTTCTATGACTTCCAACTGAATAATACATATATTTGGTATCAATGGAATGAATTAAAGTCTCAGATTTGAAAAGTTTGTGATAGGTTTGAGAAGCACTTTCAAAAGTATCTGAATATAATGTGGCCGTCAATGTGCTTGCATTAAAGTTATAGAAATGATTGTAGAACCTTCTTGGACTTTTGAATTGTTTATCCTTTGTGTCCACAATTGGAGTTTCCAAAACTTTAACATAGATTTGAGAACTTGTAATTTAACTTCATGATCCAAAACTGAGTATCCATAACCTGAAATGATGTTGGACAAATCAACGGCTGGAGCTGAAGAAACTTTCTTGGATTTTGTTAGAGAATTCAATGCCATTTCTTCCACTTTTATCGAGCAAACATGTTTCATTTGTTTAATTCTCTTCTTAATCTTTGGACATGTCTTAATGAGAGCATTATTGAGCATATCATACCAATTAATAAGGAGCATGGTGCAAGATTTAATTAAACTCCCTGGTGGAAAGATTCTAGTCAGGAACAATGAACTTTGTTTGTACCTTTGTAAATTTAAAAATAAAAAATTCCAACTGTAAAAAAACAAAATGTGTGGATTAGTTCGTTATGGATTTTATCGAGCAGGAAAGGTGAAATTCACCAATGATCCGAAATTAGCTGCTAAACATCGAAGTATTTGGTTGCGAGAGGATGACAATTCGACGATTGTTTCACAAGCAAATGATGAGAAGCAAAGAAGATCATATTCGAAAAAGAATATTCGAAAGCAGTATGAAAGAGCTTCCAGTAGAGGAGAAACTGAACAGGTAGGATTGACCATTGATAAAATGGAATTTGGATTGGAAAAACAAGTTTATAATGAATTGAAGGACAAGTTTTACAATACTAAAACTGTAAGAAATGGAAAGAATCATAAAAAATGGCATAGAAATCATAGAGATTGTTATTCGAATAGAGAAGTAGTTTATGAGTAATTGAATAAAATCACTCAAAATGAAACACTTTTTAAACGTGGCATTCACTGAAAGATACTCAAAACGAAACTGAATTGGGGTTAAAACAGCTTTGAAATACCATTTGCCATTGGTGTAAACAGGTTTATTCCTTATCTAATTAAGTTTTTCTGTAATTTCATGGTAAAAAAGAAGCCTCCTGTGAAGTAGAGCCAACAGTTTCTCAAAACCTTTTCCAGATATTGCTTAAATCAAAGCTTTGACATTAGAATTTGAACAAATTGTTCAAAATTAGAGACGACACAAGAGCAAGCTTGTATTTGGGAGTTACTTTCGAAAACAATTAAGAGTTTGATGAAGGAAAAATTAACACTTAAATGAAAATACTATCATGGAATATTTTGATTAAACGATTAGCAACCTCATCACAAATGTTATTTCCAGAAATATCAAAACTGGTCAATTGTTTCAAATCACTAAAATAAAGAGCTCCTTCATCACTAATACTATTGCAATTAATATCAAGATTGGTCAACCATTTCATATCGCCTATGTGTCTAGCTCCTTCATCTCCAAGATTATTTCTATGAATGGAGAGATGAGCTAGTTTATCCAATCCACTAACATATTGAGATCCTTGTTGACCAATATTATTAATAGAAATATCAAGAAAAGTTAATAATTTCAATTCTCTTATAAATTTAACTCCAATAGCACTAATACTATTAGAAGAGATACTAAGTTTGGTCAATTTTGTCAAACCACTTAGATAAGTGGCTCCTTCATCACCAATTCTACAACTATTAATGTTAAGTTTGGTCAACTGTTTCATTTCACCTATATATTTTGCTCCTCCAGGACCAAAAGAAATACCAAATATATCAAGATCGGTCACTTGTGGCAGTTCATTTATAAATTTTACTCCTTCTTCATGAATTCCATTCTTAGCAATAGCTAAACTTGTTAAGTGTTTTAATTTACCAACATGAAATGCTCCTTTATCACCAATATTAATGTTATTAACATTTAAACTGGTCAATTGTTTCATTTTAATGATATCTTCAAATGCAATATTTCCAATATCATTTCCGTTAATATTAAGACTAGTCAACTTCCTCATATTGGTAATATATTTGAGACAATTCATACCAAATCTATTTTTACTTATAACAAGATTTGTTAATTGTTCCAATTTACTTATATGCATAACTCCATAATTACCAATACTATTATCAGAAACATTAAGATAAGTCAACTGTTTCAATTTACTTATTGGTTCCACTATTGAATCAGTTATCAAACTCTTAGATATGTCAAGACTAATCAATTGATCCAATGAAATTAAATATTTAGACATTTCTACAAAATTAATTTTTGAAATTCGAAGATCAGTTAATGATTTCATCATGATCAACTTGTTGTAAGTTTCAGAGTTTCCCCATCTAGTCATCGTCAGAGTTTTAATATTTTGTAAAAATTGACCAGCTATTCTGTCCATTCTTGCACCTTTACATTTCAAGTAAAGATGATGACATGTCGATAACACCACATTGAACCACTGTTTTGAAACCAATGAACAATTCATGACAATAAATTTAAAATCATCATGAAAGGATAAAATTTCATAAATTACATCATCAGGAAATGTTTCTACTACTGGGAGTTGTTGAGACATTTTTATTCCTTTGATGAAAAACACTTCCAATTATCTGATAGAAAAATCTCTTCCCATGATAACATGTTGATCTTTGATGTGAGAATAATCCACAATTTTCTCAGAGCATAAATTCAGTATTATATAATTTAAGAAAAGAGATGATTAATGGCTATTCATCATCGGAATTGATTTTGAATAAACTTAAACTGTAAATTTTTACAAAACAAAAATTCAAAACAAGCCTTCATCACGCCTATTTGTTAGGAAACAAATTCTCTTGCTTTCTTTTGAAAAAATGTTTGTCCACCATTATCACAAGGAAAGGAATTCTAAAGTTTTATAAATTCAAAGGCTTTGTGTTGCAAAACTAATACAAGACAAAAAAATTAAAAGTAATATGCTCCCTCAGACAAATAGTGATGATGATTCGCTGATTGATGATGATCAACTTGCATCAATTTACGAAGCAATCTATCCATCAAATCAAATTAATGTAGTTGACAATAATAATAATCAAAGTGTATTAATTGATGATATAATGATTGTTGATCCTTCTTCGGAATCAACATTTAGGATCTATTTGAATGAATTTATATTTACAGAATATGAATATGTTGAAGTTACTCGTAATTATGAAAACCAAAAGGAATACAGAAAAACAAATGTCAATGCATGTGGTTGGTTGAAGAAGAATACTAAGAATTCTACTCCATACTTGGATAATAAGACGTATCAAATACCATTAGATCCTAATGGTGACTACTTTATTGAGAAACTGTTGCTAGTACAGATTAGCCCTGGTAAGATTCCAAAGAGATACTCTCTTGAGAGAACTATTCCTGAATTTAGAGTCGATGCAAGTGGTAATCGTTATATTGGAGCAAAATTGAGGAAAATCAAAGCATTTAATGCTAATCAAGAAACTGTGAACAGAATTTTGAGGATTTCCAAACATATACAGGATAAATTGATCCAAGAATGGCCTGAGAATTTGAGAGAAGATGTATTTTTATTACCATTGGTTTCCTCCTCAACTGGATCATCAGATATTTCACTGTTCAATGGTATTCCTTACTTGGATGTTTTGGAACAATTCTTCTCTAACAATAGTTTACTTATCCAAGATGCTGAGTTTGAGAAAAGGTTGAAAAACCCAAAAGGTTTATTAGTCAGATGTGAGCAAACATTTGAATACTCAATTTTAGGTAAGTATTTTACGCACAATTTTACCAATAGTTTCACCAGTTGGTCATTATCAAGGAAAATTGCTTGGCAGAAAACTCACCAAAGAATTGGTAAAGTGCTTCATTAGTAACCCACACTTAATAAGTGCCAAGAATGCTGACATTGAAATTGATCCAAGTTATGTTTCATTCCCCAGATATGGACTTGAACTTGTTGAACAATTAAGAGAGCAATTTTACATGGAGTTAGATGTATTAATCCAGATGAATCACTATCAAAAAATGTTAGATTTTTATATTATCAAATTTCCTGGTTACCGTTTTCTTAAGGATCCATTATTGATTAGGGTAGCCCATACCTTCCCTTCCTATGCACACAAAATGAATTTTGGTCGTGGTCACTATGAGAGATTAGAGTTTATGGGAGATTCTGTGGTTAATCTTACTGCTTGTGTAGAACTGATCAAATCTTGCAGAAACGATGATTCAAAGAAGGGAGATTGGAATGCTGGATTCACTGTATTGATTGCCAACGATTCAATTACCAGAGAAGCAGAAAAGTTACAAATTTCTGAACATTTCCTCAATAGTTCTGATAAGTTTTCAAAAAAGGCACAGTCCAATGTTATTGAGTCTATCATTGGAGCATTGTACATGGCTGAAGGAATAAGAGGTGCTCGATCTTTTGCAAAGGAATTACTTATACCAACTAGCATTGACTTTAAATGTCTAAAGAAATTTTCTAGCTCCTTCCCAAGCGTTTCAAATGAGGGAGAGCAATGGAAAAGAGATGTTGAGCATATGAAGTTATTTATTGGACAAGATATTATAGAAAAATTGCAAGACATTTTGCATTATAGATTTAGGGATGTTGGATTGATACAAGAGGCTCTAATTAGCTGCAGTTACAATAACACATTTATGGATCTAAGAAATGTACCCATGACTGAAAAGATTCAAAAATTTTTGAAAAAGAGAAATGATAGCAAAATAGTTGGCCTTTATCATTTGTACAATAATGAACAACTCAAATTATTGGGATCAGCACTACTCAAGTTTATGGTCACTGAATTTGTTTACAAGAGATTTACAGAAGCACAGCCAAGCAAATTAACTTTGCTGGCTCACCAAATAATCTCAAAGCAAGGCAAAGTATTCTCAGCTATCCATGAAAAGTTTAGATTTGATCAATTCTTAATGAAGACTGATATCGACGCTGATTATTCAGAAATTCAGCAATCCTATGACTGTTTTACTGCCCTTTTGGGAGCTATTTTCATGGATCAAGATTGTTTATTTTATAAGTTTGAATTTGCAACAATTTCTAACACCTATACAGAAGAGCTTGCCAATTCTACTGATCCTTGCTCATCTTATTTCCTCAAAAGACATGATGTTACTCCTGACAAGTTCTTCTATTCATTCTTGTTCCCTTATATCGAACAGTTTGAGTTGAGCCCTTATACCATTGAGCCTCCAAAGAAGCACACACTTCAACATTTGATCCAAGTCAACCACAAAAGCGTTCCATCTTATGTAAAGAATCAGGACGTATCCCAAGAGTTTTGTGTTACTATTATGGTAAATGGACAAGAGTTCAGTAAGGGTGTTTCTTCTAAATCTTTTGCAGAAGCAGAAGAACAAGCAATAGAAATGGGCTTGAAAATGTTTTAGTGTAATTAAAATTGTTTTACTATTGATCCCTTAATTTGATGTTTCTGTTACTACACTTGGCTTTTCTACTAAAGATCCTTCACTGGCTAATTGTTCTTCATTCCTGTCCAAAATAAATTTCTTAATCTCGTACATCATATCTTCAAAATAGAGACTTTCACAATTATTATGTCCAGCATCTGGTAATGAAACAAATCTCGAGCATGATTTTTCATTTGGATTCAATTTTGATGATGCAATCTTATACAGAGTGTATCCATGTTCATAAGGAACAACCACATCCTTTCTGCCATGGAATATAAGAATAGGAATATTCTTCAAGAATGAGTAGTTACAAATCGATGCCATCTTTTCCTCATTTTTCATCATGTCAGCTATGTAAGTTAGTGAAATATTAAAATATTAAATTACGTACAAATGAAAAAGTCTGGTACTGTAAATGCATTAAATTTCGTCTTTACAGCACTTAATAATGGAGATTGTAAAACCATACCCTTGATTTTAATTCTCTTTTCTACACATTCCTTGAATAAATCAGTGGTTGGTCCTGAACCAATCGATCGTCCATAAATAATTATTTCCTCTGTAGGAACTATCTTACAATCCGTTAAGAATTTAAATGCTAATCTAATATCTATTGAATATTAAAATTTCCGATATTATCACAAAACTCACCTGAAAAGAAATGTTTTTCAGTTGGTGTATTATTTGAACATCCATATCCTTGATAATCATAAGCAATTGTATTACATTTTAAATATCTGCTCAGATAAATCATCCACTTCTTTAACTGTCCAATATCTTCTGCATTTCCGTGAGAATACAGTATTGTTGTTTTGGCACCAGGATAAACACAATGAAAAGCACTTAATCTTTGTGATTCCTCTTTAGAGTCGTTTAAAAAGTTATCAAACGGATCAAAGTCTTTTATACAGTCAGGAGTTATATAGAATGTTGATTTCAAGTCTTCATTTACAACATTTGTACATTCACTATCAGGAGGTAAATAGGAGGCAGGATTAGGTGGTCTAAAAACAATATAATCAATCGGAATCATGATCAATTTAAATTTAAATATATTCAATGATGATGAATAGGAAACACAATCTTTCTATTACTACTAAATATTCAACAATAAAACAAATTATAAAAAACAAATTGTCTCCTCTATCTGCAATTATCTAATTGTCTCGATCGCTGGTAAAAAGTAAGCTAGGTTACGATGTATTTTTTGTTCCACTTCACGCAATGTTCCTACAAGTCCAATTCATCATCAACAGCCTTTGATGACGCTAATGACGAAAAGCTGGAAGGTGTTTGGATCAAGAAAATGGAATTAAATTCGATGTACTCCTCGGAGGTAAAATTAAGTCGGGTTTGTGAGTGTGACATTGTAAGCGTAGGATTGATCAATTCCTTCTTTTATGGACTAAGGATATTCATGTCTTTTCAATAAGTAATAATGTATCTCTTCTTTCCTTGGAAAACAATGTAACATCTATCAAAAAAATCTGTGATATGAAAACCTACAGTAGACTATTTACCCCAACCCGATACAACAAAGATTGTTGTAATTAATCTTTGGAAATACAGAAGTGTATCTGGTTTACAGAATTGTTGGCAGTGTTCCTCTCCAATTTGAATACTCTACAGAAGATATTGATTTCTTGATCCTTATTTGTTGATTTTTATAAGTTGGAATATTGTCTCTTATATCCTTCGTAAATATTGTGGAACTCGTGAATCCACAGAGTATCTTTGGAGGTGTTCAATGCAAACGATCCAACATATTATTTCTGTCAAATCAAATAACCATTTGAATAGGAGAATTTAAAGCAAAATCTCATTATCACCGATTGTTAGCAACAATTCTTTAGCTTTAGGATGACTGTAATCTATAGCAAGAGAACAAAAGAATCTAGCTCTATCAAATTGATCATTTGATTTGTTTAAACAACAGGCTGCATTATAGCAACAAGTGCCTAGAAATACGCTGTCTTCTGAGTGAACAAATTTTCCCATTAAGTAACAGAAAATGAAGGCCTCAGCTGCCAATTCATAGTTTTTGTTTCTAAACAAACCAATTGCAACATCCTGTTGAGCCATAATTCTTGTTCTTAATTGATCTCCTTGTTCAGAATTGGAAAATTCAGAAAGCCATTGGTTGTTTGGGGAACAGAGAAGACAAAGTACTTTCCCTGGTTCCAGTTCATATATGATAGAGTTTGAGGCAAGCTGGAAAGGTCTGAAGGAATTGACTCTAATAAGATTCATAAAATCAAGTAACAGAAACCTGCCAATAACTATATCATCTTCTTCAAAATGGTTAGCCGCCACAATATTTGAAGAAGCTCCACTAATATCTAATGAAGGAATGTTAACACTGCACAATCCCATTTTCTCAACATTTGATCCTTCATGGAAACTCATGAATAATCCAACTTCGCCGAACATTTTGGAGAATGTGGCTGGAGATACAGCAATACCAGAGTCACAACCAGTGTCCAACACAACATTTCGAAACTCAAATTGTTTGCCATTCGCAATTATAATAATCTTATTAATCGTATCTTTTCTGTCTTCGCTTGATGAAGACATCATTCTAACTTTCGGAATACAATCTGGTGTAACTGAGGTTTTGATTGTCACAGGCTTTATGGTTTTCTTTGGACCCAAAAGATTTTCAACCTTAACACGAATCACCATTTTTTTTAACTTTTAATTTTACCTCTGTAGATGATATTCGAATGGTTTATAGTGATGTAACTAGAAGTATGGAAACAATGAAATAAAAATCAATGGGATATTGTCTTTACCAATAGTCACCACAAGTACATTTTCCATCCTTAAAATGGTGGAACCGTGAGGCATCACGAATTATTATTTCACAATTTCTAACTGCTGACAACAATTTAGTGGCATTATGGCAATCTCCACAAACCCTCAAGTTCGTTGTTAAATGAATTGTTGATGTATTTGGCTGTTTGTTGAAAGCATATGCCATGGCTATCTTTTCAGAATGTTTGTATAGTAAATCCAGTTTTTCTGCATCAGTGTCAACATTTTTAATCACCCAGCTTAGGTCTGGTTGATAACCTGCCTTAATGAGATCAGCTACCATTTTTTTTAGTTCTTTCTCTATCATCTTTATCTCTGGATGCTCCTTTTCTTCACAAACAAAAGAATGCATTTTCCCTTCGATACAAACTTGCGTCATACTTGGTAACTTTTTAAATCCACCAAATTCCATCAACTCTTTAACCCTTTTGGCGTCTTCGTACATGTCTTGAGAAGCATAAATGTTAGCCATTAAAATGAAGTGAGATGATTCCACTTCATTTCGTTCAATAAGCATATTGAAAAGTTTCTCTGCTAAGGTGACATTGTTGAATTTTCTACAGACCCCAAATAAAGTGGACACAGTAACAACGTCAGGACTGATACAAGACCCTAGCAATTTCTCAGCCTCTTTAATATTACCTTTTCTTGCCAATGCATCGATCAAACATGCCAAATGTATGTTTGATGGTTTGATTGAATATTTGGACTCCATGTGGTTGTATATTTCTTTTGCTTCGTCCACCATACCACAATGGCCACATGCATGCAACACACATGTTAGAGTATGCTCATTTGGTTTAATATTTTCTTTGCTCATTTGGTTCAAAAGTTCAATAGCCTTCAATCCCATTCCATGTATTGCATAAGCATTTATGATACAGGTCCACGAAACAACATCTTTGTTTGGTACTGAGAGGAAAACTTCATGTGCACTTGTTAAATCTCCACATTTTGCATACATATTAATGAGTGCATTAAACAAGTTGTGGTCTCTGATTCTTAGCTCACTAATATTTCTGTGAATTATTTTTCCAAAATCCAAATTTCCAAATTCAGAGCATACAGAAAGAAGCAAAATAAGGGTTGGTACATCTGGAACCAAGTTGTTATTGATCATATCTTCGTACAGGGAGATAGCTTCTGGCATTTTCTTAAGATTGGCCCATAACTTTATCATACATCCATAATGTGCTGTAATTCTTGCTATCTTGAATAAGGTGTTCATATTATCGAACAAGAAACATGCTTCTTGTTCCATAGAATGATTTGCAAAAAATGTTAACATAACCGTCATGGTTACATCATTCGGTTGGGTATACTTTGGCATGATCTTGAAATAAAGTAATAATCTTTTTGTATCTCCATTTTGGGAGCATCCCTTAAGAAATGAGTTCCATGTTATTACATCTTTGAATTCCATTTGGTTGAATATTGATTCTGCATGTTCTACTTTACCACTCTTCAAAAACGAATCCAAAAGAACATTGAAAACAAAAACAGAGGTAACGCCTTCACTAATAATAATACTTTCTATTTCTTCCAACCTACCCTCTTCACAATACGTTGGTATGATTAGTGTCCAAGTTGTATCGTCCAGTTGTTTCGTTTTAAGCATCTTCATAAACAGTTCTATTGCTGTTTGAGTTTCCCCACATTTCGAAAACATGTTAATGAGATTATTCTGAACAGTAATACTCCTGTATAGTTCATAATTTTTCATAATTGTTTCGTGCAATTTTTTCCCATTAACTAGAGATCGAGTAATAGCACATCCTTTCAACAAAAGAATAAATGTTACTTCGTTTGGAATGAGTTCTTTCTCTTGTCTGTAAATATTCATAGCTTCCTCACTTTCTCCATTCTCAATCAATGCCTTTATCAGACAATTAAAGTGAATAATATCTGGAGAAACGCCATATTCTTTCATTGAAAAATAAATTTCTTTGGCCTTTTCGCTCATGTTTGAATTGGCAAGAGAATTCAATAGTGAAGAAAATGTTTTGGGTTCTATTGGAATCTGTTTGCTTTTGACATATTTTAACAATTCAAATATGGTGGAAATATGTCCTGTATTGCAAAATCCTCTAATAATATAATTCCATGTTGGTGGATTTACTTTCTTCTTATATTCTTCTTGTAATGAAAGCATAATTGTTGAGAGATCATCCCATAATGAGGTACTTCTGTCACTGCTTTCGATTTTGCAATAACTTATTAATGAAATAATAACAAAATAATTTAAAAGTGATTTCTCCTTCAATAAATAATAGGCTTTAAAAGAATCATCCAACGACAACAATCTTTTTGATATGAGTAAGTTGGCATCAAAGGAATTTGGTTTCTGGAAAAAATGTTTCGTTGCTGAATCAACTTTTCCTTCGGCTATTAAATTTCGAACCACTCGATAATCAAAAACAGGAGAGTACGTATGGAAACTATGAAATTTATTTGTATCACTAAACTTCAGAGTTTCCATATAAGATTTCTTGCACTTAAGGTTCTTGAAAAGAAAATTTTCAGCACAAACCAGCACACGCATTTTTTTAACAATACTCTTAAGAATAAATATACTTCATCAAAAGCTGCACCATGTGGTTTTTATATTCAATCATCAATTAATTCGGAATGTATCTTAGCTCCTTCAAGATCAAATATCATTATAACTAATAGTTAAGGCTGGTCAATCGAGTCAATTTCTTTATGTGCCTTTTCTCTCAATAGTGTTAACAGAAATATCAAGATTGGTCAATTTACTAACGGGTTTTAATTATTAAGGCTTTTAATAAATAGAACAAAAAAAATGACACACAGAAAAACTCTTTACGTTAAAGTTCCCACGATCGATGCTACAAAAGATGAAGAAACTCCTAATCATCAACAAGACCCAGAGCTAAAAACACCCACAGGTCTTCTCGGAAGAGGGAGAAGTAGAGGTCGAGGAAGAGGAAAAGGTACACACCTTGTTTTTAACCAAAAAAATAAGGCTCAAACTCTACAAAAAAGAACATCTCATAACCAAGTTACAAGCAAAATTCAATATGAGGTAGAGATTGTTACAAAGATACAAACATCAACGGAGGCTACATCACAACAACCATCCACAATCACACAAAAAGAAATCATCACTTCTTGTATATCTCAAACTTCAACAACAGAAAGCGAAATCATTGTTCCTAATAGAAAAATTGTTAATCTCAAGGAAGTTCAAACCCTGACAAGGGAAGAGGTTTGCTCAATGATACACCCATATTTACCTCGTGACATAATTCAGCAACAATTTGAGTTGGGATTGGATGGTACAGTAGTTTTTAATTACTTAAGAAACAAGGGTACTGACATACCACCCCAGTACACTAATTTTGTTTGGTTAGGCGTAACTGTTTTAACTGAAAAAAGACTTTTTCCATTTTGGAACGAAGAATTCACGATCCGTAAACTTCGGGAAAAGAAGATCATTAAGGATGTCAATACTAAATTTAATGTCAATGATTATATTTCGAGAATTGCTGATGGTATTTATAACAATGAATCTTTACCCCTCATCAGAGAAGAATCTGTGTTTTTATCTTCAATAACTGATAACAAATGGGAGTTATTGGTCAAATTTGTGACAGATTTAATGACTATCGAAATTATTCCTTTTCATTATTCTTACAAAATTTCTGAATTACTATTGGAATTACCAAAATCCTTTAATCAGTCGAAGCAGAGATGGTGTTTAAAGATCCAGGAAGCAGTACGAGATCAAAAGGGTAAATTAGGAAGTTTATTCAAACAAGCAATACTTCCAGATCATTACAAAGGATTTTATGCCATTAAAAGAGATCCTATGTTGCGTGAATGGACTTACCACTTTAACGAATTGAAAATTCCAGAAAACAAAGGAAAGCCTTTGATTGACCTATTATCAAAAGATATTTCAGTTGGGAGAGGCAACGATTTTGGATATGGTATTATCCCAATTATTGATTTGTCAACCTCTGGAAAGACTTATACAATGTTTCAACTGGTCAACTCAATTCCTACAATTAATTACAAATTCTTTTTTGTTATACACATTTATCAGTCATCTCTATTTTGTGAGGCACTAATAGAAAATATTAAGTCGAACAAACGCCCAATATCTGAACTCGTAGCCTCATTTGTGTTAACTATATTAATAACAATTAAAACTTTGGTTGAAACAGAACCTGATATCCACCCGCGTGATTTTTTGAAGTAGGTATTTAATTTTATTGTTTTTTATCAAATGATTGAAATCAACAGATTTATTAGAGATGAAGGTGATGTATGTTTAACAGAAATATTTAAAAAATTAGTTTCTACCTATTTTGAAAAGAAGATTAGTGTTTTGAATGAAGATCTTACAAATGAATTAAAAGAAAAAATGATTAAGGTGGTATTTTCATTTGATGAAGCTCAAACATTGCTTGAGTATAAAACCGATTCATGTTGTTTGATTAATGAACTGTGCAAAGAAATTAGACGTTACAATAATCCAGTATTTCTTGGAACAACCTTTAGTATTTCAAAGGCTGTGTTAAATGTTAGTCAAGAAGGAAGGCAATTTTTGTTTCCTGTAATTGGTACTCTTGAGCCTTGGTATTTGAATGATGTTGACAAGATATTAAGTCACATGTTCAATATTGAAGATTTTAAGAAAGATAATGAAGAAGAGTATTGGATATTATGCTATTTACTATCTGGCGCACCTGAGAATGTAGTTAGATTCCACCAAACATTATATCAACACGCAGAACTCTATCATAACGATAGTCTGGCTCTTTTTAGGAAAAGTCTTGAAGAAGTTGTACAGTTCAAAGAAGAGAGAAGTGCAGTTAGAATTGTATCTTTTTTGAATGATACATCAATCATGGACAGAGAAGATCATTTGTTAAAACTTATTTTTGACAGAGAAGTCGAAAATCAAAAGTTGATGAATTCAGATTTGGTCATGAATAGTTTCAAGAGGGCATTCATTGAAAAAACCATTGCTTTTGTTGTTAGGAAAGACACAAATTCTTTATTTGAGATTGTAGATCCAATTATTGCAAAATCATATTTTACAATTTTAGTGGAAGATTACACAGAAATGATGGTTTCTTTCATGACAGCCAACTTCACTAAGAGGGGAGAAGACTTTGAGCTATTTATGGTTATATTACTAATACTTGAAAGTAATAGATTGAAAGATCAACCTATGGTTGTTAGTCCATTATTTGCAAGTGCAACCAGTTTGTGCAAGTATCAACTGATTACTAGAACCTTTCTAAATGATAAACATTTAAGCAAAAAGCTTTTATCACAATTTGCCAACATTTCAAGCATTTGGTATTGCCAATTGGCATGCCATTTCTTTATGGATACATATGTGAAATCAGATAATAATATGGGGCCACTTGTGCTATGACACTTATATCTGACGGAATTACCGATAAAGAACAGCCCCATAAAGCCATCAATCTATTCAGAACTCTTTCCTTTGGAACAAAAACTGGACGAGGCAATAATTTCAAAGTTCCAACTTCACTTGTCAATCTACCATGCGTAAGATGGATTGTAGCACCAAATATGAAGAAAAACTTGTTTTCTGAGAGGAACCTTAGGAATGAGTATTCGTATTTGAATTCTGAAACACCAATTGACGATGCATTTGCATGTCTTCAAAATAATTCTCTTGAATTGGTTATCACTGGATCAGGGGATATTAGTAAGTGCATTGAATGTTATCGTTCAAAACCGTACTATGAGAATTTGAAATCATTATGGAAGAAATTCAAGTTAAACAAAAAGAAAAAAGGAAACAAAAAATCCGTTAAGGATTAGTCTGCGTTTTACCAAGAAAGCTACTTGAAATATATTTCTATATATTTATAATAAAATTACAAATTGGAAATAGTCTCGTGAAGCACATGCCAATTCATTGAAAATTGAGTAATCTGCTGAAGTATTCGGATGATGATGTAATACCAACTTGGAATTTTGCTAAAAATATAATTATTTCCGTTCTTGTCCCGTTGAAGTATTGTGAGAGCCACCGTTTTCATGTGCTATGCAATTTGGTTGTATAATGTTGCTGTTGCGCTCGAAAGGTTCAATCAACTTTGTAAACGCAAAAACCTATACAATTTACTCGTCACATCATCTATCGCTTTCCAGTGTTTTGATTGGAGGGGCAAAAATATTTGTATTGCTACCAAAATGCCTGCAAATTAAAAATAACTGTGCTCGAGAAAACAGTAAACCTTCAAGACAAAAAAACTGCACAACATCAATACACGAGCGCGGCTCTTACCACACAATCACACACTAATCATCGTTAATTAAATATTCAGCAAGATGAATTCCTACCACCAACAATTTATGAAAAAGTTGAAGGAATCTAACGACCAATTAGAAAATACCACAAAGAAATTGTTGGAACAACAAAAGAGTCAGCTGAATGATCTCTTCAAGATGAGAGATCTTTTGCTCAATGTTCATAAATCCAAAGTAAATAAGACCACCAATGATTCACTGGAAAAGATGGAAAAAATCATCAATACAGAAGAAGAAAATCCTAAACCAATTGTAGTTGCCTTCCTTGGTAATGCAGGTGTTGGTAAAAGTAGTTTCATCAATGATATGATTGGTGGTCAACTATTACCAAGTTCTTCTGGAAGAATACATGTAACAAAGGCCCTATGTCACTTGAGCTATTCAAACAACATTACAATGGAACCAGTTTTATGTTCAGAAGATGAAGTGAAGGAAAGATGTGCTGAAACTCACTATGACTATGGTTCTATCAAGCCAGTTAGCATTGTTTCCAAGGTTACAGAGTACAAAACTATCCAAGATTTGACCACAGCCATGGTCACATTTCAAAATCAAATGACAGAGAGTGATGTTTACAGAATCAAATTGATTCGAGTTAAAGTACCTCTTCCTAAAATCAAGTCCAAGTTTGAAGTTATTGATGTACCTGGTATTAATAGTGGTACATTGAGTGGAATATTCGAAAGAATGGCTTTGGAAGCTTGTATACTTTCTGATAGAATTTTATTATTCCCAAATAGTTTCAGATCAGAGATTCCAACAGATGTTTTCGAATTCGTCCGTAAAATATTCAGTGACCCAATCATTCAAAAGAATCCAAAAACATTTAGTTTTTGCCATGGTGGTAGAAGTTTCCAAGAAGCAGATGCTCATAAGGAATATCTTGATTGTCTCCATGATTATAACATATCCAAGATTCATGTTTCATTTTGTCAATTACTTTCTAATTACTTTGATTTTAAATTCGATGATATTCCAAAAGCTCCCAATGAGAAACCAGTTAATGATCAAATTGTGTTTGTCGAGAATAAGAAAGTAGTATTGGAATTACTAAAGGATAATTTTGTTTCCTTTCCAATTCCACACAACAAGTCAAAAAGCTTGACACATGAAATCAATATCACTCAACTCTATTTTGATATCATGCTCAAGAAGGATAGACTTATTCTAGTTGGTAGAATGATTCAATCACTACGGGAGCTAGCCCTGTTGTGCATCCCAAATTTGCTATTCAAATCCAAGTTTCAAACTGCCAAGAGTAATCAAGATAACAATGTAGAAATTATGGATGGATGTAATGAGGTTGTACATGATATTGTGAGAAAGATGCAAAAGGTTTTGAAAAAGCGTGGTGGTTTTAAGAAATCGAATGTCAAATTCCCTACTAATTTCCTTCTTGACGTCCTGTCATCTGAAGTTGTTAAGAATTTCAAGGAGAAAGAACATACTCTAATCCAAAACCAATTAGCTCTCATGGAAAAGCACATCAAACTCTTGGGTTCTATCCATTTAATCAAGAGTCAATCTGGAGATGCTGAGCAAGATTTAAAGAACTTTTCCGAACAAGTTCTTCCACTATTCGATTTAAATCACAAAGATCACATTACATTGGCAACTGAAATGAAAGGTGTTTTGAATGATTTATTTAAGAGTTTCATTTTGGAACGTAACTTTGAGTATGAACACAAGTTTGATATCAATTTTTGTGATGTCAGAAGAGATGAACACAATTCAGGTGTTTTAAAACTTCCAAATAGAATGTTTTCAAGTGTTGAAGACATGACAAGTGCCAAGATAGTTTCAAATGGTGACAGTTTAACAAAGGCAAACAAGTATAGAAATGATAAATCTGAAATGCAAGTCAGAAAATTGGAGAGTTCTGTACTTCTTCCAGCTTCTTCACAAAATATAATGGAAATTAATATTAGAAAGGACAAAATTATTGAGATTGAAGGTGGTGATCAATCATTTGATTCATTTAAGAGCATGTTGCCTTCAAGTACTTTACTCAATCATCATGCAAAAACTAGAATTGCTCCAACATTCTTCCTTTCCTTAGATGGAACATGTCCAAACCTTGCATTTAATTCATGTTGGGTAAATTACACCTCCGAATCACTTGTCATTATTGTTACTCCACATGAATATGTCGATAACTTTGTTGATTTGGTTCAACAACACAATGAGAATGATCAACATAGAGTGATGATATTAAGTGTTTCAGTTGAGAATGAATTATATTCTGAAGGATCCTTGATGAATGCTGTCTTTGATTTTTCATCATACTTTGATTTTCCAATCATTCATCTTGTCAAACTGAATGTCAAAAACATTTATGAATATGTCAGTCCATTGAAAGAATACGTTCACAATGAATGGACACCAATTAGATATTTCAGAAGTTCAGAAGCAATTGTTTACAATGAAATTAATAGTCTTAGTGATGATAAGAAGCAAGAAATTGCCAAAAAGTTTGTAACCTCAGCAAATGACATTATTTATAAGAATAGTTTGAGATCAGATGAGAGGATTAATGATTTATCATCTCATTACAATGCGAAGGAAGCACTTGCTGATGTTGAAGGATTTGTTGATTATCTGAGATTAATTGATTCCAAAGTTAATGGAAATTTGGAAAAGAATTTCAAGCAAAGTTTCTTTTCAAAGAATAAGGCAAGAGTTGGATGTTGGGATGGATTGACTAGAAATATTGATAGAAATAAGATTTATTCTAGAAATGGATATAATTACATGATTTCTAATTATGCGACTGCCATTGAAACTTATTTCATGCAAGCTCTAGACAAGATTAGACCAGTTTCTGATATTAAATTCACCCAAGATTTGCCAAAAGAGGGATATCAAACCATAGAGAATGGTTTTGACAGCAAAATGATTAGTTTCAGAACTAATATGCTAGCAAATGGTGTTGGTGGATTTATTCATTTCGGTTTCAAGTACGATTTGAATCGTTACGAGAAGATGAAACAAAAACAACAAACACCAAAAAGAAAGAAATCAACAAAGAAGAACAATTTCACATCCAGAAAGAAGAGAAAATAAGTGTTGACAACCTGAAGCTGATGATTTCGATATTCTCTTTTTTAACTTGTAAATAAAACAACATGACAATTAATTGATTCAAAGCTTTTCATTGATGTGATGAAAATAGAAAATGAGTAGAAAAGAACACAAAATAAATAAAAATATTTTATATTATTAACATTTATTACAATGTGTTCTTTGAGTAAATTTCTTATAATTTAACTCTCTGAAATCTTCTTTCTGTATCCATCATTACATTTTCAATAACAGTTACCATACTATCAAATAAATTAAGTGGTATATAATCATGAGTAATTTGTTCAGTTTCGTCTGAGAATATTAATTTAGACATGGCATGAATTTGACTTTGTGTAATATTGAGTGGTGAAGTTGATGATTCAGATATGAATGTGTTGAATATTTCCTTTGCTATTCTCCTTCTCTCTCTCACTCTATATTCTGTCTTGTATGTAAATTCAACCTTTTCCCAGAATAGTATATTTTGAGAAGATTGTTCAGTTGAGCAGTAATGTTTAAATTGAGTTCGTAAATCATCTCTTTCAAGTGTTCGTTTTAAAGATGATTGAGAAAGATATCTAATCTCTCTCAATTTCAAATCATATTGTAATAAAAGATGATGTTGATATGGTATCAGAGTAACATCTGTACTTCCATTCAGAATCATTAAATCTCTTAATAAAGCTATAGCACATTCCAATCTTAATTGTCTATTCTTAATGAGATAGGCAATTATAATAGTATAACTAGCTTCAAATATTTTAATTTCATCAAAATCAATACTAGATGTTGAACTAGAATGATTACTGTGAGTAGAAACTGCTTTCATAGAATCATCTGAAATCTTTTCAGATAAAGATGGTGGACTAGATGGTGCAAGGAAGAGATTGATTTTCTGTTGAACTAACATGGTCAAATCCTTATCAGATTGAGATGGATTATATTCTGAAATGAGACAATGCTCTTTAGAATCTTCAATCCATTTCACACATTCGTCTAATTTTTCAAAATTTAATCTATTACTAGCTGGAAGATAAACAACAAGATATTCAATACTTGTGTTATAAATCTTGTACGTTTTGAAAATGTACTCGGAAAATCTGTGTGGATCAATACCATCACATAATTTGAATCTTTCATCGGATTCACTAATAATTTGAATAATATGTGTCACTTGCTTGTTTTTCATTTCTTTTGTAATGCTCTTATGTAAGTGTAATAAATTTGAATCACAAAATAGTACAGATTCAAATAGACATGTTGTAAAACTTGGATTTTCCCAATCAACCTTTTCACATACAGTATATAAATGATTAAATAATGAATAGGTATTAATATTTGTCAATTTAGGTGATATCTTTTTCCAATCTTGACTAATTTGTTGTTGATCCTTCAATGAAATAAAGTTATATGAACATTCTAGAGTTTTCAATTCATTTAACTTTTTAGTAGAAGAAGCACTATCAATTTGAATGTTTAAACTTGTTAAACAATTTCTATTCAACTTCAATTCATGTAAATATCTAAAATCTAACCATCTATTTCCTGCAACATGTTCAAAATCATGAGTGGTAATACCACAACCACTCAAATTTAAAGTTTCAATATTTTTCAATTGGAATAAACCATCAAATACTTGATTATTCCAATGAATGTCATTATAACTTAAATCTAAAACGTATAAAGTTTCAGAGAATAATTCAATACCTTTCAAACATTTAATTCTATTGAAAGATAAATTAATAGTTTCAATACGTTTCAAGAGAGATAATTCTTGAATACTATTTGCATCTAAAAACATTTTCTCAAAGACCAATTCATTATGGCATAGACATAGATTTTTCAAATATCTCATTCCAGAGAATAATTTAGAAGGTAACTTTTTCAAACAATTATAACTCAAATCTAAATGTTTCAATTGAACCATTCCAGTAAGTGTATTATCTTGAATGGATTCTAAATAATTGTGAGACAAGTCCAAATAGGTAATAGTAGAATACAATTTTTCAAGCATGCTATTGCTGTTAATAAATCTTAGATTGTTATGACTTAGTTTTAGTGTTTCAATATTGGATGTAATGTAATCGGTTGGAATTTGTGGTAATTCTTTCAGTCTATTATGAGAAATATCTAAAAAATCAACACTTGATAAACTCATTATCGATTGAATAGAACCCTTAATAAAACAATTCTTCATTTCCAACCTTCTCAAGAATGAAAGACCTCTAATAGTTGAAGGTAAATCATCTTCTTGAGTTTCTAATCCAAATGGTCCATTATTATTCATTCTCAATAATTTAAGTTTTGGAAATCTTCTTAACCATTCTATTGGAAAGTTAACTAAACCACAACTACTAATATCAATTTCTGTAATGCTATGATGAAAATGTTCAGAAACAAGGAAACTAGAAACTGTTTGTTTTCGTTGTAATAACAATTCCTTTTCAATATTAATCATATCATCATCAGTCTTTCTAATAACTCTTGACATTCTTGGAGAAACTTTTGAAATTGAACCATTAGTTGATGATGATGATGATTGATTTGATGCATTATTATTTGGTGATGAAATTGAATTATTTGCTTCATTATTTGGATCAATAATTGTAAATATTTGTGATAAATTCAATGTCGACCTATTACTAATATTAATTAATTGATGAGTTGATGTTAAATTTGGAGCAGATTTTGAAAGAGTGTCATTATTTGAATGATGGAATTGACCTGAAATGATTACACTTGTACTCGTCGTATTGAGTGACATGTTTAAAGAAAAATCCGATTCATGACTAAATAAACTAGGATTTGCACTCAAATCTAAAGTTTCCAATAAACGTAAATCATCTAAACACTGTGGATAACCTCCATAAAGTCTATTATTACTTAAATTCAAGTAAATTAAAGAATTTGCAAGTGGTTTGTGTTGTTTGCTTGATATTTTCTCATTATGAAACTCTGCTGTTAAATTACGTGAAGATTCAGATGATTTCTTTTTTAAACCACCCTTCTTGAAAGAAATACCTAAAAAGTTCTCAATTTGATTGAATGAATAATCTAAATGTGTTAATTGTTTCATCTTTCTCAAAGGTTCACTAAATTGTGTAAATAAATTGTGAGATAAATTTAGAATTTTTAAACTTTTCATCTTGTTAATTTTCTCTGGAACTTGATCCAAACTATTTTGTGATAAATTGAGAGAAAGTAAATGATTTCTCAAACTATCATCATCACAAATTATTTTAAATTGTTTCTTTGATATGTTACAATTAATGAGTGAGAGATTTTTCAAGTAATTATTCAATTTTGAATGATGATTCCATTTACCAAATTGTGAATTTGATGCCATATTACTAAAAAAGTAAAATTTAGAATGTAATGATGTTATTTGTAATGTTTCTAAAGTATTATAATCATTTTGTATCTATTATTAAATATTATTATTATTAAATATTATTACATATATTATTAAATATTAAATATTTCATCATTATGATTGTTATTATTATTATTATTATCAGCAAATTTAAAGTTCAATGTTATATTATTATGATTGTTATTATTAAAATTCATTATCGCAAATTGTCCATTGTCATCATCATCATTATAAAAGGAAATATTAATGATGTTATTTATATTAATTCTTCTTCTTCTTCTTACCTTTTGATAAATATTTTGAGTAAATTCATCCGATTCATTACCATCACGCAATGTTAATTTAATTTCCTTCACCGAATGATTCTGTAAATTTTTATCATTAAATTGTTGTATGTTACTAATGAGTGTAAATTGTTGTTGTTGTTGTTGGAGTTGTGAATGATGATTTAATGATGAAGATGAGGATAAAGATGATGAAGATGAAGGTAATAAACTTAGGCTTGATTGTGTGTTGTTGGATGTTGTTGTTGTTGAAGAGGATGATGAATTTAACGGGGAGGAAAGGATGGAGGATGATGATAAATGTCTCCTTGCCTTGTTGCCCTGGAAAAAACTCATATTTTTTTTTAATGTTGACAGATGATGAGACAAGTGACTTTTCATGGTGATGTAAGAATGAGGGAAATAAAGTTGCCCAACAAGTATTTGTGAAAGTTAATATTCAATTTCTTTTAATGAAGAATGAGATATTTGCAATTTAATATTTCATTGATAAAAATTAAATCCAAAGTTGAATAAAACCAATCCACTCCTAAACAAACAAGATTAACAACAAACATTTCCAATTTAAATAAAACAAAGATAATTTAATATAGTTAAGGCCTTAACAGTAATCAAATATTTTCCATTAAATAATTTTAATTGATTTACTTCATTTGTAGATTATCGCCAAAAAATCAACCTGCTATTAATAAATCATCAGTGGCAACAATGAATCCAAGAAAGAACACCAAACAACACGTGGAAGGCTTTTTTTCCTCCTTGCTTGAACAAATTGCCGTTGGTGCTAATGAAACTTCAAAAAAAAAGCCTTTAAAAGAAACGTAACCTCTCTCTCACTTGTTCATCATCGTAATCAACTTTGTCAACTCCGAAACAAAGATAACGTTTTTTTATATTAAAATGATGAAAAAGTGTGATAAAGAATGTAGTGGTGGATTGAGAAGGAAGATTAAATCTAATAGTGCTGATTTTCAAGTCAAGTTAGCTAGATATACTGAAAAGCAATTAAATTTAGCATTAAAAGTATCAAACTTTCAACAAACTCAAATCATTGAAATATTATTTGATAATTTGACTCAAGTGATTGACTCGGAATATCAAAATCAATTGTCACAATTATCAAATGATTCAATTTCTGCTACTCCTATGAAACAATTCAGAAATGACACTACACAGAATCAATCAAAGTATTTTTACCATATTTTAGCAGATTACTATTATAATAATCCAAATGAATCAGAAAGATTGCAAAAATTATGTTTAAAACTCTTAACCAATCAATATCTTCCTTCCATATATACAATGCTCTTTTATAGATGGGTAAGTCAATTTGATTTACAATTTGTGATTTAATTTTCATTTAGATGTTTGATAGTGAATCTCAAAATTTGAGTTTAATTCATATTAATATATTTATGAAAGGTGTAAATAGATTATTCTGGTCAGATGTACAAAGTAAAACACTAAGATACAATAGTTTATTTAGAGTAAGTTTTTCTGCTCTACCATTCTCAATAATAATTATGATAGTTTATTCAAAATGATATTTTACTGAAAGATAATTTCTCTAGTTTTTTCAATCCTACAAATCCTTATTCATCATTTCATGCTAGGAATTATAGTGAAGCAGAGGATGGATATGTGACACCTGATATGGATTCAAAAGATTTGGAAAATGTAATGAAATCACCTGTAATGGATGAATATAAAGAAAGAAAATCAATTTCTAACACAATTGAAGATGATGGAACTGTGGTTAATGTACAAAAAGTTATTCAATCGAAAAAAATTGATTTAATAAGCATTGTTGCTAAATACTATTTCTATTATGAGAATAGAGATTCGAGATACAAACTGAAACCATACATTATGCATTTATCAGAAAAATGTGCTCTAGATCCATCTCAAACAACAGATTTTGCTGATGAAATTGAAAAGAAAAACAAGACCTATTCTAAACCTAATGATAAGCTAAGATTGACTAACAAACAAGATGAGAATTACAAAGTAATGCTTATTCTGATTTCTGACATGTTTGTTAATGAAAATATTTTGCTTTTGTCAACCGTGGATGATGAAGAAATAATTTTGAGCGTGTTAACAAGATGTCAATTATTCTCAGAGTTGGAAATCACAAACAGGACTATGGTAAAGTTTCAAGCAGCCATCTATGCCTTCACTTGTCCTGGAACACCTAATATTCATACTTCTAGTTTAATTAGAGCTAAGGCATCCAAAACATTGGATTATCTCTTCCCTAGTGGTAAATATGCAAGATGGTGGTTAAATACATCATTTAGATTGCTCTATTATAATTGGCCTGTGTCTTTGTGGAATTGGTCAAAAGAAAAGGTAGCACAAGTATTTGATCTGCCCAACAGAGCTTGGGAGTTTGTAAATTATCATTTCAATTTCCAACCTGAACTGACCATTCAATACGATACCAAGACATTTTATGATAGTACAGACGAGGAAGATGACCAAAATATTTATTCTATTACTTTCAATAGTAGTAACTTGTAAATAAAATCAGAAAGTAATCATGTCAGAATATGTTACCTCTCTTCAGAATCATGATCACCATATTCAATTCATAAGTTGAATTGTTCTCTACAGGTTGCAATTGGAATAAGATAGAGAAGGGGAATGGGTTGGATCGTGTTTGTAAATTTTGGAAATTGACCTATTCTATTTTCATTTTTCTTAATTCCTTAAAAGCCTCAACATTAGCATATGGTTTACGAGTTAGTGGGTCAATATATTTTGCTGGTAAACCTGTTATTACACATTTGAGTTGTTTCTCCTCCTTTGGAATATTGAATCTTTTGACTTCCTCATCTGGCATTTTCTGATTAATACATTGTGGAATGCCATGGTTGACAAATTCAATAAGATTTGTTCCCATCTTTGAAATATATTTAACTCTTGGCTCATATGGATCAATCATCTTTGATTTTGAATCTCTAGCCTTTTTTTTAACATCTTCCTCAGTTTGTCTCAATTTTAAAAGACTCTTCTTGTTCTCTTCTGTAGTTATTTTTGCCTCTTCCAATAATTCCTCTTGTGTGAATTTTTTCAATTCCTTTGGAGCTTTTGGTGTTTTTGTCTTTGATGTTTTAGCTTTAATTTTCTCATCTGTAGCCTCTGTAGCTTTCACTGTTGATTGTCTGGAAGATCTCTTCATTTCTACTGGCAAAGTTGTTTTTGGTGTTTTTGGTGCTTTAGGTGTTTTAGGTTGTTTTTCCACAGTTGATGCTGCTGATTTATCTGTTGATTTCTTCTTCTTTGATTTAGATTCATCCTTGTATACATTCTTTCTCTTTTTAGTTTCTCGTTCTTCTTTAGCAATCTTTTTCTCTACATTATTTGCTCTTTGTTGTTCTCCTTCTTCATCAGAAGTATATTCGTCCATATCCGAATCTTCATAATCTTGTTCTTCCTCCAATATTTGTTCCGTTGTTTCAAATTCATTGTCTCCTTCATCTTCGGCAAACATGTTCATCTTCCAAAATTCGTCATCAACATCTTTATCAATTCCTTCAAGTTCTGTCAGTCTTTTACCACGAGTACTTCTTGATGGTAATCTTCTTCTTTCCTCTCCCTCATCCGATGCTTGTGATGGATCCATTGTTATTGTAATTGATTAATTTTATGATGAGGAAAAGTAAAAGGCTTGTTTTTGTGTGATGAGAATTTTTTCAAGATGTAATTTTGGAGGGAATTGGTCGACAATAATTCTTTAGGTGATGATTCAAAATATAAATTTGTTACAAGAATTGTAAAAAGTATTATATGGCAAATCAATCACAACAGCAATTCTGCTGTTATTGGCTATGGTTTATTGCAACTATTGATGAGAATATTAATTTAACTTTTCAGAGTTTTGTTTGAAACTAAAGTTGAGTACAGTCATTGATAATGTATCAACAAAAGTATTATCGTGAGCATCGTATCTATTCAAAATGTACTTCAATGAAGTCTTCTGTTCAGCAGGAACAACTTCTTCAGTGACAGAAGCCATTTCATGATAGTTAGTTGGCATTGAAGGCCATTTGATCTTATTACTATTTACATTACTTCCTTCCAATTCCATTACTAATTCATAGTACCGCCGTTTAAGGGTACTCAAAGAAACGTTTAACTTTTTAGCAGCAACACTTTGTGGAAGTGTCATGTATCTAATCAAATCATTAAGAGGAATGTCAATCTTGTTTCTCTTTGTTTTCCTCTTCTTTTGAATACCAGATTCAAGCTTAAGTTCTTGTTTTTCTGGTTTTTCTTGCTTTGGGAAAACAGAAATATCCAAAGTATGTGGTAATTTGTTAGAGTTTGCAGTTGTAGTAATACTAGTTGCAGGGATTACAGGAGTGACAACAGGAATTGGCTGTACAGTTTGATTTCTAATTAAAAATTAATATTTGAAAAAGTTGATTAAAACATACCTGGTAGGAGGTGGAAATACAGGGAAAGATTGTAAGAAAACTTGAGGACTGAACCACAAATTCTTGGAAGGTTGAGAAGATGGTGGTGACATTGTTGGAGCAAGAGAAGGGATTATAGTACAAGAGGAAGATGACACAGAAGATGGTGATGATGGGATCAATTCTGGTTGAAGTAACTTGTGGAGATTATTATCGGTTGTAGTAAGAGTTGATTTTCGGACGGCCTTTGATTGTTGTTGCATTTTGTGATATTATCGTGTAGAGGTTATTACAAGTAGTAGTATTTGAGTAGTCAGCTTTAAAGCGAGAAGGAGTGCAGATATTTTAAATTGTTTGAATTTATTATTTGGTGGATTGTGTGATGATTTATGGAGTATAAAAGATTGTACCAGGTTGAGAGGTTTGTGGTGGAGAATTTCAGCTGAGGTTCCCTCTTGCACGGAAAACGAGCGATGCGAAGTGAAGTAGACACTGGAAATTCCAATTTTTTACTTCTATATTGGTTAAGTTTTCTTGTTTTGTTGAGATAGACAAAAACGGTGATTCAATACGAAGCAACAAACAAAGGCAAAAGGTATTTTTCGCGTTTTTAAAAATAAATTTTTCGCTCCGGAGCTTTTTGACTGGTACACTGTTTACAATCAAAATCTTTTTGAGCCGTGCTGATTCTATCTCTTCTATGCACAGAGCGAGGTGACCTTGTGAAAAACTCTCCAATTTTTTTATGTTTGGTCGAGCTGTCTCCAAATAAGGTTCTGTAAAAATTCTCGATGGTATTAAGCTGTGTATGTATAATATTGGAGTTTGCAATCTTGTTTTCTTGAAGCAAGAAGAAGGCTTGTTAATTTTATATCCTTATCGAATATTCAATCTCCTCCTTTATTCGAGCTTCCTTCACCAGAAAAAGCTTACTGTAGTAGGCCTTGGTGATTTTCAGTAGTTGATAATCTAGAATACTGTGGAATGTACAAGTGAATCTTTTATACAACATGGAATCAGGTGGTGCATGTAAGAGATTGCACGCACCACCAAATTGAATTTTCTTTGTAAATTTCCAAGATCTTTAATTTTCCTTCTCATCCCATGCAGCATGTTGTAAGATTGGCAATCGTTCTTTTTATGCAAAATTTCCTTGACGAGTTTGCAACATTGGATATTAAAAGTTTGTAAACAACATTCCAATTTCCAACAAATTATTCATCACCCAAATGACTGAATAATTACTCTCTACAGTTTTTAAGTTTATAAATTGGTGGTTTGAAAAACTGTAGTCTATATTAACCAACACCATCAAATTGTGCAATATTAGATATGAACCCAATATTAGAGGCTATATGATGAACATTGAAATTTAATTGAATGAACTTTAAAAAATGTTAAACAAATCATCTGATGGTGGTAGATTGCCTCATCGTAATCATCCACTCTTAAATCATTTCATATATCAATATAATATTCATCAGCAGCATAATAACAACAATGGATCGGAGGAAGATATTGATGATAAGAAATTATTTAGCAAATTGAAACAAGACTTGGCAGAACATTTAAATAATAATCAATTAATTGATGAATACTTTTCTTGTTTATCTCCTTCGGTATCAAAATTAGTACACAAGAATGATGGCAAAATAGAAAATAATGAACAACAACAATATATTGATTCTACAACAGGTTTATTACTAGTAGATGACGATGAAAATTCAACAACAGAAGGATTTCCTCTACTTGATGTGTTATCCGATAACTTTTTAAATGCTTCTTTAGAATTGAGAGAAATTTGCAAGTCTATTTGGAAGACTAATTCATTAGATTCAATTTTATTGGATTGCAATACTCAAGTAATGTCAATTAAACAATTATTGATTGAATATATTACAGTGACAAAACAACCATTGGAAATTCTTGAATATTTACAAAATATTACTCAACAAGATGATTCATTTTCTAATGTTTATTCAGTATTTAGTTTACTTTCAACAATGGTTGAACATTTGATTACATCTGTTGTCTATACAGTTGCTACATTGGATGAGTCAAAGAATGGTAATGATGTTGTCATTCCATTGACATTGACCGAAATATTGGAATGTGAACAAGTTAAAAAAATATTACCAATCAAATTATTGAATATCATTAAGGTTTTTATGGGTCCACCTAAAGGACTCAACTTGAGAAATGTACTTTATCATGGATTTTTAGATGAAACAGAAATTCATCCATCCTATTTATCATTTTTATGGAGAATTTACTTTACCACATGTAAATGTGTATCTACATATACTCAAATATCAGGTTGGACTGAATTTGTATTGAAACCAAGAACTGATTTGACCAACGTTTCACAATATGAAGAACTTTTCAAATACCAAAATGATCAACTTTTATTTCAAAATGAAAATGATTCCAAGACGATTGATAAAATTCTAGATGAAACCTATTTCATTATACCAACAAGAATTAGAATAATCAAGAAGGCATTTGAATTTTTACAAAAAGGTATTTTACAATCCAGTGCAATTGACTTGCAGCTTTCTCTCTGTTTACTTTTCCCTCAATTTGAATTTTGTTTGAGAAGAGTTTACATTGCTTCCAATCAAAAAGTTGATGAAAGAACATGGTCTGCTCAGAATGAAGAATTTTTCAGTACATTGGATGTAATTTTTGCCAATCACTTGGAAACATCAATCTATTGTGATTCAGTTCTCTCCTCAAAAGATCAAAAAACTGTTATTGATCATCAAAATTTAACACCCAACGAATTATTTAACATTGTTGGGAATAACATTGGTGATGCTCTTATGGATGCATTCATATTTTATAGGGTAAGTTTACCATTATTTTAAGTTGTTGTATTCAAATAATTAATTACAAAAAGGGTCCTAAATTGAGAGACAAGATTGCTCACTGTCAAGTTCTAGGCCAAATGGATCCAAAACTAGTTCAACATTTCTTTTTAATATTTATTTCTTTATGTGTTCATTTTTCTAAAGATGGAAATGAATCAACATTAGAGACTTCACATCTTTTACAATCCACAATGAACCATCTTATTAACAAACAAGTATCATTCAGTTTTTATGATATTAGAACTAGATTTATTAATTTTTGGAACGAGATTAAGGATGTATATTATCAAAAGAAGAAATTTTACTGTTGTGGAGAGGGATATGTATGCGAGAATCCAGTGGGGCACATCAAGGAATTAGATGAGTACAAGTGTGCTATCAATAGAGATGGATTTTCTCTATTGAAATCACTTGATGATAATATTAGAGATGATTTGGTTAATATTTTAGAGACAAATTTTAAAAAAGGACAACCAAAGAATGTGCAATTTTCCATGAATGAATGCTTTGAATATTTGATAGTGAAAAATCCACTCATTGGAAAGATTCAATCACAAGATATTGAGTGCACATACAATAACCATTTCCACTGCCCAGCTCAACAAATTACCAATATTGAAATGTTGGTAAGAGTTTTAGAGCATTTGTACACTGGTTTGGAAGCATTGGAAGAGAAATATTTGGATTTGTGTAACTTAATTAATGAAAGAAAGGCCAGAACACCACAAAGAAAACTTTTCATTACAATGACTCAAACTAGATCAATTATTGATTTTATTTTCAAGTTCTTTATTGAATATACTTTTATTCAATTCGAAATAATTGATAAGAGACAAGTGGAGGAAGGTGATGGAAAGAAACGTTTGAATTGGGTTCAACAATTATTAACTCAAGCTCTCAGAATTGAAGGTCAAATCAAAGAAGGAACTATTGGTGTCATGTGTGCAAAATTCTTGGAATTTATCATTCAAAAAGAAAAGAACATTACAAAAGACTTTCAAGATTATGAACTTGTAAATAATGAAAGTAAATAAATTTTTCAACAAGTAATAGTCAGCAATAAGCAATTGTTATCCACACGATCATTCGGTTCAACCGTAAACAAATTTAGCTAAATCATCATTCGAGGAAAATTAGGTGTGAAATTTACGCATGGCTTTTTTATTTACAAAGTTGAAAATAATATTTTTGGTTTTAAAAAAATGCGTAATTTCTAGTTTGAACAAGGTTAAGCAAGGTTTTTGTTTCTGGATTGAATGCATATTGGGGAATGTTGTTTTCTGAATGGAGTGGATAAATGTCCATGATATCTTTTTGAAGATAATCCATTTCATATTGGGTTAGTAATTTTAAAATGAGTGGATATCTGTAATGATCTTGTTCTAATGTTCTTGCACGAAGAATGCTTCGTTGTTGCTTGTTGAGAATTTTGGTCAAATTTGGTTGTTTTTCAATCATTTTCTCAATAACTTCATTGTCATAACCAAGTTGTAAATGTAAACAAGTATCACCCAATTCATTTTGTTGTTCCAATTCTTCAGGTGTCATTTCATCAATTAATTCCATTGCAAATTGATAATTCTTAAAGTTTAAACTAATCATTGGAATTGTAACATGCTTGATACCATCTTCAAGCTTATCCGCTAAATCCTGTGAAATTTTACAAGTAACAGGTCCAATAATGCTTCTTCTCTCTTCATCATTGGTTTCACTCTTAATATAACAATAAAGTGAATAGATTGCCACCTGATTTGGATTAACAGCATATAATACTAATAAATGTCTCAATAATAAAATGAAATCTTTTCTATTAATTCTTGTTTTGAGTATTTTCAAACATTCAATTGCACTTTTCCAATCAATTTCCAATAATAATTCACCAATACTGCAAGGTAACCATCCATATTCAAGTGATACTTGCATTTCAGAATATGAATTTACAAAATATCCACATTGATAAGTATTACATATATAAATTATATAGGCATATAATTCTACAGAGTTAATCAAATGAAAATTATTGAACCCATAAATATTTGCAATTGGAATATTGTAATCTCTAAAATAATCAATACATTCTTTCAGTGTAGATAATGATAAATGTTGTAAATTAGCAAAACCTCCAAATATATATCCATTCTTTCTAAAACAATCATATTGTAAATGTAAATTAGCAATTTCTTTAACATTAAATGATGAACCATTATTATTATCAACAATATTCAATTGTGGATTAGAAAGTAATGCTTGTGGAGTGATAATATTTAAAGATTCAATTTCAATGTGTGAAGGTAGAATTAATTTCAATTTTGCTACACTATCCAAAGTAGTATCTAATAATTTCACCCTCTCTAATTTATCTAATAATAAATTTTCTGTATGAGAAATTGATATTTGACCTTCAACTACTTCTACAAGTTTCAATTTTTCACAACATGAAAATGATATTAATAATTGGTTTGTAAGTGTCCTAATTGCAATTCTTTTTAATCTATTATTCTTTCCTAATTTGTATATTTCCATTTATAAATATATATTATAAATAATAATAACAAAACATACCAATACATTGTAATACATTTTCATAAACTTGAATTAACTCATTAAATGATGATGAATTTGAATCTAAAAATATTGCATTTGATATCTTTAAACTTGATAATTCCAATGGCATTGATGATTCATATAATTTTTTCCTACACATCATTGTATTAATATCACCTGAATTTATAGGTGTAAATAATCCATTATTATTGGATGAAAATGGAAATTTTGATTGAGCATCTGGTAAATTTTCTCTTCTTAAAATTTCTCTTTCCAATTCTTCATTGGTTAAATTTAACATTTCTTCAATTGTTTTTGGTTCAATTTTTGGTAAAATATTATCAAATACATTAGTAGAATTATTATTAGAATTAAATAAATTATTATTACCAAATATGTTATTACCAAATATAGATGAATTTGGTGTTGATTGTTGTCTACTAAATGGAGTTGGCAATGAATTTCCAATTTTAAAAAACTCTGTATTTTCCTTAATGTTATTAGGATTTTCAGTAGTTATTGATTTTAATAATTCAAAACTATTAGAATAAATAAATAAATCTTCCAAATTTGTTAATTTTTCATCATGTAAATTTTGTTCTCTCAAAAAACATAAAAAATAGAGAAAATCAATGGAACGATCTGTCAATTTACAATTTGTTAAATCCAATTCATCAATTTCTAATATTTTAATTTTCATTCTCTTTGAATATTCTCTGTTAATTAATCTCATTTTGTGTAGAGTTTGAAATTTAGTATCCATTACATGAGTTAATTCAAAATTATTAATTCGTTTAATATTTTCAATTGGGTTGAAAAAGTTTGAAATTAAATGTTTCACCTGATCATATTCGAAACCTAATTGTTCAACAAATTGATTAATATCTTGTTTAAATTTACTTTTCAATGAATAGCTGGGAATAAAATCAATAATATTATATTTAATATTATTAGGTAATTGTTTAATATCATTACAATCAACCCAATTATTATTATTATTATTAGTATTAGTATTAACATTTGTAGTAGTATTATTTAAGAGTCTTTTTTGATCTTGTAAAATCCATAATTTTGTTAATTCTGGAGCATTTTCATAAATTGACCATGAAAATTTACTACTAACATCATTATTATCAATTGATTGATGTAATCTTGTTAATAATAATTGTTGAAAATGTGAGAGTGATATATTATCTATTTGTTGATTATATTCAATAATGGGAGTATTAATTCTTCTTTCTTTTAAATATATAGTTATAAATTTAAACACATATTGAATTATAATTCATACCTTGATTGTTAGCAAGTGAAGTGAACATTTTTTAATAACAATTTTTGTTAAAACACACACGGACACTCAACAGGACAAGTTTCACAATGACAGGTATCTTTATTTCTTTTAAAAAGCGGAAATTATTGAAATTTACAATGATAAATATTTTATTATTGGAATTTCAATAGAACATTATTTTCAGGATGGTATTCATAGAGAATTTTAGATCCATCTTCAGATATTAATGGTGTTTTACCTTTGATATCTTTTTGAAGGTAATCCATTCCATATTTGGTTAGTAATTTCAAAACTATTGGATATCTATTCTTGTCCCTGGCTAGAAAGTGTAAAATATTTCGTTGTTCTGGATTGAGAATTTTAGTCAACTTTGGTTGTTTTTCAATCATTTTCTCAATAACTTCATTGGTATGAAAAACTGGAAAATGTAAACAAGTATCACCCAATTCATTTTGTTGTTCCAATTCTTCAGGTGTCATTTCATCAATTAATTCCATTGCAAATTGATAATTATCAAATGGTAGGGAAATTATTGGCATGGAAATGATTGAACGACCAAGTTTTTCAGAAAATTCTTTGGAAATAATGCTTTCTACAGGTGACATGATTCTCTTCATTTCTTCTTCATTGGCCTGTGATTTGATATATCTATAGATTGGATAGAGACCAATTGAGTTATCATTAATCAAAGAACTTAAAAGTGTTGCTCTCATGAGTAGAATGAAATCATGTCTATCCATCTTGTTTTTAAAGATTTCCAAACATGTTTGAGTACTCTCCCAATCAAGTGATAAAATTCTTTCATCTAAATTAGTTGGAATCCATCCAAGTTCAAAGTATTTTTCCAAGCCTGCATAATTGGTAATTCCCATTCTACCTCCTTGATAAGTATTGGAAATATAAATCAAATAAGCAAGAATATTATCATCTACATAGTGTAATTGAAATTCTTCTAATGAAATATTGTGTTCCATAATATAATCACAAATTTGTTTCTTATCAAGAATTGTAAGTGTTAGCAAGGCACTTGATATAAAATCTCTTCTATGTCTAAAATAGGAATATTCAAAATGTTGTTCAATATACTCTTTCATTGAATTGATTGTATTATCCACATATAAATGAACCTTGTCAGTGGTATGTGATGAATTATCTAAATATTTTTTACCATTCACATAGATAACGTGTGGTGTTGGAGAGTGTATGCCTTCTACATCTTCCAAATGATGACACACAAGTTTACAACTCTTTGGAATATGTTCAAGTAGATCATAATCACCACACTAAATTATTGTTATGTATTATGTGTTTCAAATTATTGTAAACTTACCAAACAATCTGATGATGTTTTGAATAATTCAATTTCCTCCAAAGTGGTAAATGAAGAAAGAATTATTGGATCACAGTGCAAATAATGGTCTTCAACGATGAATTTCAACTTCTTCAATCCCTTACAAACAGAAAGAGCTTGTAAAATTAAATCACCACTCTCACTAAGTCTAAGAATCTCCAATTGAGTATTGACATCTAAAAACTCTAAAATATCATTACTTAATTGAAAACGTGATCTTTTTTTAACGGATATTGGTCCACCTGGTAATTCTAAAGCAAAAATATAAGAGTATAATTCTTTTTTGTAATCTTCTTCCTCTTCTGGTTCATCAATAAAGGATGATGATGTTTTCTTTTTCTTTCTTGGACCCTCTATCTTTCTTGTTTGTGTTAGTTCGAAAATGAGATTCTCCACCTGTTCATCATTTAAATTAACAATGTCATGTAGAGTGAGTTTCTTTTCCTCATCTTTCTGTTTCTCTTCTTGAATTTCATCATTACCAGTGGTAGTGAAACCATAACTAGCCTTTGTTGCCATCTTTTTCTTTGGTACCTGTGCAGTGACATATAACATTGATTTGATGGTATCAATGTGTTTGTAAATAATTGGATCACTTAAATCAATCAAATTCTTTTCAAGCATTGATTGTTCTTTGATTAAATCTAAGAAATAAATCAAATTGTCTTGATTATTGCCATATTCAAAGGAAAGATTTGATAAATCAATATCAGAACTCTTTAAAATTCTTAATTTCATTCTTGAAGCATATTCTCTATTAATTAATCTCATTTTGTGATAGGTTTGAAATTTAGAATCATATATATGAGTATGTTCAAATTTTCTTCTCGAATCAACTTGGATAGGATTTAAACAAGATGCAATTCTACTTTTAACTTGTTCATAATTCAACCCTGTCAATTCCATCTTTGATTTGAAATTATTAATTTCACTCTTAAAACTATCAATAGGAGAAAAAGTTGGAATAAAATCAATAATTTCATATTTTAAATCTTGTGGAAGTGATTGTAATAAATCACATGAAATTGACAACAATTGTTTTTCATCAACACCACGAATTGATTTGGAGGCTTGTTGACGTCTTTGATCTTGAATAATCCACAATTTTACAAGTTCCGGAATGTTTTCATAATTTGACCATGAAAATTCATCATTAATATTTCTCTTCAAGGCTTGTTCGAGAAGTGAATGAAACTTTTTAATGGCTTCTTCATTCTGATAGGGAATGGATGATTGTTGGTGTCTATATCCACGACCACGACCACTAACTAGTGATTAATTTTGATCTGTTACATTAAATGATCATCAATTTTTGAAACATACTTGATTTACGTGCTGTTGCTTTGGTTCTTGCCATTCACTGAGTTAACTCTTTGATATTTTTTTAATGATTTTCTTGTTAGAACTGGATTTTGTTTTTTACAATGAACAAGACAACCCAATAGAATACGTACTCAAATATTTAATGGTTTTTAAGATGTTTTTATTAATTTTGTCATCTTTTGATAATTGATTTTAGGCTTTGAGTTCTTCTTCTAGAGTAAGACGAGCTTCTTCTTCAATAATACCTCTTTGTAAATCCAAATCTCTCTTATGCCATATTCTCCATTTATCAACATTGAATAAATTAATAGCCTTTCCTTTTGGTCTAGCACAAGCGCAACATTGACATAATAACATTTCAATAATTGAATTGCAAAGACTGAACATCTTGAGCCAGAATGGATCTTCCATACGAACAGTTGGGTCTGGATTATAATCTTCCATACATTTAATACCAGTCAATGCTCCAACAAGTAAAATTAATAATCCAATAATTGCTGAATTTACAATAACTACAACTTGAAGAACAGAAAGTTGATAGGAAAGAACTGCTACTTCATCTTTTGTTGCGTACTATTAAATGATATTAAAGAATAGTTGATGATAATGGTGATGATGCGTACATAATAATATTATTGTTACTCTTAAAATTACCAATACCTACGTCTGTATTATTAAATAAAGATGTATTCATATTAGGTTCTACAATATTGATATTATTCACGGAATTGATATCTTCCAATGCTGTATAAACAAATGTATTTGAAACAAGTAAAAGAAGAGTTATAACTCCAAAGGCAAAGATACCCAATCTTTGGGTGAGGGATCGTCTAGATGAAGTATTGGTGCTACCACCCGAAATTCGCTTCATTGGTTGTCGTTGTTTTGTGTTCGCTCCAATTTTTTATTTTTAATTTCAAATTTAATTTTAAAAGGCTTTTTTCTATCGTCTTCTAACCATCAAGGAAGAAGAGACAATTTTGGTTACCATGGGTTATATGCATAGAATATTCACCTTCAGAAGGTTGATTCAAGTTCCTTCATTTCTCCTTCCATATAATTATAAAACTACTTATCATTCTATAAACAAGAGGACACAATGCTACGCTGGTAGCAATACCTGCAAGGCTTGCTTGATATTTTCAACCTTGTCATACAACAATCATCTTCGTGATGCTTTCTTCAGAAATAATTAATATTAATAATTAATTATACAAAAAAAATGAGTCAACAAGGAGGATACGTCGATCTTACTCAAATACCACTTCCACAACTTTTAAAATTGAATGAGAGTCTGACAAAGGAAGTTAATCAATTGACAGCATATTTATCAACATTAAGAGCAGCACACAACAAATATGTTAGTAGTAAATCATCATTGGAACAATTAAAAAAACAAACAGAGAGTACACTTATGGTTCCTTTAACAGAATCACTCTATGTTCCAGGTACATTAAAAAATCCAGATAGTGTTTTAGTTGATATTGGAACAGGTTATTTTGTTAAAAAGCCAATTCCAGAGGCTCAAAATACACTTGAAAGGAGAATTAGACTTGTTAGGGACAGCGCTGAAAAACTTACCAAGACTATTCAAGATCAAAAGGAAACACTTGAAAGAGTTCAATATATGGTTAATGCAAAGAGACAAGCTGCTGCTCAACAACAACAATTACAAAAATAATTATTTATTAAATATTTGAATTTTCATCATCAGTTTTGGACATTCTCTGATTATAATACATTTTATAAGAATAATTATGATAAGATAATGTGGAGTTTTATAATAGTATTATCATGATCAGGTAATAGTATTATTATTAATTTATATTGTTAGATATTGTTAGAAGAATACTTACACTTTGATATTCAACCTTTTCAACTTGGAATTTTGAATCTGTTATTCCGAGAATGTTGGCAACATGATAGCCAAGTTTTTCACCTATCGATAATGTCTTTTCAAATAGATTCATATCGGACCAATCTTTGGTAATGAATTTATTCGAAAAGTTTTCAGTATCGTCGTCATCAAAATCTTCATCTTCCGAATCATGATCATCATCGGCTTTAAACCAGTAGAACCATCCTTTTTGTTTCACTTCTTTGAACGATGAAGGAGGTTGTTGTTCAATTTTTGTTGTTGTTGTAAGGATATCATTCCTATCTTTCGTTGATGAGGCAATCTCTTCATTGGTAATTGCTATTTGGGTGTTATTATTATTAATGAATTGTTTGGACATATTTTGTTGTACTTGTGGTTGTATTTTTGGCGCCCAAAACTAACAAAAACAATGTACTTTTTTAAATTTTAAAACTTTATTAAGAGACAGTCACCTCATATTATTTTATTGATCAAATATTAATAAGAAGAATTATTCGTAAAATCTTTCTTCTTCCTCTTCTTCAGCTTCCAAATCAGAATCTTCTGGAGATAATTTCATTAAAACCTTTGCGCCATAGTCTTCAATGAATTTAGAATCCTTTGGATTTAATTTCTTAAATGAACAATATTCAGAAATTGAACGTAAATGATCATTATCAGCAAAACCTAATACATAGAATAAACTTCTCTCATTACATAATTTAGCAGGAATGAATTTATCCTTAATACCAATTTGTAAAAGTGAATCAACAAAATCAAACATCTTTTCAGTTTGATACTTTTCACGATATGATTTGATTAATTTCTTTACACATTTAGCAACTTCATATCTTAAAGCATTAGCAGTTGAAGTAGCAGCCTTTTCAAATTGTGATTTAATAATAGGTAATAAATCAATAGCACATTCATTATTAGAAATTACAATTAAAGTTGCAGCTTTTGTAAGTGAAATTGCAATTTTAGCAAATTGTGGAGTTGATTGAATAGTTTGTGAAATTTCAATAATTTTAGATAAAACTTTATCTAAAACTAGTGAAGATAAAGATTTATCAATACTCCAATAAGCCATTACAATAAATGTAACATATAAATTATCAGGTTGTGAAATAGTTTGATTAATAAAATCAATAATAGAATTATCTTTTTGTAAATATAAACCACGTGAACAAATAGCTAAACATTGACTTGTAATATCAAGAATTCTATCTGAATCTTGTTGTACAGCTTGTTTAGATAGGATTGAATTAGCACATTCAGTAGAATCACATAAAGCCAATGTCTTTTTCAATGTATCAATACATTGATCAAATGGAACACCTTTAACTTTATCTTGATCACATGCCAATGTTAAAATACTTGTTAAAGTTCTTGTAATTGAAATTACAAAATCATTAACACTTCCTTTACCTGATAATGCATTAGATTTTAATGCAACATTTAAAGCAGAAACAAGTGAATCAATTCTACATCCTAAATCAATTAATTTTGGAATTGATTGTTCTGATAATTTTCTTAAAATTGAAGCACTTGAATCTTGAAGTCCCTTAATAAATGTTGCTTGTAATTGTGGAAGGAATGGTTTTAACATAATTGAACCCTTATCCATTAAAGAACTACATGTTTGAAGTATAGCTGCTTTAACACTCCATGGAAAACGATCACCTGCAACTCTAATTAATGGACCTGTTATTTTAATAACATATGGTGATAATTGTTTAGATGATGTCATACAAATTAAATCACCAATACCAAGTGCTGAATTTTCACGTGATTCTGGTGTTTTACCAAATAATAAACCATGTAAATATAAATTCAATATTGGTTCAATACCTTTTGGTATCTTATTAAATGCAGGTAAATCAATAGAAATTAATTCACCTGTTGATGATACTTGTGTTAATTTACGAATATTTTCACGTGTTGGTTGAATAAAATCATTATAATGTACTTCCTTTGATAAACATTTGGAAATTAATTTTTCAACTGCATACCATGCACATTTAACTACATTATCATCTGGATCATTAAATGATGTAATTAAATCTTCATAAATTGGTAATAATTCATCATTAATAAAATCTTCTGTTAAATTTTCTTCATTATATTGTGAAGGATTAAACATCATTTGCATGAATAAATTAGCTGCACGTCTAACTTTAATATCATTTGATGTCATTTGACTCTTAATTAATTCAAATATAGTATAACTTTCTTGAATATTTAAACATTCTAATACTTTTGTAATAGTTCTTAAAATTAAAATTGATTCATCAGCAACATTTGTAACACTATCAATATATGGAGAAATTGATAATTGTGTTACAAGTTTTTCAATCATTGGTAAAATAAATTCAGTCATTTCATCTAAATGATCATTTTCATAAACACTTTCACATACATCACCCAATGTTCTCAATTGTGTATCTGTTAATAAACCATTAGAAGATGAATGTGTAGATAAAAGAGCAGGTATTAATTTTGGAAGTACATTTTGTGGTCTAACACGTACTAATTGTTGCATACCAGATGCAGCAATTTCAACTAATTTTTCATTAGTTGTCTTTTCCAAATCTTGTAATAATTGTTGTACAATTTCCTTAACACAACGATCACCCATAACTCTACATAAAACATCAAATGCAGATGATGCAGCATCACGTACAGTTGAATCATCATCACAAATACCTCTCTTTACAATTTGAATTAATTTGATAGAATAAGTTTGTAAATGTTTGTCAGATGCAGCTAACATTAATTCAGTTACACCTAAAATAACACCTTGTCTCTTTTCAGGATTTGAATCAATATCTAATAATTGTTGATGTAACATTGGAATTAATTCACCAACAACACGTTCACCTAATTTAACAACTAATTCACCCAATGCTTTACCTGCAATAAAACGTTGATCTTCACTCATATTTAAATGTTTCAAAATACAATCAGTAATACAAGTTAAATGATTCTTCAATGTACTTGGTGTATTTGCAATCATATCTTTCCATAATTTGTTAGCAATACTCTTCAAATTAATATCTTGAATTGCAATAAATGTTAATGCAATAATATGTGAAACTAATTCCAATGATAAAACTCTTTCAATAACAGTTAATTGAATTGGATTTTCATCTAAATGAGACATTTCATCTGAATTACCATATAATGTAGTCATACGTGTTAATAAATCTGTTAATAAAATTAAACAATTATAACGTGTTCTCCATTCTTCTGATTCTAATCCTTCACGTAATGCAGGAACAAGAATATTCATTGCACTATCAGTAAATAATTCAACAATAACACGTGATGATTGTAATGATGTTTCTCTAATACCTTCTTTAGAATGTGAAAGTGCTTTCAAAATTCTTGGTAAACACATTTCCAAGAATGGTTCAAATTGTGATTTCATTAAAGCAGGTAAATAAACAAAAACTTGCATATAACCTTCTTGAACTGAATCACCTTCAATTTGTGATAATAAAAATGGTAAAGATTTTTGTAAACGTGAAACACCTTGTGCTGAAATAACTTCACATAAAGCTTGTGCTGCACCTGATCTTTCAGTTACATATTCATCACCTTGTTGAATTAATTTTTCATGTAACCATGACATGACACCTGATAAATTATCTTCACCAACTGATTTACATAATTGACCTATAGCTTTAGCAGATGATGCACGTACTTGTGGATTTGGATCCATTAAAATATTCTTTAAAATTGGTATCAAATCAACCATATATGGGAATAAATCTCTCTTTGGATCTAAAATTAAAGCACTAATTGATCCAATAATTTGACATGCCTTCTTTTTAATATCTGTATAACGTTCTGTTAAAGCACGTGTCAAGACTGGCATTAAAAGTGCCAATGAAGCACTATCAATAGAATGTGTAAATCTTGTAAATAATAAAGATTCTAAAACCTTATCAATTGTTTTTTGATCTGGATTTGTTAAAGCATCTAATAATAAAGGTACTTGTTTAGAAATTTCAGGTGATCTTGATGCACCACCTACTCTTTCTAAACTTCTCTTTGATGCTTCAACAATATCTGGATGTGTTTCATTAACTGCTTCTTTCAATATTTTAATTATAGTTGGTAAATAGGAAGATAATTGTCTTGGAGCACAATATGCCATATGACCTAATAATTTAATATTAGCTGCTTTTTGTCTCCAATTATCATTTGATGTAGGTTGAATAACAGAAGGTAATAATTGAATTACTCCATATGGTGTTAATTGTGATAAAATAGATGAAACAGCTTGTTCTGCACTTGAACGTACTTCCTTTGTTGGATCACTTAATGCATAATTTAAAATAACAGGCATTACTTCAACAATGTATGGTTCAAATGTATTTTGGAAACGATGTGAAATACATTCCAATGCTAACATACATCCTTCTTTACCTTTTTTATCTGCCTTATTATTTGTTAAATATTGATTCATTGGTGAAATACCATATTGATATAAATCTAATAATCCACATCCATATAAAACACCTGCTAATCCCCATGCAAATCCACGTTTAACACCATAATTATTTGGAATATTCTTTCCATTTGATAATGTTGTTGTACCATATAATAAAAATGATAATAATCTCTTATTAATTAAATCATTATGAATATAATCTTGTTCCTTTTCATAAATATTTTGAATTAAAGGTGATAATGCTTCACTAATTGATTTTTGAACTGAATTTGAAGGTATAATTAATGTATCAATTAATTGATCAATGGCTTTTTTAATCTTTTGAATATGTGTTTGTGCATTAAAATATTTTGAAACACTTCCATACCAAACAACAACAGTTGCTGTTGCAAAATCATTTGATGTTTTTTGTAATTGATTAATATATCCATCAAATAATTCAATTAATAAATTTGCATCATGTTTACCATGATTATAAACAAGTGCTAAACCAATATTAACCATTTCATCTAATAATTCTTGATAACATGATTCTAAATTAGTTTCAATTAATCTAAAACCATCATTAACAATAAAATCAAATAATAATTTCAATTCATATTTTGTAAATGGTGAAATTTCTTGTAATAACCATGAAATTGTAATTAAAGGTTCAAAACTCTTTTCATTTTCAAGTTTTAATTGTTTTTCTTTAAATGTTTTAATAACTCTATTTAAAATAGATTGAACAAGTAAAGAATTTGAATCACCTTTTTTCATTGAAATATTTGTATCAGATCCAATTAATTCTTTTAATGCACCTGTTATAGTTAAACATGAATTATTTCTAGAATAATAAGAATCATATTTAGTTTCACATGTAATTAAAGGAATTGATTTTTCAATAACTTGATTTAAATTTGATTTAAATTGTTCTTTTTGAATGAATGGTTTTGATAAAACTTTACATTCTTCACTTGTATCAAATTGTGAATAATATAAAATAAATTTAATATCATCCAATGTATTTAATGATAACTTTTTCAAATCACCCTTTGTTAAATATTGACAAAGTGTTTTTAAACAATATAATCTAACATTTTCCATTTCAGAATACATAATAGAATGTATCATTGATTTAAATTCATCAATTAAATAAGGTGACATTGACATCATTGAATTAAATCCTTGCTTATTTAAATGTGGAATAAAAGGTAAAACTTCATTAACACAAATTTCCATTACCTTATTTCTAATAAGACTTGTTAAATCTGATTTACCTGCATGTGCTGATAAAATACTCATACATGTTGTTAATGAAGATGATTCAAAACGATGTTCTGGTTTAGAAATAATTGATTGTCTATTTAAAATAGATTCTAATAATGGTAATAAACATGTAAATTCTTCAGATTCTAACATGTTTGGAAATTGTAATCTAATTTTATGAATAATATAATCTCCAAATGTTACATTATTATCATGTGTTGGAATATAACGTGTTAATTTATCTTCATATTCTCCACTTTCATTATTAAACATATTTTTAATACGGAATGTTGCAATTGCTAACATTTCTGCAATACATTCATTTGAAACTGTATTCTTTCTTCTACTTGTTGTTTTAGGTTGTGAATCATTAGCAAAATCTAAATGTACCAATGTATTTCTATTAACATTCTTTAATATATTAAATGCTTGTGATGAAATTGGTGCAAAATATTTATATTTATCTAATAAACTTGTTACATTAAATAATAATAATGACCAAGCAAATTTAATATAATGTGTACGAATATGATGTTCTTCAACTTTATCATTTGATGTATTAGAAGTAGTAGTATTAGAAGTAGTAGTATTAGATGAAGTAGTATTAGAAGAAGTAGTATTAGATGTAATATGAGAATGTTCTGAAATATTACTAATAGATGTATTATCATCATCTAATGAACTTGTTGTAATAATATCAATTGAAACTTTATCACCATTTGTTAAAAGAGTAATATCATTAATTAAAGATAATAAATGTTGAATCTTATCAACTTGTTTTTGAATAGATTGTTTAACAATATTTTCCTTTTTTAACATATTTTCTTTAACAAATTGTTTTCTAGATTCTTGTAAATTCTTTTTAATAGTCTTTTCCTTATTTTGAATAACTTCCCATTCTTTATCAGTTAAATGATATCTATAATATTTAATAGTTTCCTTTTCATTCATAAATGGAATAGAATTAGATTGTCTAAAAATAGGATGTTTGTTAACTTCAGTATCTAAATCATGATATGGTTCTTCTAAATTATTTCTATTATAAACAATAAAATCAGTTAAATTATAATCATCACTTTCAAATAATAAATAATAATGTGAATGTAATTCTTTAGAAATTAATTCAAAAATTCTTGTTGAATGTTTAGAATGTTTAAATAAAATTAATGAAATAATTGAATATGAAATTGCCTTTCTATTAAATGTTGAATTATTTACCAATTCATTTAATAAATAAATTGTCATTTCTTCATATTTATGTGAAATTGTATTATTTAAAATATATTGTTTATATTTTTCATTATGTACTAATGAATGAATATTATCAACAATTAATGGATGATGCATTAATATAAATAATTTATAAATACTTGTTTTATCTTGACATTTAATATTTAAACAATCTCTAAATGTTTCAATAGCAAATCTTAATGAACTATGTGTATATAATTTGTTATTATTTGTAGTAATATTAGATGTAGTAGTATTAGTAGTAGATGTAGTAGTATTAAAATCATCATCTTGTAATTTCTTTTTATTAAATTCATTTTCCAATTCAATAATAAAAGATTGACTAAATGAATCTAATAAAATTTGTTCAATAATGAAATTATCACTTGTATTATTATTGTAATAATTGATCATTGATTTTGATAAAATTTCTTGTGCTTGATGATTTTCTTTACAATTACTTAATGCAATACAACATGCTAAATATAAATCAGATTTAATTGCATTTGAAATATTTGAATTAATAATTTTTTGTAATTTAATTGAATTTTCTGATTGATTATTAAATAAAATATTTGAAATTAAATAAGAAAGTGCAATAAAATCCTTTGAATTTAATAATTCAATAGTTTCCTTATTAAAAATAAAAGTTAAAATTTTTTTAGTATTTTGTTGTAATAATTTAACAATAGATTCCTTATTTTGTACTAAAATAGAATGTGTTAAAATTTCAAAACAATAAATTGCAAGTGATCTTAATGATTTCTTCTTTTCTGAATTTAAAATTGTTTCAATTAAAAAATTTTCTAAATTTGAATCTAATTGATCAATTGCAAAATGTGAAATGAATGAAATAATTGATTTTTTAACTTGATTAATTTCTTCACTTTCTAATTTAAATATTTTTGTTAAATTTTCAAAATTTTCAAGTTTTTTAACATTTAATAATTCTAAAATATTAAATAAATAAATAAATGTTTGTGCTAATTCTGATGTAATTGTTGTTGTTGATAAATATTTAAAAATAAAATTAATAAATGTTTCTAAATTTGATAATTCTAATTTAAATTCATTAAATTCTTTATCAAAAATTGATGAATTTTTAACTTTTTTTAAATATAAATAAATTGATTCAAATAAAAATTGTAAAGTTTTTGTATCTAAAAATGTAAATTCACTACTATTAATAAATAATTTATCATTTTTAATATTAG